AAGGAGGAGGGAGCGGGAGGAAGAGAGAGAGAGAGAGAGAGAGAGAGAGAGAGAGAGAGAGAGAGAGAGAGAGAGAGAGAGAGAGAGAGAGAGAGAGAGAGGGAAAACGATTGAAGATTTTTCTTCTCGATTAGTAATATTAGAAGGTAATTGATGGTCGGTTAATTGTAAAGAAAAAATGAGCAATTAAATCATGATTTTCATATCAAGAAAATCATTTTCATTTGTCAATTATGTTCGGTTGCAACAAGAAAGCAAATATATCTTTATAAAATTGTTTTTCTTGCTCAAATGGATATTAAGCAAAATACATAAATAACTTAACATCAGATAATGAGACAATTTCCATTTAGGCCGAAATTGAATTGACAAAAAAACACGCGGTAATTGCCTTCACACAAATCTGAGTATTTCGAACGCACTGACGAAATGCAACTGTATATTTGTACTTATAAAATGCAAGCAAAACATTCTTGAATGTTCCGAGAAGTAACGAAAATAATTTGACATCGACTTATTTCGTTTTGGCATTAATCACCTTCAATATACAAGTTGTACTTGATGAAAGAACAAAAAGCTTTTTTTTGTACTTGTTCCATTAACGAAAGTACTGCTGTTCTTTTGAGAGTATTAATTATTATCTTGAGAAAAAGTACGACCTTTGCGAATAATTGATCGATTTTTTTGCCACTTACATTGCTTCTTAGTTAAGTAATTTCTACCGCGAGAGTACAGTTGGCATAAAAGAAATAACAACATAAACAATGAAACCTTCAAGTACTTTCTCTTCTTTTAGAAAGCAAACTACTGCACTTTCTGTTTGATATTTCTTGTGATTTTCACTGAAGATTTACTGGTAGTGAATAAACAGAGTGACTCAATGATAATGTTTTCTCAAGTTTTACTGATTTAGATTAAAAAGAACTGAGAAAGACAGGTACAAAAAACGAAAATTTCATCGGTTAGAACTAATTCTGAGCAGTAATTAATTGTTTGGAACGAATCTTGGACATACCGACGCTGTCGGCTAAGCGTACCGGAGCAATCGATTGTTTGCGTTGTTTGGTAATCGGTGGCAGAGATGAACGGGGTTGTCCATTGTGTAACATTGTGCCGTTAACATGACTAGCGCTGGAATCCCGTTTGCGATGATTGGTCAGCGATGCTAAACGATGTGTGGATGTTGTCGACATTTTGCGTTGGATGGTCGGTGGTGGGTGATGACTGGCTGGTGAACTTGTTTGATGATATTCAGGTACAAACGATTGTCGATAGGATGGACAGATTTGTGGCTGCATGAGATTTAACATGTGAACGGGCTCACCGCCTGATGTGGATGATGTTGGAAGTTGAATAGGAGACAATTTTGGAAGCATAGTTGTTGACCTTGTAGGTGGATGACTAATTTGAATGATTGAAATTGCTAAAAATAAATCCGAATGAAGACAAACTAAGTATGTTAGAAGTCTTACAAGATAATGGTAAACTTACGTAATTGATTGGAATTTTTCTCGATGGATTTCTTTCGTGGTGACCTTAGAGCTGCAACTGTTTTCCAATCGTTGGAATTCTTTGCTGATTCGATTTTCGCTTCAATCAAATTCTGAGAGCCCAATGAATTCAATGATGATGATGTTGACGACGAGGATGACGATGATGCTATACTACTTTTTCTGATCATCATTCTTTTTGATTTGTTCGTCATTGGACGTTGTGGTGCAACTTGTATTTCTCTCGACAGAAAAACAGTCGAACGCGATGTTTCAGCCAAATAATCCGCTAGATCTTCATAGCCCAGCTTTCTCGCTAATTCTTCAGGCGTATTATTATGATTATCTTTGATATCAAACCGAAGACGATATTGCAAAAGGTAATTCACAATTGCTTGAACAAGAATTTCATTACCATGTTCGATGGCATAGTGCAACGAACATAAACCGGATTGATCTCGATTGAGTATATTAATGTCACCTGGATAGGTACGGAGTAAAAATAAAGCTTCTTGCGTACAGTTCAAATTTGCTGCCCAATTGAAAACGTTCTTACCATGATGATCGATAATGTGAGGATCGAGATTACACGTTTTAATCAGAAATTGAAAGACTTGGAAACGTTTTTTTTCAAAAAACTGGTCTTGCGAATTGTGTTGTTTAAGAACGTGAATTAACAAATTCTGGCCGCGACTGTTTTGGATCGAGATATTATGACCGTGCTTGATGTATGTCATAATTTTGAAGAGATGACATTGTTCGACCGCTTCGATAAGAAAACGTTCGGTGGTGAATGACATTAGTTTCAGTTTGACAAAAAAATAATGTCTACAGAATGAAATGAATGATTTGTTTAATAAAGAAATACAGTGGTTTCTTTATTTGTCGATTCTACGAATGGAGTAAGAAGAAAGAGATGTGTAGAATTGATTCATGACGATGTGATTATGATGATGATTGTTATTATGAAGAAATTTTCTTCTTCTTCGTCTTATATTTGCGAAAAAATACAGTAGAAAAATAAATCTTTTCTAATCGGTCTGCAATCATAACAAGATTTGACGGTTTTATTCTTTGCATGCGTATACCCGTATGTGGATGTTTTCGATCGTTCAGGGACAAAGAAAAGCGAGTGTGCGCGCGCGAGAGAAGAAAAAACTTTGTCAGAAATCTTAATCGTCGTCTGATTGAGTGTCACACACTCCACTCTTTCACATTAATAATCACAATATTCTTCCTACACATATCTACGTTGGTTAGTAAGAGAAAGAAAACGTATCTCCAATTGCTGAAAAAGTGTATTGATTGTTGTCAAGGTTATAATGACAATGCACAGATGTCGAATTCCAAAATAGAACTGATGAGTAACTTCGCAAAGTTGCTGGTTGATGATGAGAATCGTTGCTGCATCAAACTCGACTAGTCTGTTTCAGAGTAGTGTATGATGTTCACCAAGAAGAAAAAGTTACTAATGAATTGAAAAACAATCAAAAGATTACATCCGACTATTTCTAAAAAAAAAACTTGGCAATGCAGCAAAGTACTTATTCCTGGCTGGTGGGAACTTGTCAATGTCCTAATCAAAAAGAAAAGTTCTTCAACTTTGACATTTTATTAATGAAATCTCCTCAGACATATATACTTATATATTTATCAACAAAAATAGAAAGAGAGAAGCCATCTAACTCGTTAAAATAGTTTTATTAATTAAATATTCAAAAAACATGGGTACGATAAGCCGTAGATTGATTGAAAATTCATATAGAAAAAGATTGATGTCGACTTTTTTTTTTCAATAAAACTACTTCGCCTCGCTTTTCTCTCACGCCTTCGAGAAATAGTCACAATCTATTCATGAATTGGTTGTTTTTCTTGGTTTTGACGCCTTGTAATCTTTTATTAAATATGTCCGTGAGCTTCGAAGTGAAAATTGCAGAAATACCTTGTACAAGTCACCATCTCCCAAATCAATTATTCACAAGTTCATGTAAATCACCATTAACTATGATATTTATCGAATATCTGATATAAACATGCGAGATGGCTTTGCTTGTCATGATCAACTTAAGACAAATATAATATCAGAATATGTAATCATTGATTTCGTGTGTTTTCAGCAAGAAAAAGGATTTCATCATTGATCCTATTATTCAAGTAGTAAACGCACTATCGATTGAATAGAACGAAAAATAACACGTCGGCTGTGATTACATTATCTATGTTTTAACTTTTCACGCACGCATTGGTTGATGGATGCTAAGTTTCTTGAATAAGAATATGTCTAGACACTGATTTCTTCCAGTTCTCACCGTTTTTCTTTGAGAAAAGTGTGTGTATATTGAATTTTTCCCATCTCTGCTACCACTTATCATTGAGTTTCGGAACGGAAGTTGTTGTTCGATGTCATTTGTACACCTCTGAAGATTGTTTACTCACGCGTCAACTATGCGATGATCGAGATTCATCTACAATAGTAAATGTCTATTTGTGTTCGTTTTTTCTTTCTTTTCTCTCTCTCTCTCTCTGAACGGATTAATCTGTACAGTAAAAGTGATTTTTGTAATGACATGTTCACTCTTACTTGTTCTACTGTATTGTTAAACATGTCGGCGTCACTCGTATCTCTGTCGCGTCATTTCTCTCTAAAGAAATTCTTGAAAGAGTCGATGCAAATATTCGATGCGCTTAACCAGAGAGATAAGTCAATTCATTAATTGTGACCTAATTACCGTCGTCGACCTAGAAATCATATCAAATAGAGACAGTCAAGAGAGATTAATTTGACATTTTGTCTGTCTTTAGAGCAGATTTACTGCGCAATGAATTACTATTTGACATGACAAGAGAAAAACATTGTTACAGATGAAAATTATCGATGACTAGAATAAGATTCTTTCCTGCCAATTATTTCAATTTTTTATGCATGGCCTTTGATTGATACACATCCAATTGTACGCAAGTGACAGTATTGATCAAAACTAATCATGATTTTCGATATCACATTTCTTATTTTCGTTATCTTTTCTATTCAACAAACATTGACACAAATTCCACCTGTTGTACCATTGACAAGTAAACGATTTTCTTCGTAAAATCTTTTTTTTTGTCTTTGCATTTTCGTTAATAGATTCATTGACAGCTGTGTATTGTCACAACTTAAACGAGGCTGGCACGATGACGATTCGTTGTGGAAATAATGAGAAAATTCGTATGTTAGACGCATTTGATGTTGTTGTGAACAACCGATCACATTTACCGTTACAATGCATACAACGCAAACCGTTCTCCATGGTTTATGGAGATATTTCCACTTATACGGATTGTAAAGTTCGCACTAGTTTCGCTTCAGCTTGTTCCGGACGAGAAAATTGTACATTACACATGCAACGTACTCGAGTAAATACAGCTTCGAGCAATTGTCATAATAAATTGGTTGATTATACCATGGCATTCTTCGAATGTATATCAGGTACGATATACTGGAAAGAAGAAACCGTTTTCTTTGTTACTTCGAATGTAGATGTGTTTATTCATGATATCTGTTCAATGCAAGCAATAACGTCGCCTTGGGGTACATTGAAAACACCGAATTTCCCTAATCCTTATACGTCGAGTGATGACTGTTGGTGTAAATTATCAACTCAATTGCAACATCGTCTTTTGCTTTCTGTTATTATCTTTCAATTGATTCCCTACGATAGTTCGTATTGCATTCGAAACTAAACACGCGAAGTTATCCTTTGTTTGTCTCCGTAGGAGAATGTGCAGGTGCTGGACTTTATCTACAAAGTAGCGATGAGCAACGAAGTACGCAGTGTACATATTTACAACCGGGACATAATTATTTAAGCGATACAAATACCTTGTATATCAATTTCTACAGCCGAACATCAACTGTTCGTGGAGGATTTTGGATTATTTATGAAGGTTGGAATGTTTATTATTTTTCATCTTTAACATATCTTTTTTGACTGTGCTTTCTTTTCAGCGAGTCATTCGCAAGCAGAAGTGCATCTACAATGTGGTTCACGAGAGAAGATAGGTGTACCATTGAGTCGGACCTCTATGTCATCACCACCACCTGTCTCATCATCCTATAACTACGGTTGGAGTCGGCTATCATACAATGATCCACCGAATCCGACAGCAATACCAAACAGTCAGGATCGTATGGAGAATATACGATTGCTCCTTACAACACCGCCACCATCGTTCGTCAACGGAAACTTTAGTAAATATTCGATTCTGATCAATAACATGAGCGTTTTCTCAATAATTCTGTTTAGAAAGAAGAACCTTGACTACAGCAGCTAGTGCATTTACTTATCCACATGGAAGTTTAGCGACATTCGAGTTAGATTTTGGGCCACGAGGATGGTTTGTAAAATATCCCTATGGCTCACCAAACATGACAGCAACGAAATTTGTACAAACAACAACAACTCCAACGCCTATTGTCAAATGGAATTCGACATGGCTCTATATTCGACATCTACGAACAAGAGTTTCTCCGAAAATTTTTATAACAACAACAGCTACTATCAAAACAACAACTATAAGTTCCGCATCATCAACAACTGTACCAGTACCCACAGAAACATTTGTCATGACGACTACAGAGCAAATACCCATGACTACCACTACAGCTTCTATTTCCTCCACGGCAATTCTTACTACTACGCCACAAGTTATAACGTCGGACATCTTTTTTGCCACTACTACACAACCACGAACACAAACAGTGCAATCAACGACACAGTCAACATCTGCATTGACGATGAAAACAGTTGTACCTTTTCCCACTCCGTGGTATTCGCCAGCAGGACCATTTGACTGGTGGCAGTGGCAAGGTTATTCAACCAAACTGTACAAACCGCCTCTAAACAGTAACACTACAACTGGAAAATCCACTCTTTCCACTAAAACGACAACGACAACGACCACAACGACGACTACAACTACGACAACAACAACTACATCAACGACAACTAAACATATCATTCATCTGAGTAATACAACTACGAAAACATCTCTTTCTGCTCCAAAAGAAATCACCGCCGATTGGTTTCGATGGCCACACACTGAACCAACAAAATCAAAACCTGATTATTACGACGATGAATATACGAACTGGTTCGATTATCTTCCGAGAAACAAATTGCGAAGTACACTGAAAGCTACAACATTGAGAAACCCATTTCTCACTATTTTACCTGAACCGCAACGTAAACAATATCAACAAATGAGTCTTCTGTCTACCAAATCCAATTCGAAGATGGTCAATATATATCCCACATTGACCACATCACCTTCAACTACATCAAATTTCGTCTACACCGATCAAAATACTGGTAACGAAAATATTGAGTTGAAAACTCATCGTATTCGCTAAAATCTTTTTATTCAAGATTCAGAAAAAGTAATGCATACCAATGCGCAGAATAACATCCAAGATCCTCATAAGAAGGAATCGGAAGACTATGGTTGGCTCAGTAAAACAGGTATGAGAGACAAACTCTTCCAATATTACCAAAATTGGACAAAAATAATTGATTTATTTAGACATGACCATTGTTGCTGTATCGATTTTATTCGTTATATTATTAGTTTTTATAAATTTAATTCTCTTTGCTGTTCGAAGGTAAAATCGAATAATAGAAACGTAAGATTTGTCTACGATCAAAAGGAAACCTTTTCTAGACGTCGTCATCGAATTCAAAATCAACATTTGCTTTGCGCATCGCTACCTTCCTCGTTCAACGATCGAAGTATTTCAAATAATCAATTACAAAGTTCAAAACTAGGCGATTCGACTAACAGTTTGATTAATATAACGAACAACAATAACAATGATATATTACCAGCCGTTGGTAAGTCCAGGAAAAGTCTGAATTGAAAACAAAATTGCATGAATTCTCTAGGTGAGATTGTATTATGGGATGAAAGAGATCAAGGTGGTTATATGATTGACAATCATGGCGAATGGGCAAAGATTGAAGGACGACAATGGATTGGTAGTGATTTGACCAAAAATCAAAACAAATCATCATTCACTAAAAGGTACGTGTTTGTTCTTATCATAGTTTTCAGTGATGTTGTTTTCAAAGACAAATATTATACAATAATCTTTTCTTCGTTGACAGTTTTCGATCGCGATTTCAATTCATTCGACAATCGCCGAAAAAATCGAGTCAGCAACGTCCACATACTACGTTCACACCCAGATCTCCTCAACAACAATTACCGCAGCAACCACAAATCTACAAATTTCCCCCTCTTACTGACAGTTCGTATTCGATTAGGATACAAAAGGATTTTTACTCATTGAATCTCATTTTAGCTGCTGCCCTTACTCCAGTTCCTGAAGCCGATGATTATCAAACATCCGATTTAAGTGCTACCGATGTCATCAATCATAATTCCGATACGAAATTGAGAAATTCAAATATAAAACATCAACATGTAGATATTTCCCTCAATTATTTTATCTCATTCGTTTCCTCATCATTCTAGACAACAAAAACGATTCAAGCACTGATTCACACCGAACAAGATCATAGTGATGATTACTACAAACGGATTGAAAGCGGCGGCGAGGAGTCAAATTATACCGCCGTGCTTGACAATCATCAAGGCGAATATTATGTAGCTGATCAGCAAACGGATCGATGCTTAGGCAGTGAAATCGATGCTGGTGAATCAGTAATTATCAGCGTACCAACTATGCTACGACAAGAAGACGATATTGACATCACAACTAACGGTGCTGAATCAATCTACAATCCAAACTATTCGACGCGATCACAAAATGAAGTAAACAGCCCAATTCTGAAAAGTCAAAATGCATTCTTTTTGTCTGTAGTCGAAGAGAACAAATCTAACAATGAAACCAATAAGACATCCGAAACCGATGATCAACACTTCCATTACTGTTGGCCATTGTCAAACCGATTTTCAACCATTAAATCCGAAATTATTAGAAAAATCTCTCTTAGCTGAACATCAACAGCTATATACTTGTTCTCAATCTTTACAATTCTCAGCCTACGATTCAGGTTTCTTCGATGATCAAACAACCGATAGTTTAATACTAACACCAAGTCAAGAACCACCTGGTAGTGATGAAATCTCTTCCAATCAAAGTAGAGCTAGTTTATCAAGACAAGATTCGCCATTAGCTAAAACATATTGTTAAACATTGGTCTCACATTTTTTCTTTTTATATTGTAATTGAACATTCATCTATGAAATAAATTTCACGACAAAAAAAAACTCCGGCTCGAATCACTCTTTTCCTGGTCAACACTGAAACACAAACATCAAAGATTCATTCCCTTGAACTATTCCTTCTGTACAATAGTTTATCTTAAACTAAACAAATACTAATTCTTCACTTGAATTGCATCAAAGTCGAATGTCAATATACTTTCGATCGATTATTTCTCTTCAATGAATTTAAGCAAATATTTTTCTAGTCCTAATGACTTTATTTCTCTTTCTTTTTATACCACTATAAACATATACAAATGCTAATATGCTCAAGCACACGACCAAGCTAAGCGTCCTGATGATATTGGAATGTTTTTCATCACTTGATGCAATTCTTTGTCGAGTATGGTTTGTTTCAAACCAACTTTAAGACGATGTTCACAAAGATAAAGAACAGTGTCTGATGGACCCCAAACCGGCTGTCCAATGGAGAAATCATGTATTTTCAATCTTGCTAACATTGATAGCAAGGTTCGATCGTCGAATGTATACGAACCATCTAGTTGCATACGAATTTGACAAACAGATACGGTTGCTTCTTCATCACCAGGATCTAGAAGATCAGCTGAAATTAATAAAAAATAATATAAGGAGACGATATTCTTCAATCTAAATGTCACTACTGCACACACAAATGGAATAGAAGAGTGATATGTCGCCGAACGATTAGTAGAATATTAATCCGACTTACTGCTTCTTAATGAATAGGATATCAGTAGAAGTATGCAAACAATACTAGTAATGATGACTTTGTTTGGCAATTGAACAGTTTTTTGTAGTTCCATTTGTGTCTCTTGTCGAACAATTGTTGCTGTATGATATAATGTATATTTTCGTTGTTATTTGTTAAGAAAAAGGAGGCTCTTACATACGTCGATTCTTATGCAAAAATAATAATGAGGTGCATAAACAATTTTCTTTTTTTCGTTACTTGTTTTTCTTCTACGTCTCTCTTCTTCACAAACATTCTTTTTCATAAGTAACATTCTCCATTCAATGCCCATTTGATTGTCTATGCACATTAACTTTTTAATTATGTGTGTGTGCATGTCATCATTAGGATGAGTCAAAACATTTACGAATCGTTGTTATCAAGATGAACTGTATTGGGAATGTATGTGACGAGAACATGTCGCAAGCGAATTGAATTAATCATTCATAACGAGCTGTTATGATGTTTTTCTGTTAAGATAATCTTCTCGGATTGAATATGTCATGATGCTTTGTGCCAGACAAGGCATCCGTACGGATGTCTTGTGAACTACATTTTGCCTGAATTTCGAATGAAAACTAAGTCGAGAATGTTTTTTATAGTGTGAAGCCGTGTGAAGTCCAGTTTGGAGAAGAATAGCTACAAGACTGAGTAAGTCATAAGACTAAGAATGGTCTGGAAGTGTTCGTTTGATTAAATATTTATTTTGATTAAAGAGAAATATTGAATACTTGTATTGAAAAGGAGAAAAACAAAAAGGATTCACTACACGAAACGACAAAAAAACCAAGGTAATTATGATAATAAGAGAAAAGAAGTTTCTTTTTATTTTGATGTGGGAATTGGAATTTGTAGAACGTCTACAAACAATTGTTTGAATTGTTCTAGACGAAATGTTAGATTATCTAGCTGAAATTTTAATTCTTGATTTTGACTTTTTAAACCAGCATGCCGCGAGACTAATTCGTCTCGCTCGGATTTTTTCTTGAGACGATATTTCTCTGCTGCGGCTTTATTTTGATCTTTCTTCCGTAGCTTGCGTTCAGTTGTTGAAAACGCTCGTTTCTTTGTCACCCGTTTCTCAATCACGGAAGAAGAACCACTTGTGGTTGAAAATACCGGTGATGGTGGAACCTCCATATCTTCCACGGCGCTCTCCGATCCAACTGTGCATTCACCACCGAGCCATGGCGATGTACTGTCATCAACTGCATAAAATGTTGATTCATCGGAGTTGGATAGAGGCTGTAAATCGATTGTATTTGTTGGATAAGATGTGTGACTAAGGTATTTTTCGAATTGTAGATCTTCAAGTTCAGTTAAAACAGGGAAATCAAATGAGGATAAGAGGTCGTAGTTGTTTTGATTATTATCATTGTTTTCAGTTGTATTGTCTGTCGTTACTAAATTATATTCATTGGTTTCGGATGTTATCAAAGGAAATTGGGTGTCATTCTCTTCAGTAGGAAGAACTCCGTTGGATGTGAACAGAGGATTGACTTTGACCATACCATTGGGAACGATGGTAGGAGTCATTAAGTCCGTGGGTTGATTTATTTCGAAAAGCATTTTGTTCGTTTACGTTTGAGACCGACGATGCGGAAGTTTGGGCGGCGAAAGCCATTGTAAAAGTCATAGTTGCAGCTAAAACAAAATATGAGATTTATCAATTTATTCTCTACACATATCGTGGTGATTTGCAAAGGTCAATGTCCACTACTTAGGTAGAAGAAATATGTCAGTCTACTGTGGGTGTATCCTAACACGCCTCACAAATCTGGTGCACTTACTTTAAAAGGCACGCGAAAATCGTGCTAAGCCGGAGCTGGTGCGCCTAAACGGTCGCGACAGTGTCACACAGAACGCATGATGAAAATGATGTATGATTATGAATGCTGATGAAATATATAGGATGATGAAATCGGATTTTTCTTCCTTTAGCAGGGAACATGCATATGCATGATGCAATGTTCCTGATTCATCATGACGCATTAGTTGAGAAAGAGTGATTTTTTCAAGAATATTCTCCAAAGAAAATATATGCTTTAGACATGACAGTAAGCAAAATAAATACCAAAAATAGAATTTATCGAAAATATGAGAAATTCCTGGAATAGATGTCACTAGTCATTGTATTTCCGGGCAACATGACATAGCTTTTGATCGTATTAATAATTTCTACTGTATCGAATCGAAAAATTTCGAACAATCAACGAAATTATTAAATCATATCTCTAACCAAACGATACGTAGAGAGGCCATCGGCCTAGTATCACATTAATCTAATTAAGACTGATACCAAGTTTTAAAACTTACTAAAGCAAGATACTCATTGATCAACAATGTCTTTGGTAATTTCAACTGCATTGCTACTAAAATGTCATTTTTAAACTTTGCATAGCTTAATTATTTTCAAGACTTCATCCGACTACCAGGATTAACGAATGACATGTGGACAGATGATCTGAAGCATATTCTAGAGACCTACCTTTCCTGTAATGAATCGAAGCTTTTGATCATGTACATTGATCGAGATACTTCTTCTTTACAACTTCTTCATGACATTCCACTAGTGATAACCTTGAATCATTCCTCTCTTAATTTATGTTACTTTATTCGTCGGAATCATTCGCCGGACTTGATTAACACCATCGAAGATTTTCTGAAATATATCCAATATGGATATATCATCGGACGATCGATTGCATGTTTAACAGCACTTGTATCCACGCTTTTCGAACCATTGTTCATGAGCAACGTAGCCGTACAAGATAGTATGTCACGATAAGTTTCGATTTGTTTGAATTCTTAAATTTCAGTGATCAAAAACGACTTTATCAGCGTATCAAATCACTTTCTAGCCACATTTTACGAAAAGCAATATCACGATACGTCGTCGATGACATATCTATACATTCCCAAAGATGGCTTAGATAGAACTGTTGAAGTGCTTATAAAAGATAGAATGTTGATAACACGATTCGAAGGTAGAATTTCTGTACTAATGGATGCCTATATTGAAATCCAGATGTATTCTTTAGCCGTTATGCTAAAATGGCATCATCAATTGAAAAATATTCTACTCATACAGAATCGTTTGATGAGCGTTGAAGATCAGTCAACGGGTATTGATGAAGAAATTCATTTTTGGCAAAATTGTCTTCTTAATCTTCATAATATTCGTCGACAATTCCAACGAAGTGAATTACAGACTATAATTCAGGTGTTGACTCTCTCGAAATCTGCGTACATTGAACAATTTTTACAAGCAGGAAACGAGATTCAAGTAAAATCGCTCTTTGCTTTTCTAATTCATTCGAATGTGAAAACAAAAACTAGATTTTCACTGGCTATGTCGAGGATTGTTTGAAATTTCTCAAACTTCTTGCTGAACCTTCACTCCAATTGAACGATATTCCTTATGAACAACTCACTAATCTCATAACTGAGATTTTCTATCGAATCTTAATCGTATGGCATCATTCGATATTTTTCTCGATTTCCACAAGGATTAAATTAGTAATAAGTAAAGTAAATAATCAATCTTTTACTTACATTTCAATATTACGTATTTCATCTCTTATAGATTAACAATCAAATCATCAGCCGATGTTCTCGTTCGTTGAATATACAACGCTTGTTTCAGAACTATGTTTTATCAACTCAAAACCGCCTTGAAGAATGTTTTCGGACTATCAACGTATATATTGAAACGTCTTTACATGTGAATAGTCCTTTTCTCTATTCGGAATACCTAACTCTGTTCTTTTAGGTTTTAAATATGCATGATAGACATTCCCCTAAACCACTGATGGTCAACAACTTCGAAAAAGATGATCTTTTTCACTCTGTGCACTTGTATCAACAACGTTTAACTGAAATCAATGAAGTACAGAGATATTCTCTTCTATCTAGACACATTTTCATACTATGCAGATTTGTGAATGCATGAAACTTTTTGGATCGTATCGAGATGGAAACAAAGATCCTTTGCCTATTTTCGGTGGGATTCAAGGTAATGAATTTCAACATATCCTTGAACAAAGTCAACAAAATTTCGATCGAGTATTGCACTTGTTATGGCGAAAATCTATGCACATACTTGATATTTCTATGAATTCATCTTCGATATGGTCAGAAGAATTGAAACGGTAATTTGATTGATCGATGGTAATTGATCTGATGATGTATTTCGTAGCTTTTTCAAATCTGTACGTGAAATCGAATTAGCTATTGTGAAATTGATCAACGAAGCAACGAAAAAGACAATTACAGTCGAACAAACAATGGACATTCTCGAAATCTTTATCGATTTTCAATCACGACCCGTAAATTTCATCTCAATAGTAAACCTTTTACTTCATTTGCTTCTCTTCAGACTATCAATCATGTTCTTCTCGAAAAAATTCGAGATGTCTATCGTTTATTTCTCTCTCAAATTGAAGATGTTCGCACACAAATCGCTTCGTATCAAACATTTGATGAATCAAAAGCGACGTTCAATCAATTCAATCGATTCCTACCCTATTACTCCGCACGAGCTATGTGGATTCGCGATCAAATCGAGTGGATTACTAGAACTTATAATCTTCTGCAACAGGCATCAAACTTGCCGTATCTTGTTCAACAAAATGAAGTGAAACTTGCCTATGAGAAGTTTATAATCTTTGCTGAGAGTAGCACGAAGCGAATTTACCAAGAATGGTGGAGTATGGCGAACGAATTACAGCCGAAGAAATTGTTACAAAAGCCGTTTTTGAAGGAAAATCAGGAGAGAAAATATTTCATTGATGTTTTCTTCGATCCGCAAATCATTTTCGCATTGAACGAAAGTTTATGGTGGATTCGATTACATTATGAAATACCATATTCATTAACCGATGTTTACAATATCAGAAAATCATTTCGACAAATGACAGAAGAAACCTACGAATTCATTCGTAAATTCAACAAGTATAACAACATGATAGATACATCATTTTTGAATAACATTTGAGAAGAACGAAACATCTATAACTATTTTCATTTTAAGGACACTCAGTTCTCTTCGTGGGCAAGAGTCTTGTCTGTTCGAAGAACATATTCGATCAGTTTTGAAAAAACTTCAACCGGCTTTACTTGGCAAAGTCAATTACACTGATGAAAATGCGTTTCATTCTTTCGCTCTCGAAGCTAATCGTATTATTAATCAAGTTCGTCCCATTGTTCAAAACTATCATGCTATCGATGAACAATTCGTTTCTTTCTGAATAGTTAACTGATCTAGTCACATCATTTAAGGAAAACTATATCAAATGTTGCACCAAATGTTTGAATATCAGTTCACAATTGTTTGTCCAAATTGATACTGGCGTTATTTTCAGTTATTCAACATTTACTGATCTATTAGTAGGTGTTTCTTGGTGTATGAAAGACACATGATTTCTCTTTTGATGTAGAAATCTGTGAATGATAAGAGTCTATCATTAGTACGTGAAATGTACGACGAAATGACCGTCGGATTACGCGAACAACAAATGTTATTCAAAGATAAATCAGAAAAAGTACTCTTCTTCTAATCAAGAGTCTGATTAACGAAGAATACTTATCTCTATAGATTCATCAATGTTGGGATCATTGGTTAAGCTCAATCGATTGTATGTTGGAAAAAGCCTTATTACTCAACGTCACCAATTCGCTCGAACAATTATCGTATATAATCAATGGTGATGTGGAAATTGTGTCAACTCCATTTATGAATATTGAACTTTGCTTGAATCGCACAGAAACTTTGGCTGGAAATATCAAATATGCTGTAAGACTTCTCTTGTTTGATTGATGAACACTTCTATTGATGTATTTTAGTTAAACTTTCGTCCAACACTTGAAGAATTACAGAATACATTGAATTCCGTTGGTAAAATCCAATTGAATCGATCGGTTCAATGTTTTACACGTCTGTGCGATTTGTTTGCTTGTGAGCCATTCCAACGAGAAGTATTGGAAAGAACTATTGTTATAGATCGGAATGATTTTTCTCTATAGTCTTACTTTCTTGTGATTGATAATCATTCAAACAAACAAAAATTGCAGAGTAAAATCACTTCCGGAGTTACAAATTGTATTGCCGATATCGACAAATATATTGAAACAAATTGGTTTCGTTTTCGGCAACTATGGGAAGTTGATCAAGACAGCTTCATTGCTGTGTATCAATCGGAAAATACTGATTTGCAAGCTTTGGAAGCGGACATCGCTCGGTAGAGGGATCGTTTACTTCACTTTCATTCGAATTTCTCGATTGTATCTTCTAGTTACACTGAGGTAGCAAATAATATCAATAATCAGGAAACTATTGTCAATGTCCGAATGATACAAATCGATTGTGCTTCATTTAAAGTTTCTTTAGTACAAATTTGTCATCATTGGCAACAGAGTTTGATACGTATCGTCTTAGTTCGATTCGAAAACGATCTGCAAAATACGTTAACATTGATTAAAAACAATACAGAGAGGTAAATGATGAATTATGGCTTTAGTAGTGTTCATGAAGATGACATTTGATTTTTTTTTCTTAATAGGATACATATAGTTCCTAAAACGTATGCTGAAATACCTGTTTATCAACAATTTATCGATGAACTCAAAGTGAATGTACCAGAGATTGAAAAGAAATTACCATTGATACACGAACAAATGATGTTATTAGTTCGATATGAAATCGAAATCGATTCGAAGCTTTTGGAACAACATCGCTCGCTGTTGCGCACTTGGGAAGCTTATAAAATTCTGCTCGATGAATCGATCACATCATTCAAACGAGTTAAAGTGCGTTCAACCGATTTTCAACGATATAAATCGAGTTGTTCGATTCATAGGAAGCTTTTAAAGTCCAATTACAAAAAGAACACGATAAGAGTCAGAATGATATTGTTGAACTGCTTAAAGTGTTTCAACTGGTCGGTCCACATCGAGCAGATATGTCAATAACGATTGCTTTGGCTGACTGCGAGAAGATCGAAGAGCAAATCGATGAAATCGAAAATGAAGAAAAACGATTGAAAACAGCGTATCGAATATTTAATCTGGATATGATTGTTTCGAAAGATTTACAAAGCATTCGAAAAGTTTGTTGCGAAAATTTTCGTGAAATCTTTCACATGAATCAAAATCTTTGTTAGGATGTAGAGATTTTAAAATCAATTTGGTTAGTAGCGAAAGAGTATGATGAAATGTTAATCAAATGGAAAACAACTGAATTTCGTCAATTGAATATCAATGAATTGAATGATTTTGCTCAGAATCAGTATAAAAAATTGGTGAAAATGTCACGAGAATATAAAGTAAGGGAAATAGGAGGGATTCAATTTCTAGAGATCGATGTTTAGGATAAATCTTGGGGTATTCTTACGTCACTTCGTGATCGGATTGATACATTTCGTCGTATAATACCTTTAATTGAATCATTGTATAATCCACATATGCGTTCCCGTCATTGGGAACAGATCAAACGTGAAACAGATAAAACTTTTGATCAGGAATCAAGTCACTTCACACTCGAACAAATTCTCAACTTGCATTTGTAGGTCACTTGACGAAATCGCCTAAAATCTCATTCATTGTATGCTTTCTAGTGAGGAAAACATCCAACTAATTACAGAAATATCAGAAAATGCTACAAAAGAATACGCTATTGAACGTATCATTGAGAAATTTAATCAAACATGGAGTGCATTAAAATTTGAAACAACAGCGCACAAACTCAACATTTTCAAAATAAAGTATGCCGAGTTACCCCTGTTACATCCTTATGCGATGACTGAAATCCGTTTCTAGATCACCGGAGGAAATTATTCAATGTATTGAAGAACACATCGCTGAAATTTCCACTGTCAAAAGTACACGTCATGTGAAACCGTTTCAGAATGATATAGATTATTGGGAGACGTCTATTGCGCAAATATCGGAACTATGTGACGGACTGTTTGATGTTCAACGCCAGTGGTTATACATGGAAGGAATATTTACTTCTGATGATGTACAACGGCAATTACCACGTGAAACTGCGGATTTTAAACATGTGAATATGATTTGGCAAGATGAAATTATAAGGAAAATTCGAGAGAATCCCAATGCTTTATACGTTGCAACGAAATTTAGTTCGTTGATTGTTACTTTATGAATAATAATCATTGATTTTCTAATGTAGATTTCTTCGATAAGATACAAAAACTGCTGAAGTATTTAGAAAATATACAGAAGAAAATGGAGGATTATCTAGAAACGAAACGTTCCGTTTTTCCACGTTTTTATTTCATATCGAATGAAGAATTAGTAGAAATTCTCAGTCTCTCTCGTCAACCTGATCTGATTCAAGTTCATCTTAAGAAACTCTTTGATAATATCAAAAGTCTACATTTATTGGTAAAGAAAACCATTCTCGCCAATGGAATTATCTCGAATGAAAACGAAGAAATCAGTCTGCTATCAACTCTTTCGCTCGAAGGTAACGTCGAACAATGGCTGAAAGATTTAGAGATCAAAATGCAAATAACTGTACGCGAGTATTTGAAAAACTGTCTATCCGCTCTGAAATTACAAAGCAGCAAACGTGACAAATGGGCTAAAAGTTGGCCAAGTCAATGTTGCGTGACTGCAAGTGAAATCGAATGGACATCTGCGACAACTAAAGCACTAGTCACCTGTCAATCAGATGGAAATTCGAAACCATTGAAAAAACTCATTCGCAAACAAGTATGAATAACGAAACTGATTCCATTTGTTTATCTATGAGTTATTCGTAGATAAAAATTCTTGATCGATACTCAGCTATGATTCGTTTGTCACTGGAGACAATTATCCGTCTTCGTGTTATTGGTATAATTACGAAAGAGATTCATGGGCGCGATATTCTAGAACGATTAATTCGAACTCAAACTATGGATATTCAAGCATTTGAATGGCAAATGCAGTTGAGATTCTACTGGGAGAAACACGAACAAAGTGAAGATTGTATCATTCGACAAACAATTACTAAATTTCATTATAACTACGTATGAATTAATTCAACTATATAACAAATGATTCATGGTTTCGGAAATAGGAATATTTGGGTTGTACAAGTCGTTTGGTGATTTCACCACTGACCGATCGATGTTTTATTACTTTAACTACGGCATTGTATTTGTTTCGTGGTGGAAGTTCGAGAGGACCAGCTGGTAGTTTTAAAGAAACCTGTGTTTCTGTATTATGAAATAGAATTCGTTTTCGATCGATTTTACTTGTAGGAACGGGCAAAACGGAAACCATAAAAGATCTGGGAAAGAATTTTGGCATGTATGTTATCGTGCAGAACTGCTCGGAAGCACTCGATTATAAATCTATGGGGAAAATGTTCTCCGGCTTTGCTCAGGTCTACAACAAAAAAAACTTTACTATTCATATCGATAAGTCTTAACTAACTCTTTTAGAGTGGCACATGGGGTTGTTTTGATGAGTACTATCATATCATTGAATATTCACACAAAAGTTCTGCTTTGTTTATTCATAGGTTCAATCGTATCAATATTGAAGTGTTATCTGTTATTGCTCAACAAATCCACTCGATCTTAACAGCTTTATCACTGAAACAGAAAGTATTTGTCTTCGAAGGAAGAGAAATTCCGCTCCAGTCACAAGTTGGAATCTTCATCACAATGAATCCAGGTTCATATTCATTTTTCATCTCTATATAAACCCATATAAATATCATGTTAGGCTACGCTGGTCGAACGGAATTACCTGATAATTTAAAATCAATGTTCCGGCCTGTCTCAATGGTCGTTCCCGATTCGATTTATATTGCAGAAAATTTTCTTTTTAGTGAAGGCTTTCAAAATACCAGAGTAAGTACCACTGCACAGCTTGACGTTTGTGTCTCGATTTCTATTTGTAGAGTTTAGCCAGAAAAGTGTATACATTGTATCACTTGTGTGCACAACAATTATCAAAACAAGATCATTATGATTTCGGCTTACGATCTCTGACAGTAAAAGCATTCTTTGTGGAACTTTGAGAAATGAGCGAATTCGATTCTTTAAAGGCAGTGTTACGCTATGCTGGTGAAAAGAAACGAGTAAATCAAAAAATGACCGATGATGAAGTAAAGTTTATGTTTGCTTCTGAAACTCCAAAGAAAAATGACCTTAGGTGTTTCTTTTATCAATGTTCGATATGAACGTACCAAAGATGACTGCCGAAGATTTGCCGCTCTTTCGAAACATTGTCAATGACTTATTTCCAAACATAACCATACCACAAATAGATTACTCAAAAGTTTGATTAATTCCTCGTTCGAAATTGTTATTTATTCGTTTTGGATTAGCTAATCGAAACTATCGAACAAGAAATGACGAGAAACCATCTACAAATATCAACAACTAACATTGAAAAAGTGATTCAACTGTATGAAACGCATCATTCCCGCCATTCCGTGGTTCTCGTAGGCAAAACTTTATCAGGAAAAACAACAACATGGAAACTGTTCAAACATGCATTGACAACATTGAACAAACAGGGACATACTGAATTCAACAGAGTGATTGTAAGACGTTTTTGATATTTTGATGAAATCTATCCTTTTAGTTGTAGGAGTATCCGATAAATCCAAAAGCGATTGATCTAGGCGAACTCTATGGACAGTTCAATCTTACTACTAATGAGTGGAAGGATGGAATTCTGAGTAGTATCATGCGGCAAGTTTGTAGTGGTTCGTTTCGTCGCAAAACTCTTGATAAGTCTTTAGCTTAGTGTTAAAATTTTCATGTAGACGAGAAATCGGATCGAAAATTGATTCTATTCGATGCGCCAATTGATACATCATGGATTGAATCAATGAACTCATTGATGGATGATAATAAACTCTTAACATTAGCAAATGGAGAACGGATTTCTTTGTCGGTACATGTAACACTGCTATTCGAAACTGAAGACTTATTCACAGCTTCACCAGCGACTGTTTCTCGCGTCGGTATTGTATATTGTGATTACACTAAGTTAGGATGGAGACCTTATGTTGAGTCCTGGATAAAACAGAAAACATCGGACTTGCAAACTGAACTCTTCAATTGTGTCACGAAATATTTCGAGCCAGTTTTAAAATACAAGTCGATCAATTGCAAAGAACTAGTAGCTATTCATGAACTGAACGGAATCATCTCATTAACGAAATTATTTGACTCATTTTGGTATGAGAATGATGTACAATTACAAATGAGCGAGAATGACATGACCACAGGACGATTGATTGAAATGTGGTTTGTCTTCTGTTTGATTTGGTCGGTGGGGGCGAGTGTTGATGATGAAGGAAGAAAGAAAATCGATATTATCTTTCGCGAAACCGAAGGTATGTTTAACGAACGATTGATACCAATCAACGACAATGGATGGTTTCAGGTACCTTTCCGAATAAGGATACGGTATTTGAGTTTTATATTGACATACACAATCGAACGTGGTTACATTGGGAAGAACAATTGAAAGAAGAATGGATATATGACGCCGAGTGAGTTTCACGATCGGTTTATGTTGAATTTGCCGAAACGAATTCCATTTTAGAATGCCATTTTATAAAATGATTGTACCGACAATTGACACTGTGCGTTATGAATATTTAATACGTCGACTACTGCTTAACAAGCACCAAGTTCTGTTGGTTGGAACTGTTGGAACTGGAAAAACAACAATAGCAGAAAGTGTTCTGAGAAAATTAGATTCAGATGCATTCAATACGCTTACTATTCATATGTCAGCTCGGGTAAAATGGCAGGCAAATGAATTTCTTGTGAAAATATTTGTTCTAATCTTTTAGACAACATCGAGAATGTTACAAGATATCTTAGAATCAAATTTGGAAAAACGAGCGAAAAATCTTTTTGTACCGATCAATGGAAAGAAGATGATTACATTTATTGACGACATGAATATGCCGCTAAAGGTAAGACTTGAGCATAAATTCAGATAGTTGTTCGATAGATGGATATGAATATTTCATTTGGCTCACAGAAGATATTCCTAGTGAAGTGATTACCGTGGTTTGTTTTAGGATATGTATGGATTCCAACCGGCACTCGAATTACTGTGAGTTATGCCTATGATCATGAATTATAGAACTTTTGTTTTATAACTAGTCGAACATGGATTGATTATGAGTTTTGGTACGATCGAAAAACGCAAGGAACGAAATTTGTTAAAGTTAGTCGAAAAAATGAACTTTAACTTCCTACGGTTTGAAAATTATTTCAGGATATGTATCTACTTACTGCTATGGGTCCACCAGGCGGTGGTCGCCATCAAATCTCTCGCCGATTACAAAGTCGATTTAATCTAATCAATATGACATTTCCATTCGTATGAAAAGACAAACAAATAGATTTACGATGATTTTTCGATGTTATCATTTAGGAATATGAAATCTGCCGAATCTTTGGTATAATGATGAGTCAAAAATTACGTGATTTTGATGATGACATCAAACACCTCGATCAGACTCTGACAAAAGCAACTGTTGATCTATACCGAACAATCGAAATGAAATATTTACCTACACCAGCAAAAATTCATTACGTAACTATGCATTTTTCATTTACTCCGCAAGAGAAATGAAGAAGGAAACATTCACATAGCTATTTATTTAGACGTTCAATATGCGCGATATATCACGAATGTTTGAAGGTCTTCTCTTGTGCCACAAAACTGTCATAACTAATAAAGTCGAATTACTACGTTTGTGGGTACATGAAGCACATCGAGTATTTTCTGATCGATTCATTACGACCGATGATCACGAGCTGTTTGTGAAAATTCTAAACGAAAAACTCGCTTTATATTTCGATCAAGTTTATCACAATGTTTGCTACAATCGAGAAGCTCCGATCTATTCTGATATGATTCGAACTGATGGAATATATGAGGTTGTATCGAGAACTTAGTGAAAATATTTATGTTCGCAACTTCTTTACCATAGGGAATTCGTGATTATGAAAAATTAAAATCGTTTCTTGAACAAACGCTACAACAGTATAATAAAACGCCATTAATGTTACCCATGGATTTAGTTATGTTTCGCGATGCGGTACTTCATGTTTGTCGAATTGTTCGCGCTCTCCGTCGTCCACGTGGTAATTTACTGTTACTAGGTGTGGGTGGAAGTGGACGGCAATCTTTAGTACATCTAGCAGCGTTTATCTGTGATATTACTTTATTTCAAATTAGAATTACTCGACGATACGGTCATGCTGAATTCAAAGAAGGTTAGTAGATTTCATTATAACTCACGGGAAAAGCCTTCGTACATAAAACTATGTGACGAAATTCTGAAAGGAAAGGCGACGTGGTTCGTATTTTTAGACTTACGTCGTTTAATAAAAGTATGCGGTGTGTCCAACCGTGAAGTTGTTTTCCTATTCATCGATACTCAGATTATCGATACATTCTTTCTCGAAGATCTGAACGCTTTGTTACACACTGGTGAAGTGCCCAATCTCTTTCGTAACGAAGATATTCAAGAGGTTTGTGTCATTTGGTCTCAATTACTTATCTACAAGCTATACATAGATTCGAAATCAACTTTCATCAACACTTAATCGACAAGGGATACAAGAGACTAATTCAAACGTCATGCATTTCTTCCACAATCGAGTTAAAGCTAATTTACATTTGGCTATTTGTATGAGTCCATTTGGTGAAATATTCAGGTGAATTAAATAGTTTTGATCTACAAATTCTATGAAATGACTTTTTTTAGAAATTATATTCGTATGTATCCAGCATTGATTAGTTCCACGACAATAATTTACTTCTCGGAATGGCCATATGAAGCTTTGCTCAACGTTGCTCACCATTTTCTAGTTAAATTCGATTTTACACCTTCAAATGATGATAATCTGATTCACTCGTTGTCTAATCTCTGTGCTTTCATTCATGTTTCGTCAAAAAGCTTAGCAAATCGAATGAAAGATGAACTACGTCGTGAGATTTATATCACACCGACAAACTACCTTCAATTTGTCAGTAATTATGGCCGGTATTGATATACAACGAGTATGAACAGTGCTGTCAATCTTTTTCTCTGTTTTCAAAGTTTATATGAATCTGAAAAAGAGAAAATTCAACGTGAACATACTCGTCTTCGAATGGGCATTGTTAAAGTGGCTGAAACCCGAGAAAAAGTCGCAGAGGTCTCATTGGAGTTAGAGAAGAAGAAAGTGCTGGTTGCGCAATTACAACGAGAATGTGAAGAGTTTCTAAGTAAAATTGTCGAACAAAAAAATAGTGCAAGTGAACGAGAACGGGTAAGTCAGTTTCTTTACTACTTGGACAATCGAAGATGAAGAAATATCAATCGATTAGCAAGTTCAAGCATTTGGAGTGCGTATTGCTGACGAAGAGATTCGTTGTCAATCAATCGCTGCCGCTGCACATGAAGAATTAACAGAAGCCGAACCATTACTGATCAGAGCAAATGAAGCTTTAGAACAATTAACTAAACGTGACATTGGCGAAGTCAAAGCTTATATTCATCCTCCGAGTCAAGTTGAGAAAGTGATGAAGGCATTGATGATTTTGAGTAGGTACAACAGTGTACTCACGCCAATTGAACACATCATTTGCGAATCATATCTTACCGCTTGCTTATTACTTAGAGAACAAAGAAGACACATGGGAAGAAGCGAAGAAAGACTTAGCCAATGTTGATTTTATCAAAACATTGATTGTTCGTACTACAGGATTTTTCCTGAAATAGAAGTTCTCTAAAGGAAACTATTGGTTTAGAAATTCCCAAAAGACGAGATTACTGATCGAACACTTCGTCGTATGCAACCATTCATCAATGACAGTGAATTGATACCTGAAAAATTGAAAGGTGTATCAAGTGCTGCGAGTGCTCTGTGTACTTGGATTCGTGCCGTTGAGTCGTACGCACGTGTTTATCGCATTGTTCAACCGAAGAAAGAGCGTTATCAAAAAGCACTATTGGAATTGAATGAGAAGCAGAATTTGTTACAACAATCGAAAAATGAATTGTTGACTATTCAAAATCGAATTGAAACTTTACGACTTGATTATGAATTAAAAATGAAAGAAAAAGATCAGTTGCAAAGAAATGCCGAAGAAACAGCGATGTTTCTCGATCGAGCAACGAAGTTATTGGATGGTGTTGCTGAAAAACGAACCATTTGGGACATGACATCAACGCATCTGAACGAAAATCTAGATAATCTTCTAGGAAATTCTCTTCTTGCTTGCGCGTTTCTATCTTATTTGGGCTCGTTTTTATCGGATTACCGAGATGATATTGTACATCAAGTAAATTATCGTTTGAAAATGATCTTTCGAAACTAGTTTGATACTTTTCTTTGATAGATTTGGGAAAAAGAATTGATTCGTAGTGGAATCCGTTTTACACCTGATTTTAATCTTATCAAATTTATGACAACACCAACGACCGTCCGCGAATGGAACATTCAAGGCTTACCACGTGATAATTTCTCCACAGAAAATGCGATTTTAGCAACACGAACTCTTTCTTCTCCACTATGTAAGATCTAATTCTCTCTCTCTCTCAACTCGTAATTCAATCTATTTTCAGTCATCGATCCACAAAGTCAAGCGACGAAATGGATCAAACACATGGAGAAATCACGTGGTCTAAAAGTAATCGATTTACAAATGCGTGATTATATGAAAATCATCGAAGAGTGTATTAAAATGGGTCGACCATGTCTATGTCAAAATCTTCATGAGGATCTACCTCAAATATTGAATCCTATTTTAATAAAATCGATTAAAACAAGTTCCAATGATTCGTCACATTTAATTCTTCAAATAGGCGATCGAGAAATTGATTATAATCCATCATTTCGCTTCTATCTTTCAACGCGTTTATCAAATCCACGATACAAGCCAGAATTATTTTCGAAAGTCAATTTAATCAATTTCGCATTGAAAGAACAAGGTTTAGAAGAACAACTGCTTGGTAAATTGCGATAGAATCTGTGTTCTTTCTGAATGTTGATGTCTTGTTGCTAGGTATTGTCGTGCGAAAAGAAAAACCCGAGTTGGAAAATGCGAAAGATAATTGTATTGTAACTATTTCCAACAAACACAAAGAAAAAGAAATGCTAGAAGAAGAATTTCTTCGTCTGCTCTCAGAAACACAAGGAAGTTTATTAGAAAACATTCAAGTCTTCCAAGCACTAGATTTATCAAAACAATCTCAGAAGGATATTGATGAAACATTGAAAATCAACGAAGATTTGGAATTGAAAATCGATCAAACCCGAGATAGTTACCGATTGGTCGCTCAACGTGCTGCCATTCTATTCTTTGTTTTACAAGATTTAACTGCCATTGATTCGATGTACCAGTTCTCGCTTGATGCTTACATTCAATTGTTTCTTTTCTCCATTGATAAAAGCACGCGATCGTTGAAATTAAACGAACGATTGGATAAATTGAATGATTACCATACATACGCAGTTTATAAATATGGATGTCGAGTGAGAAATCAGATTTCTGATTGAATATGTGAATCAATAGCGAGGTTTTTTGTAGAGTCTCTTCGAACGACATAAACTTATGTTTTCGTTTCATACTTGTACGAAAATTATGGATGCTGATAATCGATTGAATCAGGATGAGTATCAGTTTTTCATTCGAGTAAATACTTTAACTATCGATCGAGAAACACAGTTTCCAAATCCGTTTCCAACATGGTTAAATGATACTCGATGGGATCAAATGAGTGAATTAATTCGTTTACCCGATTATCGATTCCTACGCGATTCGTTCGATCAGTATCCTAAAGATTGGAAAGAATGGTAAGATTTATTTCATCAAAGTTCCTAATTGTCAGCACCATTATCTCAGGTATATGTCCGAAGAAGCAGAAAAAACATCACTGCCAGGTACCATCGATTCATTGATTACGGAATTCGGTCGAATATTGATTGTTCGATGTTTACGCCCTGATCGAATTGCCCATTGTGTGTTGAATTTTGTAATACATAATATCGGTTCGAAATATGTCGAACCACCGATTCTTCATCTGAATACAATTCTGGAAGATTCGGATAAACGCTCGCCGATTATATTTATTCTCTCGCCAGGTGTCGATCCAGCTGCGAAATTACAACAACTAGCCGAGGATAAAATGATGGCACGTTCTCGATACTTCACACTCTCACTGGGACAAGGACAAGCAAATACAGCAAGAAAACTGTTAGAAACCGGTATAAAGAAAGTAATGAGCCACAATGATCAATAGGCGAAAAAGTGAAGACATATGTTTCTGTTTTACAAGGGCCATTGGATATTTCTTGCGAATTGTCATCTCTCGATAAGCTGGTTGCCGGAATTAGAAAAGATTGTTGAACAATTACAAACTGCAGCTGTTCACAATGATTTTCGTTTATGGTTAAGTTCATCGCCAATCGCTGATTTTCCTATATCTATTCTGCAAATGAGCTTGAAGATTACGAATGAACCACAAAAGGTTCGAGATGAATACGTTTTGTTGATAAGAATATGTTTCCTATGATTTATCATAGGGCATAAAAGCGAACATGAAACGTTTGTATGAACTGATTACACCAGAGCAATTTCAACGAGTGAAACATGCCGAAAAATATCGTAAACTAACATTTGCACTAACATTCTTTCATTCGATTATTATCGAACGAAAAAAATTCTTACAGCTCGGATGGAATACTGATTATACATTCAATGATTCCGATTTTCAAATATCTGAAAATCTTCTAGCAGTCTATTTAGACATGTATGAAAAAACACCATTCGATGCACTGAAGTATCTCATTGCTAATGTCATCTACGGTGGCCATTGTACCGACGAATGGGACACGCGATTGTTACAAGTAAGTTAACTATACTCAAAAGTATTCTGCAAAGATCTTGTTTCAAGACTTACATCAATTCGTATATTCGAGAAGAAGTTCTCGATGTTATGTATCATAAATTATCTTCGTTGCCATATTATTATATGCCACGTGATGGTGCATTCAAATCTTACAAAGACTTCATTAGTTCGATGCCAACAACTGACCATCCGGAAGCTTTTGGACAGCATTCCAATGCAGATGTAGCGTCACAGATACAAGAATCGAAAATGCTATTTGAAAACTTACTGATGATTCTGCCGCAGAAGTCATCGGCTACCGCAGAGAAAGAAGTTGAAAACGAAGTAAACATGTGACTTCGGATATTTCTGTACCCTATGTCGAACATAAACCGTTTCAGGTGGTGAAAATCGCTCGTGAAATGATTAAATCAATGCCGCATCTGATCGACATAGAAGCCGTCAAAAAATATATGTCTATCGACATATCACCTCTATCAGTTGTACTTTGTCAAGAAGTACAGTGTCGCATCACCTTTTATATACAATGAATCATATTATTCTAGGTCGAAAGATATAACGCATTACTTTCAAATATCACCAATGCTTTGAATGATTTACTAAAAAGTATTGAAGGATTCGTTATCATGTCAATTGAGCTTGAAGAACTTTTCAAATGTATTTACGAAGGACGACTTCCATATGTCTGGCAACGAGTATTAGAATTATGAGGACCATCAAAAGTTTAACTCAAAAATTTTTTTAGACTTATGCTTCCTTAAAATCTCTTCCAGCTTGGTTTGAAGATTTACGCCAGCGTTTAAATTTTTTTAACTCATGGGTAGAAAATCAACGTCAGCCAACTGTTTATTGGATATCGGCATTCTCCTATCCAACTTCATTTCTTACCGCTGTATTACAACGAGCAGCACGAAAAGATCAAGTAAACGAGAGATTACCTTTCCATCACAATAGTAAAATTCTCATAGATTGCTGTCGATCAACTTTCATGGGAATTCGAAGTGAATAAAATCGAAGACAAATATCTGTCCGATACAGACGATGGAGTCTATGTCACAGGTTTACATCTCGAAGGCGCTGGTTGGGATCGTCAGCAGGGAATATTATGCGAAGCACATTTGATGGAGCTTGTTACCATCATGCCCACTATGCATTTCAAACCTGTAGAACACAAGAAAACGTCGAATCGAGGTAAGTGAAACAAATATGAGAGATTTATTTTTCTCATATTTTATAGGTGTCTATGTTGCTCCTTGCTATTATTCGTCAATTCGAAGTGGTTCCTTTGTTGTTGCTGTTGAATTGAAAACAGGTTCTATGCCAGCAGAACATTGGATCAAACGAGCTACTGCTTTACTTATGAACCTTGACAATTGACTCGTTCTATCACAGACCTACTTGCAACTACATAGCTTAATGAGTAGAAATAAACGTGAAAAAGTTAGATATATATTTATGTTCATTTTAAACACACATAACTTTGAATTGTTAGTCAGACAAAAAGGAATCTCGGCTTATTTCATTGGATACAGAGTTGAGAAGAGAACTTTTCGGACTGCAGATACATCAAACCAAACACACATTAAAAAGAAATGTCTTATATAAAAGAACAAAAGTAGACTAAAAGAGAAATCAATGATTGATCCCTCTTTCTCTTAGTATCAGAATAGGAGATGAATTCAGTTCATTCTTGACGGTGCAATGTGAGAGACGATGGAGAAAACATATGCGTAGTTGGATTAGCAGCTGCTGCTTTAGCTTCACTCAAAAGTGCTGAACCGAACGGACCAATAGCATTGGTCAGATCTCCTGGTGGTCGATAAGCAGCAGCAGCGGCAGCTAGTAAATGTGGTTGTCGTTGAATCCAACGTTGCAATGTGGCACCAGCAAATAACTCCAGACCCAAGCAGGCTTGTCGTTTCCATTTCGTTCTAAAGACATGCAGACCAAATACAGAGAGAGAAAAATAAATTGATTACTCACCTTCGATTTTGATACCATGTTTTAACTTGTGTATCTGAAAGATGAAGTCGATTAGCTAATTCTAATCGTTCTTGTACACTAAGATATTTTTGTCGTTCAAAACTTTTTTCTAACGCATTCAATTGAGCATCGGTGAACGCCGTTCGTGGTTTACGTTGTTTCTTATTCTTACGAAGATTAATTGCTGCTAAACATGAACTCGATGCACATAAATCACCATCTAAGAAGAGAATAAATTAATACTATTCAACTAAAAGTAAATGATCTTATCGAATTACTCAAAACATTAGCATTCGCACTATTCTTTCACTTACCACTATTATTCCCCACGCTATTGCTATCGTCACTATTGGATGATTCTTCTCCCGTTGCTTCATCGCCGAGCACATCGACGATTTGTGAATGCTTCGATTCGTCATTATCATCGTCGTCATCATCCGCCTCTTCTTCGTGCGCATACGATCGAAACTTTTTATTGGAGATATTTTCTTCGGTACTCTCGTCTTCTTCTTCCCGATTGTCATCTTCCGATGTAACCGATTGTTTACGTTTACGATCATGATTATCTTTGGAACAATTGTTCGATTTTGTCATTGGCATGACCATATGTAGAATATCATCGACAAAAAACGTACGTCGTTGTTTAACCATTGTCATTTTCGTCGTTTTTTGTTTTCTTCCTATCAAAAACGAGTCGGTCAATCAAGAGCAATAAATTTGCGAGAATAGCGAATGCAATGCAATAATTTCTTTCGCTCTCTCTGTCTCTCGCACTTCTATTGTTATTCTTTTTTCTCTTTCGCTCTGCCCCTCTTTTTTTTATATTCTATCCGATGACAAGTAAGATGTCTTTCATTTGCAGCGACATATCAGAGAAACAACGACGAAAGAGAGCAGATAATTGACATTTTACACACATTCTCTTTCGCCTTTTCTCCTTCAACAAACGCGTCGAGAAATTCGATTGGTGTAAAAATCTCTCACCCACTGATTGGCAGTTTAAAAAAAAAAGAAATCGTGCAACTTTTTCTTTTTGATTAAGAAGGAAAAATTCTCTGTCATTGGTCATGTAACAAATTTGTACATGTCTAGTTTATTTCAAAATCGAGATAGATTGATCGATCAGTTAATCAATACTTGTGCTTCTTCTTTCATTCTCTTCATTACATATGTTTATGATATGCAAATCACAAAAATCAACGTTGTATCTTTCTCAGTTCGTTTTTTTTTGTTCTTGTTCGAGTTCAAATGAAAATCATTTTCTCATCATCACATCCTTTGTACACGAGAGAGTGTCAATAGCGATCGGATTGACACTTTGAAGGTGGTAGTTATTCGATTAATAATAATAATCGATCGAATAGATCGTGCTCTCACAAATGCTCCATGGATGATGATTAGAAGCAGATAGACATACATTACATTTCATTTTTCTCTTTGATTATCCTCATAAACATATTGGCATTGATCATCAAGCAGGTGAATTCAATCAAGGACATAAGTCACCTGTATATTCTCCTTTATTTTGTTCATTCTTTTAATGTTTATTGATTGTNGAACTAGACAGACAGATAGCGTGCCATCTTAAAATTCATCACTGATGATAGTGATAGACGTGCGCGATATTCACTACACACCAAAGGAGAAAACAAAACTGTCTTGTTTTAAACAGATTAGTTACTCATCTCATATGTGCAACAGATCCATTACAAATGAGCGGGTCGCGTGTCCTTGTTATCATAAATTTTGCTCTTTTTTGAGCATCATCACATCGCCTCCAGGGTTTTATCTATTTGTTTGAAGTCAAGCAACACTAACAGATGGACAGGCGTTGACATACATATATTTCGATTCTAACTTGTTTGCTATTATTCTAATAGTTCGAGCATGGGCTAATTTGACAGTAATTAACAAGACATGAACGAAATAAGATTCAAATCCATTCTCAATCGACGATGAAACCTGTCTGATGTCGAATGATTTGAATATACTACTTGAAACAATGATGAGAGAAGAAACTTTTCATTTAATCTTTTCTTTTGCTGGGTGTGCTTGTCTTTGGAATATAATCTGTCGTTTGAACGAATCTTATCGGCACGGTTCAGCAAATCTATCCACTCGCATCATCATTTTCTTCACTTGAAATCTTCTACCAATCCGTTCGCCTCTTTGTCTCACTCGAGATGACTCTAATCTTAATCAGTTTATTTTGTATATATGTTTCGCTTTCCGCTTCGTCTTCTTTTCACTCGTTATTCTTCTTCAATAACTACTACTAGTAGGCTCTATCTAATAGAGTCAATTGAACGACGACGACGACGACGAACATCAATCATGGTGCGTGCAAAGCAGAAAAGAAAATCGAACACATTTGTAAGAATAAGAGAAACATCGAAAGCAAGAGAGAGTGAGGAAGAAAAGTTGATGATGATGAAATAAGTTGAAAAAAGGAAGAGAATATATATATTTGATCGATGTTAAAGAAAACAATTTGCGATCGAAACAAACTCTCAAGAGAGATGATCGGCAATAAGAAAAGAGAGAAATAGACAAGGTAGCGAGTCATTCACTTTTTTCCCCTTTTTGCCGCTTTCAACCAATAGGCAGAGAGATTATAGAGAGAGGAGAGGAAAGAGAGACAGAGAGGAAGGGAAAGGGAAAGAAAGAAAAACTACTCAATGTACATTTAAATTTTTCCAATTACATTTCTTGTCACGCCCGATTACAGAAAGTCGAATGGCTTCTACAACGAGTCTCTTTTTTATGCCACCAACAATGATTCGACCAGCTACTATGTCAACAACGTTGAAAGCAAAACGACGTTGTTGTAATTCGTTTTTCATAACTGATATCCTCGGTAACTGTAGTCGTTCAACGTCACCAACATCTGCCAATGCAAATCGCACCAATCTCCGAACGAGCGCGGTTAAAAATAGTGAAAGTGGCGATGACGACGATCCTATGCTACACGACAGCGGTGATGATGATGGTAAGAAAACTAATTTGTCTGGGAAATTTTTAATAACGTATCATGATCTATATGATGATGAATGAATGAAACTCTAAATGTTCTTTTCGTGCTTAATATATCGTCCTTCGTCTTAGTGTTTATAAATAATATATTAGCTCGATGATTAGTTTTCTTCAGAAAACCATTTGATTAGGTACATTTATGATTGAAAATGAACGATTTGTATTTTTCTATAGATTCAGATCTTGGAGATGAAACAAGTACATCGGATAGTGGTGGTGGCGTGGCAAATGGCAATTGTCATGGGTTGAATGGTAGTACATTGAAGACGAATAAGAAGCCACGCAAAGCACGTACGGCATTCACTGATCAACAATTAAATTGTTTAGAAAAGAGTTTCGAACGACAGAAATATTTAAGTGTACAAGATCGAATGGAACTTGCTGCTCGATTGAATCTTTCCGATACACAAGTCAAGACATGGTATCAAAATCGAAGGTTGGTTTAAAATTTTATTTGAGAAAAAGAGCAACTATTCGTATAATTCATTCATTTTAGAACTAAATGGAAACGACAAGCAGCTGTAAGTTTAGAGTTTTTCGAACAACAAGGAAGCATCGCCGCCGTTCATCGATTACTTCAACATCATCATGCTACCAACGGTGTTAGCAATCCACACTATCCACTATGGTATTCACCTTATTTAACATCGAATGCGAACGATCCGCTATTCGCTCTTCAACAACGTTTATCTCGAGACACGAATAAATCATCGTCCGAATCCTCCTCATCGGCGATTATCAGCCCGAACAAATCTGTATAAATATGCCTTTTTTTTCATTTTTTTTGCTTGTCTTTTTATTCTTCTATTCTCGTACACATACACTCATATATACATATACACAATACAGTCAATTGAAAGAAATGCAAATAAGTGCGATGATTGTTTTGTTTCAATCGATCCTTGCCGATGACGAGAAGTCATAGGAAGTCAACAGCTTTTCTTCATCTTCTACGGAGTAATTGCATGAAAATAGCAGAAAGGAATGAAGTGATTGCTAATTCAATTTCGTTCAACAAATATACACCTGTAAACAGACAATGCAATGCTATGATTTGGTTTAATTAATTCTCTTCTTTTTCGAGTATCTGAAAATAGGTTGAGGAGAAATAAACAAAAGAATAATCGATACAATGCTACTCTTGTTTTATGTAATACATAAGATGACTACGATGATCGGTAATTTATTGACTTTTTAAATATAATAAATTACAAATATACGAAACAAAAAGAAACAATGGATGAGTGAATGGTGATCATTGCAGTTGAACAACTGCAAATTTATTTGTTAGATCTTGTTTGATAGAGTTGCTTTGATTGTCTCTATGAAAGAATATTAGACATCCTTCACCATGATGTCAAATTACAATAACAATCTGCACTAGCGACAACTATTTTCATATCAAAATTCTCTTTTGAACACAATCAGAGATTACTTTTTAGCACAGGAAAGAGAGAACAAAATAAACTCCAACTAAATGATACTTTGTCTTCTGAATGTCTACCTACTGCTTAAAAGTAACTTCTAATATTGAATATGAAGTTTGACGATGTACTTCGGTTAATTTTCACATAATAAAACAATAATCTGATTTTGATACAGAGGCATTGAGTGAAAGAGAAAAGTATCATTCTGAACAGGTTGATCTTCAGCTTAAAAAGATTTTAATCGATGGTTCTAAGAGTAGATTACTCTCGATATATAAAAATCTTGGTTCTATCTCAAGATATTTATCCGGTAGCTGTCAAGGTCGCACTGTGTCATGAGTCAACATCGAACTTTTAACTTAACTATTAATGGCATAACGTTTATAGAAATAGCCACGTAATGCCATTTCTGAGGAATAGTATCTTTTGTTAATATACAATATAAAGCTTTCCACTATGAAAATAATTCTCTTGTGTATACAGTCTCTCCGTACCATCAATGAAAATGTAAATCGTTTTCTTTATCTTTGGGTGAAAATATCAGGCCAACTTACTCTTCTCTACGGAATAACTATATCCCATATCAGTTATAATACGTAATAGTTAATGTTGTTCGAAGATAGACATTCCTGTACAACTTACATCATCTCTTGATTATGGATTATAAACACACAAATACATTTTATTCGGAGTATCAAATGTTAAATGATTTCTCTTATAAAAGAAAGACAAAGTTGAGTTTGTAGATTGTTCATGTTTTAACTTCACGTTTCACTGGTCTTTGCTTATTAAAATCTGCTTTATGCACTTGCATACGCTCTTTCAAATGAATGGCATGGTTTGCTAAATCCGCTTTATTTTTTCCAGCTTTGAAAGCTTGTTCGATCTTATTGTTATCACTTGAGTCATAAGGCTTCCAATCAGGCACAGCATTCTTATCGAATGGATTTGAACATGCGTTCCAATACCATTGACCGTCTTCGTCTGCCATTGAGTTTTGCTAAAGAAAAAACTGCAACAGTTTCTTTTTTATAAGAAAGTGTGCTTTTTCTATGACCACTTACTTTCTTTCTTCCTTTTTACGTTTAAGACTGTGCGTATTCCTTTAATCGTAAAAGTTGCCAACGCAAAAGAAAAATATACTTATATAAAGCAAAACATGATGTCATTTTATTCTTCCAACAAACGATAAGAGGTTGTAGAGAGAAAAATAAAATTTCATCTCACTCCAGCAACGAGAAGAATGTTATTTTCGCTGAAAATCATGCACGAATTTGACGTCCTTTTTTTTCTTCTTTGCTCTTCCGAGCAAATTTGTCTTGATCATTGTTTATATGTATGTGTGTCTACAAGTCTAATGCATCGAACTGAACCATAAATAAATAAAAACAGCAGTATTACAATGAGGAAAGAAAAGACGAGACGGATATGATTTGTACAATTCCTTCCATAACATAGAAGATGATGTGAGAAAGTGATCGTTACATAAACATTGCAAGATTTATCGATATGATATACTGAAATCGAATAATTAGATTAATGAACGACAGAATAGATATTGTCTGCATATTCAGTGATCCGTTTTATGAAATGTCTTTCACGATGGACTTCGTCATCATTATAGTGCTGTGTAATTGAAAGATATAAACTGACATATCTCTGTCGTTTTCTTTTTTATAAGATTATTCTGTAAACAGTCCAATGGTCATTTTCTTTTCTCGATCTGCATGTGTCTCAGGCCATCAATTATCTCTTCGACCAGATGGAATCAACTTTTGTTCAGTCTCATTGCTCAATCGAACGATATTATCGTCTATAGTTCTCGCACATATTCATGATTAATCTTCTCGTTCTTTTTCTCTGCAGAGAAACTGATGCTTTTTCCTTTCACTTATCTGATTTGATAGAAGAGAAAAGACGCGCACAACGAACTTCTTCGTTCATTATCTGACTTGTACCATTTTCTCTTCTTATGACAGACACAACACTTTGACGGCATTAAGAAAATAATCTCGAACAACGTCTGCACACATTACAAATCGATAACATGAGCAAATCGTGTCCTGGATTTCTCGATCGACATGGAATATGGAATAACGGTATGATTTACAAATTTTTATTCTTGTTTTTGTTCGAGCTTCACTTGATAAAATTGTCCATGATTTCAAAGCTTCTCTCAGATGATTATTTCTCACTTACACTATTGAACAAATATCACTAGTCGACCAACTGTTCGCATCGTTGTCTTAGATGTTAAAGATTAGGAATGTGTGTTACCTAAGATGATTAATGAACACGAATTCACATACCAGAAGGGATACTTTTCAATCGTCTAATCTATGATTGATGAACTTCGATTTGTCAAAATAAAAGAAATTCAAATGTTTATCTTTCAATAGGTTTTGATTGTTCATCATCACGTGTCTGTTGTGGAACAGAAACGAATCGTTATTGTTGCATCCCATCATCGAAAATATCTTTATTCTTCTCGTCAACAACATCTCTAACTCCCGACCAATCTTCTGAAGATCTCGATTCTTATACTCTTCACACATCGGATAGTTTACTTACAGAAAAATGGTTCTTTATTCGCATGTGTACAGCTGGAATATTCTTCGCGAGTGTTCTACTTGCTTGCATTATTATTTATCTATGTATAACATCCATGCGTCATTGCAAACGTCAAAAACGGATGTCTTTGACTCAACTCCCACCATCGATTTTAACTGAACCGAAACGTTCACTATCGAACCGCATTTCAACAATTAGTCACGCGTCGATTGATGGTAAATCTACTTATACAGATACTTCAATCGTCTTACAAACTCCTCTCAACATATATCCAACGAATCATAGTCGTAATTCAACTGCATCATCATCATTATCGTCGTATTACATGTATCCAAATGAATTAGAATATCTCTGTAAATAAACGTCAGACAATCTTTCTTTCTTTTACTCAATACTTCTTGTATAATCGATTAGTTTAGTGTATCCCATATCTTTATATTATACGGATGATATCAACGTTTTCAAATAAAAAAAAACATACATATCACATAAAAAATTAGGACTAAGATATAGTACATGATCCTTTATCATCATCATCGTTTGGTGATCCCCTTTGCTTATTCTTCGATTTCTTCGGTTGTTTGGAAGGTGATCGAGGTAATTGAGCAGAATTTCCATGAGATTGCTGTTGTTGTTGTTGTTGTTGTTGCGTTTGATGATATAAACGTTCTTCTTCATTATGAAGAGCTAAGGCTAGATCACGGCTAAATCAGCAAAAGAAACATTTAAAAAAGAGAAGATGATGAAGAATTAATACGAACTCTCGTGAGGAATCGACTGGCTCTGGTTTTCGCCATATTCGACCATAACCATCTGTAAATAAACTATCGTTATCAACATCCGTCAACGTTTCAAAGACAATCGATCGATGATCTAAGTATCCTTGATCGGAAACAAGTACCAACAGTTGATTCTATTAAAATAGCACCGAATGAGAAGCAGCATTTTGAAAAATTCTCAAAGAGCTTACTTGGTTCTTCCATATTGTACTAAAATGATTATTACGAAAGAAAACTGCCAATTGATTATCACGCATTGTTTGATTTAGTTGAAGAATACCATAATGTGTTAGTTGAGAACGATTTTCATCAAGAAATTGTTCAATTAATAAACCTAAATGATGAACAAATCGAATACTTGTCAACTTGCAATTCTCCTACGCACTTTCTCGAACTAATTCCTCTCGTTCGGACGTTCGTTCTCGAATCATTTTTTCTACTAATTGATTATAACTTGGCGCATCGGAATTAACAATCGTACGCAATTCAGTATCTTGTGGATCGATGACCCATCCGTGAAATAGCTGAATATTGAGTAGATCGAATATAATACATTCCGGTGTGTATTCAAATTTATCTACACTAGAAGAGAATGACAAAGATGAAAATCTATTCCAATGGAGAATAAAGAAGCTATTACCCATCGAATTTCAAATTCACGTCTAAACCTGTTTTTAATTTATCGAGTACGACTAATGCATCTTGAACGTTGTGTTCGTAATTGATTTGATCTTCTTCGGATAAATTCTTTGAAAGAAAAGAATGAAGCAAATTGGTATTCATTCGTCTTACCGGCTGTTTATGCTCGAGAATATGTTCAGCTAATAATGTGATCACTCGTTCTGTTGTTATTGCATCCATATTTGGTTTGATGACGATCTAGACAAAATATGTGTCATTTTCAGTTTGATGTACGAAAACATTTGTTTATACTCGTTTTCTTAACAGAAGAATGTTGAAAATGGCAAGGAGAGGACAAGGACCATTTAAGTTTTGTAATAAAATAGGCAATCGTTCGAAATTGAACTCGATCCACTTAATCAAATGAAAATCTTTTTCTTTAGATTCATTTGAATTTGTCTGAGGTATTGCTGTTGCTGTTGCTGTTGCTACCGTCGCTATTGGTGGTGACTCGTTGTCTGATGTAGATGGTGTTTTATCTTCATTTGGTTGCACAGGTTGAGATGCTGACTCTACTTCTTCATTAGACGACGGCGTAATAACCACATTTTCTGTCAATGAATTACCTAGATCATCAACTACTGCTGCTGTCGATGGTTCTGGGTTGGACATGACTGTAAACTTGATTGATTCTATTTGTTAATTCAAGGAAATCTTCACATGCACATCATATAAAAAAGAAACAAAATGGTTTCTAGATTGTCAGAACACGAACGCGGTCAGTCATACCTTACGTCAGTCAAGTCAATCACGCTCGGATCCAATTTCCATAGTTTATTTGCATTAGTCATAGACGAATATGGAACTATCGATAGATGTCCTACTATGGTGTTCTTCAGGAGATAAGATTTTATGCGCAACAAACGAGTGACCATTGTTTATTCATGATAATCTATACTTTCTGCAACGCAGTATGGATATCAGGATCTTTGATTGAGATTAAATTCGAAAGATTTCTACCGATGCACTCTTTGATATGATGTAAATTGAAGAGATTTGTGTTAAGAGCAATTACCTGTGCAATACTTGTTAGCAAATAGAAATAAATCTATCAAGGTATTTTGCTGTTATCAACTAGTTGAGAAAGAGAGGTTTGTGCGGTGCTTTTGTATGAAATGATAAATCAATTTCGATAGTCATCTTGTCGAACGTTCTTCCGAAATCAACGCATGTCATATGACGAACTGCGAATGACAAATCTTGATGATTTATTTGTAAAAGAAATAAAGTTTATCATCATTTCTTCGCAGTATATCTTTGAAGTATTTATTTATCCCTAGCTATTCCAATCGTTGCTTATCGTCATAAAAGATTTGTATGTAATCATTGAAAAGCCTATAAAACAGATTGCAAGCGTTTTAAGCGTTGAATTTTCTTTCGAACAGTTGAAAACATGTTACGAATTCGTTTTTCTTCTAGTTCATGCACTTCTTCAAGAAGAAACAAGTTTCCACTGTGCCGACAGTGGTCGTCACTGACACAATACAACAAGAACTTGCTTCGCGTCCTGTTTCTGCACAGAGTAAAGTATTAGTTGAAACAACCGTTGTTCCGGTGAAGAGAAGTTTCTGTCAACAATGTTGTTCGAAAGAAAATCTGAAAGAACAAGCTTTGTTAATCGCAACGGTCACTGCTGTCGTACTTGGTATCGTTGTTGGTATTTCGCTGCGAGGTTTGAAATGTCCCGGAGGTAAAAATGATGTTCATCTCGTTTCTGATTTCCATCTTTTTGTTTTATGAATTGTAGACGAACGAGTGAATGGTTGTCGAATCACTAAAGAAGATATTTCCTATATCGAATTTCCTGGCAAAATCTTTATTGATATTCTTAAGATGCTTATCCTACCGCTGATCGTGTCCAGTATTATCTCAGCTTTAGCTCAACTTGATGCACAATCATCGGGGAAAATGGGCGCTCGTGCTTTAGTATATTACCTGGGAACAACATTGATTGCTTCTATAATTGGTATTATTCTTGTATTGAGCATTCGACCGGGAACACGTGGAGCAACAGTGGACATCAAACCTGATGCAAAATCAACTGAAGGACGAACTATTGATACTGTTTTGGATTTGTTTAGGTAGGATAAGGATGAAATTTTGATCTTTTTGAGCATAAGTTCTTTAGAAATCTTTTCCCGGATAATATCATGGAAGCGACATTTCGTTCAGTAAGTGTCTTTTATACTTAAGATTAATACAAATCTGATATTAATATTAGTATGCAACAAGTTTGACAAAGAACGTTACTTCAGTTGTCTTACCTGATGGAACAAGTAATTGAACTGTTACGTTTTATTTTTTGTCAATCGATCCTCCTCTTTTTTAGCATACAACAAAACAACTCTCATTCCGAAAGTGGAAAAAAGGGATGGCATTAATGTACTTGGTCTACTTCTCTTCTGTATCATATTTGGTATCATTATTAGCCGTCTGAAAAAGAAAACACTCATATTGAAACAATTCTTTGAAGCACTACTCGAAGTTGTTATGCAACTTGTACGTATTGCAATGTTGTATGGTCCCATCGGTATCTTCTTTCTTATTGCCGCCAAAATGCTCGAAATGGATAACCTTGCTGATTTCGTCGGTTCATTGGGTCTCTATATGGTGACCGTCTTAGCTGGTTTATTTATACACGGTCTCATCATATTGCCACTTCTATTGTTCATCATAACACGAATAAATAGTTTCAAATACATACGTGGTATGAGTCAAGCATTAGTTACTGCTTTTGGAACAGCTAGTTCATCAGCAACCTTGCCAGTGACTTATCAATGTGTTGAACTGAAAAATCATATTGATCCGCGTGTTTCGCGATTTGTCTTACCACTCGGCGCAACAGTCAACATGGACGGAACAGCATTGTATGAAGCAGTAGCAGCTATCTATATTGCACAATTGAAGGGTATTCCATTGAACGCGGTTAAGATCATTGTGACAAGGTATGGCGATATTAAATGGAAATTTTAGAGACAAAAATAATTTTCATTTAGTTTGACATCAACGTTAGCATCGGTTGGTGCGGCCAGTATTCCTCAAGCAGGTCTTGTTACTATGGTTATTGTTCTCAATGCGTTGGGTTTGCCTTCCGATGAAGTTAAAACAATCTATGCAGTTGATTGGCTTCTGTATGTTGATAACTAAATCGTTTTATCTTTGGAACATCTTCTTTCTTTCTTTGTCCGATAGTGATCGATTCCGTACGACTATTAATGTCTTTGGTGATTCCATTGGCTGTGCGATTGTACAACATCTCTCACGTAAAGAACTTGCTGCACTTGACGAAAAGAATGCGGCTGAAGAAAATAATAAATCCGATGCTGTTCTTCCTGCCTTCGTTGCTGATACTACTACTACTACCGAACAAACAACTAGTTTAATGTTGGTGTGAACATACATAGGTCCATCTGTAAAAACTTTTGAATTGCTTTACAATGCAGAATGTGCATCGTCTCTTTTCTTTTCTTTTTGTAATACACTTATGTCAATTAAGAGAGAAAAAAAAACACATGGATAATTAAGTTGAGATTTATCGCTAAGAAAAGTATCTCTACGTGATCATTGCTGTTCGGTTCATTTCTGCAAATCATTGATCAATGTGACTCGAGAAGTCTTATTAAGATGCTAATCATCAATGACAGTTCGCGTTCTCTCTCGCTTTCTGCTCTAATGACATGAGAGAACGAACGATCTATTTATCGATACGCAATTCTGACCGTATTTCAGCACAGAAGAAAAATGTCATCAGTCTTGCTCAGCTAGAAAAAGAAATATTAACTAAACAGATGAGATTTCCTCTTTTTTGTTATTTTGTTCATCATCTGTCATTCTTTTGCTTTAGCTTGTCTTAATCATCGAACGAGATTGTGTATATGAAGAAGGTTGATTTATTCATTCATTCTTTTCTTCGTTATCTCTCATCAGCATATGTTTCTTCTCCTTCATGCTAATTGTACTTTTATGACGATATTTCGCACATTGAACAAAAAATGGCAAGAATGACAACAACGGTCGAAGGAATTAGTAAGCCGCCAAGTGCAATTTGTAGCGGATTTATCGATGTTCATGGTGTGTGGAATAATGGTAAAAGAACGCATTCAATCGATCGTCTTATTCTACTTTACTTCTAGGTTTCGAATGTCCGATTCAGCAACTTGTTCAGTATTTCTGCTGCGGCTCAGATAATTATCACTATTGTTGTACACCAGAACGTTTCTTATCGGATATCAGTTCTTATAATGATCAGATTCTTATCTCTGGCCAATATCAACCATCCGATTACAATGCTTTTAATCAAACAAGGGCACCATCGTTAGTTGACCATTCAAAAATTGTCAATAAACAATTTGAACAATTTCAAAAAATATTTCTACCAATTTTTCTTCTCACATCAAGTGTTCTGTTTCTTATCGGACTCGCTATATGGTTTTGGTTATACAAGCACAAAGCATTCTATGCCACTGAACGAGATTATGATAGTGAGTCAAATACCGTTAGAAGAAAAACATCGCAATCAATACGAAATGAAGTGGACGTCAACAGACAAGATGATTCTCCTGCATCGATCGAACAATCTCGACGGACATCATATCCAACAACGGAAGTTTGATTATGATTACATATCAACTGACAAATCGGATTAGTGCTATATAAATACGAGTAATTAACTGTCAACGTCGAGTATTCCATTATGATCAATTCTTTTTATGATATACCGTCCATTGTCTTGCACTTTTCGTATAGATTATCGAAAGAAAAAGAGACGCTTTTTACATGTGTGCCAATGAAATGTGTTCGATTTATTAATTGTAAAGTTGTATTTGAAAGAATGATAATAGGAGAACGAACAATTCATTTGATTGGAGTAATTTTCAACATCATCACGGCATGCGAATTAATGTTTGGTGATGTGTAATTTTGTGTGAATGATCCGATATCTTTTCGCGCCCATAGATCTCGAACAGATGCAGATTGTTCACGAGAGAAACCAATATCTGTCCATTGAACAGTAATCGGTTCACTGCCACTATCACCCCGATTTAATAGTACAACTGCTTGTGAACCGTCAAAAAGAGAACCAGCCCATACTTCAAGCTCTTGTTGAACAATTAAACATTCACCATTATGTTTACTTCTGACGGTTTTGTCTGATGTATTCCATATCCACATTTGATTGTCTTGTTTATTGCATGTAAATGCTTCGACAGATGGACCATCAAAATTGTAAACATCGAGACTAGTTGAATAAAAAAAGTTCTCTTGTTAATAACGTGATCTAGAAACGAAAGTTCACTTGCCATTTTCCATTCATTTGTGATATAATTGTTTGATCAGTTGCATTTGTCGCCCATTGCTGATTTTTGCCTTGACATTGTGCTTGTGGATCACCAATGCGACATTCGCTCAAAACAACGTAAGCGGCTTCTCGTGTATTGCATCGATCGATTGATAAACATCGTCCATTAAATAACGAACGAATACTGCCATCCTGAGAATTATAAACCCATTGACCACGTTTTGGCTGTTTCATTAATGTTGTTGATGAACAACTATCAACAATGACTTCACTTGAAGCATTTATGGATGATGAACTTGCCACAGCAACTTTCTTTCCTTGTATACCTAATGGATCTTGATTTACAGAAATTACCTCTGGATTAGTTAATGTAGCTAAAGTAGCAGCGCTCATTTTTGTTACATCACATCCAATAATTAACGGTGCTTTAGCTATACACCAGAGTGAGAAATGAGTGACGTATTCTGCATCAGTCATCCCACCGTTGCCAACTTCAAGCACTAAATAAATTTCGAATTCAAACAATATAAAGATCAGTAAATAGGAACGTACTATCCGGATCATTCCATCCGCCAGGTCCCGCACGTTCAGTACATTCGTTATTCTTAAGGGAAAAAAAGTAATATATTAAGAGATGCCATGAAGAAGCATACAAAATTGATATTTCTAATCATTGAATTCCAATTATCTTGAATATCGTCAGTTGTTCGCCAACTATTGCCCACACTCGGTGGCCAAAGATCACGCAGACTTACACCGCCTTCAAACAAAGAAAAACTAAGCTATCATTGCCTATTGCAAGGTATTCATAAAGGATAGGTTCATACCACACAAAGAAAAGAAAATCGGTCGTCCGGTAGCGTTTAGTGCATCTCGCATGATCGAATAAGATATTTCAGGAGCCGTTCCATTCAAGTAACAACTATCTAATTTCAAATAATCCACACCCCAGCTAGCATATGTATTCGCATCTTTGGTTTCGTAACCCAGCGAGCCAGGTCGACCAGCACAAGTTTTATAACCTCGATCTAACGAGCAGACTATACAACTAGAGTTACGTTAAAATGTATCTACCAGAATAAAGACCGAATTTAAGTTTTCTTGAGTGAACATAATCAACAAGTGCTGGAATGCCACTTGGAAACGTCTTTGGATCAGATTGAATAGTACCTTGAGCATCGCGACTCATTTGCCAACAATCATCCAAATTAACTATGTACAATGATCACTAAAAGAAATTTTTCTGACAAAACAGTCATACCATATTGATATCCAGCTGCGGCAAGACCTGTTTGTACAAGAGCATCAGCCGTTTGCCGAGCAACCGTTTCATTAACACTGCAATGAAAATGATTCCAACTATTCCATCCTGGGGAAAATAACAAATATTTAAGTTTATTTCAAATCTCATTCAAATTGAGGGTTTGAAAAGAGAATTTTCTACTCTATTATTTACCCATTTGAGGTGTGCGTCCCAGTCCATTGTTTAATTGATGCGAATATTCAATTAAGAGTAACAAATATACACACGAAATTATATTCATTTCTTAATATGATTGCAAAAGATGTTTTAGCAAAACAATTTGCTAAGTAAGGAGCACAAATTCTTTTAATTTTTAACTTTAAACATTGTGATAAGAGATATTTCATATCTTATCTAGGCTATTTCTAGAATCTAGCGTAGACCAAATCAGATTTAGTGTTTAACTTTTCTAACGAAAATCTTGTAAGCAAATTACGTACAATGATGATGAATCACAACAACAATCATATGTTTTAATGTATGAATATGAATTAATAATGAATATTCATGTTAATGTTCGTGTATACCGATGCAATGATGCGTGCAATAACAAATAACGATATATAAAAATAAAAGCCAAATCCGTATATTCGAATTGTCGTTTATACGAGGAGTACACTTTCCTATTTTCAATATGGCACATTCGTCGGATGCTCATCGCCTTAAAGGTCTCTTATCAGTTACTGTATTACAAGTTCATGATTTAAAAAAGGCAGATTGGTTTGGCAAAAACGATTGTTATGTGGTTATTTCGCTAGAACCTCTTTCCAACGAGCCCGTAAGCAAAGAAATACTCACTGAAACTTGTCAAAAGACACAAATTCACGATGGTTCGCATCCTATCTTCAATGAAAAGTTCGTCTTTCCTGTCGCACATCGAATTGAAGCGTTATACATTCAAGTATGGGATTCGGACAATCGTAAAGATGATCTCATAGCTCAGGGTACTGTAAATCTCGTCGATGATGAACAAGGTGGTCAATTAGATACAAATTTGAATAAACAGTGGCTTCATATTGTGAGCGTTGACTTGTTCGATGAAAAAGAACGAGCAGGTGGTTCTGTTGAACTAGTACTTCATTTCATCCCTGAATCAGTCGCTGATTACATGGGCAAGAAATTCGATGCTACTCAAGCTGAAATCAAAAAGAAGTTAACACAAAAGATTGTCGGAAAAGTTACCAATGTTGCTTCTGACAAAATCCGTGCTTATGTTGGACTTACCTAAACTGAGATATTAATCTTTTTTCTTTAAACACAATGTTTAGTTTTCCCCCCTAAAATAAATGTACATCTTAAAACACAATGAGTTCAACTTTGAACATGCTTCTCTTTTATTCTGTACAGTAAAAGACTCTGTGCCACAAGATGTCGCTGGATGCCGAATTGTTCTTTCATGAATAATTCTGAATTGTCCATTTTTTATTTTTACAACTTCCATCCATGTATGTTGATCATTGCCGATTTTTTTTCTTCGCACATCACCTTTAACCTTTTTCATATATCTCGTGCATCGGCGTGATCATTCAATAAAAAAATATTTCGTATCAGCTTACTTAGAACAATTTTTTACGCATTAAGTCGATTTCCTTTGATTCAATTAGAGATAAAATGACGGAGGATATAACAACAATTGAAATGCAAGATCGATTACTCGAACGTCCTTTAATTGAAACTACCTATGCAACTGCCAAAGTAAATCATGTCTTTTTTTTATGACTAATTTTTAAATAAATTCATCTGTTTCATAGACTATTCCTGTCTCAACACGATATGGATATGTTTTAGTAACACAACAAGGCCCCCCTGATCGTACAGTGATCGTCACGTATCATGATGTTGGATACAATGGTATGTGTAATTCTTTTTTATGCATATATCAGAAAGATATTGATGATTTATTTGATGTAGGTGCAACGCAATTTCATCATTTTTTTACCTCTTCGGAAATGGCTGCAATTACCGAACATTTTACGATATATCATATCAACGCACCAGGTCAAGAAGATCGTGCTAATCCATTACCAGCAACGTAAGAAATACTTGTTTACATATAGCTCTCACATGATAGATGTTTCTCAACGTCCAGATCTGTCTATCCATCCATGGAAGAATTAGCTGAAACTGTCAACGATGTTTTCAATCATTTAGGGTATGTATGATACGGCTGCTTTATTCTGTGAAAAATTATTAGAAGTAATGTATGTATATTTTCAGAATAAGCTCAGCCATTGGATTTGGTGTTGGCGTAGGTGCCAATATTCTAACTCGTTTTGCTGTTCGTATCTCATTTATCGATGTAAACCAATTCTACGTCATTGATTTCTAGCTAAAATATTCCTCGAAAATCTATGGTCTAATTTTGATTAATTGTGTTTCACGTGGAATCGGATGGTTCGAAGGTTTTACTCTGAAAGTAAGTTCTCTTTTGTTTTTACAAACAACTCTTTTCATCTAATTCTAATTCCTATTAGTGGCCAACGAAGGATATGCCGCAACAAACATGGACTGATGCTGTTTTGACGTATCTCATTTGGTACCATTTAGGATTTGTAAGATAGATTAGTGATCTATTTGAATCGTATTGATAAGGGTATTGCTGTTCAGGAAACGCAAACAGCACATCCGGATTTGGTCCAAGCACTTCGACGTCATTTGGAAGAGAATGTCAATGCAAAAAATGTTATTAAACTTCTCAATTCATTCTTAAAGTAAATGATCAATCACAAAAGTAAATATTGGATTTTGAAACGTGCTTTTTGCTTGGTGTTCTAGGCGCACGCCTATCGAGATGGAACGACCAAATGAATCGAATAAAAATGCTGATCCACCAAAATTTCTCAAGTATAAAAAACCGTCTTCTTCCAGGAAGAGTCACATAAACTTTCGTATATAGGTGCACAGTTTTGAATATAACTGGATTTTCTTCACCGCATAAAGATGATGTTGTTGATACAAATGATCGATGTGATCCAACGAAATCATCATATGTGGAATTCGCTGATTGTGGTGGTGCTGTTTTAGAGGAGCAACCAGCGAAAACAGCCGAAGCAGTTCGTCTTTTTCTTCAAGGTCTTGGCCATAGTAAGTCATAATCTTTCATGCTATTTCGCATCCAAATCGAAGTACTCGTTTAGTTTCTCATATGAGTATTCCGAAGTTTTCGGTGGCAAATCGATTAACTGAGCAAGTTTTGGAATCGAAACGTCGTAGCAGTATTGGTCGCCGAGAAAGTGTTCCATTTGATTCGGTCGACTCGGGAATCTATGGTCGAGAAGGCGGAGACGATCGCAATGTTCCAAATGATTATTATGATAGCGAACTTCAACTTCGCGTTGATTCATTCGATGATCGAAATGTCAAATTATAAACGACGAACAGTAGTCTGAACACTCACACTTTTTATCTATCTGCAATAGTGATCTTCATTGTGTAGTCTGTTTTACAAGAGAAAAGAAAATGATTGTTTGCATAATAATTTTCATGTGTATGTATGTACGTGCGTGTTTTTCAACGATCTGTGTATAGAAACTGCAATCAAAAGATGTATTCGTCTTGGAATTAATGCAACAAATTTCCTGTCAATTAGTTTTTAGGTTTTGAAAAAAAAGAAAAGATAATAAATGTATTTGTATCAACATAATCTTCATTCAATTATCATAGTTTCAAGATCAATATCGAATTCGATTGGATCTTATCTGTCCGTGTCGAAAAATTGAATTAAATTTCATTTAGGTTAACAAACTAAGTTAAGAAATCGTTTATGATTGTGTATGTCCTATTGAAGTCCCACCGGTGTCAACGGTTGAAGAGTTAAACTTTGGATGACTTCCGTTGTTTGAATAGCTTCTCCATTGGTTTCTTCAATATATTTGACATCTGATTCTTGAATAATATCAAACGATTCTCGTGGTTGAGTTAAGCGCTCATTGATGCTCTGACATCGTTCTATGTTAACATTATCTGGAAGTGTATCGCATATATTAGGTGAAGCGAGAAGTTCTTCTAGTGTTTGTTTTGAGTCAACGAAAACTTTCTCGAATAAAAATCGAAGAATCCGTTTTTCGTATTCATCGGGTTGAATGACACTAGAAGAAAAACGATCGAGTTTAAAACATTGGTATTGATTCGAATAATCTACCTATATTCTGCACCACGTTTTGGATCGCGAAGATTTTGTAAAGTATGTTGCACACGTTTGAAGTAATCAAATGTTTGTAAACAATCAATCAGAGCTGGATAGAGAAGAACACGATGACCATCATGAGTGAGGCCAGGAATACCTAGAATATGAATATTAGTCATCAATTATCGAGGGAATCCGGAAAGAACTCACCTAATAATGAACTTGCCATTGTATTGCCAGTAAATGTATCTTCTTGTGGACAAGCGATTAAGTGTAAAGGTTTCATAATGAATTTAGTAATAAACTTTTCGTTTGACTCATTGTCCGTTTCGTTTTTTTCTTCCGGATTAGGTGACTCAATGGCTGCTCGATCAATATTGATTGCAGCTAGAAATGAGCTGATGCCTAATTGTGGTCTCAGTTTCACTTTCGATTGTCCATCACCGTTTTCATTGTCACGGTGATAATCATCTAGATGGTGGATACCCAACATTAAACTATAATCTGTAATCATCATTTTTCGTAAATCAAATATATCATTTTCTAATGTTAATCGCAATCGTCGATAGATTTCATGTGGAAGACGGATGCCATATGGATAAAATGATTCAAAATCTAGATCTTTCAATGCTTTCAATCGTTTTAATGGAAGATCGATGCTTGAGAAGCGACCAACACTTGATCCTTTGAGATCATAAACTTCATGAACGTCGAGAACTGATGGTAGATTATTGAGCATCACCACACAATAGATTTCCGATGAAAATATGGAACGAATATTAACTGAATATAGACCAACATATCGTGTCATTAATGAACATGTATGAGAATAGCGTAAATAGAGCCCCGAAAGAGTTTGAAGTAGAAGCTTAGCTTCATGATCACGTAATGTTTTGATGACATAAGCCTAGATTGATAATCAAATCGATTGATTTTACATGAGAGATGTTTCTTACATCGTCTTGTGTTTTGTACATTTGTGACCCGGATCGTCCAGTGTTGGCAAAACTAATAAAATCACCTTGATCGAATGACGTATGAAAATCATTTCGTGATATACCAATGATTGTTCGTAGGTACTCGAAAGCAATCGGTGCGAATGTTGTAATTTCCATTGGTGTGGTTGTTTCACCCGTTTTATTGTCTGGTGGACATAGAACTTGGTATTTATGTGTACGCGTTGAACGGAATTCATTGCCAAGTGTGCAGGACAATCGATCTGTTGTGTTTAATGTCTCTGCGAAGTAAATGATTGATTGTCGAAGTGCTGTACCGATTAATTCAGAGTTATTGGCAAAGAATGTGTTTTGAATGGGAGTTTTAATGTAAGAGAGAATACTGGTCTCCGTAGCATTCCAAGTGTCTAAATTGAGAAGATTTATACTGTCCGTTATCTCGTTCATTTATCTAAAAGTAAGTTCGAAAGATGGGTAAACGAAAGGATTAGTCGAAGGCTTAGTAGTAACAACGAAAAAGAGAAGACGAGACGAGACACGTACGCTACCCTAAAAATACCATCATATCCTATAATGAGAATCGCAATGAATAAAAGAGAAAGATAAATAGTAGACAGAGAAGTCGCTGCTTTGTCGTAATATTACAGATTGGTAATAAAAAGAGCAAATAATAATAATAAGGAGAAATGAAGACGATAAATGATGCTGAGTCAATTATAATAAATCGAAATACTTTTAAAAAAACGTGATTACATAATGTTATTGAGTTTACGACAGAAGATCGAAATGTGATGTACGCGTTTCAGAATATGTCATAGTGAGACGATCGCTTTGTACAAGAAAATTTGATTCTAAAGTATTTCAATGAAAATACCGTTGACTTTCAACTGAAAAGATAAGACGAACAGTTATCAGCTTTGTAGAATAGTCCGTTGTGACTACACTGGCAGAGACTTCTCCTTGCACGACATCTATCACATTTTAGTTCTATTTACTATTCGTTTAGATTAGTATACTTTTTAATATACCGATTAAAAGAGAAATAGAATATTATATGACAAATGAATGAATCATTCAACACTTTGACAGACCAAATACACTGTTCGTTTCATTTGAAGAAAAAACACTCTGCAAGCATCGTGATCGACCCCTAGTTCAACATCATTTTCAGCCTTGTTCTGCTTAGTTTCGTTATGTCTTGTCGCTCGACGTATACACATTTCTCTTGACTCTTATACAGATGCAAAAGTCATGTATACGTATGCTACTTGATTTTTTTTTCATGGAGTATAAATTGATCTTTTCCTTCTACTTCGTTCTTCTGCTCGATTCTGTCGCGAAAAAAGAAGTTGATAAGAACGTCTCGTCTGGATATTGATCCGATTACCTTTCGATGACTGTAAGAGATGAATTTTGTTTTTTTTTCGTCCTAAATCTTTTCCAGTGACAAAAACAATATGCCAATGAATTGTAAAACATTTTTTTAAATAGTTTGTATCAAAAGCAGGCGTACGGCTTCTTTTGATAACGAAAAACACATATGTTACTCGTCTGATTCTATTTCACACGATTCTGAATTTTCGTTATAGATACCAAGCATGTTGGAAGACTTGCCAAGTTACGAATATTACAGTGAGTCATTAGGCATTCAAATTGAATTAGTTTTTTTTGTATATATTCGTATGCAAGAATCATATTCTTTTCTTTTTCTTCGGCAGTTCCATCCGAATGCTATGTATCAGCATATCAAGAGTCATTCTCGAAGACTCCATCGTCGAACATCAGTTCTTCAATTGATATTCTTCTACCTAACGGTCTGGTGATATGTCTCAAACATGATAAATTCAAAACACTAGCAGATGTTCGTCATGAATTACGTAAAAACTACGGAATTTCATGGTCATTTCATTTTCTCTCGATTACACATACATTTACGAATGAAACAGGTGATTTACTCTTAGACGAACAGCAATCATTCGACACACTCGGTCTAGTCTATCCATTCGTTCGCGTGAGTGACAAAGGTGAATTGCCAACTCCATTGTGTAAATGGTTATCATCCGTTGATCAAGTCGATATAGAATCTCTGATACAATTTACTGAACAACTTGTTGAATGGCGTGATACGACTACTCCGCAAGAAATTCTCCACGCTCCTCCGTCAATCTCGCATACAATCCTGTCAAATATCGATTCATTTCTTGTTTACATCGAACGACCAAAGAAGTCGTATCCGTGTGTGCCAAGTACAACTTGTCTGCAATTGATTGAAAATATTCTTGTCGATCAGAATAAATCATCGTTAATTTATTCAAATGCATCGACTCTGCCAGTGCTGAAATTTTCTCATCGAAATGAATTCTTACTATTCACCGAGCCGTATCCCTTACTCCAATACAGTTACATTCAAGAATGCTTACAGAAAAATGTTCAAATCAATTTAGAATTAATCTACATTCAGCTACCGAAGAAAAGCAAAAAAATCGGACAAAAACATTCGTGTCATGAACCAGCTATTTTCCGTTCATTGGATCATCCATCAACGCTTGCAAATTCTAACAAAGAAAACCATTCTCGTGATCAATTACTGCCTCACCAATCTCCATCAACATTATTCAAATTCACTTTTCGACTCCGGCCCTCTGCCAACGCTAAACAAACCATATTTCAATTACATTCAGGAATCTACTATTCCCGCCGATGTTTATTCTCGTTTGATCCAATCAGTTGGAATAACACCTACACAGAAGAAATTACCAAAGCAACAACATTACCAATTGCTAATCTTCTTCCAGGAACACTACTTTGTTTGGCATTGACAAGTAAACAGTCAGAAATCTTCTTTCTAAATGTGAGTTTATTTCGTTCGAACGGATTTCTGTTGAATGGTTTACACGAATTCACATTTAATTCAATTAAATTACAACAAAATATAGCGAATAACAAACATGTCTATCCGGATGCTTTTATTGGCTCATCGAATAATGAATCGACAACGGACAATTATGAAATCAAGCTAAAATTCGACTTCGAATCGTATCGATTCTATTCGAATGAAGAACTCGGCGAGAAATTACTTAAGATCAATATACCAACACCCACTGTTGTCACAACTGCCAAACAGCAACAACATCATCAAGAGTCCTGTGATGATGTTGCTAACGGAGAAGCATTAAATTACTTATTAGGCGTTCTCAACGATGAAGTAAGGAAAGAATTACTTACGAAATTCAGTATTGAAATGTTCAGTTTTAGACTCAATATATGGTTCGAGAACCATCTTGGCTCTCTGATTGTTCATTAGCTCCAATCGATGCATTGCCTTGTGTTCTTCACTCTCTTCTGGGAGAAATTCATCGTGCCATACTTTCTAATAACACCAGTTCAACAATAATCTATGAAAAACTCTTTTCAATCTATAAGATAATTAATTCCTGGCCGCCTGTATCATTCGAAATGTGCTTTTTTCTTTTGGATGGTACTTTATCGGACGCACATATACGTTCATATGCAGTTTCACAATTGGAACACCTGCCGAATCATTTATTTCTTTTCTACATGCCACAAATTCTCCAAGCAGCTTTACAATTTGAACATTTCATCGATACGCCACTAATTCGCTTAATTCTTAAACGCTCTCTCTGTCATCGTGCTATTGGACAACGATTATTCTGGACATTGAAAGACATCAAAACACGTAATGGTCGCGTAATGTTCGAAGTCTATAAAACCTACTGTGGTTTAACAATCGCCAACGATTTACAAACACAAGTGACAATAACATTGAAGCTAAATACAATTAACCAACGAATACGTTCGACAAATGTTAAAGATGCAAATGGGATGCGACAAGAACTACTGAAACGTTTAGATGAACTGGACAAGAATGCTTGGCGGTGTGTTTCGCCATTAGATCCGGGATGTTTTCTTGGAACGTTATTAATCGATGAATGTCAAGTGTATGATTCATTTATGCGACCATTTAAATTAGTTTGGGAGAATGCGTTGAATCCGAAATATGAGCGTTTTGAACTGATTTATAAGATTGGTGATGATCTACGACAAGATGTTTTAACTTTACAAATTTTTCGCTTATTCGATTCGATTTGGAAGAAAAATAGTCTCGATCAAGTCAACGAGGATGTTTCGCAATTACAAAATCTTCATATGACATTCTATGATGTAATGTGCACGAGTGAAACGACAGGTTTCATACGTATTGTGCCGAATGCATATACAATCTTGAATATTTACCATCGATTCAATACAACTACAACGATCAAACGAAACGTCGTTTATGATTGGTTAGCTCAACAGAATAATACATCACAAAAGTTAGTCTTAGCAGAAAATTATTGATTGTTTTCCATTCTGCTGTTTTCTTCAGAACTATTCTAAATAAGATCACACGTCGTGGGACTGGTAGTGCATCGAATGACGGAACAGAGACATCCGTACCGGATAACATATTGAGTAAATTTCGAAAATCATGTGCCGCTTATTGCACGGCTGGTTTTATCATTGGACTTGGTAAAAAGCTTTTGAATAACTTTCGCCAAGACTTTCAATGTTTGATTTCGTCTAGGCGATCGTCATCCATCGAATATTATGTTAACACCTGATGGTCGTTTATTCCATGTTGATTTCGGTCATATTCTAGGCGATTATGTGAAATTTGGAAATATATTTCCTCGTGAAACAACCAGTATTGTCCTTGTCGAACCATTTCTTTATGTTATCAATAATCGCAAATCAAACGATACCACTGAATATCGAGATTTCATTCAAATCTGTTTACAAACATTTCGTCTGCTACGTGAACACGCTACATCAATTTTTGGTCTACTTTACTTGATCATCTATGCGCGTCTACCATTATTGAACAATGTTACACATCTGAATTATCTACGTCAAGCATTATTTTTGACCGGAGAGAAGCCCTACGAAAGCAAAAGTGCTGTTCAAGCGTATAAAAGAAAAATTGAATCAGCACAGAATGACACACGACGATTTTTAGACTGGATTGCCCACGCTTTCGTTCATAAGCCACAACGCTAATTCTTTTTTGTCAGATATATCTTCAAAAAGCAACTTCAATCTTCTTTATTTTAATAAGCTTAATCACATAATAAATACAAGGAATGTTTTGTCTGAAATTTCAAAAAACAAATCTTTATATTCCGAAATTTGATATGCAATGTATTAGTCGAACGCTACAATATTCTTACAAGACACACGAGACGCTTAGTTGATTAATAATCACTGTGTAGACGAGGGCAGAGTTAAAAGATCAAATGTGTTTCTCTAGGAAAAGTATATACATGTTGCTGTTTTTTTAGAAATATGTCATCAGTTCGTGTAGAATCTCATCGCCATTTTCGATCGTACATCCCGGCCATCTAAAAAGAGATGAAATGAATGTATAAACAACAATATGTTCGTTTTAGCTAACCTTGTGTGTAATAATTGAACGAACTCGGGTATGATCGCTTCGTTATCCTCGAAGAAATTGCCATAGATCGATGCCGGATACTGTTCTCGAGTATCAATCGACAATAAACATGGACCCTCTTGATTCTTTAGACCTGTATAAACATGTAATTGAAAATAGTTTTCATAAATCCAATTATTTAATAGATTGATATTAGTTGAAAATAACACTGCATAACGACGGTTCAAACAAATTAACCATACAGGTATTTTCGGTGTTCGTAGCATAGAACCAACTTCTTGTTTGTGCCAAAAGGAATCATCTTCATGTTTTGACCAATACAAAAATCCAATCGAACAACGATCCTTAACACCAATATGCGCTCTTTCCTATGGGAACAGCATATGTGAAATTAGAGATGTTCGATATGTTGTCTAACGTACCATGAGATTGCCATTTATATCGAATTCAATATTTCCGTTGTGGAAGTAGTGTAATGCACGACCTGTCAGAGCTAACATGACCATTTGAATCGATGCTTCATCGCGATCACCGACTAAGCGCGTGTGATCCAGATCTTCGATCAGTCTACATAAGAGCAATCAGTTTTATTTTCAGTTTGGTTTTATCAATGTCTACTTACTTTTTCAATGTGCGCGATAACATAAGACTGTAGAGAAATAGAACGACACCATTTTCTTTCATGAACTAATAGAATAAAAAGAGAATACGGTGAATTTACTCATGAATTCGACACATACGTATGGTAAACATTTGATAACAAATGTTCGAAGTTTTGCTATATCGACGAATTCGAACAAATGTAACTAAAATCCACATCATTTGGTTCCTTGTAATTTATGAGAAAAAAAAACTTCAGACTTCTTACTCGTTCTGTTACTCCATCAGGTACATAATGTGCACCATAATTAGAAAAGCATTCATCGCCAGCGTATGGCATACAAACTGTTGCTCCTCGATGTTCACCTGCTTGCCATAGAATCTAAATTTAGATTGATAGAAATCCGTCCTATTGGGAAAGTCTAGTATATACTTCTGTCAATGCATCAACCAATGCTTCATTACGTGCTTCTACACTGACCGAAATTGATCTATGCAGAGAAAAAGCGCGTGATGAAAAATTTGCTTTTGATTGAATACAAACCGATGTCTATTGGACGACAGGATATTTTTAAGAAGCAAATGGCGAATAACAAAAGCCTGAACGGCCAGAATAAGACCACGGGCACTCGTCTAGCAAGTAAAACAAAACCACATTTGTTGATTGCAGATTGTAGATCTTTTACTCGATCAGCAATCAAACCATAATTGAGTGGATTTGTGTAGTCTCGAAAGGCAAACTTTGCTGAAATCCAAACTTGACTGAACGAATGAATGGTCGAATTGTTCGACAATAAACGAAGAGTCTGAAGAAATCAAAGAAAGATAGATGTGATCATCAATACGATATATCGATTGACTTATACCGAAGCAACGGGTAATGTGATTGGATCACCTTGAGAGTAAAGCTTCAAAGTACGGCTATTGCCGTGCGTTTTGATATATTCATCTAAAAGTTATTATTTCGTATCATGAAATAATCTAAAACAACCCATTTACTATCGAATAATTTTGGTGCTGCAGAATCGATTCGTTTTGGTCTAATAATCGGTTGAGCTAATAATGAATCTACGCGCTACAAAAGTATGGATAGTATATAGAAGAAAGTACTTCAACTCACGTTTTTTAGATCAGCTCGGCTCGCTTCAAAATAGCTCACTAAGTTTAGTAGTTCTTGATCCGTATATTCACCATCGGGTTTAGTGGTTGTAGTCTCCGAAGATGTGGGTGCTGACTCCGGTGGTGGCGGTGGTGGTGGTGTCGGTTGGGAAGGCGGAGGAACAGAAGCAGGGTTTTTGTTGGCACTTGTAGTAGTGATTCGATACATAGTTGAACGGCCATCTTTGCTGGGCACAGCAGTTGTATTTACACCTGGCATTGTCCGTATTTATTTGCAATGAAAAAGATATGAATATCTTCTAAAACAAAGTCAATTCTATCTATTAATAGATCAGAATAGCAGTTGATGAGAGAATTAATTTCGCAGTATTCTTTGTACATCGGGTGCAACACTCACTTCACAAAGAGCCTCTCAAACCTTCTTACATCACCGAACAGAATGCACTTTTCAGCATCAACTTTTTATTTTTCACTCAAAATAGTTGAATTCAATTTCAATTTATACTCGCTTTCATTCCGTTCAACAACGACATGACAATCGCCTTCATTCTCTTTCTCAACACTTATGTACACTAACACACTAATGCACTTACAATCCATAGAATACATACAATGGACATGTCAATTTCTAGACATCGAACGAAAAAGAACAGAGAGTAAGAGTAACGTAAAAAAGGAGGGAAAGTGAATAATGCAAACCGTCGTGTCGGTTCGTTTGAAACAAAAGATGCAACCAGATGGTGCTTCAACGTCATATCTCCTAGTATCATCATCAATGTGCAACATTTGTCTCGTTTTTATTCTAAATAATGGTACTACGTCGACGTGGCTTGCTCAAATACATTCTCCTAATACCAGTCTTATGGTTTATTGCAATTCTTGTATTTTCATTTCAAGTTCAACCGTCACCATCCCCTCGCTTCAAAAAAGATGCAGTCGATCAGAAAGAACAAGCACCATCGTTGATTGATCGAGTAGCAGCACGATCCCTGATCGATCGTATACGAAACGCATTAAAATTCAAGCAAGAACATGTTGATCATGACCATCCAGTTGAAGAACGGTTCAAAGCTCGCGAGCAAGCTAGAAAAATGAATGCACAGATACAAGTTGTTGCACCGGAATTGGAACATGACCATAAACATCTGAACAAGACTGGTCCCGGTGAAATGGGTAATGCTGTACGAATAAAAAAAGAAGACTTATCGCCAGAGGAGCGGAAAAAGTACGATGAAGGGTGGAAAAACAACGCTTTCAATCAATATGTTAGCGACATGATATCATTTCGGCGAAGTTTAGCTGATGTTCGTGATCCCGAGTAAGTAATTCTTATCGAAATGAATAACTATATATGTTTTGCGTATATGTTAGATGTAAAAAGGTTGAATTTCATCCAAATCTTCCCGATACAACTGTAATTATTATTTTTCACAATGAAGCACGTTCAACTTTATTGCGAACAATTTGGTCGGTACTCGATCGTTCACCGCCGAACTTGTTGAAAGAAGTGATAGTTGTGGATGATTTTTCCGATAGAGGTTTGTGTTGTCGGTCAGTTGATTTCAATAAAAGAATAATTTTCAGTTTTGTCTTCTTAGAATACCTACATAAAATGCTGGAAGATGATATCAAACCAATGAAGAAGGTTAAACTACTTCGAACACAAAAGCGTGAAGGACTTATTCGAGCACGATTGAAAGGTGCTTATGCTGCAACTGGTCAAGCTCTTGTGTTTCTCGATTCACATTGTGAATGTGCTGAAGGTAAGTTATATGCGTTAGAAAATGTTAAAATTATTTGCTTTTCTCAGGCTGGCTCGAGCCATTATTGGACCCAATTGCTCGTAATCCGAAAGCATCCGTGGTACCATTGATTGAAATTATCGATGATTCGACATTTGAATTTCGAGGAACACCAATCCAAAACATTCAAGTCGGTGGGTTTGATTGGAATTTGATCTTTAATTGGCATATGACACCTACACATGAGATGGAACGGCGAAAAAACAAAACCGATCCGATTAGGTATGTTCTATTTGTTTTTTTTTTCATTATTTTGTAAATTATTTATTTGATGTAAAGGAGTCCAACTATGGCCGGTGGTTTGTTTGCTATAGATCGAGCCTGGTTTGAAGAATTAGGCATGTATGATCCAGGAATGGACATTTGGGGTGGTGAAAATCTTGAACTTTCGTTTAAAGTAAATCACAGAAAACTTTCTCTACTATTTATCTGCATTTTCTTCTTACAATCAGCTTTGGCAATGTGGTGGTGAACTTTTGTGCGCTCCTTGCTCGCATGTCGGTCATGTATTTCGAAAACGTTCGCCTTACAGTTGGCCGAAAAATACCAATGTTATCAGAAAGAACAGTGTTCGTCTTGCTGAAGTTTGGCTTGATGATTATAAAGTAACACATTCATTCTTGACTTGTACTCTCTAAATAGCTTCATTTCTTTGTAGAATTATTACTATGAACGAATCAATTTTTCTCTAGTAAGAATATGTCAACTTTTTCAATGAGAACATGCGATTGCTATGTTTTGTCTATAGGGAGACTATGGAAATGTATCGGACCGAAAACAACTTCGTGAACGTCTTCAATGCAAATCATTCAAATGGTACCTCGACAATATCTTCCCTGAACAGTTCATTCCCGGAGAGAGTTTATACTACGGCGAAGTATGAATTTAACATGATTGTACCAATTCAAATACTGTATTCTGCGTTCAGGTTCGAAATCAAGGCAAAGCAACCATGTGTCTCGATTCCCAAGAAGTTGAACAATCGGATAAAGCAGTTATTGCTTATCCATGTCATGGTCAGGGTGGTAATCAGTTCTTTCTTCTAACTAAAATTGGAGAAATCCGACGAGAAGAGAAATGTCTTGATTATGTCAGCACTAAACTCAAAGAACCTGGTCAAGTTCGCTCGATGTTATGTCATTCACAAAGAGGTAATCAAATGTGGTTTTATGAGGTATGTTGGGTTATTTTTATCGTACGGATTATTGTCGCGTTTGTTTTTCAAGCATGAAATGATTCGACATGCAACTGGTTATTGTATGGAGTTATCAGCGACACAAGATCGAGATGTTTTCATGGCTCCATGTAATCCATTGAACAAATATCAGCGATGGTCATGGAAGAAACGTATAGACAATTCGACGACTCGTCAATAATCTACTTATTCTTAGGTTTTTTCCTTGTTGTTATTTTTTTTTTCGTTGAAGTTTTATGTATGGTTTGTTATGGTGCTGTTTCTATACTTTCCACACTGGTGTGTGCGAATATTTATTTATAATTGTTATCATATGAATGACCAAACATTATTCAGTGTGTTTATTTTTATTCTCTAGATAAAAATGATGAATATGGATGGTTCCGCAGGAGAAAATACGGTCAGTCTTGGGCAAGGTGATGATCAACAAATGATAACATTAGCTGACCGAGAAAATTATATAGCACGATTGTAAATATACAAATCGGAAAATATTTCCATGTTCTTATCGATACTTTTCTTTCTTTAGAACAAATTATTTCAATGGCAATCGAGAAATGGCTAAACATCTCGATGATCAAGCGATCACGAGAAGCGGTGGAAAAGCAGTAAGATATTTCACTGTAACATTTTATTCACTGTATACCGATGAAAATATTTAGGCACTGTACAGAAAAGTTTTACAAATGTTATTACCACCAAGAAATCAACAGATGCCACAGCAACAACCGATGATGATTCCACAGGTAATGAATACGCAACAAGTTAGATGAAGAAGTTCCTACCTGTTCTTGTTTTCTAGCAACAACAACAGCAGCAACAGCAACAGCAACAACAACAGCAACAACAACAACAACAACAACAACAACAACAACAGCAGCAGCAGCAAATGTATATGTCTTCTCAACAACAACAACAACAGCAGCAGCAGCAGCAACCACCACCTTCATCGTATACGATGCAACCAATGGTATCCACACCTTCATCATCAGCTATGATACCTGGTACTCCCTCAATGATGAATGTGAAACAAGAACCTCAAGTGCCACCAATGTCTAATAATCAAATGAGAGCTAATCCTCAAAATTTTTCTATCCAACAGCAGCAACAACAACAAATTAAACAAGAATTGATGATGCCACCTACTCCGCAACAACAGCAGCAGCAGATTAAACAAGAAATGATGATGCAATCGATGCAGCAGCAGCAGCAACAACAACCACCGCAACCCGGAATGCACGCTACACAAATGAGACAGCAGCAGCCATCACAATACAATGCACAACAACAACAACAACAACAACAACAAATTCTTCCCAATCAGCCCCCACAAAGTACACCACAACAGCGTACTATCGTTCAGGTAAATGAAGATTAGAATTTCTTCTTTAAATGGCAAAGATTTGGATTTAACAGCATTTACAACAAGTACGCCAACAGAATCATCTCAATCAACAGCAGCAACAACAACAACAAGAATTTACTAATGTTGCGCAAATGCAGCAACAACATCCATCCAATCCTTCTGCACTATCTCAATCGTCTTCGGCACCAATGACGCCTGCTCCAACATCTGCTGGAAGCTCAGATGAAAGTAAGTCGTCATGGCACTCTTCCATTTATTACTAATAATGATTCTTTCAGTTCTTCAACAACTCCTTACCAGTCCAAATCCACCAAAGCAACTGCCATCAGGCATGTCTCAAAATGCTGCTCAAGCAAGACTACGCACCGTGAGTAAATAAACCAAGTATTTCTAACCAATGGAATTTTGTTATGTCTAGATGAATCGTAACATTCGTAATCCACCACCATCAGTAGCACAGATGACTCCACAACAGCAACAACCTAGTCCGATGACTCCGTAAATAAGAATGCTTACCTAGAAATCATTTTGAACTGGTTCTGCTTTCCAGAGGTTCGGATCCGATGATGACTGGCAACATTCCATCACCTCATTCTCATCCAGGTATGATGCAACAACCACCCACGCCCCTAGGACCACCTGGTCAAAGTCCTCTAGCACGTTATATGATGGCACAATCGCCACAACCTGGTGTTTACCGTCCACAAATGTCCCCAATGAATATGATCAGTAAACAGAATCGGTGTTTTTTCTTTCTATATCTGAAGTTATTATTTTGACTTAGATTATGCAGGTAGTCCAACAGCAATGATTGATGAAGAAATGCATTTTCTATTTAAATACTTCACCGAACGCATCCATTACTTAGCTCGAGTAATTACTCGATGTCAGCAAGAAGGTAAATATCCTGATAGAGCATTACTGATCATCACTCTTGATTTTGTTTCAGGTCAGCATGACAAAGTAGCTAAATATCGGCAACTGCATGATCAAATGGCAACATTTGTTCGAAATCCTGTTCCCGAACATTTAGTAGCTGCGCGTCGTTTGAAAGAACATGTTGATCGAATTCTCGATCCGCGAATGTTCGGACCGGTTATGATGCCACCCATGATGGACATGGCCGGAATGGGACCATCTGGACCGAATGGTGGTCGTTTTATGACCAATGGAATTTTCGAACAATGTCAACGTGCTATCGTAGATTATCTGGGTAAAGATTCAACATTGAAATACAGCGTGTCGAAACGCTTTCTCGAGCCCTTGAATGAAGTTCTCAACGGTGTACCCTACAGGTAAAGATACAGATCGAATTGATTCAAAACGAAAATTTCCTTTGTTAGAAACATACGATTGGACACCGAAACAGTCGAACGTTCGTCATCGTCAGAAAATACTCAATCTCCACCATCTCTTGCAGATATCATTGAAAATGAATTTGCCAATCTATCCATGAATATCTACACCTATGAGTTGAAACCATTGTCAGATAAATTATCTTCATCGTCAACCACCGATATAAAAGAATCTTCTAGTCGTGATTATGAACTAACCTGTCGTTTTATTGAAATGAACATGCCTGTTGTTCCACCGATAAAAATGAAATTATCCGTGCGGTATCCAAATGAGCCACCTGAAGTTCTTTCTTTAACATCAACAACCTCATGTCATACGCCAGCCAAACTTGAAAATTCAGGTAATTTGAAACTTGTTGACATATTCATTGTATATATCTGATGCATCGTAGATGGTCATTCATTTTTCGAATCAATCTCTCGCAATTTTATATATTTTTTATTTAAACTACCGGCTCAGCACACGGTCACTGATGTTTTAGATATATGGGTAAGATTCTTTCGCTTTCAACCGATTCGCTCTGAAAATGATTTTCTCTTCCTAGCGTACTGCTATTCAAAATGCTTCCTCATCACAAGATACAACCTAAAAAAAATATATTTTTTGTATATTCTTGCACACCTGTATCAATGATCAAAATGCATGTATATCCACTGTATAAAAGAGTGAATGTTTTGCTCTGTTCTTTTTCGATCTTGTTACAAGTTTATTTGTAATGATGTATAGCGATTAATAATCTCTTCACTCTTGTCTTAACAAGGAATATGTCAAATAAATGTCAGAGTAACGTTTTAATCTTAGCAAAAGTATATTAGAAGTTCAAACGAAGTACGACTGTACTAAGCAGTTTTGTTGAAAGAAAGTAACAACAATCAATCGAAACATGCACAAACATCACGATTACATTTGTTAATCAAATCTGATTTCGAACAATTGAAAAGAACCGTCCATAGACGTTCAACAATGTGTCCAAAGAATGGATTGCTTGGAATTGATTTCGAAACCGGAGAACGTCTATCTGTATGAATCCAATGTGTACTATCAGCCTAGAAATATAAATCACAATCACAATCACAATGTCAACATCCAGATCAAAGTATACTCTACCGTGATTAGTTCATTCAAATACATATATATGCGTAAAGGTTGCCTTCTAATACGTTTGTTACTAACCAAAAATTGGCCTCGGTAAGCAACCTGCGGAAATCGATATCCAATCAACTGAATTGTATTTCAATTGCTACTTACTGTTTGTTTATCTGGTGGACATAGCGTTTGCGTGATCAATGCCCATAGTTCTGCTAATCTGACCATGTTATTGTAGATATTTCGACCACAGTCATACACTTCCATCCATCTGGCTGAAACCAAGGGCATATATCCGACCGCCGTTGTGAATTGTTTCTCTAGTCGATTGACAAGCCAAGATTCGACTTCTTTGATTGAAACACCGTCCGCACCAGCTTGAGAGAATAGCGTATGATCAGCAAGTGTATCATAGTTGTTAATAATATGATAGAGATATGTGCCACCTTCCCGACCAACATTAGGCAATTGATGAACAACATCTACTTTTAACATTTTTTGAAGATAGATGCTGCTTATATTAGAATTTTTGTTATAAATAATAATGGAGACATTCAATCGTCGTATGCTTTGAAGATTTCGAATAAAACGAATAAACTGTGCAACTAAATTCAAGTCTTCCGCATAGTAGCTCAGAACTACATGGAATCCGTTGTTTCGTTTTAACGACTCGATGTTACGAATTGGAGAAATAGTTTTATTAATCCAAGTGTTAGAATACAAATCACTTAAATATGGTAATTTTCTTTCAAATCTTCCGCGTTCAAGGTAGATTAATATACATATAATAATCAAAATCACAATAATACGTATGATACAGCGACGACCATTCAGATTATCACAGGCTGAAGCTTCCGACCACATGCTTTCTGCTTATTCTCTATGATTAGATTAAATACGAATAGTTAAGTTCTTATTCTGAGTGGTGACAAGCAGGCTCACGAAAAGGAATCGGCGAATCGACATCTGACTCACTGTTATTTTTCGCATGCTGTGCATGCAGATTCAGCGAGACGAATTTGAAATAATCTTATTTTCGATGTGAAGGCATAGTTAAACAGTGGAAGAGAACAGAATGTACTTTAACTTTACCTTGAAGGATGGTCACAACTCAGTGTCTGACTTTTATTTTCAAACATGATGTAAAAACATCTACTTTCACCTTGAATCTAGAATAATGTAAAATCATTCTGCGTCTTGTCGGCGAATAATATGTAAGATGTCCAAAATACGTGTCTCACTCATTTTTGTCTTAAGTACAAGAGCTTTTAACCGCTCTGTATTGCCAGAAAATATTTAAGACTATTACTCGCCCATTTCTAATTAGCATAGGTGATCTTAGCGTACTCGAACTTTAAATTCAAAAGTTAAAATAAATACATGATCAGCAATTTCTCAAATAATCTTACAAGTATCACCCTTAGTAGTGATCAACGAAGAATCTTACCCGATATATTCAATCTAAACGTCTACCCATTCAGTCTCGCATCCGAACAGATCCTAAGTTTCCAGAGTGTGAACTTTGGCAGTTAATTTGTGAATACAGCTAACATCCGCCTATCAATTATTCCAATTGTTTTTCTTTCCAAGGAGACTTTCATTATTGTGAGTAGTAACACTTACCAATAGTAATTTAAAAAACGCAGTTCTCTCCAAATATCCGAACCTTTTATAGAATACTACGCCGACACGTTCAAAGTATAATTGTCATTATTTTTTTTCTAAGAATGCTCAAAATCAATCTTAGAAAATATGAATAGACAGTCGTAGTTTTATTGTAAGCAAAAGTAAATATTAAAATTTATGATCGAAAGTGTTTTCATTCGTTCTCATCTGTTTGCATATAAAAAGAATAAAGTAAACTTTTTTGAATGGTTTACAATGATTGCAGCTTTCACTTTTCTTTTCTTTCTGTCTTTGACTGTTAATGAAAGAGAACGATAGTTCGTTGTTTGTCAATTACGGTTACTAGGAGCATTGACGGAATGGCAACTAATAAAAGTAGATATTTACGAACTATTAGCGAATCCTCTAGTCATGCAGGACTCGATCCAGATCAAAGACATGTAGTTAATTTGGAACGATATCGTTCTTTGTCAGCCAAGGTTGAGCGATGTTTACAAGAAATCATCGAACGTATCCATAAACAAAATCCAACATTGAACTTTGAATTACTTGTTCCGCCAGCCTCCCATTTGACATCTTACTTACCAAACGAAAATAAAGAATTTTATTTCGATTTTTATCTTGTTTGGAAAAATTTTGGTCGATTTCAAATTGAAAAAGATGATTCATCCATCTGTTGCAAAATTAAATACCTGAATAAATCCATTACCTGGTCACGTGCTGAACAAGATCGTCTATTAATCACCCATGTAGATAAGACGAGATCATCTTATATCAATGGCCGTGGTTTACGTGATTTATTTCTCGAAGCACTTCGCGACCGGTCACTCGATCTGATTCGTTTGGATTTCATTGAATATCTTATCTATTTTGATTTGATCATCCCTTCAGCAAAAGAAAAAACAACGTGTCACGTGTCCCTTCTGCCATGCATACATATTCCTGAAGAAAATGAAGTTTTACTACCGTATGGCACACTTCGTTGGTACCAGAGATCATTAAGACCAATCAGTGAAAACAATCTCAACAATTGTCTTCAACAACCTTTACAGCACATTTCCATTCGTCGTTACTTATCAACAAATGATACAGTGGATACATCAGCTAAATGCACACGGCAAGATCAACTAGCGTTTGCACGTGCTCGAGCGATTATCCATGAATTATTGTTGCCATGTACATTGGAACATTGCGATACTATGGAGCTACTTCGTTCACCTTTTGATGATGATTTAGATGAGACGGAAAAGCTTTTCTTTATACCTCATCGAACAGATCGAAATTGTAATGTTTTTCCAGCCGGACAGTATCTATTAGATGATCCGAAAGCAAAACGATTTGTTAAACGAATATTGCAGATTAATACGAAAATACCAACGACAATACAAAGAGAAAACAGCGAAGTGAAAGCTTAACTTTATTTTCTTGTATCTTTTTCGATTCTTTTAATAAAGAGTTTAAAATCTTTCTCTTTCAAATATTTCTACTGGATACAGCTTAAAGATGTTTTATGCATGCAGCTATCACAAAGCGACATCTAGTGTACACGGAATGCAAATTTAAATTTGATTTTTCCGATTAGGAATATTAAAAAAATGAATAAATAAATCCATTTTCGATTATACGATCAATAAGAACCGAAAATCTTCTACAAATTTCCTTTGAATAGAAATGGAGGTTTCACTAAGTTATTCATGGCCGATTGGTTAGGTCAAACGGCCATATCAAATCAATCATTTTGTTAGTTAGTCAGATGACCATATTAATTTGATCTCACCGTGAACGGTTGATCTAATCATGTGCCTTCTATTGTTTCAGACTTTTTCGTCGTTGGTTTCCATCATTTTCGACTCAATATGGAACACGTAAATAAATACTAAACGAAAGCTTGTTCGAATAATTCCAAATATTCTCTTTCTCGCGCGTAGGAACGTTCATTTCAAAAACAACCAACAATCTTTTTGAATAAAAAACAAGGTTCAGCTAAAGCTAGCAAAACAGGCCGTGCCGAACGTTACACACGCAATGTTGGTTTAGGTTTCAAAACACCACGAGAAGTAATCTAACAGTTGATGTCTCTACTCGATATCATCTGATTTTCTTCTCTAGGCTATTGAAGGTACATACATTGACAAGAAATGCCCATTCACAGGTAATGTTAGCATCCGTGGTCGTATTCTTACTGGTACAGTAATGAAACTTAAAATGACACGAACTATCGTCATTCGTCGAGATTATTTACATTATGTACGAAAATACAATCGTTTCGAAAAGCGTCACAAGAATATGTCAGTTCACTTGAGCCCATGTTTTCGGTAGGAACAAGAGCGATTCTTTTTCTTCGAACATCGTCTATGCAATGTGTTTCTAGTGATGTACAAATCGGAGATGTTGTCACCATTGGTGAATGTCGTCCATTGAGTAAAACCGTTCGATTCAATGTACTCAAGGTCACAAAAGCTGCTGGTTCAAAGAAACAATTCCAAAAATTCTAAGCAAAATCTACCAAACTGACAACATCAATCACATCACAGCGACAAACATAGTGTTATTTTCGTTTTGTTTTGTTTTGCTGTCGACTGTGATTAGATATGTCTCATACCAGAGAATAAGAATAAAAAACATAATTTGATAACATCAACTTCATACGAAACAGTATTTCTTTTTCTAGAAAGTTAACCTTGTCGTTTCTTTTTAGATTGATTTATTGATGTGTTAACGCACAACATACTTCAGCCATGACCAGTACATTTGTCATTCGTCCAACTGAATGTTGCTGAGGTCACTTTTCATATCATTGGTGTCATTTTAGATATTCATTTTTTCAATTTTTTCTTCGAATTTACAATGGCATCTGATCCGAAAGATGCAACAGATATCAATGAGGCGAAAAAACAAACACCTATTGAAGTCAAAGATTGGAATGATTTAATGCAACACGTAAAGACGACTTTCATTGACTATTGATGGATACATTTCTCATTCTTCTAGGCTCAGATTTTATCGAAAGGTTCTGATAAACAAATGAAAATCTGTATGATTGATGAAGAAAACGAAAATATCCGCTTACAAAATCAGGATGAATTTAATCTCAACGTTCAAGTAAGTCGTCCCGAGTCTTTTCTATGACATCGTCAAGGTTAATCCTTTTATTTTAGTATGCTCGAGACCATCATATCAAATCTCTTAGTCTTTTCATCTACGTCGATGATAACCGTCTATTTAACGGAATCTACTATATCGACAAACTTGTTTTTCCATCCGATAAGTTACAAATATTGCTGGATAATGTTCTCGTTGAGAAATGGTACATTCCAGTTAAACAAGATGAACCACTGGGTGTCTGTTTGACTGCAGCAATTAATTTCGCCCAAAATGGTAACAATAAATTAGTAAATAACTCACTTTTTTATTGTTCTTTTCTCAAAGGTAAACTTGATAGTAATGCAGATTGCAAACGTTTTATCGAAGATATTGTCCCAGAAGCGTTTCGTAAGGTAAGAATAAGCAAAATATGTGTTTCATGTTGAGTTAAACTACAAATATGTCTATTTCAGTTACAAAACACCGAATCTGTCATGTCATGGCCGCGTGAAATTCAATGTGGTATTTTCGAAATGGTGGAACTACTAGTCGATCTAGTTGGTACCCGTCTATGTTACCCACCGGTTCCTGTTACATTATTAAAAGCACTTGCCACAGTTAGTTAATCTTACGAAAAGCGAGTTTCATTGTTGGAAAACATTTCTTTTCTATTTAGGCATTCGACACGAATACAAAATTTTCTGAAAAACATAAAAAGGAGCTGCTACCATCACAACGTGCATATACAATCAAAGATGGCGATTTCTTGCGCGAAACTTATGGTCGTGAAACCTATGGTTGGCTTCGATCGATGATCCAACGTGTAAGTTTCTTTTGTATACGCTTTCCTTCTAATGAATGACTTTTAGTTCCTTGCACAAAACGGTTTGGATCGTATTCGTTTACAATTTGAGTGTATTAATGCATCAAATTCCACAAATATGGCTAAGGTTTGTTGTTGAATTAATATTTTTCCTTTCAGCACAATCGTTTTATTTTAGGAATATAATGCTCTCTTCGAATTATTCTCAAAATGCAATAAATGTGTGAATGCAGAACGTTATCGTTTAATCTTTCATCGACCAATTCATCTTGCACTTCAATATCTTCGAAAAGAAAAATCTGCCATCGAACAAAATCATGAAGTAATGATTAAAGTTACCCATCGATTCTGAAGAATTACTTTTCTTTCTAGTTGAAACAACTACATGAGACATTAGTCGATATCTGTCAGAAATATGACTTAAAGGATGAAGTAAAAACCCTGTTAACTTTAGCAAGCTGTGCGATCCGACCTGATCTTTTACCAGTATCGACTGAGAACGATTTGGAAATAATCCCTCTTATCGAGGTAAGTAGAACATTCCATAATGCATATGATTGAAAATATGCGGACGGAGTTATACGATTGAAATTTGTATAGTTAACACCTTCAGCACCGAGAAAAACGAAAAACTACGATTGCTATGAAAGACTGGCAGAAGATATTCGATCAATGTCAATAAATGGTGAAGATCCTGATCGAAAGGTACACAAATCTATTTACTGTTGACTATATATAATTGAATTTCTTTTCAGAATGTTAAAAAACAACGAACTGATGAACAGGTGCCGATAACATTATTTACCCACAATCTTACGGAATGCATCGAGGTAAGATACCTAATGCGATTCCGAAAAAAGAGTAGGATAATCATCCTATTGGTGTCTAGGAATTGTTAACTGCAACAGAGAAACGTTCGATTAAACGAAAACATCGTCGTGAACATCAACGTACAACTTTAACATCGGTTAGTTCGAGTCATAGTAACAAAAAAGAAAGCAAACGATCAAATACAATTACATTACCACCACTACAAACTTATGATCGGTAAGGAAAAAACGCACAACTTGAAACATCTCTTCTTATGCTCATTTAATATTAGAACCAACCCGGAAGATATTCTTCGACACTTTGCTCCGATGAAATTGAAAGTTGCCACACTGTACGAAAATCTTTACACAGCAACATGTCTTGGCAACATTCGGGATGTTTTAAAAATCGAGGAAAAACTCAAATTACTTAGGTAGGCAAAAGCTTTATGACCAGCTAACCCAAGTATCTGTTCAAAAAAAAAATTTTTTTTCATTTAGCCCATTCTCAGCTCGTTTCATTGCCGATGAAAACGCGCCAGATGTAACAAAGATGCAACCAGGACAAACTTTTCGTAAAGGTTGGATTCTCTTCAATGATGGTTCTTTGCCATGGGATAGTAATGATATTCAATTGGTTAATCTATCGGATGGCATTCAAGTCGTTCAGCAACCGGTCGTCCCAATCACGGCTCCACATGCGCGAGCTGTTATTACCGCTGATTACAAATGTGCAGATAAACCGGGAAAATACGAGAGTAAATGGATACTTTCCTATCGTCAACAAACATTCGGTCCGATGATATGGTGCTCGATTGAAGTTGTTGATAAACCAGTAGCGGAAAAAACAAATCGTAAGACAATTTCTTTATCACTTTTGCGCTATTGATGATCGTTAAATATTTTAGAACCAATCGTAGATGAAAGTGATTTCGAATTTGTCGAAGTGCCTTTACCAGCTTGTTTCGATTTATCAAAACCGTATCAATCTATCATGCAATCATCAAGCGACAGTTCATTTAACGTGAGCATCTTTCGTAGTTATTTACAAAGTTGAATTCAATCTCGTCTTGTTTTATATAGTCAAGTTTTATTTTATCCAATGTTGATCCGGCCGAATCATTACCAATTGATTTCTGTACGGTTCACAGTAAGAATAACTTTTCGTTTAACATAAACTTAGATTGTTTCCATTAATGCTTTTTGTTTCAGTTGACAACTTGAAAAATTCATTCGATGATGATATAGATACTCTTTCAATTTTCACCGATTCATCTGCTATGTTCCCATCAACAACTGAAGCTGTTGAACAACCTATCCCAACGAATATCGTATCTGAGGAAGCAGTATCACTGATTGAATTAGCTCCACCTGCTGATGATCAAGTATCAACTGCTCCAAAGCCAGATAATGTCGAAGAACATGAACCAGTTCGTTCAAGGTATATACACTAATTCTAACATTTATTTGAATCTCATCGTTTCTACTTTAGTCAACCATTAGACTTTGTCGATACGGTTGTCACAAATATTTTTAGTGTGGCAAAACACGCAGGTTCAACTGCAAAAGCCATCTTCAACACCTTGCAAGCATTTGATGAAGTATGAGAAAATCTGCAATATGAACATGTTAATTTTCTTTCTTTCTGTTAAAGGTGAGCACTTCAGCAACAGAAGTTTCTAAAGAAAAGCAATTATCATTGGTGAATACATTTGAAGAAGTCTCACAAAAACGCACAGATACTTTTCCAACAGAAGATCAAATGCAAGCACTAATTGAAATGGGATTTGTTAATCGCGCTAAGAACCAACGCCTATTGCGAGAAAATGCAAATGACTTAGCCAAAGTGATTGAATTGCTAACACTCGATAGCAATGATGATACCGATTGGTTTGCTCATCGTCATTAGACGTTCTCATCAATGACTTTTTTTCTCAACTGTATAATATGTAAAAAGAAACTAAATAGTTCATCAGATTTCTTCTAATCTAGCTTCTCATTTTCTTTTCTGCGAATATGTATATTTCATTCTTTTTTAATTCTCATGAATACGTGATTGTTTTCAAACTGGTTGGTAAGATTGTACAAAATTTTGTTTTTCTTTTCTATTATTCATTCTAGTATCACTTTTATCTCTTTAGTTAAACATACAGAACATAATCTTGAAAATTAGACCTCGTGCGTTTGTGTGTGTGTGCGTTATATTCATTTTGAACAATAAATTTGCAGATTTCTCTCTTTTATTCCTCCTTCAAACTTCTTAGCATCACCTGCGAACGTATTAAAGAACAAGAGTTTGTTTTCCTATTCTAGATTGATAACTTCAATCATGTGAGTTTCATTTCCTTGTACATTCTATGGATATTTTACGAAGAATTGTTCAGGTTACGTCATAAGTCGATTCTCGAAACATATGGCTTGGGTTCATCATCCGCCGAAGATCAACAACGTCGAAGTAATGATGGTCAATACCCACCGGTTCGTCATCGTAACGAACGAGAACGGCCACGTTCAATTCGTTTAAAGCCGCAGGAATACATTTTAATTATCATTGCAGCTCTCGCTATCGCAGCTCTAGTCATTTATCACGCATTTAAATCATATTTCGAATACTTTTTATCGAATGAATAACTCAGATCGAAATTTTGTTTATCTTTTCAGTTTGTTGTTGATGACATATCTATAAATAGATCTAGTCTAAGTATGTACATTGTTTTAGATTAGTTATATAATATACCTCCGTTCGGTAAAAATGTTGAGTTTGATTATGTTCATCAACTGGATCCTAGAATAATTCTATTCCTATCAAATATTTTCGCTTGGTGAAGATGGAAACTCCTGCGGCAACAAAAAGAAAACATGAAGATGGGATAACCAATGATGATGGTCAATCAACAGTGATCGATAGTAAATACTCTTGACTATAGATGCAGATTCATAGTCATGAATTTTAATCTAGATACAAATGCACAACCGGCGAATAAAAAACAAAAAAAGAAGAAAAACGTTCGTTTTGATGATGTGACAGTTTATTACTTTGCTCGTAGTCAAGGTTTTGTCAGTGTACCAAGTCAAGGCACAGTCACTCTTGGTACGCACAATACTAATTTTTCGTTTTCGAAATTTGATCAAGTCATATACGATTGTTTTAGGTATGGTTCCAGAGCATTCGCATGTTGAACAGTATTCAGTAACGGATTTCTTACGTGTTCGTCGAGCAATTCACAAATCGATCTTACGTGAAAGAAAACTACTTCCACCGTCTTCATCTAACGGTAAGCCAATGGAGTAGATCAACCATTCAAAAACCATTGTTTTTTTTTTCTCTCAATTTTCAGCTATGGATAGTGACAATGATGAAGACGAACCTCTGCCTGTTGACGATTATTACTTTGTTCAACCGATAGCTACACGACAACGTCGAACTTTATTGAAACAAGCAGGTCTTGTTAAAATTGATGCGACGGAGAAATATGAATTAGCATCGATTCGACGTTCACGTGAAGTTTGCGGTTGTTCATGTACACGTGAAACAGGCGGATGTCAACCGACCACATGTGACTGTTATTTGAATGGGATTGCATGTCAAGTTGATCGCTTAACATTTCCATGTCCGTGTGCGACTATGCTTTGTAAAAATCCTTTGGGAAGACTTGAGTTCAATCAAAATCGTGTACGAAATCATTTTTTTGATACAATCACAAGATTAGAAGCCGAAAAAAAACAAGATGAACTTGGTAATTTGTCTCTTCTTGTTTTTATCTCTGTACACAATCTTGCTTTAGCTTGTTTTACCAGTCAACAAACGATGTCTGATGATCTGTCTACTATCACATCGATCTTATCATCAATCATATCGCAAATTGAACTCGAAGAATATCAAATCGCATCTGCTGTACATTTCCTGGTCTCATCAGTCGAAGATCCAGTAATGATTACCGAAGAATCATCAACACTATTGCCGATGATTTACTCGTCGAATGTGCAAACGACTTGTATTCCATCTTCATCCAAGGATCACTTAATTCCAACATCCCGAGAATGTCAGAAATCGTCGCTACAACGAAAGACAACTAATTCTCTTTCATCTTCAGCAATAATTTCGACTGAATTGTCATAAAATCAAAATCAATTGCATCACTCATTCTGTCGGCTACATATTTTTTTTGTTATTTATTCCTCTGTTTACATTTCTTCTTCGATGTATCTTTTTTTTTCTTTCTATGCATATTGATATTTTATAAGAACGTGATTGAACAAATAATGTCAGTTTCCTAATATAAGCGAACTATTCACGATCTTCATCAATGATTGTTCATGAAAGAATAGATAAAAATCTTCTTTAAACATCTCATCTCCAACCTTGTCTATCAGAATGTTGATCGTAGTCATGAGCATGGTATTAACATAAAGATATCTCGAGTTGTCCAATAAATAAAAAAACATGTCTGCCTACGATAGTCATCTGTGGGAATATAATTCTCAACTAATCCTAAACCAATTTGAATGAATTGTGCTTTTCTTCCTTGTAGTTGAATGTCATGTGTACAGTGACGCATCGTTGTTAAATAAAAGAATATGGAGGAGGAGAAGACAAAGACGAGAGTTGAATTGTATTAAACGTACGAATATAAATACCTTCACTATTCATTTTGTGTGGTAAAGATAAAATCGAAAGTCATGTTTCAAGGTAGGTAGTTCATCGAATGTTGCGCTCTGGATACAGAAGATATTTTGTTATTGATTAGTTTTCTTCACTCTTCTACTTCTTCTTACTCTTCAATGCAATCAAATTCATACGAAAAATATTTCGAATGAAACAACAACGACAACAAAAATACCGGAAAAGTTAGTCACAAGCAATGTTAATCAAGAACGATTGACCATTTTATTGTGCGAACAACGTGATAAACCTTATTTTCTTCCGCATAAGTCGAATATCAGTCAATTTTATGTATGTGTCAAAGGACAGTTATTTCTACTCAATTGTCCATCGGGTTACAGATTTGACGAAGAACATAATCAATGTGTTCATAAAACAATCGAAAATGCAACTAAACAAAGTAAATTTATTTGTTAAACCGTCTCATGTGTCTTGATATTTGTTGTATTTAGAGCCAAATAAGCCTGTTTTGACTCCACATGAAACAAATTGTGGTTGGTATTATGTTGAACGCGAAGCAACAGGTGAACGTGTTCTGAATAGTTGTCCGATGCCACAACTATTTGATATTTCAACATTCGAGTGTAAAAATTATACCGAAGTCAAATGTAAAGATCGTTTTGAACCGAAAGATGCTTGTACGTATTTCCATCTTGAAAACCTCTTTAAAATTCACTTTGCTGATTCTGTCGGATAGGCGATTATCAAATCCGGTCAGCCGCTCATTCGTATCCATGTTCGTATCTACCGAGTTGTAAAAATCGCCCAGATGGTTTATATCCTGATCGTTTACGTGATTGTCGCATGTACTTTCGGTGTACGTCAGAACGAAGTTCCGAGTCTTATTCATGTTCACAACATATTTTACCCTTTGGCGAACGATTTAGTTTCGAAGAACAACGCTGTCTACCCGCACAATTCGTCGAATGTATCAATGATCAACAAAAACCGATGATTTGAATATCAAATAACATTTCTGAAAACTAACGAATGTTATTCTTCTTCTTCTTCTCCTTGTTTTTTTAATCAAAAATCTGTTGATATAAGAAAGAAAAGATTCTCGAATGTTAATTATCGACACTACTCATGCTCATTCTTTCGTTTCTCTTTATTTATTCCTTCAGGAATAGTTTGTCATTTTTTGTTCTCTTTATCTGCTATCTTCGAAGTATAGCTCATCTTTATCCCATTTACGTCTCGTGAAGTTATGTTACTAAATATGAAGGCAATCATGGACCGATAGGAGGAAATAAGATAGATCTGCTTTTCTCGCTATTTCTGCCTATTCGCATTTAGAAGAGAACGATGTGTCTGAAAGGAAACGATATTTTTCTATGAACGCTGTTCGCTCTTGTAGTGACAAGGCCAATAAGTTCTTTCTCTCTGTCTCATGCTCTTTTCTTTCTCTATCGATCGCTGTTGTATAAGAATCTTAGAGACAAATTACACAGAAAACTAATCTTTATGTTGGATACCTGACCGTTCGACTTTGTCATATCGGTTAACCATCACGAGTAGAAATATTTCATCTCGTTCATATTAGATGTGACACAATCAATTGATCATAGAGCATATTGACATTGCCAGCATACCTTGCTTATTGATACAGTACAAATCATTTTGACAGAACATGTCGATACAATTTCCTATGAATGTTAGCGGAGGAAGCATGTGTTTGTATATACAGCGAAAGAGAGAGAGAGAGAGATTTGCAATTGTGTGAAGATAAGTGAAGCGAAGATTGACGAGAGTATATATCAAAGAATCATGATAGAAAAGTCCTAAAAAAAAAGAGAAAAGAAAATCCTTTTTCTTAAAGGCAACTCGGCGTAACAAAAGCTGTCTCTTTCATTTTTTCTCTCTCTACTTCTCTCGACTCAGTTTGTCCGATCACGTGTATGGGTATGAAAACAGAAGGAGGGAAAATAAGGAACATGATGAGATTTTTTGCTCAATCATTATGTTAGTAATGCCAGGCTCTCCTTCTGCATTAATGCCGGGAACGTTATAAAAGAACCTGATTTTTCAAACTCTGCCTTAGGCTCAGCAAAGAATATGTCATAAAATTCTAGTAGAAAATCCAATAATTGTTGTTTGAAACCTTGACACGTTAAAATATTTTTCTCGCGAGTCTTTCCTTCTTTTTTTTTCTGATCGCCTGTCATTTCATTTGTTATTTCCGTCATATAACTAAATCATTATTGAACGTAAGTAAACAATACGCTGAACTATCTTCTTCTTTCTTAACAATAAATGAAGCCTAAATGACTTGAAAATGGAATTCTTCTCATTTATTCATGCATGAAACTACATTGTGCTCGATAAGTCTTCCAATAATGTCATTTTTGTGTCTGTCACACCCTTTCCTCTCTGCACTATTCAAGAACATGAACTTTTGATTTAAAGTCTATTCTCCAACTTTCCGCATGCCAAGAGCAAACAAAATTTTTTGTCCGATGCACAGATATCTCGAAACGATATCCTTGATTCTATCGTTAGTGCTAATGCTTTAGTTATGACGCAACACTCGTTTCCTCTATCATTTATTGACGTCAGATACATCCTCTCTGCTTGGATATCTGCTCGTCTTGAAATATGTATGTATACAAATTTCCATGTTGTCTTTAGCGTTTAGTCAGCTTTGTAGATAGATAGATTTTGTTTACGTGTTCTTTCATTGAAGATGATGATAAATTTCTGCTAAGTTTCTGTTAAATATGCCGATGAAACGGGGTCATGTGTCGGCTCCTCAAAATACGTTTATTGATACGATTATACGTAAATTCGACTCACAAAGTACGTACATTTATATCATCAAGGAAATGTTTTCGATCTTATTTCAATTTGACTAGATCGACGTTTCCTCATATCAAATGCCCAATTAGCCAACAAACCAATTATTTATTGCAACGATGCATTCTGTGAACTAATTGGTTATTCACGTGCTGATATCATACAAAAAGCTTGTACCTGTGAATTTCTCTATGGCAATGAAACAAGTGAAAAGGCAGTTAAGCAAATTCGACATGCTTTGCAAGGCAGTGATGAAAAGGAAGTCGATATTATTTTGTATAAACACAACGGTAAGGTTTTTCTTTTCTTCTCTTGTTTTATCATTTTGAAGTTTAAGTATTAATTAAGCAAATGTGTGAAACTAAAAGACGAGAAGGAAAAACTTATTTCCGCCGATTTTTATTTAGGCATGAAATTTCGATGTTCAGTTCTTATCGCTCCGGTGAAAAATGAATCATGCAATATTATTCTATACATCCTGGAATTCACGGAAAATAATGCTCGTAATCAACAACGACGAATGCGTATGTTATGAGTACGATTTCAACCTGATTATTTTTCTTTTTCTTTTTAAGCAAAAATTCGTGATTACTCAATGAATCCATCTAGTAAGTGCTGCTTATATTGCTCGTTTCTCATGCTTTACATGTGATATTATTTCTATAGTGGGTATACGTAATCGTTCATGGTTACATATGCTGAATCCATTAGCAAAACATAAATCACAGGATTTGCCAACAGCGGGAGCAAGTGACTTCGGCGGTTCTTCATCGGTTGATCCAACTGGTTATATCGGTAAAAGAGAAATTTAGTTGTTAATGCTTTTATTTTTTCTTTCTTCCGAAAGAAGATGGACATTAGGAAAATAATTTGCGCTAAGTGTTCAGTTGTCATATTCGATTATTCTTTATCTTTTCTCTCACATTGAATGATTATCAATGACATAAGAAACGTACAAGACTTGGATTTTCCTTATTTGAAATAGAATTGATTAGAAACATTTTTTAAAAAGATCGTCGACATGATTTTGAGCAGAATTTCGTAAAACAAACTTTGCAGAGAAGGCAAATAGTACAAGTTGAATAAGTGATCTCACACGAATTGCAATTTTGATAAATAATAAGCCTAGTTGTTTGATGATTGTAGCACTTAATCATAAGAATACAACAACAAGTATTCTAATGGATGAAACTAATCCGTCGCCAACCAAAAAACCGACTTCTGAGTACGAAGCCAATCAAGAATTATCGACCAGTTCCAATCTTTTATTAAAGCCTGAAAATAATAACCTCTGGAATGCTAATTCAAGTGATCTAGAATCAATGAGAAATCAATCGCCGAGTTTAAGTAACATCGCTGGTGAATATATAGAAGAGAATTCATTTGATAATTATCTATTGATCGTTCTCTCTCTCTTTTTTCTGTAGAAACTGTTCTAAAAAAAGAAAGCAAAGGATCGAAAAATGGAATCAAACATCGATTTTTACCCAACATACCGAGTCGTATCGCGCAGATCCTGTCCCTAGGAGAAGACATTGTTCCTAATTATCGTTTACCGGATAGTCGTCGTATTCCACGTACAATTATCCTTCATTATTCGCCATTCAAAGCAGGTTGGGATTGGCTAATCCTCCTACTTGTTATTTATACAGCAATTGTTACACCATATACAGCTGCGTTTCTAATGCATGAGGAGGGACCAAACAAGCAACGATCGCGCCCCTCGCGTGCACTGAATGTTATTGAACTTATTGTTGATGTTATGTTTATTATTGACTTAATAGTTAATCTACGCACAACATATGTGAAACATAATGAAGAATTGGTAACACGTGCGAGTAAAATTGCGAAACATTATCTAAAAGGATGGTTTTTGATTGATGTCACAGCAGCAATACCATTCGATATACTTTTTTCATTATTACAAACAAATGGTGGGGGCGAATCGACCACTTTGATGGGATTATTAAAAACCGCACGTCTATTGAGATTAGTACGTATCGCAAGGAAGCTGGATCGATATTCGGAATATGGGGTGGGAGTTCTAATCTTACTAACGGCTACATTTGCACTAATTGCACATTGGCTTGCTTGTATATGGTATGCTATTGGCCGTCTTGAACGAAACAATCACGGTAAGTATTTTGTCTTCGTCGTCTTTTCTCGGAATAAGAGTAGAAGATTATAACTCTTGGTTTCTGAAAAACATTTTGGTACCTAGGCAATGAACGATTGATTGGATGGTTAGCGGAATTAGCTAATCATACGCATCAATATTATAACGATTCAGATCCTAATTCTGGCCCGACAAAAACATCCAAATATATAACTGCATTGTATTTCACTTTCTCATCTCTTACTTCAGTGGGCTTTGGCAATGTGAGGTGCGCTGAATAATATTCTCTATAGACGCTCATCCTTCCCTTTAAACTATTTTCTTCGTCTAGTCCAAATACCAACAGTGAAAAGGGTTTCTCCATCATAATCATGCTCGTAGGCTGTGAGTCATTCCTGTTATTCTAGTCGTTCATTCGTATCTGTTGTTGTAATTGATGTTGTGTTGTCTCTGTATTTGCTTAGCTTGATGTTTTTAGGATTACGTATAACGTGGCTTGATGAATTAGCACGTATATCTGGTCAACCATATGATTGTTCGTTCGTAATCAAACCTAATGCTACACGTTTGTTAGAGCAAACATGTACTGGAGGACCGAATCTTCGTTCAAAATATATCACTGCACTTTATTTTACTTTTTCATCTCTTACGTCAGTTGGATTCGGCAATGTAAGGGAAATCTCAGGATCATTGTACATATACATTCTTTTCTCTTTCTATCGGATTTCATCTATATAGGTCAGTCCGAATACAAATTCGGAGAAGATCTTTTCCATCTGTATCATGTTAATCGGATGTGAGAACAAAATGCATGAGATAATTTTTGAGAAAAAAGACGAACAAAGCATGTGTCTGTCGTGGCTTTTTGTGTATCTCCAATCAGAAAACGTTATACTGTACATATCTCTTATCTGATTTTTAGCTCTAATGTATGCCAGTATATTTGGTAATGTCAGTGCTATTATCCAGAGATTATATTCCGGTACGGCACGTTATCAAATTCAGATGTTAAGGTATGACTATTCGGGAGTATGACTATGTGAAAAAATATGTTTTAGAGTGAAAGAATTTATTCGTTTTCATCAAATTCCCAATCCACTTCGCCAACGATTGGAAGATTATTTTAATCACGCATGGAACTATACAAAGTAAAACTACGAAATGCATTTCTTTGTGTCCGATCTGATTCGATCGTTGTTGTTTCCAGTGGTATTGACATGAATATGGTGCTGAAAGGTTTTCCGGAATGTTTGCAAGCGGATATTTGTCTACATTTGAATAGTCAATTATTGAAAAATTGTTCAGCATTCAAAGGTTAGTCTATTCATATGACTTTTACTGATATTTTTGCTCTGAATGACGGGTGTTTTTCCTTCAGACGCTAGTGAAGGTTGTTTGCGTACATTTTCAATGAAGTTCAAGACGACTCATGCACCACCCGGCGATATTATAACACATCGCGGAGATATTCTAACATCATTATATTTTATATCACGTGGTTCGATCGAAATTTTAAAAGACGATAACGTTGTGGCTATTCTTAGTATGTTGAAGAAATATGCTCAAAGTGTGGTAAATGTTTTCTGTCATTTAGGTAAAGATGACATACTCGGAGAGAACCCGTTGTTGTATAGTGAACCAGGCAAATCAGCGTATAATGTTCGAGCATTAACGTATTGCGATTTACATAAAATTTTGCGAGATGATCTCCTGGAAGTTATCGACATGTATCCTGAATTTGCACAGAGCTTTTGTGAAAATCTGAAGATTACTTTAACGTTGCGCGATGTGAGTATCGATGGCGAATCGAGAAATCGAGGAATGTGACTGTTTTCAGGAGGAACTAGTAACACAATCCAATGAATGCCGTTCGAAATTCATCTCTAACCCTCAGCCACTACGAACAAGTGAATATCACAGAAAGCAAGCTGATTTATTTTAACTTTTCTCTTTTGTTCGTTTAGGTGCGTCGTGTAATCGAACGGATGATGAGAACTTATCAATTATGAGTCCACACTTCGATGATTGTACCAGTGGAACAGGTAAAAGAAAATCTCGTATTAGACATTCTTCGCAGTGGATTCTTGAAAAAGTAAAACACAACGCTTAGACATCGATTAACTACGAAAATATTTATTGTATATATATATATATAATATCTGCTGGAATAACTAGAATAGTTTCGCGGAAAGAATAGCAACACAGTAGGATGAAGTACAAAGAGAGTATGAGGATTTTGTACAGAGCAAGTATATATGAAAACGAATGTGTTTAAACAAGTGGTTGCTTGTTTGTGCCTGTGGTTTTGACTTCGATTTTTGCTGCACCTGTATTTCCATGAGGTGCGTTAGCATCATGTGACGCTGAAGTAGTATGAGCCGTACCTGTCGTTGACGTGTGCACATCACCTTTTGCTTTAAGTTCATCTGCTAGAAGAAAAAAATCTAATTAGAAGAAAAATAATTTTCCTAAAAATATCTACCTTTCTGCTGAACATCATGTTTGACTTCTAATAAGGAAGAAAGGAAAGAAATTACAATATCGATGATTATTTTCTTCAATACCTTCGCCTTTCTTCTTTGCATCGGCAGCTAATTCATTCGCTTTGCCTTTTGCTTGGTCGACTTTTTCTGATGCTTCTTCTTTCAATTCCGCTCCTGTTCGAAACAAAGACATTTTTTAGACTAAAACTTTTTTTCTTACTATTTACCTTTTTCGGCAGCTTGGTTGGCTGCTTCAGCAGCTAGATAATTAAATAAAATATGTTGCCATTGTTTTCTTCGTTAGAAAGCCTACCCTTTTCTTTCGCTTCGCCTGCTAATCCAGTGAGACTAAAACAACGTAAAGCAAAATGAGCATGCAATACAGAAAGAAAGTATTTTATTCAATAAAAGTACCTCTGAATAGCTTCTTGCGCTGAGTGAACGGTAGCTGAACCGACTTCCGATACTTTTTCCGCGGCCTACAAAGAAAAAATTGAGTACATGTACCTAAACCAAACTAACTTACCCAATGACCAGCCGCACTGATGGTTTCGCCAACATAATTAGCTGCAGAGCTAGCTGCATTCACTGCAACTGCTGGAATGTGTTGCACAGTTTCGACGACCTAAACGTATCAATAGATACACGGAAAAGTTTTCATGATGTTCGAAACATACGGTGTGTCCGATTTCTTGCACTTTTTCAACGGCAACATCTTTTGCGTGAAGAGCAGTTCCGACAATTGTATTTGTTGCGCCTTCAGCGGCTTCCTTTGCTTGTTCTAATTTTTCATCAACTTCTGGTTTAATTTCATCGACTTTCTTCTGTGCTGCATCTTTCAATTCGCCAGCTTTCTTCGATGCATCGTCAGCGAGTTGAGCACCAGCCGCCTTAGCTTGATCAGCTGTCTTCTGTGCAGTATCTTTAACTTCTCCGGCTTTCTTAGCAGCATCATCTGCTAATTGAGATCCGGCTGCTTTGGCTTGATCAAGTTTCTTCTGTGCAGCGTCTTTGACTTCATCAGCTTTCTTCGATGCATCATCGGCAAGCTGAGCACCGGCCGCCTTAGCTTGATCAGCTGTCTTCTGTGCAGCATCTTTAACTTCTCCGGCTTTCTTAGCAGCATCATCTGCTAATTGAGATCCGGCTGCTTTAGCCTGATCAACTTTTTCTGCAACTTTTGGTTTTAATTCATCCGCTTTCTTTGCTGCAGCATCCTTGACTTCTTCGGCTTTTTTACTGGCGTCATCAGCCAGTTGAACACCGGTCGCTTTAGCTTGATCTAATTTTTCCTGTGCTGTGCTTTTCAATTCAGCAGTTTTCTTCGATGCATCGTCGGCGAGTTGAGCACCGGCCGCCTTAGCTTGATCAGCTGTCTTCTGTGCAGCATCTTTAACTTCTCCGGCTTTCTTGGCAGCATCATCTGCTAATTGAGATCCGGCTGCTTTAGCCTGATCAACTTTCTCCTGTGCGGCGTCTTTGACTTCATTGGCTTTCTTCGATGCATCATTAGCTAATTGTGCACCTTAAAAAAGCAAAGATTGAATTCATTTTCAAATTTTTTATGCTTCATTTTTTAGCTATTCTTTTGTGTTAAGAAAACAAATTGTATTAGTAGACAAAATATTAGAACTTGAAGTGCTTGAATATCAAATAGGAACAACATACTCGATTCTTTCGCCTTCTGAACAGCTTCATCTACTTGAGGTTCTATTTTCTCAACTTTCTCATTTGCAGCATTTGCAGCAGCGTCTGCTTTCGCTTTCACTTCGCCACCTGACGCACAAAAACTCGACTGTCATCACAATATCGAAAGACAGTCAACGTTACTTACCCTTCTGCTCTGCTTGATGTTTCAACTCCGCCGCTCTCTCTTGCACACCATCTTTTATTAATTCAGCAGCTTTTTGACCTATTCAAAACAGCACACAATACATTTAATCGCTCGATAAATCAATTAAGCCATCTGATTTATAATGACAACTCTAAACACTAACTTACCGTGAGCAAGAGCTTCGTTTACTTCAACCTGAACATCCGAAGCAGTAGTTGGTCGGTTTTTATTGTCTGACATTGTAGATAAAATATCTAAAAGAACGGCAAGTCACGTTTTTCACTCTTTAAACTTTACTATAAGCACATTTTATCAGTAACATAAAATAAAACGTCAGCACACAGTTTGTCGACGACTATTTATACAGTCTCACGTTGCAAACGGAGTAAAGTACGTTAGTCAGCCGAACAGAGCGTATGACCCGATTCGTTCGAGTAATACACATTGAATCGACGAGAAAAAGCGAGAAAAAGATTTCTGTTCCTTTCGCTAGGATACAACTATTGATTTTTCAGTACGAAGAACATTTTTTGTTCTTTCTCTTTCTCGATCTCTCGTCAACTAACACATCTAATCGTAAAATGCACTCAACTACTCCTCCGAAGATGCGAGCCAACAAAACACGACGAAGAAGAAGAAAGAGAGAAAAAGCCAAGACGCAGTCGACAATGCTATGATGCTGATAGCAAACAGTTGAAATCATCAGAAAAAAAAAACATTTTTTTCTCTATTTCTTCCACAATCATGATAATAATTTTGCGATGAATGCCATACATTTTCCTTCGTCCGGATTGCTTCGTTTTCTCGTTTTTTTCCATTCTAAATATGCGACTCGTGTTCCCGGCATCAAAAAGAAAAATAACAACGCACGATAAACACATATAATAGAATGTAAACGTTTTTAGAGTAGATTTATTTTAAAGACAAGTTATATATATAAAATAAAACAGGATGAGGCGAGTTTTCAGAATGTCATCTACACTCAACAACCTTGAAATTTTGCTTCTCGTTTTTGACGAAAAGCGTTTCGTCCTTCATCGATATCATTCGATATCAAACATGCATCAATAGCAGCTTTGATAGCCGTTTCATCGTTCTTATTTTCAATCATTAATTTTATCGAACGAAGTGATAATGGAGCATTGGTTGAAATTGTTCGAGCTAGATTGAGTACATACTTATCTAAACTATCATGATTATCACATACATGTTGAATTAATCCTTTTGAATAAGCTTGGTCAGCTGATATTCGATCACCGGTATAAAGTATCATTTTTGCGTCAGATTCACCGATTAAGTTAATCAAACGGTCAACAATATCTTTAGGACAAGGTACACCTAATTTCACTGCAGGAATGCTAAACGAAGCGTTGGAAGATGCAATACGAATATCAACGTTCATTGCTAAGGCTAGACCACCACCTAAACAGTAACCATTGATCTTTGCCATGATCGGAATGGGAAATTGTCGAAGTTTGACTCGAATATTCGGGATAGTTTGATCGATTCCATCGCCTTCGTTTTCCGATAAATCAGCACCTGAACAAAATGAGATTTGTCCTTCACCAGTTATTATTAAAACACGAATAGTTTGATAACGAACGAGACAATCGTCAAGAAGATCTGATAACCCGAACCACATCTGACGAGAGATTGCGTTACGCTTAGCTGGATTATTAATTGTAATCCGTCCAATATGCGATGGTTCATCAAGGATATCGAATAAGATTAAGCCAGATGCATAATGGTTCGTCGAACGACATTCAGACATGTTTCTATAAGATGAAAATATAAATTAGTTCGAGCTGTCATATTCAATGAAATGTACATCAATCTTCATATTGCATCACGAGAATATGTAAATACATTCCGGTTTTCGATCATATTAAAGAAAAGATCAATATCAATTTCATTTGGTTCAGGTATATTGGAATTCAATCCTCAACTAGCTGGTCAAGACGTAACTCCAGCCAATCTCGAGTTCGGCTCTGTGTCATCTCGACGCCGGGAACGGCGAGAAAAATCCGCTAGTGCTGCATCAACAACACCAGGTAGAACTTTAGTATTTTATTACTTTGGAATAACCTTGCTTCGTCTGTCTTAGGTCATCAACATCCATTTTATACCCATCATACTTCATCATTTACTGCAATAAACGATGAAACAGCACCATCGGTTCGTATACTATCGAATAATACAGTCGTCTGTAGAATATTTCTAAATTCGTCTTTCAGACAAATCAAACTCCATCGATTGATCCATATCAATCTAGTGTCGAGTATCGATTACAAGAATTAACTAAGTATGATTGCTTTTCAATTTTCATTTCCTACTGAAAAAAATCGACTTTTCTCAAATATATTTAGACGTTTATTGACACTTGAAACAAAACTATCGGAAGATGTATCTACAGTTCTACTAATCTTACGAAATCAATTCCAATCAAATAACTTATAAATATCAGTCTCGTCAGCGGAAACATTACAATCGAATTCTTAAAAAAGGCTACATATCTGTGATAAATCCCTCTGATCACACACTTTTAACGTATAACATATATAAGTCGAAATTTGAATTCATGAAAGAAAAACGGAAAAAACACTATTCATGTCATTGATGTATGTCTTTATGTTTATAAGTTCCGTCCTTTTGTTACCTTTTCTTCCTTTACGTCGACCGATAGCAATGTGCGTTTGTTTTGTGTAAAAAATACATTAAACTATAGAATACCATGTTTCTAAATATATCACACCGTATATATCTGTTCGAATCAACTACAGCGATATCTATGATAAAGAAAACAGACGTTTTTCTATTGGAGATTTGTCTATTAACCAATAGGATTGGTCTGCTATTGGACAAAGCAAAAATGTCTTCTTCTTCTCTTCGTTTGGATCAATTATTGAATTGAATACACAATTTTATTTTGCACGAAATCGTTTTGCATTTTATGAGAGAAATTTCAATCACTTTTTTGTTCATATATGTCGATGCCCAACATTGTTGACTGTATGGAACATGATCGTCAGTAAAAAGCAAAAAGGCATATCACGTTTGAGAATAAATACTTGGCTTATGAGATGTTATTTTGTTTGGTAAGAAGATTTTTGGACTTGACGATATTGCATTCGTAGAATATCGTAGTGTAGATTGTGAAGGTGTTATTTACCCTCAGGACTTGTGTCTTAGTCACCGGTGCATACGATCAACTAATGTTTTTTTCTTTTCAGATTTGAGAAAATGGGTGGCGTTACACAAAAGATGACTGATACAATCAAAAGTGTACCTGCTTTAGCTCCAGCAGGTATACAAGCTGTCGTTGTTCTACGTGACCCAAATAATGGACAAGTGTACGGGCAAGTCGAATTTATGCAAACAGACGACGGAGTTGTTACTGTTAGTGGAGAAATTAAAAATATTCCCAACAAGGAAAAACGTGGCTTTCACATCCATGAATTTGGCGATACGACGAATGGTTGTACTTCAGCTGGTAAATTATTTTCTTCGGAATGCGTTTTGATATTGATGATCATTGTTTAGGAGCACATTTCAATCCTGAAAATAACGAACATGCTGGCCCACAAGATGCACTTCGTCATGTTGGTGATCTTGGTACATTCGAATCAAGAATATCTTCATTCTTTTTTGAACGTAATTGATTGCGTTTTTTCTAGGAAATATTGTTGGTGGCACAGGAGATGTTGCGAAATTTAATTTTAAAGATTCAGTCATCAAATTAACTGGTCCACATTCGATTATTGGTCGGTCCGTTGTTGTTCATGAGAAAGAAGATGATTTAGGTCGAGGTGGAAATCCAGATTCGAAAAAAACTGGTAATGCAGGCGGTCGCATTGCCTGTGGTGTTATTGGATTCAAGAAAGTCTAATCGAGCAGAATAATTTATTTTCCTAAGTCCTTTTTACTTTTAGTTTATTTTTATGAAAAATAATCTCGCGGAATTTCGTTCTCTTTATTGCCCATTTTTCGTTTCAGATCTGAATAATGCCACTTCGGTACGCTGTTGTGTGTTCATCGAATCAAAATCGAAGCATGGAAGCACATAACTTGATGAATAAACGTGGTCTTATTGTAAGGTCATTTGGTTCGGGCCAACAAGTCAAATTGCCGGGCACATCATTAGAAAAACCAAACATTTACACGTTTGATACGACCTACGATTTCATGTACAAAGATTTGTATAATAAAGATGCAAATTTATATACTCAAAATGGTGTTTTACATATGTTAGATCGAAATCGTCGAATTAAAGAGAAGCCCGAACGTTTTCAAGATTGTCGAGAACGTTTCGACGTGATTTTTACTGTCGAAGAACGAATATTTGATCAAGTTATGGAAGGTAAGACGAACTCATTTTGATAATAATAAACACATTCGGGATTAGATTTAGAGAATCGTGAGAAGCGTACGAATGAAATTGTGCATGTCATTAACATCGACGTTATTGATAATCCTGAAGATGCTACAGTTGCAGCATTTATGCTATGTGAGTTGGGTCAAAAGGTAAACGAAAGAACGTGATGTATAGTGTGACCCATCTATTATTGTTTTAGTTGAACGCAACGGAAGATTTAGATAATAGCATTAATGAAATTCTGATCGAATTTGAACAGAAGAATAAGCAAACTATTTTACACGCTGTTTCGTTTTATTAATTCCGAGCAAAGCTCATTTGTGAAATGATGATCGTGCTTTTTTTTGTACTATTGTTATTATTACTTAAAAAATAATTTGTAATTGTTGTTTTGTTCGGTTTGTTTGTTTTTTCATATTTATTTATTGAAGATATGAACGATCAAGGCACTGAAGCTTCGACTACTAATCAAGAAGGTATGAAGAATTTTCTCTGAATATCATGTGTAATCGAGAAATGATGCTTTTTAGAACAAAATGTTCTTCCAACGCCGAAAGAAACACAGCAACCACAGCAAATCAATGTTGTTGATGATGCTGCACTTCAAGCTGTGCTCAGTTCAATGAGTGAAACAGAGATGAACGCATTCCTGGAAGAATTAAATAAAACTGGCAAAGCTTGTACGAAAGCAAACAACAAGAATTGCTTCTATTAGATTACGCGCAATTTTTCTCTGATTTAGTTCTACCTGCTATCGGTCAAACCATTGAACTATTAACTGTGAATGCACCAGCCGAACTGCCAACTACAACAACGACGGCTGCAGCAGCAATAAATCAACCATCTGCGGAAATACTTCTTCAAGAGCTTACAACACTTATTCAACAACCACCAGCTGATATTGTACCACTGAATATCGGACAAAAACTAGCTGGACCAACATCACGTACAGGAAATACAGCAGTGAAATCAACAATCACATCAAACAATAATGCGACGATTCGTAAACCTATGCAACAACAAATGACAAATGATGAACGAATGTTTTTTGGTCGACCTACAACTATCGGACAAGGACAATACCATAATCGAACTGGATTGATGCCCGGCAACAGACCACAACACCAGCAACAGCAACACCAACAGCAACAACAGATTCATCATCATCAACAACAACAACAACAGCAGCAGCAACAACAACAACAAGCTATGTCATCTCAACAGCGACGACCTATATCTTGGTTTCAGTAAGTAATGAAATAAAAACTGGATTATCGAATTCTCTCTATTGTTTAGGAATCGTTCTCGACGACATTCCTCTGATGATGATGATGATTCTGATCGAGATTCATCTCCACCTATGAGCGGCAATGATAGTTTAGGACCAACACGTCGTTCAACGCGTGTACCTAAGCCAAAACAAGATGCAGATTTCGTAACATTTCCACTTTTGGATCGTGATGAAAATGGCAATCCAATTCCACCGACACCTTCGTCGATGCCATTGAACAAAGGTGAAGATGATGAAGACGATATTCCTTATCGTTTAATGGATTATCCACGTCCACAACAGCAGCAGAATCAACAAAATCAACAATCGCAATCATCAACAGGTGGTCCAGGTCGAAAACCACGTTCAACAGCCGAAATTCGTAGTTCAACAAATCTGAATAAGAAACAAGCCCGTTGGCCAGATGATGAAATGTATCATGTCAAATCATTCGTACCGCTCATTATGCCGCAACAAGTAATTAATCCATCAACAATGAAAAACAAGATGACACTCTGTAAACCATTAGTATCTGAACGTGAGGTAGAAGCGAAACCAACGCGATTTACAATTGCTACCCAAACAGGTCTGTCTATTTATTTTGCGTTCTCTTATAAACTATTCATATGTTTATTTCTATTTTAATAGAAATGGAACATATGATACCAGATGTACCTCTAGTTACTCTACCTGTACCAATTTATCTTCCATCACCAACACCGAGCTATCGCCTATTCAAACCAAAAGCGGTACCTATACCGGTACCATTCTTTGTTCCCATTATGATACCTGTACAACGTAAAACTTTCAAAAACATTCGTGATTATCTTCAAGTAAGATTCTCTAGCTCTGATATGATTTTGTCAAGAAAAACGTTGCGAACTACTTAGACTCAACGTGATCTTTTACCGGATGATCCATTCGAAGCTGCGCTTGTTATGCACGCAGAAAGTCTAGTTCGTGCAGAAAATCAGCCACAACAGACGATAACAACCAACGGAAATGACTCAGTTATGATGATGGATTTAGCACGTGATGGTAAAGATAATCTTCGTAGTTTTTTTTTCATTTTTGATCGCTTCTATTTTCAGATTCGTACATAACACCCTCGCAAACAATAGAGAATCTGCCAGAACTTGATTTGGAAGCGCATTATATTGATCCAATCACTTCAAATGATCCCGAAGTTCAAAAAGTATGATTATTCCGAAGAAATTTTCCAACTATAAGCGAATTTCTAGCTTCTTCGAATGTTACCCGACGCTGGATACCGCCTGAAATGGACATATGGTGTTGAAGCATTCCAACAATGGAGCACCCAACGTAATCGGCCGTTTCTTTCAGCTCCACCTGACGGTAAAGCTATTGAACTCACAAATTTTTCTTTGTAATAGAAAAAAGATGTTTGTATAGAGGCAGAATTAGCCAAACAATACTTAGTTAAATCTGATCTGCTTTCATACGTCAATGGTGATGAATTACAGCACGTTATGGATGCATTCGTACATGAGGTTCGACGGCCATCGGGAGAGCCATATTTACCAGAGAGCATCTATTACCTTTGTTTGGGTAAAAAGAAAGCTTGAAAAAGTCAGCTGATATCATTCTATTTTTGTCGTAGGCGTTCAATTTTATTTGAATATCAACAATCGCCAAATTGATCTGTTCGATCCACGTTACATCGAATTCAATTCAACTTTGAATAAAATCCTTCAATCTTATACACCACGCGTATTAGCTGATTGTATGTCAATTCTCTACTTTTCTTTCCTATTCAATACATATTTCGTTTTTGCTTAGCTAATACCTATGTATCATTGATTGATGAAGACCTACTATACGATGTTCATCAATTAGGTACTCTAACGCCATGGTCATTATTAACAACATTACTCTATACAAATTCGAAATATTTTAATCTGAAAACGGTGGAATCACATATGGCTATTTCGTTTGCAAATTTCGGTAAATACTCACAATGGGTACGTTTGGCACCGAATTCTCCACAAGGACAACAGATGAGTTATCTACGCTTCTATGCACACAACCCAGGTGAGACAATTGATGATAAGGATCATTACATTCTCTATCTTCGATCTATTTAGATTTAAAATCATTAGTAAATTCACCTACCGTCTATGAAATAACGGAACAAGTCAATGATCCTGTTCGATGTCCGATCAAACAATATGATTTCTATATCTCGAAGTGGTAAGATTGAATACGAATAGAATTGTTCATTTTCTCATCGTTTTTTTCTTTCGTATCTAGTCCAGAACAAATTCGTGGTACGGCTGATGTTTTCTATCTGCGTCCTGTACTTGAGCAAATACAAGAAAATTCAGTTTGGTATTCAAATGAATCACTGGCACCAACAATTATTGATCAAATCCTCAACAGACTCAAACTAGTACCAGATTTTTACAATCAAACCAAACCCGTGGAGACAAACTCCACTTCACTAAATGGAAATAACTCATTTATCTCCTCATCATCGTCAACAACCATTGCAACACCACCACCACCACCAGCAACATCAAACCCAAATAATTAACTTGTTTTATTAGTCATTCATTGCTTTGTTTGTAATGCTCATTGTTAAGAGCAAATCGCATATGTTTGTACAGAACTTTGTCTCCTTCTTCTTCTTCTTCTTTGTTTCTATCGGTTTGATGAAAATGTTACATCGTGTATACGTGTTCTTGTATTATTTGTTTCATTGATAAAGAGAGAAAAACCAACCACATATTTGGGATAAAAATTAACACGATATTTCTTTACTGACGCTAACTTCATCACTACAATTGTATATAACGTGTATTTTATTCATTTTTTTCAATTTGTTTTTGTCATGGATCGACTTGCATTAACAACATTGGCATTTTCTGTTATTGCTATATAAGTGAAAGCAAAATGATGGATTCCAAAGAAATTCTGCTGTTGTAATCAGATAGAAAAGAGCTGAAAAATAGCGATGTACTTTGTCAATATTGATTAGGATATGATTCTAAGTGTGGGAGGGAGAAGAAACATCTCTGACATGATTTATCTGATGAAATTTCTGAAAGAAAATTTCGAATGGCTGTTTCATATGCAACGTAAACGATCAGTCAATTCTAATCACAACGACAGAGAAAGAGGATCGTTCTGTTTTTGTTTTTGATTGTTTTTCGATGTTCGCTTTTTGAAAAAATTACTTACAAGAATTTTTCTTTTAAATCTTGTGTCAATATTATTCTTCGTTTACTTGCGATTATGAAAATGGAAGAAGAAAATTCTTTCGTCACCCACCGTTTACGCCCTTTCTCTTACATATAAAAAATAATTCGAAACAGAATATATAAACAACATTCCGTTTTTTTCTTGAATTACACTCATCAACAACAGTCTTTTAATAAAGAGCAAAAGATGAGCGCATTGTCAGGCGCATCCCGTCGTCAATTACTTACTCCTGATGTTAATCCACCGAACAAACCTGATGATCCATCAACATTCGGAACATTCTATCGTGCATCATCGGCTGTTTCAACAAGTGATATCAATTTTCCAAAAGTTTTCAGCAAATCTGATGAAGTCGGTGAACAAACTTTATATCAAGTCGAAATTGTCAATGAAAAACTACAACGCAAAGCATACCGATCGGAATTAGCTAGTAAAAAGAAATGCCTAACACGACGATGGCAAACAGCATTAGCCGTCGGCTTACTTCTCGGCTCATTAGCGATTGGATTAGGTAAGTTGGACATCAGTCTACATCAATATATCTTATATTCTTTTCATTCAATTTCTCTAGGTGCTATTGGATATTGGATGTCAATTCCAAAGACGATCTCGCAACCGTACTTGCTCTACGGAGAATCATGTTATATGAATTCTCGTTCGTGTGACGAATCTCGTTTGCTTTGGTGTCCAGCAGGCACATGTATATGTACGTCAAATTTCAATTGGAATTCGACAATACAAAATTGTACATGCGGAGCGGGCTCAACTTACAACGGTTTTCGTTGTCAAGGCTTAGGTTATTATGGTGATCCATGTACTTATGTCGGTTGTCATGCAACATTAACATGCACTCAAGTTGCGAATCAAACATATACAACTGGTCAATTCATATGCGTATGTGACAATGCTACTTACTTAGATACAATTTCTGGCAGTGCAACACTTGGTCAATGTGTTCCTCGATTACCATATAATTCCAGTTGTTTAGCAGAAACCGATTGTCAGGACTGGCTAGGTCTTCAATGTCTCAATATGTCAGGAAGTAAGTAAATGAACTGCTAACGATGGTTAATTATAAGGGTCTTCTTGTATAACAGGTTCACGATGTGGATGTGATCCATTGACATCGTACTGGGATCCATCAGCAGGCATATGCAAATCAAGTACGATTCCCTTTGCTATCATTTTCATTTAATTAATTTGTTGAATTTGATTTATTTTTCTAGAGGTTCTTGGATGGGATCCGTGTAATTCGTCTGTTCCATGCGATACAACGAGAGGTTTGACATGTGTGTCAGGTTATTGTGAATGTGATGCATACAGTTTCTGGGATAATGTTACAACAAAATACTGTCAAACACTGGTTTGTATCTGAAACTAATTCGCGCTCTTCCATATTTATAACACTTTTTCTCATTCTGATTCTAGAAAACATACGCCGTCACTTGCCAATACAATTTTCAATGTAATCAAACAGTCAATCTGTCATGTCCATCAACAAGTACTGGCTGTAATTGTTATGCGACATCGTACGCCGGTATGTGCGATTGTCAACTCGGCAATTTCTGGGACGGTCTTCGATGCACACCTGTACACATATTTAACGGAACATGTCCGGGACAATATGCTTGTGCATCGAATCTGGTTTGCTATCTAGGGCATTGTATATGTCCGGGTAATATGCAGTGGGGTGTGGTAACTGCAGGTCAATGTGATTGTGCACCGCCGACAACGTGGACCAATACAACTAACCAATGTATATGAAACAGACAATTGCACATTATGACCATTTATAGTGCATATGCGAGGAATAATTCCGTTTCTTTTTATGTAATCATATATTTGAATGATTGACTTTTGAAATCTTGCTTTACAAAATGCAAAAGATAAAGTTTGTTTTTCTTTGTAAGAAGAATCTTCGATTTCATTCGTGATTTGGAGAAGATATGATTACCCTATTCACTCTTTCCATAATGTTTTTGATCTGATATCATTAGATTGATAACAGTGTTCCTATTCTTATCTTTGATCTTTTCTTTCATTCGGACAATTAATCAACTGATCCGATGAGCTCATTTATTCGACGCCTATAATATTATCCATATGTCGCTCGACACCTATTCATTTCGAACATGTCATCACAGTCTCGTCACGTCTACACACGCAATGAGCGGATGATACTCGAAGCCAGTTTTGCTAGTGAACCGCACCCAAACATTCAAGAAAAAGAACGTTTAGCTAAATTATTAAATTGTAACCTCATTCAAATCTCCAATTGGTTCCAAAATCACCGAGTAAGATAAAGCATCTTCGTCTATTGATCTCTCATAGCTTTCACCTTTAGCGTCGATTAAAGAAACAAACAAAAATCAAGACAAAAACAATTATAAAAGATGAGCTGATCATTCCAACTCCACACGACGCATCGTATTACCAATTTCCAACAGCAGAAGTAACAACTTGTCCATATTGTCTTAACCACGATCAAACCTCTTACTATTATCATTGGTCACCATCTCAATATATTCTTTCACACGAATCATACAACACACAACCGATAAGTTTCGATGAATCTGTTGCTTATAAAACTTGAATTTGCTATCAAATAAATTGAAATGGCGCTCGAATCACAACCTGTCATATTGCTCTAAGTTCTTTTTTTCATTTGATTTTTTCTGAAACATCTCAATGATGGGAAAAGTTAATGTGACACGACATCATCGGGCGGAAAAGGCTATCATTGATGCACTATTGAAGATTTCGGAGATTATTCAGAAAACAGAAACTAATCGACAGCTGAGACATGTAAACAAAAGTGTAAAAAACACTGTCGGTGATGGTGATTATCATGAACGATCTAACGATGAACAACGAGTGCCAATGCCACCAGCAATGCGTACATTGGAATCTTATGTATCAGAGTTTCGCCAACCATGCAATTGTAATCAAGCATCTAAAGAATGTTCAATGGGTTGTGTTCAAGGTGCGCAAAACAGTAATCATTCATTTGGTAAATTAGAATACGAAGATGATCGATCGTGCAAACGGTATTATTCTGATACCTCGTATTCGGAACATGAAGAACAATCTACAAAACGTCGGTTAAGTTACAGTTCATTTCAATCTGATGGGAGTTCACAGCCGGTAGGGAATCAATTGAGAACTTTTGCGGTGAAACAATTAGATACGTTAAGCTATGTGAGGAGTTGAAAACCATCGATAATCAACCAACAATTACTAGTGTGAATTCTTCAACAGTGCCAAATCAAGTCAAATCGATGGCCACCTCAAGCGCGGATGATCAATTATCGCGTTCACTAGCGATACCTGTAGTGTCAGGTACTGTTGAACAACAACTCATTTGTTCAGCGAATTCGAAAGAGAACGAAAATCAATCAATCGATCAACATTTACAAGAAACATTGGAAAAGCACTTGCGCGATTGTTTATTATCTTCACCAACGCGAACACTGAGTCAGGAACACATTCCGGAAGAAAGAAGAACGAAATCGATTACTCTAACGAAGTCCGAAACGGAAAACGTTATGAACCGAATACATTGTACTCAACAAACAAGCAGTTTGGAGCACTACGAAAAACAGGTTCGATGTACTTTAGATTTGATTGCTTATGTCAAAAACAATCACTTGTTTTTTTCTTTTCACTTCAAGCGTCAATCAGCTCTGCTTGCTGTTGAACAAGGCAACTATTCCTTGTCTTATTCTATCTATTCGAATCTGTTGCATGATTATCGAGAAAATTATAAATTGAAATCGGAAATATTAGCATCACGTGCTATGAGTTTATTGTTAGAACAAAAATGTTTTGAATCGATCGAAGATTGCACACGAGCGATTGTTTTCAATCAATGGAATAAATTAGCATATGTCGTTCGTGCAGCATGTTGGATGATTAAACATGAATATGTAAAAGCTGTCGAAGATTACTCGAAACTATTTCACGTGTTCGACCAAAGTCAATACGTTCTAGATCTATTGAATTTAGCTTTTAGAAAGTTGAAAACGTCGAAGAATGATGGAAATGGATTGAAAACTATCGAGCCGGAGAAGAAAATTGTTTCCTCGATCGCCGATGAAAATGTATCATTATGTTTAGCATCACCTACCGCTTCATTCATTCAACCAGCTGTATATCTCTGCTATCCTTATCAAACCTATCCAAGCTGTTACGCTAAGAACGGCAAAGAGTCCTCCTATGGCATCAACCAGTAATCAACTAGTAACAACAACGCACATTTAATAACAGCTGACTCGAAATTGAATTTTCCGCGAAGAAACACGATGTTTAGCGATCATTCTAACATTGATTCATTCATTGACATTTATTATTATGACTCATTTTTGTTTCAAATAAAATATTCTGACAAAACAACGACTAGAAGAGTATTGTGAGAAGATAATTGACAATTAGAAATAAGTGACTCCACCAAAAGACATTTCCATTTGGGTTTGTTGATCTGCAAATGCAATCCAATCGGAATTGTATGTCGGTAATAAACCCATCGATTGACATTTATATAAAGCTAACGCTAAATGAGTGAGATTGCCGAGAAAGTACATAATTTTATGTAGCCAAATGTTTCCAACTAAACCTTCTTGTTGCAATGAAGAAAACGCCGAGCTAAGTGAAAATATTGCCTAGAAAAGCAATTGAATAGCATACATTCGAAAGACAAGATCTAATTTACTTGAATCGGTTTCATAAACAACATGACGACAATCATAATCGACATTAATGAAAAGGAATTTCCAGCCATCCAAGCTAAAACGACATTCATAGGTAGTTGTTTGATTGGTTGTAATGCGATATCCCATGAACGTCGAGCTAATAAATGTTCGTCATCTTCATGGGTCAATAGATCTGACAAACGTTGTTCACTGAAACCAAGCGGTGAGACTAAAAGCTTCGTACTGTTCGTATTTGCTAATACTGTTGTATTGTTTTCGTTAGTTGTGACTGAAAGTCGATCATTGCGGCGAACTTGAAAATCGATGAACCATTTCCGACGTGAAGGTGTTGGACGTGTAGATGTATTCGTTGTTGAATGTTGGCTAGTCATCTAAAAGACAATACTCAATAGTTTTTATGTTCCGGAAAGGCAAAAGAGACGATCTAAATGAACGATTACGAATCGGCTCAGATATCGTTTTGATCTAAAATAAAGAACGGAATTTCGATGAATTATTTTAGAAAACAACAGAACTGATTTTCATTAAATAAATATTATACTTTAAAAAAAAAATTTGTATCGACATGCAAAAAACCTTGGAACGCAAGATTGAAAGAAAAAAAAAGCCAGAAGAGATTAGAATATTTTCTTTCTGAAGTTCATTTTATTTCGGTTCATCATTAGGTACATTCGATTCTTTAAGTGGATTTTTTAAAAACCGACCGCCGACGCGAACAAATGGATTGTTGAATGGATTAAATTGCGGATCTTCATTGCCATTTCGATCGTTCATATCACCACCACGCGTCAAATGATATAAAACCGTTAAAATCGTAATAAAGACAAAAAGAACAACTAATATCATGTAAATTGTGTAACGAGTACGAGACATCGGTGGACGATGACTGGAACCACCTTTTCGATTAGTTGGCTGACGAGAACGTAACCATCGTGCAAACCAAGTGAACACACTGCGCCGTTTGTATTTATCTTCGACATCCGGATCGTTTCCGATAGACTATGTGTATATGCATAGAAATTTTAATTATTCGTTATTGTCATTTTACATACTTTGGGTAGAAATGTTGTTGATTCGTGTGACATGTCGATAGTTCGATGAGGCAAATGCGATAATCGGTTTGTTTCTCCTATCATACTATTGCCACTTGCAGTTGGATTCACGATGACGTAGCCGTTTTTTTCCGTTTCAACCAACGATTGTTGATTTTCGTGATGTACTGGCGGTTCATTCGAAGATAAACTTGCCAAATGTGTTGCCCAATGAGCAGTCGCTAGTTTCTTTCGCAATTGTTCAGCAACTGGTGAGGCAAGATTGGGTGGCGGAAAAACACACATTTGACACGTAGGACACGTGTAACCATCGGGTGCTGTATGAGATGGAAATGAGCGAAAATATTCGTCGAGACATGACCAATGGAACAGGTCGTAACAAACTAAACGTATTGTTTCTTCTCCGGTATCAGTTAATGATCGCTGACATAGAGAACAATTGGGATTGAAATCATTATCTTGTAGCCATGAGACGTACGAACGCACAATACATTGGGGATGTTCATTCACCAGACAGGATTCACAAACGTTGACATGATGTTTAAAACAGAATAAGGTGGAGACTTTGCGCTGCGGACATTTGCATAGTCCCATGATATCTTTGAATTAAAAAAAACTAATGGTACTCTTGTGTCTGAAGGTTGATTAGAAGTAGACACATCGTCAGTGGAATGGAAATGGTACTCATTGGACAAAACATCGACCAATCAGAAAGCATCGATGCAATTAAATCTCAATTATTTTATCTTATTTGTAATTAAAAATCTCTTTTTTTTCACAAATAAATTATTCAAATAGTTATCCAATAGAAATTTATCATCGATTCATAATCACGATTATGTCATCATCTTCTTCTGCGCTTGAGCATTCATTCATTTTGATAGTCTGTACAGAAGAACTTCCTTATATGGCCGATGGACCTTCATCAGTGACAACTACCAATCCCCGAACATCATCGAATCCTTCGTTACCTATAGAATATCAGATTCGTCCACCGAATCTTCCAACAGTCCGTGAATCTCCATTAACTGGTCTCGGTGCACCGAAATATCGACCGCGATCGATTTGGTACGAACTTTGGAAATCTAAACTAGCTTTTATACTCTTCGCTACCTCATCTACACTGATCTATTACGATTATCAACGTACTCAACGTTACAAAGCACAGAAAGCATTAAACGCAGCTAGCGAAGCAAAAGAAGCACAGAATAAGAAATGACCCTCGAAGTAACTCGATTCTGGTTGAAAGAAGTCTGTGTTAAACGCTGGTATATATTTCCATTCATCGCTTATTCATTATTTGTTCAAAAACATGAAAATCTTCGACAAGATTACTTTCGTAATCGAAGTCAATTAGTTGGTGGAATGAACGAACCAAACTGGTGATTCAAAGCAAACCAAACCGATTTTCTATGCGTGTGTTTTTTTCGTGTTCTTCTAGTTTTCATATTCCCCGAATAGATAAATTTCTAAGGAAACTACGATTCAGTTTTCTTTTTATTTCTTTTGTGAACAAAAATAATACAGCGACAAGACGAAACAAAGACAAGTAGCAATGAAAACGAAAATTAGGCTGAAGAAAAACATGAATTTACTCGATCTGGACATTGATAATTGTTGCAAAAGGAGTGTTTTCGATGAAGGATAGACTTTTACTTGATGTGCATTGAACCAAATATTTAACCGAAATGACTGATGTGCAGGTACACGATAATTCAGATAATTCTCTGCCAAGCACATGTAATGTCCTAGAAGAAAAATGATTTGTGCGAAGTGAAGCAAAACAATTGTAGTTTACCTCGTTGATGCCAAGTAGCATTTTCAATAAAATATCGTCCGTGTTGACTTTGATTCAGTAATGTTTGATTTTCACCATTTAGGAACCAAATAAGAGTGTAGACTGGTTTTGGATTTCCATCAAATTCTTCGCAATTTATTTCAATCAATGAATAACTGTTGAATGAACGTGTAAAATAATAATTACCGCGCAGATAAGCTTTATATTCGACGTTCAGTATAGTTGGTAAACTCGTGTTCAGAATGGCTTTCGTGGTTTGAAATTCTTGCTGTAGAAGCATGCAAGACACATGTTGGTTGTGATCATTACGATCCAAATCGTAATTCAGGAGATTAGCTGCATATGAGTAAGAATTAGATGATAATGGAGATAATTCATAACGATCGGAATCATGACTATAGATGGTCATATACCAGGTTGAAAGAAGTGTCGAACGAAATCGTTCGATAAAGGTACGGTCAGCAAATAAAGATATCGAACAAGTGAAGTTGATCTGTTGTCCAGCATGGTACGTCGATTGTCTAGAAGATGATGGTAGTGAGATAGAAAGTGAAAGATTCTGTGTGAAGAGAATCACCTAGAAGAGAAATTTATCAAGGCAATCTGTATCCATGAATTGTGATCAATTTTACATGATAGAAATAGTATTCAGAGTTCTTTGAATTAATTTTAATTTCAAATGTATAGAATCCTTCATCACCAACTAGAGTTCGTAAGATCAGAAGTTTTGTCTGATTGACGATAACATAGCGTGATGAAATCGGTACAATATATGAATGTGTCGATCGTACTAAGGTAAAGATTGCTCGTTTCAAGTCGTCACCACCTTTATACCAAGTGATGTTTTTCGAATCATTCAATTCGATGATCTTATCAAGATTGAATACTAATTGTGCTCCGAGCACTGCTGAAAGTGATATGACTAGGTCAGAATTCTGACTAGCAAGGTGAGAATATTGACCAGTGACTAATTTAACAATGATCAACAAGAGAATAGATCGATGTTTAAGTTGCATTTAGCGCGTCCGAGAGAATCAATGCTAATTAATCAAAATACAATATGCATACACTTAGTGTTTAATATACTAGCTAGAAACCGGATTTCATTAGTAAAACTAAATATATCAAACTACATATATTAACAAAAAAAACACGAAATACATGAGATCATCTTTAACAGGGAATCCATTCAGTATGATACACGTTTCTTGTTTGTTACAATATATGTCTAGCGAGAATAAATATATAGATACAATCGTAGAAAAACCACAAAGGTATTCGAAAATATCAAGATAGAGAAGGTTTGGAAGGAGAGGATTAGTGTTTTTTCTTATCACTACTTCCACTACCGACACGCTCTTCACGTGTATCTCGTCGGCCAACATCATGTTTCGGCAAATGACCTTTCATCTGTTTTTCATTGACGGCTTCGATAGTATCACGTTGAAGGTCAGTCATATCCTTTTTAAAATCGCCTTGTTTGGTAGCATGTTGTTTATCACCTTTAACAGCCGCCTCTACAATGCAAAAATGTACTTACATCAATCGAAAAAGTTATATTCATACCACTATCGGAAGCAACTGTATCTAACCATCGTTTTTCTCTACCAGATTTCAAATCATCGGATGCTTTGTCCTTAGCTTTCGACTTTGTATGATCACCATCGCCGAGTCTGGACGCACTTGTACTGAATAGACGAGATGACGTCGTTGTCAGTAATCGAGGATTAAATACAGCTGAGGAAATATATCGAGTTAACATGATTTTGAAAGTTTACAGAGAAGATCTTTTAAACCGTACTCAATGACACTACGCGATTCAGTTATTTAGTAACGATTGGCGAACATGCGTGCGTTACGTTACCCAATGATCTTCGCTCTGGTAGAATTTCCATTAGAGAGGGCGATATTTCGCTATTCAGTCGATTTTTTAGGTAAAATTGTATTTTTTTTAATTTCTCTGCTTTATTCTTAGCGAAAAAGGATAGAGGTAATCACCAGTATGGTAGCAATGGAATCGTCCAATGTAGTTATTAACCATTGATTAGAAACGAGGAAAAATTTATGAGGAGCTCTTCAAACTGGAATGAATAATATATTTTTTCTCTAATCTTCTAACAGAAATACTTCACCAAAACTTTTGCTGCTATATATCCGATGAAAAATCATTAAGAACGGCAATTAAAGTGTCTGATTATCTTGTTGTATGTTTTTCCAACTTTGCATAATATGCTGCTTATTTATATGGTAAAACCATTTATAATGCTGAATGATCCATCATTCAATAGAATTGAAGATAGCAGTTTTGCCACACATATGAAATTCCCAAATTAGTCTTGTAATATATCCTGCTGATGGTTATTGTCAGAAATATGCTCCTATGTTTTCTTGCATTTCACAACGTGCACTTTATCGAACTACTCAAAAGTCATATATACAATGCACGATAATCATTATTAACCAAATACCATGTGACGATGTATTTACAGATCGACAAAACGAAAATGAGTAATTCATTTGCTGAACAATTAGCAAATGTGAAATTAAAACCGAGTAGAGATAGAAAAACAGATTTTAGTGATCCCAAATTAGCAGGTAAATGACCATTTATTGAGAATTCTATTCTCATCGTTAATATCTGTGGGTTTCATGGCAAAAGATCAGATCAGTTCGTATCAAAAGACTGCTCTAGAAGCGAACACGACGGAATGGCAAATGTTGCTTATCTACGATAATATAGACAAACAAGGTTATTTATTCGAATAACATGTTTAGAAATATTTTCAAAAATTACCTGAACAGCAATTATTTTATGAGATTCGCAATTGAATGGAACTATGGCTTAATGATGAAGAAGAGAAAACCGTGTGGTATGAACTAATGAAAGATCGTCTACAAACCACTACTGATCAACATTTATCGAGTACAGAATGGTTTCTTTGCTAAAACATCATCACGAAGTGTCAAAGATACCTGCATATACAAAAAGAGACCTTCTTCAAACCTACAAAAATGAATTTAAAAAATCTCTCGTATCATAGCACTTCTAACTGTTGTGTTTCTTGAATTGCGAATGACGTTTGCTGAAGATGCTCTTTCCATATTTGTGATCAGTGAACGTATCTGTCGTGATATGTTATTAGCGACAGAAGGAGAAAACCCATCAGACGGCTTGCTTAAAGAGAACATAATTCTCCGACCATTTACAACTATTGATGTCGACATAGAATTTCGGACTTTTCTTTATCAACAACGCTTAGCTTGCCTATCATAGCTAAACTAAACACATACCAACCACAAGATTATGCCATTGATTTTGTATCGACTAGAGATGGTGAGTTGACTTATATGATTAACACATGACTATTATCTATTCTTCTATTGAGATAGTAGATGATGATGTTTGTTCGATGAAAGTATCGATGATTGAAGTGAATCTATTCATGGAAACAACTGATGGAACTCACGAGAAGCATCTATTACAAAGTGAATCTTTTGACAGTAAGACAAAAACATTGTTTTCTGTATCAGAAAAGGCCCGACCGTGATTGTTATTTGTCACTTAGCAAAAATCAGAATCTAATTCAGGATATATCTCATTGAGGTGATGAGCACCACATGGAAAGATTGCAAATGTGTTATTGATTCGATAGAAGTTAACAGAAGAGATTTTCTGAGTACGAAATATTTTCCACTCGAATACTGCAGACACAAGTGATCTTGCGAATAATATTCATCGTAGAGTGCGGTGTCAAAGCAACATAAACAAGTCAATTCGTAGTACATGTTCAATTGAGATCCAATCCCTATCTATCGAAACTAATTTCTCTCTGCATACAACCAAACGAAACACTTAGATAGGCCATGGACAGAAATGAGTTGCTGTCCCGATTGTCATGCGAAATACTGAACTATGTAAATATTTACCCTGCTCGATTCTCTCATCTCCATAAACTCAAGGATAGATAAAAAATTGTAAGCATACAACTTTACTGACTTTTTTGTGCACAAAAAAATGAGACTACTCTGCTATCAAAAATGAGCAATTTCGTTTCGTATCAGACTCTAACGCATGATTCATTTTTCTCCTCCAAACTAATCTTTCACCAATAAAAAGTGTCAGATGTCAGAAGTAGTTAATGTAATTTCCATACTTTTTAACAATCCCTATTGTCAATAAACCTTTTTTTTGCGAGAATTAGTTAACAAGATTTCAGATAACAGCTATGCGTCACGAGAATAGAAATGTTTGCGTCGAATGATATTTCACATGAACTTTGTTGTGACTATTTATCATTTTTTCTTCTTTATCAAAATAGAGAAAAGGGAGACAATGATTGTCAGACCTGTCGAGCAACGAGCAACGAGCCAGATGAAGAAGAATGAAGGAAGAAAAAAAATGTGCTTCTGAAATACTAAACGTAAATATACATACCACTATCATAGATCTTTATTTCGTCTATTAGTTTGTTATTCATTTTTGCTTTTAGATTTAATTCGTTTCTTTTTCTCATCTAGTGTGACTGTTTGCCTTTTCCTATCTATTAAACTACATGACCTATTCTCAAGAGATCTTCTCTACTGATTAGTTTTGATTATCATGAATGAGTTTTATTAAATTAATAAATCGAAATCGGTCAGATTGAAATAGAAATAAATCAATGTTCGTCATTTGACTATTCTTCGATATTTTAGCTCACAAGATCGTAAATCAGAACAATTGTCAATCGCAAGTATTTCGTCACATATTCCTCAGATGACGACTGGCAAAAGTGATGAAAATCTTTTTCTTACACAAGCGCTCGCAACAATGAGTGCAACACCAGATTTAGAAAGTTTTCTTCAAGCAATACCGATGACGACAAGTGAGTCAGATAGATCAGAAGGGGTTTCGTAGTATTTCGATGACTTATCGTTTCATTGTAGCTCGGCGTGAAAAACGCAGCCGAACAATTTGCCAGCCAAAAGGAACAACTTCTTACACTGTAAGACATCGTTGAATCGTGTAATTCATCGCAACAGACATAATATTTGTTTCAGATACGTGACGGTGACACTTTAGAAAAGGTGGCACTTCGATTTAATTCAACACCGTCTGAATTACTTCAACTCAATAAACTGAGTACACGAACCGTCTTTCCCGGACAAGTCTGTTCCAACGAATACCTATCCAATTTTACAATAAAAACGTTTCTCTCGCTTCGTAGACATTGTACGTGCCAGAAGAATGCCAAACAGACAATGCGCATCAACAAGAATCCAGTAACATCACACCTTCTGTCACTCCTCTTTTGGCAAATTCCCCACAACCTAAATCTAAAGATGGTGATTCATTTGTTCTTCTTGCACATCGCCGTCTAATGAGCGATCCTGCTATTGCTTCCCTGTCTTCTGCTCCCTCTCAGCCAGATGTCGGTTCTATGGTTTGGTCCTTAGCTCGACAATCCACTGCGCGACCAGGTCACGTACAACGATTGCAAAGTGACACAGGTTCTGAAAGTGAAGTGACATCGAAAACGATGAAAAATCAAGAAGTGATTCATCCTGATGACAATAGTAAAAGTGCGCTAGTGTCGCAAACATCGCCAACGCTAGATGAAAATCATCACTTGGACGACGAATGTTTACAACGTTTCATCAAGACTAATGTTCGGCTGATGACCGAAGATCATGTAAGTATTTATCTCAATAAACTCTTTCAATTACGGACGTGATTTATCAAAAAGTCACTTCCAGTTCAGTGAAAGAATCATGAAGTGAATGATTGATGTAGATACTCAAAACATGCGTTTCTTTGTGCTAACATTGCGTGATTATTTTGTAAGCAAATAGTATAAACGCGATGTCAAAGGAATGAAGTGAATGATGAAATATGAAAATCTCGCTGAAGAAGAATTTAATTTTAACATGAAAATACAAACTTTTGATGTTTACCTTTGCCTTTTAGCAAAGTATAGCAGGAACTTTACTTGTTACACCGAATGCAGTTATGTTCGACCCAGATGTTCTCGATCCACTAGTCAAAGAACATGGCATTGAACAATATGGATTGATAGTAAGGTTAGTTCTATATTAACACCTGCCGGTTAGATGCTCACAGCCAATAGTACACATTAGGAAGTAATTACACAACTTCTAGGCGTAGGCTATTGTTATTCTATTTTGAGATATCTCACTGATAATGTACTGATAAACGAATTGAAAAATTCGCTACTGACATGTTGTGCTTAGTTTGACCAAATTATGCAGACTTTTGTACATTTTACTTTGCAATAAGAAGACTTGATAACGAAAAAATGCGAGCATGTTCACGTTTAGAATGGATCTTCTTGCTGGTATTGCATTGTACGATGATATTTCAATCTATGGACACGAACCAACTTTTCAGTAATTCGATTTCATTCTTTTCTTTTTCCATAAAACAATTACGTTTGTTTTCATTAGTGAGGAAGGAAAACGAAAGATGTATCATTCTACAAGTATCAAACACGCTCAATGCTGCCCAGAAAAACCATTGCTAAGTTCCGATGAAGAAGAAATTCGACATCTAATGTCATCGTTACTTGACAGAATTGAAAAAGAATTGAATTCATCTGATACACACTTTGTGCTATTCGATGCCACATCATCGAAAATGCAACGTCATCTATCTAAAACTTCTTCTAATCATACGTGTGAAACTGATGATGAAGCATTTGCTTCATCTGCAAGAACAGATAGCTTTTCGGATGATTCATTTCATCCATTCGACGAATATAAACATTCTCTTGGAATTTTACTTGATGAGAATGAAAAAAATGTAAATAAAACGCTGAATCGAATACCTTCACGTAAGTTTCTTATGTTTAGTTTTCAATCGTATAATTATTTTCGAATATTTATTCAATTATTTATAGAGGTGTGCCATGTATTCGACTGGACAAGATTTCGACGTGCAGTGAAAGTCAAAAGTACATACCAAATCATTCTAATCTCTTGTTCTTCATATTAATTATCTGTTGTAGAAGGATGCCATTTGGAGAATTGTGTTTCGCTCGATCAATGTAATAAACGTTTTGATGAAATCGATAGTAATGATCTAATCTCAACGTTTGTCATTTATTGACAAATCTTCTTTTTTTTTTGATAGAGTTATTGTATCAGCAACAACAAACTTATGGAGCTCCACCTCCGATTGAAATTCCTTATTATTTATGTATAAAAGTTAGTGTACATGTGGACGATATTCCTTCTCTACGAGCTCGACAATGCAAGAGACCTTCGGAAAAAACTGTTGACACTATTTATGGGAAAAAGCAATTGGAACAGGAGTACTGGTTTTCCGTACCGAAAGAAAAGTAAGAGCACTCATGTACATACACTTTGTATCCTTATTGAACTTGACAGCATCACAAGATTGTCTCCGCTAATATCATATAAATCAAAAGATGACAACTGTAGAAAATGACAAACTCTCTGACGGTTCACGAGGGTGATGTTTTGCGTTCTCGATATTCTGCAGTAAAACTCCTTATTTTCAAAGTACTACAATGAGTTCTCAATTTAAAAGAAATCGTCCCTTCGGAACAATATCAAATTAATCAAAAGAATGTCTATTTATTTCGTAAGAAAAATACCATTCAAGAACATCTGGAATCAATCTTCGCATCATTTCTAACCGCAGCTCCATCCCTGAACGTCAGTCTTGCTTTTTTACTTACCTCGATCTTTCGTGTTAGTGAGCATCCTAGGCGACCACATTGTCCGTAAAAAATAACATTAAAATTCACAGCAAGCAATAGATAATCTCATAAAAGCCAGTACGGAAACACATATGTCACAGTACACGACCGACATGAAATGTGACGTCAGAACTTACCGATGAATGTCGGTATTGATTCAAAGTTCATGACCTATGAAAATCTAATCGAACAAAATAGAGTTCTAGAACATTTGTTTTCACATGTCAATAAATGCTTTCATAAACTAGTTTGTTTGAAGTTCCCAGATTGACACATACCTTATCGAATGTTGTCGCGCGATATCCCTGACGACAGAGAATCTAGTTCACGCTCCTCAACTTTAAGATATCTAAAATTTGTTTACATATATTTCCGATGAAAGCGTATTAAAGATGAAATATCCTCTCGGTAATTGTACATCCAGATAGTTGTAATCGAGTTAAAAAAGTATTTATGATCTATGAACTGAATAATTTACATTTCTGAGATTGCTGTTCGTTAAATTAATATATATGTAAATAATTTAAAAAGCAAACAAACATAACCGATTCAAAGGAATTCTTTCATCTCATTACGCCTTTTATGAAAGTTTTGATTTTATTTTTAGGATCGATCAGCTGTATAGATTTTTCCTTCGATGGAAACCTGAATATGAACTCGATGCATTGCATGATGATGAACCTCAATCGGCTAACACTGAACAATCGAAGCAGACACGTCAATCTTCGAACAAAGGCTTTGTTCTTCTCGCTAATGATGATCCCGAATTATGTGACGATTATGTGGCATCAAAAGATTCGAAAACAACCAGTAAACAACAAAAGAAACCGCACTACTTAAAACGACAAAATACGTTGTTAAAAGAATGGGAGGTAATACAAAATATTTTCATTTCCATGGAAAAGAAAAACATCTCATCCTAAAAACTAATTTACTTTTTCATCCGAACATAATTATAAAGAGAACGAGGTGTATTTGTCTTCGGATATTTAAATGTGATCGACATCTGTAGATAAAAAAAGGATATTAATCTCGATAGTGATGATATTTTAAACTTTACAGACACTATTTGTCTTTGTTAAGTGATATGTAAAAAAAAGAGCATTTCTTTTTGTTAGTCTTATGATGCATTTCATTGACGTAGATCGTTGCCGTTCAGAAAAGGAAATAGAATTCTGAAATAATTATTGTTTTGTAGGGAGAGAAAGAAAAAGATGCCTTCTTATAGACTCTATTTTCGTTCTCGAATAAATTCAAGTAGACTAGGTTTTCAAGTACAAATACTGATTAACTGAATAGAAGAGAAACAGAGAGTTAATTCAATAAACAACTTCTAGAGATATAGTTGTAAAAGAATAATCTTCAAGACGGTACTTCTTTGAAGAACTATCGATCATTTTGATGTTATTGTCGTTGTTGTTGTTGTTGTTGTCGATTTTGATGATAAGCCGCTTTCTCTTTGATATTTATCAATGAACGTGTTATTTGTATGAGAGACTGATCGTATGTCGAACAGAGATATGAGTTTGTTGACTTAAGAGTCGAGACAAGACGCTATGTAATGTAATCTATGCCGATGAAATCCAATTAGCACTAAGAACATTGCTTCAACATTATTTCTCATTTCTGTTGAAACATTTAAACTTCAAAATCATGTCTTCTTATTCTAGTTGTTAATCTCTCTCGTCTACCTATTTTTCTCTTCTTTGCTTCTCGCTTTTCAATATAATTTTGTCTCGTATGTCAACTGAAGACGAGACACACGGATAGAGAACACAAGTATACTTGTAACCATCTGTAGCGGTAAAAACTATAGACAGAACGAGAGAAAGAGAAAGAGCAACTCGTATCCTCTCTTGCTCTTTCTCTCTCGTTTTCTTGATCGTGATGCTTCATAACTATATAAGACTAGGGAAAGAGCAGCAAATTTAAAACACAAGATGATTCGCACATATTCAACTGCATCGTCCAGTACATCATATTCTTCTAATGAGCATCATTCGCCTACATCACCTTTACATACATCACGTTTTACTCTTCAATCTTTCGTTACGCGCTTATCTGACTCGAAAAATAATCTGATGGAGCAAATCCCTTCTCAACAACGACGATTAACACGCTTTAAAAAACGTGCCAGAAGTTTCCTCTCGTCAACTTTCAACGATTATAGTTTTGAACGACGTTCTGCTTCATGTGATAGACGAAAATCTTCGGAAGGGGTACATAACATTTCATTGAAGATTCTTTTCTTCTCGAAATGAGATTCATTTTCTAAATTTCATCTATTTAGATCATCAGTGTCGATGAAATTTATCGCCGATTCAATGCCACGCATCCCAACGACCCACATATGTTTAATCTTGGTATACCCATACCAAAACTTCTTCAACCATCAGCACTACTCAACGCAGAACATACACAAAAGGTAGGAAATATTTCGAGAACTGAACAAGACATCAACTGAATTTGATTAATTCAGATTCTTATTGAACTACCAGCTCGTCTTCATAGTATGGATTGGTGTATGGTATTTAGCACCGAAGCACATGGATTTAGTCTAAGTCAATTATACCGACGATCATTAGAATTCGATTCTGATATGCCTGTATTAGTTGTTGTAAAAGATGTTGAACAAAATGTAAGTTGAAGGCAAAAAAAACGTGTAGAAAGGATTGCATGTTTTTCTTTTCTAGATATTTGGTGCTTTTGTACCGCATCAGTTGATTGTGAAAGATGGTGTTTATGGCACGGGAGAGTCGTTTCTATTTACACTTTTTCCTGAATTTCGGGTAAGCATTCATAATTTGTGCGTAGACTAATAGGAATGCTAATTCTATTCGCACTAATTGTTAGTTTTGTTATCAAAATTAGCCTCTTCCGTTCTAATGTCAGGTCGAATATTGTTTCTTTTTCGCTAGTCCTTTATGTCACGCAGCAGCCAAGGCTGCGTTTACTATTTTTTCTTTGTTCCAAAAATAAATACTTCGAGGGATGTCGGGACATTTTCATTAGATCAACTGTATTAAGTTTTAATCTGTTGAAGATTTCTGTCAATTCAGGAAATGACGTCAATGTGTTTTTCTTCTTCTTCTTCTAGGTATTCAACTGGTCAGGTGGTAATGAGTTTTTTGTTAAAGGTGATCTTAACTCAATTGGTTTCGGTGTTGGAGAGTAAGTAAATTGAAAACGTCTCGTCCATTCAACCATTGGTAATCTGTTTCATCTAATTTTAGAGGTACTTATGGCTTATGGTTCGACGCTGATTTGTATCACGGTCGAACGTGTCCTTGTAAAACATTCAACAATGACTGTTTGTCATCCAATGAAGATTTCATAATTGCAAGTATCGAAGTTTGGACATTTACCGACTGATTGCTCGATTGGAAGATTCGCTGTATAAGAATGAACGTTGACTGCATGTCAGAAAAACAGTATTTCGATGTTTTCAATCATTCTATATATCTATTGTTTCGTTTTACTTCATTTTAATTCGTACTTTTGGTGTTTTTCAATGATACAAAGCTAATGATGAGAATTACTCCGCCAACATTACGTACATAAGTTTTCTTTTTCTTTTTGCCTACGATTGCAATATTTTATTGAAATAAAACGTGAATACATGAAATTCAGCTTGTTTGTTTGATATAAAAAAAAGTCATTTGCGCGACAGATGCTAATCAACGGTATTATCCGATCTTGGCATAATTGACAATTTTCATTTCCGTAAATAGAAATGAGAAAACTCATTAAAAAATTTAAAAAAAATAACTCGCAGTGGATATCTTGCCTGTCAGAACAACAATCGATTACTTCTACATGAAAGACATCTTTATCTTTTCGAAATTAATAAATTATTATTATCTCTGACGGTATTTTCTTTACTGCTAATTTATCAAGCAGATAACTAAGAAGCTAGGTTCACGTCGCACATGTCCTGAGTACGTGAATACAAGTTCACTAATGGAATTAATCCGGCGGAAAAGCATGAAGGTGGTTATGTAAACAAGAGTTGCATCCTAGAGGCAATTAGTTCATAGAATATTCCATCTTGTTATATGTTTAAATAATGAATTTATTCTTTTATAGAATCGACACTTTTAGTATTGTCAAGCAATGTGTTTTTGCAATTGAAAAACAAGACGTTATATCGAGTTGTAGACAGTGAGTGCTATTTTGAGATTGTTTATCTGTTCTGCATCAACAACACTCTTCGTCTTCTTGTTTCGCAGTTAGCTTATCTTATTATTCATAGCAAGTCCATATTCATTTTCTTTGCGCGTTAAGCATGATTATTAAAATTAGCTCTTTTCATCATAATCTTGATAATTTTACGGTTAAAAAAAAACTATATATATCAGCATTCAAGAATATGCATGTAAAAAACGAAAAAGGTCGCATGAATAAATGTCGTCTTTGTCGAAAACAACATATCTTTTCTTCGAATCCATACTTTAGAAGAATTACACTATTAATTGTTTTAATTTACTGACATGAATTGCATTCTTCGATTCTGAAATACTACTAAATCAGATCTTTCCGTATCGAGTCTAAATATGCGTCGATACGGTACTCAGATATATAAAGATTGTTCACTTAAAGTTGAATGCAAGACAAGAATGGTGGAGAAAGAACTCTGAATCTCATAAATTTAAATGTGGAATAAAATCTTCCTCAGACGTTTGCCCTTACATATCAAGTCAAAAGATCTATTCTTGCGTATCTTAATTTATGAAAATCTATTGTAGCATAGAAGCACTTCGAATTTGAATGAAACAAATAGACTGACTTGTTGCTGAAAGTAGAATATCAACAATAGTCGAGAGGACAATGAACGCACGACAGCTGATTGATCCATATACAGTGTTTTGTTTCGAAGAAAATAAAGAAAAAGGATAGAGTCACAGTAACTACGCACATGTGTGTATGCATATATATCGATCACATCGATCCCTCATCAGTAGACCGAAATAAAAATTTTTAGGTTTGTTATTCAGTATACCATCGAAACGCACGAATGCCGTCAACAGGATATGGTGGTTTACTTGATTGTCAATGGCATGAAATTGGTATTTATACACAACAGAATGAAAGTGATTTTGTACGCATGGGAAAACTTGGTGGAGGTTCGAGTTGATTGCCGTATTCTCATGTGAATTCATTTGGTTTTTCTTTTTCAGGTACATACGGTGATGTATTTCGCGTTCACCATCGAACAACTGGAGAAATTTATGCTTTAAAACAGATCCGAGATGAACATGAAGCTAATGGTATGCCGGCAACAGCTATGCGTGAAGTAGCTATACTGAAACAACTCAGTCATGAGAATATTATTAAATTAGTCGATGTATTTCTAACTGATGAACGATGCTTTCTCTTACTCGAACATATGGATGAAGATTTGAAACGATATTTAGATCGAAGTCGACCGTTAGATCGACGAATAATCAAAGTACAAGACACAGAAGCACTCGTTCGATTTCGATGTGATTCTTCTTTCTAGAATTTCATGCATCAACTATTTGAAGCCGTATTTTATTGCCATAAACATCGAATCATTCATCGAGATATTAAACCACATAATATTTTAGTGAATAGTGAAGGACAAATAAAAATGTGTGACTTTGGTAGGTAGAATTTGAACAGAACGTGTGAAAATCTGTTTTATTCTTCGTTTCCGTAGGTCTTGCACGTGCTTTCACCATTCCGATGAAAGTTTATACTCATGAAATTGTGACACTCTGGTATCGTGCACCAGAGATTCTACTTGGATCGTTGACATACGGAACACCTGGTAAGAATAGCAAATCTTTCTCTGGTATTTTTTTTATAACAAATCGCTTTTCGATGATATTCTAGTGGATACATGGTCATTGGGTTGTATATTTGGTGAAATGTATCAGGGTTGGCCATTATTTCACGGCGATTCAGAAATCGATCAAATTTTTCAAATTTTCAAGTAAGATCGATTTGAATTCTTCATTCGATTATCTCAAAGATATTACTTTCTAGAGTATTAGGCACACCGAATGAAGAAACGTGGCCGAATATATTCCTGCTACCTCAATTCAAATCTTCCTTTCCAAAATTTAAAATGCAAGAAACTCAACTACGAGAAATAATGGATAAGAATGAAGTCGCTTTTGATTTGCTTCGAGTAATTAGAGTTAAATCCAAAAAGAACGACATTTCTTTATTTGTCTTACACTATTTTAGCGTTTATTAACTTGTGATCCAACGGTGCGTATAGCAGCTCGTTCTGCTCTCCGACACGAATATTTTCACGAGCACGACACAAAAAAAGCGCTGGTCTCAATCACAAACACTCATCGAGATCAAGTGCGATACGATGCAAATAATAATCTAATCGAAATGAATAAAACATAAAGTCAAGTATCGTTCTAGTTTATATTTTTAATGTTCACTTTTTTCATTCTGTATATACATTTATCGTTGACATTATTTGTTCAAATAGTTATTCAAACAAAATATGTGTTTCTAATAAAAAATCTTTTCATGATCAAAACCTTCTTACATGCTGCTCGTAATTATAGAGTGAAAACGAAAATACGGCTGACCACTGTCGCCACCTGTCGCGTACTCATTCGGTAGTTCAGTGTTCTCTTCCAATACATTTCATTCTCTCTCACATCACGTAGAATAGTGTGATCCTTTCCTTTACCGAGTCTTATCATAAACTTGGAGGTGTAGTCGAGTGCCAAATTTCGTTGTGTCTTCTTATCTACTCTATTTTTCTCCATTTTTTCATCGACGACTCATTTTTCGAATCTAACATTGTTTAGATGCTACATTGAAAAACAATGACGCATAGTTTACCAGACAATCGTGATCTTTCCTGTTATCATGTAACGAAACATTCATGGCGGGGAAAGTATAAACGGATATTTTCCATTGGCACACATGGCATCAGCACATATGAACCGTCGACACTTGGTCTGACGAATGCTTGGCCGTACGATCAAGTCGTCTCGTTGACATTGTCCAAAACATCGAATGCATCGGACAAATCTCAACAAGCAGTCGGAAATTCTTCGCCAATTGCTGAGTTCATTCTAACATTTCGAACAAAAGCAAAAAAAACCGATACTATGCGGTTTTCCAGTGAATATCGAGCTGAGATCCTGACTGATGCACTACGCTTTCAATCACTCTTTAGTCATCAACATCCGCTGCCTCAACCGAAAGTTATTTCAGCCGCCAAAATCCACTGGTCAGCTCAACGTGTACCAGTTCTTCTACGTATACAGTCTTATTGTATCGAACAAATCGATAGCGGTACAAATCGCTTCCTATGCTCTTATGATTACAAAGATATTGATCAATTAATTCCGCTCACAAGTGAAGGCGACGCGACTCCACGTGGCTTTCTCATTCAGGATCAGCATACCGGACGTTTACATGCATTTGTCACACCCGATACTCAAACCATTTTTCAAAGCGTCGTCGATCTAGCTCATACTAATCTTGGTGTTCAAGTTCGCCTGTCGAAAAAGTCTTACACACTCAGCGACTATCAACAATTACGGTTCGGTCCAACGTTTTCATCGGATGAACACTTAACGTCATTTGCTGAGTTTATTGTCTACAAACATTCATCTCGGCACACGGAAAATGTTCGTCGAATATTATGTTTAACTGAGACATGTTTAATCGAACGTGACCCCGCAACATACCATATATGCACATTAAAGCCATTAAACGAAGTGTTCGCACTTGTAAGACATAAGGATTCGCTACAAGAATTTTCAGTAGAGTTTATTCGAAATAATCCGACACGAGTGAGATGTAAATATACATCAACTGAGCGAGATATTCTACTAGCAACGCTATTGGATAGCGTACGCTCAGCGGGAAATAATGATTGTTGTGTGAAAACAAACGTGACTGATCGTGGCAAACGGTTTGCGCCGTTTGGACATTTAGTGGATGATGAAGTTGAAATACAACATTTGAAATTCTTAGTACAACCACCATCTGGTAAGGAAAACACTTCTTCACATAGAAAGAATTTTCATGTTTTGATTCTGCAAATTTAGGTCGACTTTCCTCTCCACAAGATGGCTCGAACTCATCGGTAGCCCAAGGAAATGTTTCTTTCAATGAAATTCTAAAACGGTTCAATGCAAACGTTCCTTATAGTGGGTTAATCAATGCAGTTACATCAGAAGGTACTGTTTGATTGAAATTTTTCTCTCGAGAAAAGAAAAGTAATTCCATTAATGGAGAACGAGTCGTGTTCATTTAAGTCTAATTGTTTTTCTCATTAAGTTTAAGTGTTACTTTTTTTGCTTGAAAGCATCTCGTTCTTTTTCTTTCAAGGTCTCTTTGCTGAAAATAAAGGAAAATTAATTCATTCAGCATTGAACACTTTACTGGATAATGATAATACTAATACAGTTGTTGATCATGAATTCATCGAAGATCAATATCTTGCCCTGCGACGTCTCTTAGCATCAAAAGCTGGCTTCCAAGCATTTACTCAATTACCGAAATTTCGCGAACGGATCGGATCGAAGATTGTTCGCTCGTTGAAACTAAACGATGATCAAGTGACTTATTCGGCATTAGAAATGTTAAATACGCTACTACAACCAATGCATTTAGACTACGATTTACGTCAAGAACAACAAAATAAAGCGGGTATACTAACATCAAAGAAATTTCTCGAAGGTCTATTGGACATCTTCTTAAAACATGTCAAACAAAATACGGGTTCACTGATCATATCGTCGTTTTTGGATTTTTTGACATACACACTATGTCCGCCGTTTTCTGAAACAACAGGTAAGTGAAAATCGAGATTTAATTGTCAATGTAGAGGATAATTATTTTAGATGGTCAACATTTCGATGTACTTCTGGAATTAGTTTCGTCAAACGGAAGAATATTCTTTAAACTATTTCAACATTCATCGTTTACAATTGTGAAAGGTGCTGGTTCGATTATGAAGGCTATTATCGAAGAAGGCTCACCAGATATTGCAGCGCATATGCAAGATTTAGCGTTGAGTGAAGGCGCTTTACCAGTTCATCTTCTACGAGCATTGTTTACATCATCAACTGATACGAGGTTACTACCATTGAAATATCTTAGTCAGCAATTACTCGGTTTGTGGTCAACTGGACATCCGACAACATACGGGTTGCTGAAACGAATATTTCCACTTGGACTGATCGCTTATTTGGATTCAAACGAAGAGCCGGATAAAGATTTCGGTAAATAGCAACAGAATTATTTAATCTTTATCTTAGTTTTTATCTCCTAGATGAATCAGCTCTCCTTGGTCGAGATACTCTTCGACTCGCCACTGAGCAACATGCTCATACAACAAAGACCAATGCTTTATCAACATCAATCATCAATACAGCAAATAAAATTCGTAATACAACTCAAATGAAAGTTCTCGAGCATCATGTACAGAACACGTTTCAACATTGGAGTTTGAAATTGAAACAGAACAATAAATACTTTTCATCATCTGATCATTCGAATTCCAGTGGAGGGAACTTAACGAATAATGTGAATGATAAACAACAACCTGTTGTATTACGTAAACCGCGACAACGCATTCGAGCTGAGAAGAACTGGCGTTTGTTCTATCAGAAATTTGCGTTGGATCATGCGCGACCAACTCTCATTTGGAATAACAAAACTCGTGATGAATTACGTGAAACCATCGACAATGAAATACGAAATTTCAATATTGATAAAGACCTTGGTCATGGACATTTAATCTCGTGGAATCATATTGAATTCGAAGTTCTTTATCAATGTTTAAATGATGAAATCAAGATCGGTAGTGTCTACTTACGTCTATTACTTGAACAAGGAGAATTAACCACAACTACAGATGCTGCGTCTGGTCAGTCACGCTTTCTGTTTGTTTGATTTTATTTTCAAAAACTCTTCTGTTTTTAGATGCGTATAATGCGTCGGAATTTTTCAACGATCTTTACCATCGTTTTCTTCTGTCTCAACCAATCAACCCAAAACAGGCATCGATGAAAGCCATGTGTTTACAAGCGATGACGATTGTCTATGCACGTCATTATGAAACTATTGGTCCGTTCAATGACACAAAACATGTCATTCTCATGCTTGATCGTTCGACTGATAAATGTGAACGTGATCGATTGCTGATGTTTATTAGTAAATTAATATTGAATCATCGAAATGTTCGAGATATTATCGATTGTGGTGGAGTTAAAGTTTTAGTTCAAGTGATGTGCTTAGCACATTTGCATATCAACCGAGCACAAGTACCATTGGCTTCGAACGTTTTAGAATCCTCGTCAACGATGACAAGAGAAAGCGAAAAAGAATGGTACTACGGCAAACAAGATAAAGAGAAAGTTGGACCATACAGTTTCAATGAAATTAAAGATCTACATAAAGAAGGCACATTCGATGCTAAAACACGATTTTGGGCACAAGGTAAACTATTGTTTTCTTTCAGTATATCTATAATAACTATTGACTTGTATGTTTAGGTTTGGATGGCTGGAAAACAATGGATCGTATTCCTCAACTAAAATGGACATTATTAGCTACTGGCCAATCACTTCTCAATGATAGTGAACTAGCCGGATTGATTCTTGATATTTTAATCGCCATGAGTGCGTTATATCCATCGCGTGATGCTGTTACAGGTGCAATTATTCGTCCATTTCCCAAACTCAAACGTCTGTTGAATGATCCCACATGTTTGCCACATTTAGTGCAATTATTGTTAACATTTGATCCAAGTTTAGTCGAAAAAGTTATTACATTACTCAATGCACTCGTTCAAGACAATCCATTACTTGCACAGTTCTACATGACAGGTGTTTTCTATTTCATTCTTATGTACACAGGCTCAAATATTCTTCCAATTGGACATTTTTTGAAATACACGCATTTAGCGCAAGCGTTTCGATCCGATGAACAACAACAAAGTGGAGAAAAGAAAGATTTACTTTTCCGTTCAGTACTTGGTCATTTGTTACCTGAAGCGATGATTTGTTATTTGGAAAACCATGGTGCAGAAAAATTTGCGCAAATGTTTCTTGGTAAGTACATGGACAAGTCTTTCTCTGTAATATATTCTCCTTCTTAGGTGAATTTGATCAACCGGAAACAATTTGGTCGAATGAAATGCGTCGTTTAATGATCGAGAAGATTGCTGTTCATTTAGGTTTGATGAAACACGATCTCGAGATTAATATATCAAGTTTTCTTCCGTGAATTTCTCTCTTTTAGCTGATTATTCTCCACGTCTAATGTCAAATATTTCCGCTATTTATTCCTACTGTACAATTCCAGTTATAAATTATCCTCAATTAGAAAGTGAACTATTCTGCAATACATATTACCTGCGTCATCTGTGCGATGAACAGAAGTTCCCCGAATGGCCCATACGTGAACCCATTGCCTTACTCAAAGATTGTCTAAACATGTGGAAAGCTGAATTAGAGAAGAAAGGAAGTGATATGAGTGTCGATGAAGCATATCAAGTACTTGGTAAGATATAACTGTCAAATTTCTAGCAGAAAACGAATACAATGTACCAGAATTTCTTCCATACGAGAAAACTTTTTTCGATAGAAGACAATTGCGTTTTTATTTAGAACTATACGATGCGGAAAGAGATCCTGATCATTTATATGACAACGGAGGTGAACATGAAACTGCATGTATTTTAACTGTAAAAGGGGGAAACTCAGATAACAAAATCCGAGCTCAATAATTGACCTAACGATATTTTTCTTCGTTTGAACGAATCTACAGATGATCTTATCAATCGTTTTAGGTCTGAATCCAAAAGAGGGTGATTCACCTTCAACAAATGGTCCACCAAATGAATCAACCATTCGTAAAGCATACTTTCGACTTGCTAATAAATACCATCCGGATAAAAATCCCACCGGTCGCGATATGTTCGAGCGTGTGAACAAAGCTTATGAATTTCTCTGTGCTGCTTCACGTATCCAACAAGGACCAAATGAATTCAACATATATCTCCTACTTAAAACACAATCCATTCTCTATCGTCGATACAAAACCTTACTTGCCGAATACAAATACGCCGGTTATCCATTATTAATTCGTATACTCGAAACAGAAGCGAAAAATGATCAACTATTTTCTGCAGGTAACACAACAAAAGCAACAGCATTGTTACCAATTGCGATTGAATTACTTTATTATACATTGGATTGTTCGGAATTGAATTGTGAAGAATTACGTCGTGAAAATGGTTTAGAAATCTTGACTCAAGTGTTTCGCCGTTGTTCATCAGTTATTACAAAATCATCTAAACCTGATGATTTCATTGTTGCTGTGTGTCAATACTCCGCTCTGTGTTACAGTGTTGCTGGTCATTTCGAAAAATCTCGTGATCTCTTCGTTGATCCCGATAAACTTCAATGTGTATTGAAAGAATTATGTCATTGCCTAAACTATACACATCTCAAATACTTATGTTCATGCGTATGCAAAGCAGCTATGTCGCTATGCAGTATAGATGTACGTTTAAGAGATTTATTACATCGGCATGGATTGTTCGTTTACGCTGGTCGTGGATTGTTCAATTATGACTATACATTAGATGTAAGTATCTACAAGAGTTATTAGATCAATCATGCTTGATTGTTTAGGAAAGTGGTATTGCTGATCCAAGTAACAAACAATATGTTGACAACCAATTGGCATATGATTATTTGCAAACCGTCGCTGCTCTCCTTCCGGAAAATCCACCAGCTCTAATGGCTGCTCAAACATTCTTAACTCCATACATTGTTTCACAGTTACCAGATCGAGCAGTATTGAAATTACTCAATTCCAATCAGGAACAGCCCTATTTAGTTTGGGACAACTCCTGTCGACAAGAACTAATAGATAAAATGGATGAAACGCGTGACTATCTGGTTAAAAATGATTATAAGTTGGATACCGATAGATTTGGCAATCCGTCCGAATTTCGTTACAGCGCTCATAAGAATGAATTGATCATCGGTGAAATCTTCGTTCGCGTTTATAATTTACAGCCAACAACCGTGTTAAAAGATCCAAAGAAATTTTCCTTAGATTTAATCGATTTCTTAGGAACAAGTTCACAATATATCAATACACTAATGTCGATGCAAATTCAACAAGAACAGCAAAAGAAAACCAATGTAAGTCGATATATGACATATGAATTCATCTATAATCGAATGATTTAGGATGAGAAGAAGTCGCTTGAAGTTCTTCAACAGGAAAAACAGGAACATATCTCTCAAGCACTTGAAGCATTGAAAAATGTCATTCGAAATAATGTCGGTACCGAAACATTATGCATTGGCCATTTTAAACTCTTATTTTCTCTTCTGCGTATGGAGAACGTCGGACGTTTACAACAATATGCATTAGAATTGATTCTTCACCTAAGTGGATCGAATGAATGTGTGAATGACATATCACAAGTTAATGTGATTGTCTACCTTTTACTTGCTCTACGTTCGTCAATAGCCAATCAGGAGACTACATTGGAAATCTTGAATGCACTTTCATCAAATGGTAAAATCGTGAAAGATATCGTGGAAAGTGGCGGTCTGCTTTATTTACTCGATATTTTTTCTAATGGACAAAATTCTAATCTACGCGAACAAGCCGCGAATGTTTTATCGAAACTAATGAATGATCGGTTGCATGGTCCACGTATACGCTTACAATTGATTAAATATTTACCAAATCTAGTTATTGATGCTATGCGGGAATCATGTGAAACGTCAATTCAATTATTTGAAACTACACATGAAAATCCGGAATTGATTTGGAATGATCATACACGTGAAATGACTTGTGAACGTATTGGTAAACAATTGAATGAATTCTATGTGCAACAACGAGTTGCGCCGACAGAAACGAAATGGTCAATTGATGATTCGTATCAATTGCTGGGCGACGATGAAGAAACACAACGAATCCAACAGAACGAATTGGTCGTTGCTGGAGTGTATGTTCGATTATTAATTGCTAATCCTGGTTGGGTTGTACGACGACCAAAGGAATTTCTTACGGAATTACTTAGCCGATGGACTGTACATTCCAAGTAAAGTCTATCTTTACTGAATCTTAATGTATGCATTTTTCTTGTGTAGACAACCTGAACAACTCCTAATGTCACATACAGATGAATTTGAAATGTTAACGCAATGTTTAATTCAATTGTTACATGCACAACCTACCCTATGCGAACATCTACCATCGATCGGATTTTTACCATCGATTGTACAAGCATTGGAATGTAAAGCCAATGATGCTATCGTGGCATCAGCTATTAAAATACTTTTTGCTCTGTGTAAATCAGATGTTTGTAAACAAACATTTTCTACTAAATGCCCACAAATTATCAGTGGATTCAAACAAGCGATGCAAACACGTCGGGATCATCTCGGTATGAAAGAGAGACATTTTTAAAAAAAATCACTGATTGCTTTTCTTTCGCGTTGCTGCAGGACTTATGGCTGAATGTTTACATGATCTATTTCGAACTCCAGCACCAGCTACACCTGATGAATTCATCAAAGAAGCCTTACGTTGTCAATTGATCGAACACATTCTAACATTACTCGATCAATCGTTAGCCGATGTTGAGAAACCAGGTTCATGTAAAGCACACCTAGTCGATTCTTGTAAATTAATGGCTGAATCATTAGTCTATGGTGAGCAAGTTTCGCGTATACTTCAATCATCAACCGTATGGAATGATTACAAAGATCAACGACATGATCTTTTCATCCAAACATCATCCCATATGCAGGCATTAACAGGCGGTTCTACTGGACCACAAATCGCAGGTTATTTAACATCATCTGTGTCCACAACAACTGCTGGCAAACAAAATATGACTGTACCCCCACCGTTGATGGATAATTAAAAAAATCAAAAAGAGATTTTTCTTTCAAATTTAGACGAATTTTTCTTTCTTCTGTGATAGATTTTTGTTGCAATACGGATTGATTTAGTTCTTCGTCTCTACTTTACCTGTATGTAGTCACTGATATCATTTATTTATAATTCTTTCTTTTTACTAACATACATCTTATCGTATAAAACGCAAAAAACTCTTTTCCTATCTGTTTGTTATTCTGAACAACTTAACCGGTAATTCGTTTATCTTTCTATTTATGCGTGCATGTGTGTTTGTGCTTGATGATTCAATTTTTTTGTTCGTTCGTTGTCAGAAAACATACGTCAAAACGTGAAGAATGGTAAATTATTAAAAATATATATAATCACTAAACTTGTTTCTATCATACGATTTACAATCCAGTGTTTTCGTCTGATATTCACTATGACAGATGCCGTAGGATCGAAGCGTTACATTTTCATACTTTATAGATTTGTTATGGAAGCGGTTGTCCGACAGGCAGATGTAGTTCCGAAAAAGTCGAAATTTGCTTATAGTGTTGGACATGTTCTCAATGATCTCAGTGCGTCAATGTGGTTTTCATATTTACTTGTGTTCTACCATCGTGTAGTGAATTTTTCGAATGCATCCGCTGGTTACTTGCTACTAATTGGACAAGTTGCTGATGCGATATCGACGACATTTGTTGGTTTCGAATCTGATCGAACTCGGACAGGCTTGTTTCATTATGGACGACGAAAAACATGGCATCTTGTCGGAGTTATTTGTGTACTGTGTTCGTTTCCATTCTGTTTTAACTTATGTATCCAATGTAAACATAGTGATTTGTGGGCACAATTTATTTATTACTCGATGTTTATTATTATATTTCAATTTGGTTGGTCGTGTTCACAAATCACGCATTTGTAAGTATTTTCTTTCGAGAAAACTTGTTTCATTGACAAACGAGATATTTAGAGCAATGATCAATGAATTGACACATAAAGATGGTGAACGTGTTGCATTAAACTCGTATCGCTATGCTTGGACAGTTATTTCGAATATTTTTGTTTATGCAATAGCCAGTGTTCTCCTAGGTGTACATTCCAGTGCTGATGAAACTGATATAACAGCCGCTGACGCACATATTTTTCGAACATTGACGTTTATTGTGATTGGTATTGGTCTTGTTTGTATGGTTATTTTTCACGTTGGTTTACGAGAATCTGAGCAACCAGCTGAGGAAACTGAACATCGATTACAATTATCGATGACATCGAGCGGAAGATTGAAGCGCATGACATGGAAGACATTCTTACGTGAAAAGGAATTCTATCAATGTGCTTTCATTTGGATGTGTGCCCGAGTTATTCTCAATGTTACGCAAGTAAGAGAAAAGTGCCATGAGTTCATTTCTTTAGAAGTTTTCATGATTTCCAGGTATTTTTGCCATTGTACATCATTGATTCAATCTCTACATTAAATCGTGCTTTCGTTGCTATTGCTCCCTTATGTTCATATGTTAGTGGTTTATTGGCATCCTTTCCTATGCGTGCAATCAACAAACGACTCGGTCGAAAATCAACGATCGTCCTTGGTTTATCGTTTACATTAGCTAGCACTGCTCTATTTTGGTTTATCATTGATTTGAAAGATAATTTGTCGATGGAAATTGCTCTCATAGCAGCTTGTGTATTACTTGGTATTGGAACGTCTACGACAAATATTTGTTCATTTTCATTAACGTCAGATTTGATTGGTTTGAACACCGAATGTGGAGCATTTGTCTATGGAATCATGTCATTCGCAGATAAACTCGCTAATGGAATAGTGATTGCTATTATTCAACAATTTAATCCATGTATATTAGCTTCAACTACTACCTGTGCGTCTTATTATCGCTATATTTTAACATTCATTCCAATTGGTGTCGCTGTTTTGACAATTCTTATGACATTGACCATGTGGAAGACGAATGTGGGCGGCAATCGGCATGAAGTGATTGTTGAAGGTCGAACTGACGTACAAACATCAGATGAAAATGAATACAATGAACGAAGTCCGTTAATCGCTTGAACAAATTTATTTATCTGAAAGAATTGATTCGTTTTGATCCACAAATTTTGTTTTCGACAGATCTGAGCTATTTATGTTTTCATTTTCATATCGTTAGTAATTTATAAGCATTCGAATGCATCTTAAACAACGAAATAAATCAGATTCTATGATCCTTGAGATGCATGTACATAGTAAATGTTCTCTTCTTTCACTAAAAGAATTTTTCAAATGAAAATTATTGTGTAAATGTTATTTAATTAAGCATGCGTTATTTTATTAAAATAATTAATAAAATCTCTCGATATAATATAAAGAAAAATAAAGCTGAAAAACTTTCGTAACTGTCCGTAGATATTCGAATAAAGAAGTTTGTAAAGTTCACCGAGAAGATTTCTACAGAAGAAAGCGAAAGACATTATTGGTTTGTCTATGATGTCGATAAGCCCATCCAAATTTGTTGTTTTGTAGCTCGTTGGATGTTCTGTTGTTGTTTAATTTGTTTTAAAACTGTATCGAGTTCTTCGTTCGTTTTTAAATGTAAGGCACGTCGTTGCAAGGGACTCGTATGTGGACTGACGTAACCAACGACAACGCGATAAATTTTACCACCGCGTTTCACTTCATAAGTTGGAATTGGTGGACTTGTTCGCGGTCTTATAGGTTTCGGTGTTTGCTGAGGTTTGTCTTCATCAGAAGACGATAGTTTCAATGGCGAGGATGTTACTTCGACGTGCCGTGGAGATGATCGAACACGAATGCGAGATGGTGGACGATGAATAATATCGAAACGACTTAGAGGAGCATTGGGAGGAAGTGAAGCAACTTCAGTAGGAGGACGAGTGTAGAATATAGACTCAGTACTGGCCATATGCTTTCGTAAATCGAATCGGCTTGGTGAAGAAGGCGGACGATTCATCATTTTTAACGGTGTAGGACGATGTTCAGCACATACAGTATCGTCTTGACCTGGATTATCAAGTTATATCTTCCAATTCTCATCTATGTCAGAGATAATCATTGACTTACTTCTATCGGCTTTGTAGAAAGATGATTGTTGAATTCTTTGAAATTCATCTGGGACTAAATTTCGTTTCTCTTCTTCGCCACCGCGAATTTGTCTTCGTAGTAATTCTTTTGTTTCTTCTAATGATAAACCCTGACCAGGAGATTCTTTATTTGTTACTATCGTCACTTCTTTCTTCTTCTCTTCGATAATTTCCGATGCTGGACGTGTAGACAATGCTGACGATTGTCGCGATCGAACACTTGCACTTCTTCGTTTTGTTGCTGATAATAATGGCGACGTAGATGTTTCTCTTACTGGTGGCACATCTTCCTCAAGCGTGTAGTCGAATGTAATTGGTTCGAAGTTCATCAGTAATAAACTGCTCTTTGTATTTACAAGAAGTCTACAATCAAAACGTCACAAGTTTCAAAGACATGGTTACCGATATTCAAACCTATGGGGTGTAGCAACGAGACTGGTAACAGGTTCCGAAACACTGTTGCCACGCATAACGCGAAGACAAGAGCCGCTCAGTGCATTCCAAATACGTATTTTCCCATCAGCACAACCAGTTATGATACGAAGATATAAATATTCGATACAGAGAACTTCTCTACAAGAAAAAAAACATAACAGACAAGATGGTTGAAAATTGCAAATGACTTTCATATCATCTTTACTTCGGATGACGAAGGGCACTCAACGGTTTATTCAATGTGCCTTGTGTTGTCCAAACATTAGCATAGTTATCACGTGACGAAGATGCTATATGCCATTTATCGAATTTCACATCCGTTATTGCTAAACGATGTCGAACACACTATTTCAAATGAATAGAAAAAATATTCCTCGATGCATGACAATGGTTTGGTTACTTTGATGAATGTTCCCGAAAGATTGTGCCAGACTTTGATTTTTCCTTGAATATCACCTGAGACAGTTATGTCGTCATTAATAGCGACACAAGATACTGGATGTCTATGTTTAAAGACTCTCCAAGGTCGATGGCGTTTGTATCTCCAAACTAGAATGGATATTTCCAAAAAAGACAATGTTTACGAAAGAAAAAACCGACAAGTTTTACCTAGGCAAATATTATCATTTCCACCGGCAGCAATGAAATCAAGAAAAACAGCTAAACAAGTTACAGTTCGCTCATGTCCATGATATAGTTTCATGCAACGACCGGTTTCTAAGCTCCAACATCGAACAGTCAAGTCATAACTACCCTACAGAAATCAGAAAACAGTGTAAATTCTATATGTGTTTTTCTCTTACTGTAAAAACTCGTTTTTTATCTTCTTGTACATAAATACAGTGAACCGAAGCTGCATGTCCAACTAGTACGATTGATTTTTCTTGTGCTGATTGCATATCGATCAATCGTACTCGACTGTCTCGTGAGGCAATAGCTACAACGCTCTCCCCACTCATGTGTGCTGGACGATGACGTTCTGAACTGAAAAAACACGAACAAAGAAAACCATTTATATTCGAATCAATCAAATCATATTCGTTTTCAGAAATTAAATCAAGAGCATATGAAAGAAATGGGCAACACAATATCGATTGAAATAAATTAAAAAAAAGAATCAAGCACATATGATCCATTGAGATTCATCGTCACTTACGGTACTAATTTGAAATAATCAAAGAACTAGAATGCAATACACAAAAATATTGGTTTTCTCTATGTTAACTTTTGACATACGACAAAATAGGTTTCAAAAGTATTTTTCTATCTCTCCTTGAAAGTCCATTAAGAACTTTCAACATCGAATCGTTCGTCAAATTAATTTTTTACGTCTCCATGACAATGTCCATGGAATTTCAAATGTTCACTTACTCATCTTTTAATAAAAGTACATTGTACGGTCCACAGTAAACGTTACGCTCTTCCATGAGAACGTAACGGGTCGGAATTTTTATTGTTTCGTAGATTTTGTTCCATCCGGATATATCTTTATCATTCGATGACTTTTTCTTTCTTGCTGCTGTTTCATCGGTCGTCGTTCGGTATAAATCCGGTACAGGTACGAGAATGTCTCGTGCAAAATATGGATTACACTGTAATGCTGCTGAACTCTAAACAATCGAAAAGATTCGTTGAATATTTTATGGATACATGATTCTCTTTTCTATTCAAATCCAGCTATCAAACAGTGATATGGCTAATTGGAGAACATCAAGTGCGAAATCTGTGCTTATTCTTACACAATATGCACCGTGATATCCATAAAGGATAGATTCTTATCTTCTTCTTTTTCTCTAAAGACTTTTGTTTTGGGACATAAACAAAACTGAAATGGTAAAGAGAAACTTACTTGTAGAAGCATTACATCGTCGTAACGCAATTTTGTCATTTCAGCATCTTCAGCTACTTCCATGACCATCTTTTTCCAATAAGCGGAAACAAGTTTACACTTGTCGAGTGATTGAATATCCAACATGTTTAAAATCGATTTTGCTAAATAGATTGGAAGTTGTCGAATGAAATCTTTATATTTTGGCGCGCGTTTCGTTGGACTTGGTGTTTCGATATCGGAATCGTTATTATTCGATAGTGGTAAAGCAAACGACACTGCACTTTTTCGATGTGTTGTTGATGGGCCTGAGGTTTTGGGACGCTTGAGTATAGGAGCTGTTGCAGATGGTATCGACATTGCAGTTTGAGTTGGAACAGTTACTGCTGATGAGAATCTCGAACGATTAGTGATATTCCAATCATTATGACAATCTTCATCATCCGCTAAAAGTAAATCTTTCTTTCGACATCAATAGAGAAAATGTATCTGTTCTTACAATCCATATCTTGGATTGAGAAAATATTGACCGCAATTGTAAAGATTAAATGTCCATCACACCATTGAAGAATGCTGAGAATGAATGAGCCTTGTGAATATTTATCTTCATCGTTGAACCATTGAATGAGTTTCGTTGCTTCTTCTTGTCTTTTGATAGGATCACTATCTTGCGTTCTTTTCGCACTACCTGTCGATGGTCGTGTACAGCGATCGACTTTATTCCGCGCATATGTATAATCTACACAGAACTCAACTCAAATGAGGTATAAAAAAAACAACTAGAAAATACCTTTGGCATTCACAAATGGTTTCAGAATTTGTGCTAAATGGTCAAGTAGATCAAGTTTAAGACGGCTTATCAAAGCCAGAAGAAAACGTCGCCGAACTAGATCATTCGTTTGCAACCACCAGTCTTTCGCTTCTTGTATACGAGAATCAACTAGACATGCTTTACATTGTCCACATTGATTATGTGGGTGATCAGAGGAACGACAAGTAACCACAAATGCATCCCGAAACGATGTTAGTCCACTACGTAAAACAATATGAATATAATCAGGATCAATATTATCTTCGTAGGATGTTTTCGGAGTTTCCATGTCTAGTTAGATTCAAATATATACATATGACAAATCGTGCAATACAATGATTGCCATTTTTCTGTTCTTTAAATATAATCACCATAGTTTTTATAAACATTGACTACCATCAGATGTCGATGAAAATCAATCATCAACTGCACAGAATGCGCAAGTGAACTTTTACTTTAGCAATGAACTAACAACAGACGATGTTGTGTACAAGATGAATATACGCTGGTCGTTCTATTTTTCTTTTCCATCTTTAGAAAAAAAAGAATCGAATTTCATACAAAAAAAAGGGATGAAGAGAAGAAAAAACTAGATTATTCATAAGTTCATCGCGCACTTGCTGGTTTCTTCGCTTCAGCTAATTCTTGAACTCTTGCTGATGCATGATAGCTGAGTGCAGCACGTGATATAGGACGAGGACAAGATAACTCATATTTATGCTCTACAGGCAATGGAACTGGTCTAGCCAAATCACTCAGACGATCGGAACACCCAGCGTTCGCTGCAGCACGAGTGACGCCGGAGTATCTTGGATTACTATAATCACGATCGAAGCCTAACATGCACGATTAGTCATTGAATATCAACGAAGAAAATTCAGATTACCGTCTCGAATCATGGTATCTCGACGTATCTTTGGACGTGATAACGAAGCTATTCGTTGTGTTGCATGGTAATTCAATGAAGATGATCGTACAATGGAATATGGTGATTTTTCAAATTCATGAACGGTTCTCTTATCAGTCACTCTCGGCGAGAATGGAACAGCACCTGAAGATATCGGCATGTGTCGAAATCACTCGATGGCAACGAACAGCAGACGTGTTTCTGAATAACAAACATAGAAAGTATGTCCAAACACATGCATTTTTATAAGCATAAGTTCGATGAGCACATGTTTGCACGCGAAGTGTTGGAAAAACATAACGACTGCGACAATAATAGCCTGTAAAATCTCAAGTAGTTTACTCAGGTAAACTTTTTTGTTTTGAAAGTTTACCATCTGTGAGAAAGAACACGAATTAGAATCATTCGATCAAGGTCGAGACTTTGCTCTATTTGACATGTTGTTTCGAGAGTTGTGAATCAACACTGCGATGCCGTTAGAGAACGATTGATCAAAGTGACAATAAATTTTTTATTTTCGAAATAATTAAAATAAAGTTTAACTTAGCCAGAAACTAAAAGAAACGTGTTTGAGCATTGAAATACATCTATGTACAATCACTGTGAACGGTGTATTGCAGGTAATAGAAAATGAATTAGTTTACACGAAAGAAAACACAAATATGAATCGTATGGTTCTCCTGTATACTCGCAAATGATTTCAGAAACACACATACATACATATAGATATGTACATACAACGCAAAGCTTAATGTTCAAATAGATAAGACTAGAAAGAGAGAGAGAAAATATAGATAAAGCTCGTCTATGGAATGCACTTGGTAGAAAAAAAACTGTTCAAAACAAGAAGAGAGACAAGCAAGAAATGTATAGAGATAAATAGGGATATTACTCTGTTAGAATAACACGTTCACGAATATCCGATCGACATATAGGACAGTTATCTAGTTTGTCTGCACATTGATCACAAAATCCTGTATGTTGACAAGGTTTTAGGAGAATATTTGCATGTAAATCTGCACATAACATACAATCTTGTTCATTAATTTTTATTTCACGCAATAACTGCAGTTTTTTGTACCTCGGTAGGATTAATTTATCATTATCAGATAGACGACCGTATTCATTGAATGTTTTGAATGATTTCGCTGTTGTTGGAGGATAACGAAATGGTGTCGAACCGAAATTGAACCGACAGTGCTGATAAGACATGAAACTTGCCGCAGCAAAATAACCATCGGTCGAGTGCGCCGATGATGACGAAGAAAATAATTTACGAAATGGATCAAGACAACGACCATTTAATGAAAATATCACTTCTCGTCGATCAAAATCGATTAAACATCCTAGAAAAAACACGATTAACTCAAATGGAACCATAGTACATTATTTCTTACCAACGATATCTCCAGGTTTCCAAGCGGGATTCGCATGTGGAATAGATTTTGCTCCAAACCATATCAAATTTCGGCAGCCATCATAAGCGATTGAATAATGATCATCACCGATTCCATAACCTTCGTGATTCATAAATCTCGATTGTTTTGTTGCCCAACCGATCTGCATAACACCGTCCGTGATAATCAAGACTTCGTAATACCAAACACTTGAATTAACATGGTACGTACATCGAACACTTTCAAACGAAACTGTATCACTCCGAGCTTCCAATCCGTCAGGACTAATTTTTAAGTATTCACTAACATCTTTATCATTAAGCATAACATTGATATATCGATGATCAACGATTTCATAAGACGGAGAACGATTATCAAGTATGAACACATTATCAAGTAACCATTGAGCATAAAATCCTGTTGAAGAAGGAAACAGTCAAACAACTAGTGTTTTCGGCAGCAAGACACATACCGATTTGTCGTTTTAGACAGTTGTTCGATGGTGCCCATGTTTCATAATATTGTAAAACATTTCTTTTAGGTTGTTCATTTTTTATCGTTAATGATTCCAGTAACATTAACTTCGCTTCTGATGTGTGTGAAAACTTTTCCAAAGCGATCAGAGCAAATAGGACGATTTTTAACACGGATGAATATTTCGATGATATATCCAGATCGTCAACGTCGAATGATTTCAATGAATTACAAGCATACATGCCTAAATGCACTCGATCTATTAGATATTCTAACGCAACTGTATCCAACATCGCTGCACTTGATGGTCCGACTATGAATTAGAGGAAAATTTTCTTTCCGATGAAGAGTTATGTAAAGAAATTTTACCGAGTTTTTCAGCAAGACAACCGAGAACGACCAATGTATTACGTTCTTGGTGTAAGTTATCGTCAAACTTCCGTTGACTTGATAGATCGGATGAATTGGTGGGCTTCAAAGATGAAAGAGATCTTTTAGACGGACGAAGACTCGTCATTAATGATAATTTAGATCCTCTAAAAACAACTACCGATAATTTGCATTCAAAATGAAGACTGAAACCAACTTCTCTGAAGATTGTTGTTCGTTGATAAACTCATGTGACGTCGAATGTAACACAGGAGTTGATTCATTAGAATCATTATTAATATTCGTCACATGTCCAACGTGTTTTCCAACTGTCGAGCTGATCGTACGATTGTTATTCTGTTGTTCGGATACTTGTTCGATATGTTCATCAACAATTGTTTGAAGAGATTTGATTTTTGTTTGATTATTTGAACAAAGTCGTTTGATTAATTGTTGCAATAGCTCTTTTGATGGTAGTAAACATTCGTCAAGTAATAAAGCGATCACTGTCGCACCCAACGGATCATTGATTGGTACGCGTTCAACTAAGGCAACGACGACTTCTAACCATCGATCCTCTCGATTGGCAATTCGTGATAAAACCAGCATTGCATGAGGAGGATCTTGGTCAGTATCAACAACTGTTCGGATAATTAGAAGTGTTTCATCGATGAGGGTCGCTAAGTTATACGTTGGTATTGCACGAAGATTTGAAAAACGATTCGCAAAAATGTTGCGATGAAATGTATTCGATAAATTATCAACTGAAGATAAGGAGGAATTGACACTTGGCTGATGTTGAGACTGGTGAATACAATTACCCATGAGAACTTATCTACAGAAGAAGAAAAAACCACATTCTTAGACATTAATCAAGTATTGTGTACACATACACACACACACAAAACACGAAGAGATACAATGAACTCATACTCTAACTTGTTTTGGAATACGAACGCAGAAGAAAGAAAACATGTTACAATTACCCATAGAGAAACGACGAGTTAAAATACACACATACATAGTTACATGTTCAGATAGAAGAAAAAAGAGACATGATATAGATGTGCTCACCGGGTGGAGCGAAAATTAAAAATACAAGTATTCATCAGAGGACAGTGATACAATTCATCTGCTTAAAATAACTACTTGAATGGTTTATTTTTACAAAAAAAATCCCTGTTATTTGTTCGATAAGAAAGAATTAATCTGTGTTTTTCTATTCTAATACATCTTATTATGATATGTTCATGGACAACGAATACACAAACACGACGACGCACAAGAGGTCAGCACCAAGAATATTAGATATTCGATTTTAATCTGAATTTGTCCCTTGATCTGGCTCGATGATTGCATGGCGATAATGAATACTTCTAATGTTGCGATGATTTTTCAACGATGGAACAGCAAGAGCATCAGCGGAGTCGGATCGCGTCGTTCGTGGTATGATAGGCGGGTTCGTGCTCATCGGTTCTCTTCGTTTAACGTTTCTTGATCGAAGTATAGGTCGTTTTGCTTGGACAGGAACTTCACCTAACCGAACAAATTGACCTTCAACTGGTTTATTAACTGAATTCATTAGTGAAGAACGCGGTGGAATAGGAGGTGGTTGATCAGGTATCTGAGATTTCTCATCCATTAAACTTGGCTTCGATGATGACATGTAGAAATCGGATGGTAATATAGCTGGAGGCGCAGTTTTATTTGTATTTGTGCCACTCAGAGAACGACGACCAGCAGGTGGATTTTGTAATTTTATTGGACCTGAGTTGGATGAACGGCGTGCTGTGCACGGCGGTGAAGATTTCGTTGCAGATAATGCGTGTTCTGATAAATAGAAGAAACAGTCAGAGTATCAGATCGGTCGCGCTACTCACTGGGTATAATTTTCACATTATTTGATAGTGAGTATAATGAATTTTTGTCAGCCTGTTTCATCATAAATACAAACATTTTGTGCACAAACGAGAATTGTTTCTAAACGATAAATTAATTCTAAAAACAAATCTATCTTCTATATATGTGTTCACATACAGCCGTTTGAATGAGAGCAATACGGAATTGACGGATATGCAAAGCTATTTGATAGATTGGATATGTTTGATAAGTGTTGGTGAGAAACAAATGCTATATAAATTGAGAATATGATATCAATAGTGTTCTTCATAGACAATCCTTCTTACATCATCTCGAATGAGTAGACGACACAGGTCAATTGCAATTATACTTCCGGTTCGACCACAGCCAGCACTGTAACATACAGAAACATGATTCTGTTTATATTAAAACACTTTTCTAATCAGTACCTGCAATGTACGAGTATGGGGGTTTCAGGTGAAAGACTTCGATCATCATATAATCGTAAAAGTAACTCAAGTATAGGTGCTTCATCATCAGGAACATCGTGATCAAGCCAGTGTAGAAAATGATAGAGTAAAATGTGCCGTTGATTTTCTCCATGTGTGATTATCAATGGACGAATATTATAGTGTTCACAACTGAACGCTTTTTCGTTGGTTTCATCCTAATGAACAGCTAATTGTTCGAAGAAAATTTCGATGAATCATTTATCAAAGGATTACTTTGGTAACAGAATATGGTCCGAATTGGAGCGCTGTTTCTTCTTCTGGCCAATAGCGACGAAATTTCAACTGTAAAGAAGAAATTCAGTAGAAAATATCGAAGAGACGATGAGATTTACCCTTCCAGCTTCAATTTCATTTGCTGTGCATATAACTGACGTGATTTGAAATTCCCAAATCATTCGAAGAAAATCAGTCACTGAATCATTGATAGGACCTTGAGCAGCAATGTACCGACGAGTTCCATACAGATCCTTTCAATGAAAATCGTTTTATGAAAAAAAAAAATCAATGAAGTTTTTAACTGAATTTACTTCGATAAATGAAGCGTTGATGTAATCCGATTGATTCTCCATCTCAAGTATCACGCGATATCGATCATCTGAAGTAGCAAAAGAGTTCTTTTTATTCGTCGCTTCAATCATCGATGTAAGACTTACATGGTAATACATCTTTATATCGATTTTTCGAACGATTCGATGGTTTGGCACCTTCGATAGATGGACAGTTTTCTTTCGTTGAGAACATAATTCGTTGTAATTGCTAGAAGACGTACAAGAATTTATCTTTCATTTAAAATTATTGATTTTCTTACAGCAAATTGTTGACCAATCTCGGTCGATTCAGGTTCACGTGATTTTTCATATTCAATAACAAGTCGTTCTATTCGACTACAGATATCATCCGTTTCAACATTCTTCGTCATCTATCTAAAACAAACACACAAACACTTGACAAGACCTTTTTTCACAATCATTCTTCTCGCATCTCATGAGCATATGGATCAGCACCATTATTTGTCTCATCATGTTTTTCACTACCAACTCTTGTCTGTTGTCGCAACTGATTCGCAAGTGTCTGTATAATTTTCGGTTGAATTAGTTCATCAATATCATATACATTTGACATTTCAAAGATCTGCATGATGCTAGTGTCGTAAATTGGTAAGCCAAGTCGATTCAGTATTTGAATACAATTACTCAACCGAACAATCGTTTTTCGCACATCGAGACTGACAGACTCGATATTCTTCACGTAACCACCTGTATCGACAACATTACTGTCTGCCGATGATGATGTTGCTGGACAGATCCATATAGCACCATTACAACCACGTATCACAGATGCACCACACGGTAAACTATGGAAATGATTTTTTGTCCGTTTGACAAGTGATGAACGTACGTGAACTAAGATTCCTTCACCTAATTTTCCATAACGTAAACTACGAGTCTGAAGTTGTAGGGTACCATCTTGGTAGATCTGTTGAACTTCAGCTGTGAACAGATCACCTTCCTATCAGAACAAAAATCAATCGATTGATGAAAACGGAAATGATCAAATAGGAATTTACTTTTAAGTATTGTCGCATGTTTCGTTCATCATCTTCCATACGTCTTCGGTTTTCTCCACCTGGTAAATTGACCGCAGCTAATGGCAAATACGCATCTAATCGTGACTGGACATCAACGATCCAACGAGTTTGATCGACTTTCAGTACGCGTCCGATGACAACATGACCGACGTCACCTAAGTAACGTGTGTTTTCAACTGGTTCGACACACAACAATCGATCGACTTTGTGAACAAAGCCAGCTACAGAAGCTTTCAAATGAGTTTTCGTCGCATCGGGATAAGTTCCGTGGCCGCTCATAAAATTAGTTGTATCATGTGCGACAACTGATCCAGGAACAACTAATTGATGAATAATCGATGGGTCGATGTTCAACGCAGCCATTCAATGAAAGTTTTAAAGAAATAACTGAAATAAACTTCAATATTAGATCAAAGGAATACGAAAGACAAGCGTAGGTTCATAAAAACCAGGAAGGCAAGTTACACACATCGCCTTCAAAAAAAAAAATAAACAAATAAATATGATACCATTGGATGAAAAAATTGACAAGCATATGACATTTTTCGTCGATAAAATAATCGAACAAGTTCGTCGTACCGTCTGAAATCGATACCAACATGGAAATATCAGAATCTTGAAAACTCTCCAAATAATAACAAGCAAGTTGACGACTGGCGACATCTATGGAGCTTGCATTTATATGAGATCATCATCTATCTAGAGCTTTTTTGTATGCAAGGCAAATATTTCAATTCAGATTCATTCATTATATTTGAACATATACACATGAACTATGTGATCAAGTCAAGTATTAATATAATTAAAATAGAGAAGAAGAAAAAAAAAGAGATTATTTCTTTTAACAGATAGCGAGAGAGGGGAAATAAGAGGAAAAACAAAAGTAATTTCTTTGACAAATAAAAAATATATGTGTCTATGGTACAAGGTTTGATTTAGAAAACCAGAACTTCCATAAAAATGCACGATAGAATGAATTTTTAAAAATGTTCCCGTGGGACAACTACGTTTGCGATTGGTAATGTCGAACGATTGTTTAATGTCGAGCCATGAGCTAAATAAAAGAATGAATATTGAGGGGGAAGATTGCATTTGAAGTTAACATACAGATTGATCGCTTTTTTGGCTGAGTTTTTGTTGCACGATAGTTTGTTGTCGGAAGAGTTGGTTCTTAAAAATGAGCAATTGTCCATTTAAAAGGAGAAAAGGGAAGGGAAATTCTCTTACCAATGGGTATCAGTTCAGGAGAATCGGAATTAGTTCGCCGAAGATCATTCGTTCGATTTCGATTTACTGCGGAATCATTGATTGTTACCGTTTTTTTCGGTTTTACAGGAGTGATTTCTAATCCGTAGATACTTGCTGCGTTTTCTTTAGATACAATCGGATCACGAGATGCAGTAGTACCTACATAGTATATGAAGAAAGCGATACAGGTAGAGATTTAAACAAGATTGACTATACCCATATCTTCCATTAATTCTCTGTGATGAAGATTCGCTCTTCGTTGCGCTGCTTTCGCTGCAATGTCTTGTGTTTGTTTTCTTAGTTTAGTGCGATTGTTCACTGGATGATTGGATGAATCATTCGCAGGCGGTGCAAGATGGTTTTTGCTACGTGTGAAACTAGTTTCATTCTTAGTTACAGGCATATCGACACTCTCAGAACTCATGCTAACAAGAGAGTTCCCTTTGGTTAACTGCTGCCTTGACGATTGATCGAAATTGAAATGTGAATATGAGATTGGTTTAGTTTTGGCGGCTGAGGAATCCTGTTTGCTGTCATGATGATTTTTGTCATTGCGGACAGGAGTGAAGAGATCTTGATCTGATAGAGTTCGATTGGCTGGTAAGCTTGGGGCGAGTTGATTTCGTCGAGAATTATTCGACGATAAATGAAAACTTGTTACAGATGTCGATGCACTAGTTAGATCTTCTTCAGCTATTTGTGAGAGAAATGGTAGCGTCGATTTACCATTGGCACCGGTTGTCGTTCGTACTGCATGAGCTATAAAATATCAATTGAAATAGTAGTCTTCCGAATTGATACACTTACTTTTCAAATCATGAAGAAGTAAACCTTCATCAATATCTCGGGAATATAATTGATAGAGTTCATCCAAATCTCCTGGTACCAAAAGTTGGTGTTCTAAAACATCAGAACATGATGCTTGAGTTTTCAAATATTTTCTTTATGTTTAAATCGAAAAAAAAACAACTGATAAGTGCAATTGCACGCACTTCATTAAATGAAGTATAAAAAACATTTCCCTCCCTCCTCTTTATCAAATTCAAGTATGTTTTCTTTCGACGATTCTCCTACCTTGAATGAGTCGCCGTTGTTGATAAATGATTGTATCGCATAAACTTTTATGTTGCGACAAGCGCAGTAATTGTAAATCTTTGTTTTTTATCATATGTTCGCGAGCGAAGATCTCCGCTTGTAGTTCAACTGTTTTCATTTCATGTTCGAAATTTTGCGAGAGTAGATTTAGCAACTCCCGTTGTTCCACACTGGTCATTTTCTTTGTTACTTTCTACAGAATAGAAATGCAATTTATCGACAATTAGAATATTCATAAACTTACTTCAAGCAAACGACGCGCATCACTTTTTGCCGTCTCGAAGTCTTTCAATTGAACTTTCCGTTGTTTCTCTAATTTCACTCGTTCTTGTTCTAACACGCGTAATTCTGCACGGGCACGTTGAACACTACTGTCACTAATCGTGGAGTCAACTGCCGTATTATCATCCGATGTCTTTTTACTATTTCTTGGACTATTTTCTTTATTTGAATCATGACTAAGTCGAGAAATAAAACACATCAATGAACACATATTGAATGAATCGATTTCTTACTGCTCTATGATCGCTTCATTTCGTACACATTCATGTTTCACATCCATCAGCCCGCTATCGATGTCTAACAATGCTCGTCGAGCATCGATTTGTTTTCGATAAGCTTGAACAATATTTTCCTTCAGTTTCAGGCCTTCTTCAATACGATAACGTTCGTTTGTTGTATTATCTACGAAGTTAAAAGTGAACTTTCAATTATCTGGATGACGATGACGATATCGATATACATACCACTGAGTCGACTGAATCGTGCTTCGTTTGCAGTCAATAAACGCGTTTCTAAATCTTCTTTTTGTTCGCGTAACAATTGAGTTTGGTTTCGAAGATCTTTGATTATCTGTTGATACTGTGCAATATGATAGGAGACATCGATTACGTTTCGTCGAATCTAAACAGTCAACAAATCAAAAGAAAGTTAGGAGTGTGAGCGAAAAAACAAACTTTGGTTTTGATATATTTCGCTCGATCAGCATAATTTAATGTATTTCTTGACTCTTCGAAATGAACAGATGCAGGTGATACGTGGGCGATCATTACTGTTCGAGAATTTCCTCCAAGAGAATCTTTCAATATGCGCGTTAGTTTACTGTCACGATAATTGACATATTTCGTGTTTCCTTTTTCGCCTAGATGAAAAATTTTTAAACTGAGTAAAATATTGATTTAGAAAGATTTACTTAAAGCATTGATACAATTTCCTAGAGCGAGTAGTGATCGATTGATGTGCGCACCTAAAAGATAAATGTAAACTTGAGATTAGGTCATTCGTATGCTTTTTCTTTTCTGTAATAGATATGGCCTGGTTTTTTTCCTAATTAAAAATTCGAACTGAATCTACATTCTCGTAATATTTGCCTAAAATAATTAAGATTTGTTAGGTTTCAAAACAATTTCATACCTTCCATCATCCGTTTGCCTGTATTCTGAGTTTGTGCTGCTCGTTCCGATCCGGCCAAATCAATCATATAGAGTTTGGCTAGAAGAATGTCAACTTCGCATGTCGATCGATGAAAAAAAAAACTTCTCTTTACCAAATCGAACTTGTTCAGTATGAGATCGCGTAACATCGCGCTGTTTAATATTCACTTGTAGAACAGCATGTGATCTTGATGATGTTTTATTTGCTTTTGTTGGCTCCTGTGTTCGAGCACGGTTGCCCTTATGTAACATCTCCATGACTTCCCGAGGCGTTTTGGCAATGACTTCACTAAGGCCAGCAACTTGAATTGTACCTTTAGCATCTTCACGTAATTCAAGAAAAGCGGACGAAGGAGCAAGCAAATCACGAATAAGTTCATTGTAGATTTCCAGATACGACATGGAGACTTGATATTCTCGTTGACCTTGATAGTTTTTAATTTCGACAAACAAATCATCTAATGTTCGATACATCACGCCAGGATTATTCTCGGTGCCCAACATTGTATAAGTTTTTCCGGCTCCTGAAAGAAATTCTTTACATGTGAATGAATAAATTTCATTTTCTGGTTTATTACCTGTCGCGCCATATGCGAATACAGTCGCATTATAACCCTCTAGAACGCTACTTAAGAGAAGTTTTGCTGTAGCTGCATAGACTTCCTGTTGTTCAGCACGAGCGTCTGAAACAACATCGAACATATATTTACGTTCACGTGATCGATTAGCACGTAGAATATCATCGTGATCTTCTTCGGGATCAAGTAGAACAACCATCTGAAAAGTACAAATCTTCGATAATTCATCCAAAGATGATCGAGTACACATACATTATCATCAGCGACTTTGTGAGCAATAACATTAGCACCTTGAAGAATTTCTTCTTCCGTCATCGGTCGAATACGACACGCAACCTTGAAAGAAGAAATAAACCATGATTGAGCCGATTTGGAAGAAAAAAAAAGCAAATGAATTTACCATAATTTGCTGTTCACCCGTTGGTAGGAGCGGTAAAGGTGTTCCAGCCATCACATTATCTTTGAGTACGCTAGTCATTGTTCTTTCGCTATCCTGTATCTAATGTCATGTGTTGAAAAATCTGTTTATTCTAAAACAAAAAGGAGAAGAAGAAAACTTTGCATACAACGTTTCTCACTTTTCTTTTTCATCCTTTCATTAAAATTTATCTCTGAGTGTTTGTTGACGTGAATCAAATTTCTACCTGGAGTACTTGTCTACGTTTATTTTTATCTCACAAACATATGAACGTTATATCACTACTAATCAAGTGAACATGTTCGGCATGAGTTTCAAGTCTTTCTTCTCTTCTATGCATCCTATTCTCATCGTGTCGTCCTCGCATTTGTTCTATTCGATTGAAAAAAAAAAGAAAGAACAAAAGAGACAGAGCGAGAAGGTATTTCTCGCAGAACTAGTCAATATCTCCGTGAAAAAGAAATGAAAAGAAAAGGAGAAAAGAATCGCATTTTACGATACAGCATCGACGTTTTCTTTTCTTTTTTTAATATTAGAATTATACTGCTATTGCAAACGGTGGGATCGAGAAGAAAAAGAAGAAGAAAAAAGAATTTCATTGTGCGTGCATGTGTATTTATTGTCACCTTCAACTCGTCGTTGGTTGATGTCGACAAAGTTACAAGAGCACTAGAGAAAAAAACGAGAAAGAGAGAGAGAGAGAGAACGCTGACTGATCGTGTAGCAACACCGATGATTTTGATTAGACTTTTAAATTCGAAACAAATAGAGCTAGATTCGTATGGTTTCCTTGTCGTTATGTTTTATTGGTATGTGTCATCCGTATTCATCTGTCCAAGCATAAGTGAAAATCACACTTGTGAAAAGAACGGAAAGAAAAACAACTAATAAGAACGAAATGACTTAATTTGACATGCAATCATCGTACAACTCTCCACTTGTTGTTTTCGATGATGTTTTTCTAAGAACTTGTCATCAGTTTCCATCATGTGATTCGTGCTGTTATGATTAAAGTCATATCTTTCTTGCAAAGTTTCAACTACCTGAGACTTCTGTCGGTTGTATATTCTACAGAAATCTTACGAGGAAAAGAAAAACTCAATTTCTACGATGTTTGTGATGAATATATGAGAAGAAGAAAAAAAAAAGAAGAAAGCCTGACAAACTTTCTCTTTTGTCAACAGATCTTTGATGACCGAACGATCGTATGGATATATAAGAGAATTTCAAACTATAAGGGCAAATCTAAATGTCATGTTTGAACTTTTGAAGACCAGACTTTCGAGTACTAGTAGATTTTGTCCAAGTCCGACGTGATAATAATCTGTATCAATCTTTCTTTACCCAATTCGCTTATTTTTCCAAATGATAAAGAACGGCTGAGACGGTGTTCCATTTCCTCCGATAAATACCGTGATTATACACGAAAAGCTGAACAAAATAAGATTCTGATTGAGTTAATTTGAAGTTATTTATGGTAACAATGTTTCGTTCTGTTGTATGAAAGAAAATTATTTGTTTTTGTCATTACAACTCTCAACCAGAGCAAAAACAACCTATATGCAAACCTTGTCAAAACATATTTACTTTCGAAAATTAATCAAAATTCTATAATTTCAAATCGATACTTCTTTATTTATTCTAACAACAAACAGGAGAACATAGAGATAAAAACCTAAGTCTAATTTGAGAACATGAAAGAGTATAGATCGACATCAAAGATTCGATCGATATTCAACTTTGCTAAGTGTTGTTGTATAGGATAAAGGACGAGGTGGTACTGGCGGAGCTTTGTTTGGTATTTTAATGATTGGACTTGATGAGAATTGATTTTCTTGCAGTTTTCGTGTTTCCATGACATTATCAACGGCGATTGGTAAGGAATGTCGTCGACGGACATGACGCATACGATTATACCAAAACCAAGCACCAGTACCGATAAGAACGATAACGAGAAGCAGAGCTAAGGTTGCTAAGCTGATCATAAACCAATTAAAATTCCAAAGAAAAGTTTGACTTTTCGATAAAGTTAATAATGACTCATTGGTCAAACTGAAAGAATGGATGAATTAGACCTCAATATGAACAGCTTCGTTTTCTACTTACTTCATTGTATCATTATTATCAAGAACTATTGTCTCATTCCACGTCATGATTGTTAGTTCTGTTCGATTAAAATGCGAGAAGTTTCATCGACACATTTAAATTAACGAACTATCATCGTTTTCCTCTCTCTCTCGTTCACACGAAAAACGCACGTGGTGAACAGTTCTTTTTCATTACATTCGTCGCTGAGATATATGTATATATTTGAAAAGTCATAAATACACCGATTTCTTACACGAAAAAAAACGAAGTAAAAACAAAATTCCTCAGAAAATACCGAAACATATTGCGAGATTAACAAATGAGCATACTGCATTGCGCTGGAATAAGGGAGCCAAAGTTTGCGTATATGACTAGTTCTAACTGACGATATTTTGTTGAATCTTGTAATAGAATGCACGTGCTGCATTGAAACGATTGTTATAACATTTATCTAATTCAGCATAAAATGCATCGCGAGCATCGTTATCAGTAAGTCCAACCATTAATTTGTCATATAATTGTTCGAATTTTTCTTCGCCTAACGGTTTGAATCGATTCTTATGTATACGTAAAGCGTTAAAACATGACCAGAGATGTTCTTTGAGTGATTGCCATAATTGTGTAATGATTTCATCATTACTTTCATGACCGATCATAGCTAAAAGAAACAATCGATCGAAGTTTGTACTAAATCGAAAGGAATTCTACCGATAAAAACATCTTCGCTAAATGGGGAATGAGGAATATCCATAAACAGACCAAGTAGCTTTTCAAGCTTTGTCTTTTGGCCAAAAGCACAGCCAAAATCAATATGAAGGATTTTCCCATCTTCAGTTATCATGATATTATCATCTAAGAAGCATAGAATTCGATTCTCAATTCATCATAGTGAAGAGTTTACCATGACGATCAGCCAACTGTAACACAATTCCTGAGAGAACAAAACCGAGAAATGTTCGAAGTAGATTTCCTTTGCGTTCAGGAGACTTTTCAATGAATGATCTCAATGCGTCTGTTGATGTCGAGTCTTTGTTGTCACCGGCTGTTTTGAACTCGATGAATGGATGAGCATTTTCGACACATTCGATAAGACCTTCGGTTTTATCCACTGGAAGAACCTTGACAACAAAAAAACGAATTTATTTCACGTATCAATATCAGTTGTCTTACTTCGTATAGAACAACTTCAGCATTGACATCCTCTTCGATGAATATCTGATTCATTTCTTTCATCACAGCAACACACATAGCATCTTGCAGTAAATCATCACCATGTTTATAAATACATCTAAATAAATCATTTCAGATGGTATTTTTCAAATAAATTCACACTTTAGTCTTACATTTTGGTATTGCCTTCTTGATCGACGGCTGTAAATTTCAATGGTTTTCCTTTTGAAGGAATAATCGAGCCATCACGTACTTCCACCACGGTAAACTGCGGCGATGTTGGCAAAAGGAAAGGAACAGGTATTTGCGATAAATCCAGATTTTGACTATCGGCAGTTTTAGTTATCGCAGATATTTTTTCAATTGCATCACGAGCGATACAAATACGTGAATTGTTTTCTAAGACGTATTGACAAACTTTCTCGTGCTTATGATAATGACACGACCAGTAGAGACGACTACAGTCTGCATCAGAAAGTGTACCAAATGCTCGGATTAATGCTCGATCTGTATGTTCGAATAATCCCCAGAGGAAAAAAGGATCGTGAACATTAACGATATTTGTTTGTTCATTGTTATCTTCTTTGGTATCGTCTGCATTCACATTGTGAATGGGAACATTCAGATCGAAATCACTCATGATTTATTCACTGATTTGAATCAATCTATTTCGAACAAAAAGTAGCAATATGAAGAAAAATGATTATTCAAATAAAACAAAACTATTCGGATTTGTTTTATTTCGAGTATAAATATCACATCAATCAAACATAATCGAACGTAGAATGTTTTATATAGTGCGTTGTCGTTTAACAGCTGCTGTTGTACCATGTAGAATATCTTGTCGGCATATTGGACATTTTTGCAATTCGTCTTCTTGTTTAGTAGCACAATCGTTACATAAACATTGATGCGCACAGGGTAGTAAAATAACCGAACTATTGTTAGTCAAGCAGATGCAACACACGTCATCAGTACCATCCGTTTTCGATGTTGTCGGTTTATTTGCAAGTGTATCAGTTAATTTTGTTAGTAGATCTTCAGTTTTCAAATTACCTTTAATACTGTGTCGTTTGGCCAATGTTTGTAAATCTCGTCGTGGTAACGTATCGAGCGAAGGTAATGTTTTTCTCTCTACTGTGACTGGATTATTAGTTACAGTCGTAGTCGCTGCTGCTACTGCTGTAGTTGTTACAACAGGTGGAGGCAAAACAAGACTCTCATTTAAAGGTATGTCATCTTGTTGAGCAATATCTAATAAATGTTTGAATTCTTCCTCGTTTAATGACTCATCATTGAGCACAGTCATTTCATTTTTGAAATATTCAACCAAGCGTGGAAATTGTCGACGCATTGATTGGTATTCGTCGATGATCTCAGGTGTTGCCGATGCTTGGCGTAATTTTAGATAACGCTTCATGAATGCTGTGTATCGAGTCAATAGAATAGCTTTCTGTATACCCGAATGAGTGAACGAACCGATCGTATTGGAAAATTCGAATTCTTGCTCATCGGTTTGCCGAATACCAGAAATTGTATCCCATGAAGTGTTGATTTTGAATTTTTCTGTTGTGTCGTCAGCGATTTTCGTATCAATGATTCGAAATAGAAGACAACCACCACGCACTTCATTTTTATCATTCATTGGTGATGGAAATTCAGTTATTAGTTTAATCGATGAACGAACTTCAACTGGATCTTGAAGTTGATGAACTTCAGGTGATCCATATCCTTGTTCAAGTTTATATCGTTCACCCGAGAGAGCAATTTCAATATTAAATCCAATTGGTGTCACTGTATAATGAAATTCCGAATTCATTAGTTCATCAAAAGTCCGAGCACTGCGAACATTACAATAATTGCAGCCGATTGTACGTGAGACAGATTGAATTACTTCAGCACCGAGATCGAGACCAACACCGACAACTGTTGACCATATGGTTCGATCTTGTGCATTACGTCGAATACGTTCGAGAAATGTTTGACCGTCGTCGTGTGATACTTCCATATCGGTAAGAAAGAAAATCCGACGACTAATCAGATTATTGTCGTCTTTTAAACCTTTCGCATCGGCCTCGTTATTGTACAAGTTACTTGCTGCTTCAATCGCTCGAGTAATGGCTGTGCCACCATTAGCACGTAATTTCAAAATCTTCTCTTCAAGTTGTTTTTTATCCATTGAAGATATTTTTTCGATTGGTTGCAAAACTGTTGCGACACTATTGAATAGAACAATACCAAGTGCATCATTTGGTCCCAACTGTTTCAATAATGTCAATAACGATTGCTGTGCTATTTGTAATTTTGTTTTACCAGGTTCGCCCTCGAATCGATCACTCATCGAGCCAGATATATCGAGTGTAATAACCAAATGAAGTTGAGAACGATAAGTTCGAACACCGGGACCATCGAGACAACTATTGAAATTCACACTTAACCATCGTTCACGAGTTTGTGCACCATTTTCCAAAGGATTCACAGTCGTTGCCACACTAAATGATGGTCGAAACAGATCGACTGTGGTCGGTTGCGCTGCGAAATGATGTGCGTAGAATGAACTTTCATAGCTAACATCGTAATTAACATTCACGGGAGCTGCAGCTTCGAGTTCCGCCTCCGTAATTTCCTGTTTGCCTTGTTGTTTCGCTGCAGCTTGCTTTCGTGCAGCATAGGCGTAAAAGACGGCTGATTTGCGAGGTGCTTTGCCACCGGTCGACTTGCGAGCCGTTTGTTTCGTACGAGCCATCGAGATCGGAGTAGAACAAAAAATGACAGCGAAACCAAGTCACGCATATTCTTTTATAACTGCTTGACGAGAGTATGTGTAATTGCAAAACGTCAGCTCAAGTTGATGAACAAGAAAGAAATAATGAAAAGTTACGATTCTAATACGCAGCAAATCGATAAAAGGTACTTTGCTAACGATCTTTTTAGAGGTAACATGTTGACAACAGATGGAAATATCACGAATTGCAACGAAACAGATGAATCATGTAGTATGAACCAATCACATTGCTTTTGATAATACTTGCCAGAATATTATTCTGTTGACGAAAGATCACACTAGTAGACATTTGTATAGCTGAGAGTTCGAATTAGCATGTATTTCAAAGAGAGAAAAAAAACAACAACACAACTCGATTTGGTAATCTATACATTGAGTTTGTTTAGATTCAAAATACAAGCATACTGTTCTACCACGAATAGGAAATATATATATTAAAAAGGAAATAGCAGACAAAATTCTGTTCAGTATTTCATCACTAACTAGCTCGCCTTCTTGTTTCGATTTACATCTCAATGGAACATTGATTTTATGGACTGATTAAAATGAAATTCTAACAAAGCACGTAACTGACATTTTCTGTTACTGTATAAAACTATTCACACCATGTCTTCATCACTTTGTCCGACTCGTGTTCGTTCTCCTGTCGGGGAGGAATTGTACCGAAAATCTTGTTGATTACTATTGAGATAATCAATTGGCGGAGATGGTTTTGTTTCATCAACTTCTGTAACACCACCAGCACCCAAGAGAAATTCATCGTCTGGTGTTAATTGTTCGAAATCTTTCGCATAGATTTCTTCCGGAGTCGGCCGACGACATCCTAGTAAATGTCCAATGATACCAATAACGGCTATTGCTAAGAATACTAATGCAAAGAGAATCAAAACGATTGACCAAAATGGAAAGAAACCTATGTACAAAACAGGAGGACATTCCAATGAGTTTTGATTTGAAAAATGAATAATGCGCTTACCGCGAAGTAAATAATCAGGATTGACACGACCGAACATATCTGTTCGTCGACTTCCGGACATTTCGTAATGTGTTCGAGCTCCATAACCCAAGTCATGTTTTTCACGTAATTGATCTGGCGTCAAAAGTTGACTATCACAAACGAAAACGAACGTTAACAATAATCCTAAAACAAAAAGTATCTTTAGCAACGAAAACATTCACGAAATTTCTCTCTGTATAAAAACCTGTTACAGCTTTGACAATCATCATGTTCTGCTAAGAGACCATCAACGAATACGTACGTACATACGAGTGAAGGGAAGTAAAAAAAAAAGAAAAAAAAAGAATGTGAATTGGGTCACCAAATGTAGTTTTGAATACGACCACTAGTAAGAGGAAGGTAAAAAAAAGAAAGGAAAGAGAGAATACTATGAGCTCATATAAAGTACAACGAAAGAACGTCACAAGCAGAGAATGTGTCGTTTGTTGAAGGAAAAGAAAAAAACAGAACCAACATTTCTCGTCTTTTTTTAAACTTACTATGACATGTACTGCGTTTGTCATTCGCCGATGCCCTTCATCGAGAAAAGAAACCGCACATCATATCTTGACCAATAAATGTTATGTTTGCATGAAAAAGCATATATTAAATCACAGCATTCAATCGTATACTGATTGTAAATCTTTGTTAAATAAGAGTTCGAGCTCGAAAATGATGTATGAGAGACAAGTCAGTTGTTTCGATATTATTTTTAATCTCAGATTACCAATAAAAATAATCAATCAACTCGTTCATCACCCTACTCGGCTCTTCAATATTCACATTCACACACGCACACACATAGATAAATACCCGAAGTATTAAATTGAATTCATTTTCGTACGTATACACAAAAGAAAAACGAAAATGAAAAGAAAAATAATAATAAAATACAAGACACACTCTAATACATCTGTCTAATCGTACGCAAAAACGGCGTACTCGAATAATAATGGTTAGAATAATGGTAGCAGTTTTCGAAGAAGAAAATGATGCTGATGATCAAGTATAATATTAATAATGCAAAAAAGAAACGGACACAACAAGTAGGTAGTGCTTTGTTTTTTTGAAAGAAAAAGTAGAAAGCAAAATGTCTCTGTGATTTTCTGCAAATAATGACCAAATGGAAGGAGAACAGAGTCGTGAACAAGTAGAATTATTCTTGAAAAACAACAAAAGACAACCGGAGAAATGATAAAGGAACGGGAGCTGGTTTGTACACAAGAAAAGAAACAAAAAAGTAACAACTTTTTTTCAAAAGATCACATCGAATTTATATGATCTGCTCGGCTTCGTTTCTTCTTTTATATGTTCAGCCATTCCAAGTATCATCGAATAAATTAGTCATATTCTGATTCGATTGTGATTGTATTAAACGTCGATTTGGTGGATTTGCCGGTGGTGTAACGAGATCATAGAGAAATGTCATATCACTAGTGGGATCATAGTTCGGATTGACTGTTGAATTTGTTGATGTTAGTGGTGTTGGAATCGATTCGGATTTAATCAACTTCGGACGTTCATTCGAGAAATAGGAGAGAACTTGTTGCGGTTGAAATGGCTGGAGATCGCTCGATATCCGATTGTTATCAATGATTGTTCTATTATGATGATTCAAGTTTGGATCGGTATTGACGGATGGATGAAGAAGACGAATGTGTGATAGATTATTTGTTAAATATTCATCGTTTTCGTTTAGTGAAACGTCATTTAATTCATCATCGATCGTTCGTGGTACGATTAAAACTGAATTCGTGGTCGGAGTAGCTGATGTAAGCTGATCGAAATGTTGGTGATTATCCTGAGAAAGATTGTCTTCCATGTCTGTATCGATTGAAGACGCATTCGAATCAAGATCATTTTCTTTTGAAACTAAACAGTCGGAAGAGAAAGACAAATCGATAAGTATTTCAAATCTGCAAGCAATGCTTTCTTTCTGTATGAAGTTAAAAGTAAGAAAGGCCGTGAAATAGCAACAAGATCGCACAACATCGAATCGCACTGATTTGTTAAATGAATAAGCATGCACAGAAGGAAACAACAGAGTTACAATAGGTCATCTGAAGACATATGTGCAGATAAATAAGACACGATATCTTACTTGAATTACTCGGTGATGAAGATGTCGTATTGGTATTTGAATACGTTGAATTCGTTGTTGTCGATATCACCGCCTCCTGACAATCATCCCGATATCTATCTGAACTCAAGAAACTACAAATATTGTCGCGAAAGATTGCGTTTTCTCTTATCTAGGAACTCTTTGTCGAAAGAAACATCCCCATACCTTCTTGAACTCTCGAAACTATTTGTCACAGTACGATTCTGCTCAGGAAGAAATATACTTACTCAAAAGCATTTCATTAATTAGATCATCAACTTGTTTCGTATCTTGATTGTAACGTGCAACAAGATCGACCATTAGTCGAGCGATATTTTGCAATCGTGGTATCAACAGTAGTAAATCACCAAAACGTCCACGCATCAACGGTCTCTGTTGATTAATGTATGTTTCAAGATTGACTTGGACACGTCGACGTAGTTCTTTGACACGCATTGGATCGGATAAGGATTTATTATCTTTAAAAAAAACCAAACGATGATTCGACGATATGAGATATTTGATAGATCAATACAAACCATTATCGAAAAATACAATTGCTTTCAAACAAGCATATTCTTTTTCGTCCAGTTGATTTTCTTTTAATGGTTTTACAATTTCATCGAGAATTCGAACAGCCGCACGGCTTAAACCTGGATCTGAGGCATTTCGAGGTATAACATAATGATTACCCAACATCAGATAATCATCACAGCCCAATGATCGACATGCAACACCTAAGATGAGATTTTCACCTGTATGACCACGTAACAAAGCAATCTAGAAGATTTTACGTAGAATTCGTACAATCGAATCGAATTCATCAATACTTTATCATTGTCTGATAGTTCAACAAAGCCTTTCAAATCTTTCGCCCATTCAATCAAGCTACGAAGTTGATAATTCATTGATATACCAATTGTTTCTAATGTCGCTTGAACGCGTTCAGTATCCGATGGCTGACGATCAAGTTGAAATTGTCGACCGATGTACTTAAAAAAAAACAAATGTGAATCATCGGAAGATCAGTAATCGATGTTCGATTGATTCTACCTCTTGTGCTGTTTTTTCTGCTCTTAACAATGCTGTTACACTTAAATCATCTTCATCCTCGTTAATATCACCAGTAAGGTTTGAATGAAGTTTCGTATTCATCACTCCATAGTTATGATGACTGCGTTGCCTTCCGAGACGGTCTCTTTCCTTTTGCACCGCTGAAAAATAAATATCAATCGAAATCCTATTAGCAAGCATTCAGATCGTATTTACCATCTTTCTTCATACCCATTCGAATACATTTTCTATAAAATAAACAAACATGTTCGTGTACATAAATCAGTCTCATTCAAATAAACATACTTCCATCGGCAATGTCGACATTGATTACGTTTATCTTTATCAATAGTACAATTATTCTGATGGCGACATTCGTAAACAGGATTCTTTCGAACACTTCGTCGAAAGAAACCTTTACATCCATCACATGATATTGCTCCGTAATGTTTTCCTGTGGAAGAAAAACAAAACAACGAAATTCTATTTTAAACAAAATGTGTCATTTTCTCTTACCGGTCGCTCGATCACCGCAAACTACGCAATCTAAACTTTCGGCATTGTTTCCAAATGTATTATTCGTCATTGAGTGTAAACCTAGAGTCATTGTTTCTGCTAAATCACCGACACCATCATGAAAAATAACATTGTGCTCATCAAATTCACATTTAATAGTCACGGGTTCGCTTGTAGCTTCGTTTCCCACAGTACGTCGCACTAAATAGAACAAATCATTTACATAGTATCCGACGAGGAAAAACCCATCGAAAAATACAGATGAGAATTATCATTCAATGCCATCATTGAGTCATGCACAAGGTGCGTGACACCTACTGCTATGTGTATATGTATATGTTTTCTTTTCTGATTGAATGATGATGAGTAGGTTGAAATATAGACGAAGTGAAAGAACGAAAAAGATAAGCGGAAGAAGAAGAAGAAGAAGAAAAATAGTCGTCAGTGAAAAATGCAGGAGATAATGAAAGATTAGGTTGCTGTTTTGTTCCATGCGGTAGCGGCGTGATTTGTTGAACAAAGAAAAGAAAGTGTTAAGACCACAGATGAACCGAAAGGTATGAGAGTTGTCATTATTTTCTCATCTGTTCCTGTTCTCTCTGTCAGACGTGTCGCCAGACTTCGATATTTTTTTTGCTTTCCCTCCGTCCTCTTCAGCTAACTACTGTCGTCACCGCCTGAAAACAACTGCACAAAAATAGTTCTCTCCGTGTGACCGGTTTCACATAGACATATCATATCGTTTTGTTGTTTTTTTATGTTCTACTATTGTAACGTCTAGATTTTTCTGACGAGAGTAAATATTGAATAGGAGGAAAAAAACAACTTTATAGGTTTCGATGTTTTGTTGATCAGAAAAATATTTAGTACACACGTACGAATAACCCTTTCCTTATGAATACACAATGTAATGGAGAACGGAAATCTTACCTGAAGACGCCATCGATGACAGTAATGATGAATATCTAAATCATAATCAACAATCTACAATGAATTCAACATATATAAATTTGTATTTGAGTTGGCTCTTTCTTTGACGAGAAGATTTTGAGAGTATGTTTAATAAGATTCTCATTAACTGATGATCAGTGAAGTGTTTCTAATGATAACAATTGTTGATAATTATACTGGTTTTTCATTTACATACATTTGGTAGACTGAACAAGTTGTAGAGAAACTCATAATTTTCAAAATGACATGTTTTGTTGTCGAACGTCGGAACACGACGAAGATGAGTTCATGTACTTAACAGACAAAATCGATACTCAGAGTACTCTGCCGTTTATAGGCAGTCAACATGTTTCTGTCTCTTTGATTGACTTGAAATGAAAAGATAAGAAAGGTTCTTCGCGAGCAGAGTATCGATCTGTCATTTTCACAAGAACTTTTCAAACCACAGCAGAGAAGAAAATTTCTAATGAACTCATACTTGGATGCTTCGAATCATGCAAGTCTAGAGTAGAAGAATAATTTCTAGTTTTATGTAGGTAAAAGCTAATCAACGGTCTTAACTTAGAAAAAGCAACAACCTCGAACTACATATGAAACCCAACTTGTACGAATTTTAACGTAAGGAAATGATCATAATATCAGTTCTATTTCAAAAAAATTGCTCTTCTGATAGTTGTTCTGAAACATTGACTTTCTTCAAAGCAATTTCCAATGTTGCTCGATTTGAGAATCTTTTTGATGGACTATTTAAAGATCGAAAGGTAATGATCTCGATTGTTTTCTGATCTCTTAGTTAGTATAACTAAAAATAGACTTTAAATCATCTTCTCAAGCTAATCCTCACAGATAACCAACAAAAGTACTTGAAAATGCTGTCACCTATTTTCATCGAATTGAGAGGTAATTAATGAACTCATCAGTACGAAAGTAATTCTCTTCAAGAAGTGTAGGTTTTTTTGAATATACTTATCTGACCTCGTTTATTTCGTTGCTTACCTTAAAATAGATTACAGAACTAGATATTATGTAGAAAAAAAAACAACGAAGGCAACAGACGCTTCCGATAGGTATATAACGAATCAAATGAGCAGAATAATTGTTAATTAATTGAACCAGGAATTTAAATATCTTTCTTAAAAATCTTTAGTGAAAACCGACTATTTATCAATGCTTATTTGCGTTTCATTAGGTTTGTTTACTTTTTATTAGCGACATCTATCAACAAATGAACAAACTGAAAACTAATGTTCGAAATTATGAAGAAATTTCATTTAAAAGAATTGAATTGTTTCAAGAAAATTTATTTACTTTTTTTCTCCGACACCATTGCAAACGAAACTTCGCCTTTGCAATGACGTGCCTTTGTTTACCGATGATCCATTAATACTAACATCGAAATCTCTCTACTTCTCAACGTTCTTCCGGTTTGAATAAAAAGAAAAAAAAAATTCATATCAGAATTTCTTACTTCTGATATCCATACACGATGACAACAAATTGTCCATCTTTTGTTCGACATCAATCACTTGAAGCAACTCAAGTTATTCCGTTATTCGATTCAACTACAACAACATTTACATCGACACCGCCGTTTAAACCCAAAGCTGGCGAAGTTTATGTCATGAAACTCGATATTGGCCATGAAAGTAAGTCTCAATTCCGATGAATACCTTTGTTCATCCGCTCGAGTCAAAAATTCTTATGAATAAAATCTGGAATCATCTTGGAAACTAAACAAAGGTATATCACGGATAGTTGATTGAGATTTTTGTTTATCGTAGATGATTGGCGCAGTGATGGCTATCGATGGGTTCAGATAGCTGCCCGACGTTTACCAACTCATAATCCCGTCATAAAGAAGTGCTATTTCCATGCGGGACAAAAAAACAAGAAGAAAAGCAAAGATTTTGAAAAGCAAGCATTCGTCTCATTGGTTGATCCATCCAAAGTCGTCGTACAATATCTTGGTGACGAAAACGTCGCCGAAGAATTTCCACATGGAAATTCGAAGAAGAATACCAAACCATTCTTTCGCACGCGTCCATCGTTATTAAACAAACTGATATCGGAGGCAGCGACCAACGCCGAAACATCGCAAATCTTCAAGCAATATACGTCGAATAATTCCAATGAGCAGGATGATGTTGACGAGGATGACGATGATGATGAAGGTTCAACAGTTAATAATTCTATGGAAGCAGAAGAAACAGTCGACGATACCGATCAGAAAAAATCATCAATAATTAAAAATGAACCGAAAAAGCCAAAAGTTGGCCCCGAAGTTCTATCACAACCACGTAATATCGAACAGATCAGAAATGTGAAACGACGTTTAGCCCGTCGTCTAGTTGCATCAGCTGATGAAATTTCGGAATTGTATCGTTTTGCGCGTGAAACGCCCAACTACATCGTTCGTTTTACCCTAATACCAAATATCGTTGCGATTGCCTTTTCCAATGAATCAATGCATGAATTTAACCTCCTATTAGATCATCCTGATCTGCTATCCCAACAACAAGTTCTTATTACATTCGATTCGGCATACACTATCAATGCTTTTCATGTGACTTGCGTATTCTACCGACATATTGCAATGAAAGAAGAACCATGTATTTTGCTTGGTAAGTCGAATGAATTTCGATCATTGATGGCTAGGTTTGATTTTCTTTAATAGGTTGTGCATTGCATAATCGTCGTTCGGATGATGTTTATGAATATATTTTAACACATTTAAAACAACAATGTCCAAATATTGAATCGCGTTGCTTATTTATTATTGACAGTGAAGGAAATACGCTGAAAAATAATTATTTATCAATCTTTCTCCCACACTTACGTATTATACACACATGGAATTATGTTTTCTCACAATTGCGTGCTTGGTTGTTACAGAATGGTCGAACACAGGCTGATTATCAATTTTATAATGCCGAATTGAAATCGTTATTGTTGTGTGCTGATCTGTTGACATTCACGCGCTTATACGATCGATGTAAATCCAATTGGACACAAGAATTTCGAACATACTTCGAGCAAATTATTTTACCATTAGTTGATACTGATCTCGGCTCATGGGTATTGAAGAAATATGACTTATTCGATGCTTATTCAGGAATCAAAGGACTTGTATGTGAGCCAATGCAAACGGTGGTATGTTGTTTGAAAGATGATTCGGAAAGACTGTTTTATTCTTGGTTTCATTTAGGCAGCACAATTACGTGATTGGCGTGAATCTCGTTTTGATAGTGGTGCAATGGCATTCTACTGGCTACAAATGTATTTTGTTCAACAAATACGAAAATCTTATTCTCGTCTTGGTGGTATTTATGTATTAAAATCAGGTATCTATGAAAAATGGGCGATCACTGCCGTCACATCGAGTGCTGCTCATGAACCAATAAAAGCGTTAGTACCTGAGAAGATTGTTGAACATGTACGAGCGAAAGTGATAATTTCATCTGTGCATCATCCTCATTTGCAAGCAAAACGTAGCGGTGAACAACAAATTTTAACTTTATCACCTGTAAAAAGACTTAAAACGACAACATTCGATGGTACTCAACATCATCATCACCAACCGTGTATCATTGCTACCACAACAACAACACCACATCAAGTCACGACAGCTGATCTGAAAGCAACATTACTCGCTGCAGCGGCAGCTGCTCAACAACAACAACCGAGAACGATGACTGTAAGTGACTTTTGAGCGAACATTTCTTTTCAACTTTCTTTCTCAAACTCAGATTCGTCGTATTGCGGCAACGACCAGTCCACAACATCAACAACAGCAGCAACAAACAACATTTCGACTCACCACTGCACCATCAACATCATCTTCACAGCAGCCACAACAATTCATCATCACAACAGCCGGCACCGCACTACCATTAGCTCAAGCAACCACAACAGCGACAGGACTGGTGGATGATGGATCGATGTACGATGATGGCACAGGGGATTTAAGTGGCTGTTTAGTGACAACTTCATCCCAATCATCAAATTCCACTGCAGCACAAACACGTTCATCCTACGTTCGTCCGTCGTTACCGACCAATGTTCTTCGTTTGACAGTTGTACGCAAATGAAAACAAAAACAAATGTTCGTTTTTCTTTTTCGTTTTTCTTTTCATTGATCATTGCATGTCTGTATCTTGATGTACAGGTTTCCAACACATTCGTCTGTACATAGGATCAGCTTTACTGTTATTGTTTTTTTTTTTATATATAAATAAGGTGAACAACAAATATTCATCGTATTCATATGCGAACTAAGGCGGATGTACATGTATGTGAACATAGATATGATCGATTGGTTAACATTTATGAAGAATCACTATGTGATTTTAATGTATTTAGGCGATTTTATTGTATCTAATTAGAAAATCTTACTCTCATCGTGAATTTACGGTAGATAATGAATGTAGGTTTTTCTATTCAAATATTTGAATTAGTCATGTTAACCTTTTTGATTAAAAAAAACACAGCATTTTAAAAATACTAGTTGATTTAATTTTATAATAAATCTTCAACTTTTGTTACGATAGTAAATAGAATGAGCATCAATTTTATTCGTTTATTGGAAAAGATCTCGAGCAAACTGCAAATTGGAATGATGTCAATTGATTTCGAAAGATCGTGAGAATCAAATTACACAGTACAGTATCGATAATTGCAGGAATCAGGTTGAGGTAGGAGAAAAACGTAGAAAGTTTTACAGTTGGTTATTGATATTAAATTGCAATCACTGCATGTGTTCGTTGAATAATAATAACAGACGATACTTGTAGCGGTACTAAAGAATGCTGTAGGATATTGACCAGCAAACCATCCGCTAGCTACCGTGCCACAGGAATTAGGAGGTACAACTGAATTAGCTATCAATGTACCGGCTGGATCTTGAAAACGAATCCATACTGATGTGTTGTTACTGAATGGCGATGTATTATCACAAGAGGTAATTGAACTTGTATAGGCCAAATTACGTGTTTTATCAGTGTTAAGTGTGTAGTTTGAACATTGTGATGGAGTGTCAGTTGCATAAGTAAAAGTCGTTATAGGTGTAGACGAACATTGTACTGGTGAAGTAGTTACTAAAATTCAATGAGAAGATCAAGTTTATCTAGCGGAGGTTTTATTCTGGATATACCTGAAGTATTGACCGTTGTTGTACTGGAAGTTGCGGCTGTAACAAAAACGATTCCATGGTTATTGAAATTCACAGTTAATGCATAGATAGCAACAATTAAGCCAGCTAGTGCTAGTAGGGTAACAACAGCAAGAAGCAAGAATATTGTTATTAAACACGAACGAGTATTGAATTTGCGGAGACTCGATAGAGTTGTGTCCTGATCGAAAGTATATGGACACTTCCTTTTATAAATAAAAGAGAAAAATTCGAACAGAAAAAGTAATCTTATTGTCTTCACTTACCGAAAATTAGTATAAGTTGGTTGTTCATTATCGTCAATTTGGATATTGATTGTTGAAACAGACATCCGTTGTATGTCTCGATTGATATTCAAGTGCTGCGATCAGAATGCAGTCGAGATGTAAACATGAATGTTGACTTGTTTCAAATAAAACTTCTTCGCTTTCGATTCTGTTTAGGAAGAAACCAACACAATAAGAACGATTTTTGTGTTCACATTGAATGTCAACAATACGTCGATGAAATAGTAATTAGTTGAGTACTGTCTCATACAAACGATGTCAGGAATATCGAAAGTATTTGTATACATATTTTTTAACGTCAAGGTTACGTTTAATAATCGACTTTAAGCTGCTTCTATATGTACAATAACAATTCGAACCGATATGATTTGAGCTGAGAAAAAGTACGATGTATTTATTTGTTGACAGAAGAAGAAAAAAGTGCAAATCAACTCAATATAGATAAAAGTTATTCTAAACGAATATTGTCAATAGACCAATAGAGATCATTTGTCACATGTTCAATTTGTGTCCAGCGAAATCGCACACTGCTGCTTGTTTGGTTCTCAGCGATATCTTTCATCTCCGTTGGTAATGTCATATTCACAAATTGTGCATGTTCTTGATTATATAAGGTAATTAGCCGTTTCCATGTTATGCCTTCGTCAAAAGTCCATTCAAGTGCTACTGTTACATTATTTGTCGTGAAGAGACAATTGTCTTCAAGTGTAACGTGAAATGCAAACGATATTGTTCTAGAAAAAAAAACAGTCGTCTTCTTTTCGAAATGAAAAGTGATGAAATTGAACTTACGTTGCTTGACTAATATTCAGCTCACGTGTGATAGCTTCAACTTGACCACAGCCACAACCAGCATTAAAATGAAGTGCTTGACCACTTAAATAATTATTCGTATTATTATTGAAATTTTCATCGCAAACATGACGAATATGTCCATCACCACTCAATTTCATCCAGTTATTCAAGTTAGGTGCATTTGCGCCCTCGCCACTACCATCATCGAATGTTTCATTAAACCAGATAGGTAAAAGTTCCTTGCCCACATATTTTTCGCAATGCGTTCCTAAACACACTTATACTTCAAACGAGTATTTCTTTTCTGTTTTCATGTACCTGAATAATCAATAGCACACTGACAGCCAGATACAGTACATAAACCTCGATCGTGGCAGTATTCAGGACATTCACCAATGAATAAACTATTGATTGACCATCGTTCATCCTTGAGCTGTGTCCCAATCCAACGAAATTGCGTTCCGCTAAAAGAATTTCCACATGAATCTCGATATTGTCTTCCTGTAGAGTGCGATAATAGTCATTGTTTTATAATTCTCTCATTCTATTTCTTCTTCTCCTCCCGGTATCCAAGGTGATATGATTTCTCATGGAGAGACAAAATACGAATAGAATTTCTTATCGTTGACGCGAGAAAAACAGAACTTGAAAGAAAAAACAAATTCTCCCATTGTTTCTCTGATCATCCATGCATATTTAGAATATCAGCACTGAAGAGATGCTCGCTGCTTCGATGGAAATTGACAATTTCATAGAACGACAACGCTCTAAATTAAACAAACAGTCATCTCAAACTTCCATGACTCGGCCGCCTCCTGTTATGCAACAACCAATGAATCAACCACCGGCACCACCTAACAATGTTCAAGATCGACTTGACTTCAAAGTAGCACGAATTCTAGATGAGCCTCCACCTCGTATTGCACCTCAACAACAATTCTATCCACCCCCTCCTCCACCGATGCCTAATAATCAAACTGCTGAACATCAAATGAATTTTTATTCTGAGCAACGTCGTTCATCGTACGATGGTAATGACAATGCCGCGTCATTTTTCAACCGATTTGGAGCGTATGACGATAAACGTTCTCAGCTGAAAGATGATTTGAAACGTGAATATAACGAATATCTACAATCACAAAAAGGAATGTCCAAAAGCAAATCATCTTCCCAAATAGTATCACCACGTCATAATACAACTAAACAAGTTCAATTTCAGCAGCATCAACAAAATGGAAAAGTAGTTGCACCGTGGGAGAAAAACGAAAATAGATCTGTCTCCAACACACAAAACATGAATAATATGTCAACAACAACCACAACGACAACGTCAGAATACACAGTAAATCGCTCACGTGCACCGACATCTGTCAATCACGATGAACAATTCATTCGAGATCGTGAAGAATACATCTTAGAACTACATGCACAAATACGAGAATTGGAACAAAGAAAGAAACAACTTGAAATCGGTAAATCTCTTTCGTACATATTTAAGATTTTCAATATTGTTCTTCTCTTGCCAACTTAGATGGAAACAGATTATCTGCTGGTGGTACATCGATGATGTCACGAGCACATTATAATGAAGATCTGAATGCCTTAAATTCTTTACTTGCGGAACGTTTGGATCAACGCAACGCGATTGATCACGAATTAGCGCATATTCTTAACCGTCCACCAGTTTCTTCCAGTCCGACACGAGTGATCCAAGGTGGCGTATCCAATTTGAATATTACTCATGAGCATAAGTCTTCACAAGGACAGCAACAGCAAAACGGACGTCAAACGCAGGTATACCGTAATGAAAACCGGCAAGGAACATTTGATGCAGGCTTTCAAATTGGTCGAGAAGTAGACAAAGACGCTGAACAAACGGCGAAGAAACGTTATCAGCAAGAACTTCAATCTCAAATGCGTGAAGCACAGATGCGTAAGGCACAAGCCAAGCAAGACAAAGACGATTATGAACGCAAATTGGACGCAGATATTCAACGATATAATTATTTTGGTCGCAGTGGTGGAGGTGCACCGATGCGCGATAAAGATGGTAATGTTGTAGCAAACTTAGGCGATCTCAGAAATCCACCTCCGCCAACTCAGCGACAACAACCGCCACCACCATCTCATTTTCCATCTGATGACAAAGTCTATTCGTTAGGTACTGGTCTAAGCTCCCTTTCAAATCCACCCTTTTATAATGGAGAACAATCACAACCACAGTACCCATCCAACTCGGTAAAATCAGTTTTTAGACAGAAACAACGAATTTGAATTGATATTTTCAGGATCGTCCTGGTTCGCCAAATCATGCTCGTGGCGCGGTTAGTAATGGAATCTTTGGCACGACTAAAACTGAAGCACAAATAGTACGGGAAGAAAAGTACAAACAAGATTTGAAGAAACAAATGGAAGAGAGACGTCAACGTGAAGTAGAAGAAGCAGCGAAACGTCGAGCTGAAGAAGAACGTGAACTTGCTAAACACTTAGAGTGGCAACAACAGATGGAGAAACAAATGACCGAAGAAGCTTTGCGAAAGCAAGAAAAAGAAGATCAAGAACGTCTTCATCAACAACAATTACAAGAAGAATTAGAACAACGCCGAAAACAGGAAGAGCAATTGGGGAAACGAAGTAACAACTTTCCTCAAGCGAGAAAAAAATCATCTCACTCAAACATTTCTCTTCGAATTTAGAGCCTAAACGACCAGAAAAACCAACTACACCCCGAAGTGATGAAGATGTACGACAAAATACTTATGATGAACCGCCGCCGCCGCCACCTCGAACCGAAGCTGCCTATCGAAGTTCGTCGCCCCCAGTGCCTACCTTAAAAAACAAAGACAAAAAACAAAAATCAACCGTCAACAATACACGACGTCCATCCTATGAAGACACAAGCCATCAACCACCGGCACCTTCATTCGACAATCAAGATGATTACATGCGTCCCGTATACGATGATACAGAGAGTCGAGGGAAGCAAACGTATAGAAAACCACCGACACCACGTCAGCCAGGTTTGTATGCATATATTCTCGTAAAGCTTTTTCTTGCTAAATGTGCTTGCTTGTGCTTGCTTCTATAGAAATATCAACAGATAGAAAGAAGCCACCGAGTAAGTCCAAAATTTGTTCTTTGATTTGTGCATGTGCATTTGCATTCTTAAGATTATAGCTATTTTTCAAATTAGACTTAATATTCATGACTTGTTTTAGCTACATATCGATCTCGACCACGTCCAGGTTCTGGTACATCTCTGCGATCTGATGGTTCAGATTCTGAAGTACTCAACCGTCTTGAACATTTGAAACGACAATTAAAGGATCGAGAAGCACGTCTTCAGGATCATGTTAATCGTCATCAAACGACTGAACAACATTCGAAGACAACACGAAAACAAAGTCCTGGACTTCTATTCAATGCCGCACGTGTTCATCATCGCGACTCGCCAACGACAAATGATGTCGTCCGTCGTATTCTTCAAACTGACGATGATGTTGAATACAAACCAAGTTACTTCCGCGATGATACCATTCTACTAGGTGGTGCGGGCGGAACGAGTGCAAATGCTGACAATGAATTCTTTGCATCATTAAAACGTATGAATTCGGGCAATCGAAGACTCAATGATGAAATCGAAAAAGAAGCGAATCGTACGCGATATGATCGTGATTTACCAAAATATTACGATCAAGATGATCCAACTAGTATGGCAAATTATGAATTAAACGTATGCAAACTTTCCTAGTTCATTTATCAATCTATACATGTTTATATATTTTCTTTAGAGAATTGCTAAGCAGAATGAACAACGTTTGAAAAAACTACGTGATCTAGAGAACGACGATGCCTCGTTATTGGACAGTAACGAAGTACTTGAACGTTTTCAACAAAAGCAACGTCTTCATCGAGGTGGTAGTCAAACCACTCTACAAGATGATGCTTGGCTCAAATGAAAACTTTCTGTTTTAATTTCATTTTGTAAATTTTACCAAGAAAATCAATTTCATTTCTTACAACAGACTAATTGAACAAACGCTTCTCATTTTTCTTTTCTTCGATGTGTGAAAGCACTATAATGAGTCCACTTACTATTCTTGTCTGTCTTGTCTTTGTCAACAATAAAGATACGGGGTTCGGGAAGTTAGACAATTAAGTTACACTTACTAAGCGATAACTAGAACGAAATTGTTTCCTACCTCGAATAGGTTTCCGTTGGTAATTTCAGCGTATGCATATTGAAATAACCACCGTTTAGTAAACTAGTTCGACAAGCTAGATCGCCCATATCACCCAATTTGATCCACTTTGCTGATGATTCTGTTCGATATTCGATTGAAGTAGTGATGTTATGGCAACGACGCGTCTTAGCGTTAGTATTTCGATCACATTCTGTATTGAACTATCAGAGATGAATTCAATGAAAGGAGACGAAAGAAAATGAAAAGACTGACTTGAAAAACTAGAACATAATAAGATTGAATAAGAATTGGCACGGTCGTAATCGAAAACGAAGGTTCACGAAAGACTAAAGTTGGTAGGTTATTATTGCATAGATCAGGTTGCGCCAGTGAAGCACCATCGATTGATTCCCAATTGGCACGTGAAGATGAAATAGTATAAAAATAATCCGTTAAAAAATAGATGTTGATTGATTTGACTAGAAGTATGTGTGAGATGGTAATGTAACATATCAATGAAAGACAATTTTACTTGAGATTATCCTCGACAGACTCCATGAAACATTTGCACATTTAGGAGACGATGGTTCGTACCAGCGAAATTGTCCAGTTTGATATTTCGTATTCATCGACTCTAGTTCAATGGTTGTCTCAATGGACGTGTTCGAAGTTTTGCTGGAAAAATCGAACTTATACAAAATCAACCATGTCAATGCACCATCTGTTGAAATGAGAAAATATATTGAATTCGAACATGCTTTTTGTATATCATCGAAATTGTACGTCCATTTAATCGCCCTAAGGAAAACAAATAGTTTGTTTCTCTAAAATAATCGATCAATTTTCTAACTACCGTATCAAGCGTAAATCAATCGGTTGCGTTATAGCTTGACGATTGATTGTTGTCCACTTGATTTGATTGGTTTCCAGTTGATACGGTTCTAAGTGTAACCAATTCATACCGGAAAAGTCTTTTTCAAATGTTTCACGAAAATCAACCTATCGATCACATGTACAAAAAATAATCGTATTTAATTAGGATACATACGACTGGAAGAACTGAATTCGTCATTTGACATTCGCCTTTATTACAATGTGCATTGCCAAAACAATTCATTGGACATTTATTTCCAATGTAGAAATAAATCAACGGATGATATGAGCATTTGGAAGAAAATCGTAGACGAAACCGAATCGATCGATTACTGTTTAATAACAAATGAAATGGAAAAGTTAATCGATTGATTGTAACATTTGCCGATCGAAATTGAATTGGTACAAATTGCAGTTCATTGTCATTCGAAATCTCTAACCATTTTGAGCCAAAATCGAGTGAATATTCAAGTATGAGATTAATGCAGTTGAATTCTATCTGCAGAATATAATCTGATTTAAAATAAACATCCTTTGATTCATAGACGATTTCATTTTTCGCTTTGGTGAAGGTGAGAAACGTTGTGTTCCATGACAATGTCTGATTTTGATCTTCTGATGAAGACCATTGAAGATACGAATGAATATGAGATACATGAAACCGTTCGATTGACCACGCCGATCGACTGGTCATTGGAGGATCTTGAATCAATCGAAGTTGAAGAATAGCCGATGGTAACAGTTTAGTCACACTGAAAGATCGATGAAACCACTCAGTTTAGTTTTGCATATCGTCGTTTTTCTTTTGAAAATAATAGAAACTTACTTTAATTGCAAACCTTTGAATATATGCAACGTATTCCATTGATGCACATTGATTTCTCGATATTGTAATCGAATCCAGCCATCGTTATTCTTTCGAGTAACCGTTTTCGTTACACATTGGTCACCGAGTTCAACATCCACATATGTATGCTCGTGGTTGACATCGATATAGTTTGTTTCCAATTCTCGTTTGCACATCTAAGTATCCAAACGGATAGGATGCAATATCTCTGTAAGACTATTCTATACTTTATCAAAAACGGTGCCACATTTTGTATGTTGTGAATCACCAGAACTTCTGTAATATTTATGTTTGAGAATATCTAATTCGTTTGGAAAGCGTTTCAACGAGTGGCTACAATCACTATTCGTCCAACCGAAATCGCATCTGAAATACATATATCATAAGATCATTAAGTCATTGTGTTACAATCTACCGGCATTGACTGTTGTTCAAACACATTCCATGACCATTACAAGAATTGCTACAATTCGAGCCGATATAGAGTTCCGAGATAGCAATGAGAAACACTTCTTCATTTGTTGAAATTTGTTCCTCATTAAAACGAATACGAAAGCGAACTTGATTGGAACTATGAAAAGTAGAACTCATTTTTTTAATATTGAACAAAAATAAAGATTTCGTCTCACCCGATCATCGTTGAAGCTAACTTCCATGTCTGAATTTTCGATTGTTCATCATAAAGTAATACATCATCATGTTCAATAACTTGCCAAGTATGCCCATAATCAGATGAAAACGATAGTTGAACACCTGACAAACTCAATCGATATCATTCATCAATACAACAAATCTCATACTTATGCATTGATTCATCGCAAGAGAAACAGTAGATAATTGAACATCGAGCAATTTCTTGAGAATGAGTAAATCGTCCGTAATGATTTCATTGCTTATCGAGTCAGATTGATCTGAAATATTTCTTGTCGTTCGCTTATTGATCTTTTCGAAGAAATACTGCCTACTTGAGAATGGAAACATCAGATGTGTTCCATTGAATATTCCATCACCGAATGAAACAAAGAACTTCGGTTCAAAGTTAGTTAATTGATCAAATTTTCCATAGATCATTTCTTGAGGATTGTTCGCACCACTAACAACAATATGTTCGATATGTACACATTCCGACATACTGGAAAGGATCACTAATCGAATAAGAACAGAATCATATTTCATATCATCATGAAAATCTTCATGTAGTATATATGAATCATTTATAGGCAAGACGTAATGTTTAAACAGTTGCCAGCTTAAACCCATGTTACGTGAATATTCTAAGGATAGTATGAAATTGTTCTGTTGACATTTCATGTGGATATCTAACTCGATGAATCTAAATGATAGTTGAAGATATCTTGTGCATGGTTACGAGTTTTGTTTACCTGGTTGAGACTAGATTCAACGGTGGCAAGAGAATGAAATTGGATAAAGAGGATGAACTACCATTGAATCGCTCGAAGAACGTCGTTTTTGTCGATGGCACTGAACAATTGTTTTTCTCGGCACAACGACATTTTTCGTTGCAAATTTGTAATTCACATAGGATTTCACATTCAGAACGAATAGTAACATTCGTGATTTGTCGACGAGTGGCTATAGTTGCATTGTGTGCCAACCAACGAATGCGAATAGATCTTAAGAGAAAGTAAGGTGTTGATTCAGCAATTCTATATTTGCAAACAAAATAGAAACCCACTTAGATAATGAACGATAGGCGTGTACTGGAAGATAAAAGCGATTCTTTATTGGGCGAAGTGGTTGATTGATGATGATATCATTTGTGCTAGATGCAACTGTTGATGGTCGATCAATTGGTGACCAAGTTTGACCGTAGTCAGTTGAAAATTCCAAATCAAATTGTGATCGATTTGGTGCTCCTAAAGGATTGGTCATACAAGGATGACTATCCAGCTTAAAACCAAAGAGATAGATGGATTAATCATTGTACAGATTGCTTACTTGAAATGTCAAAAAAGATGTCTCGTTCAACTGAATATCGACAGTAGAATAAACTTCCAAAGGAAAGATGTAATCTCTATTCGAACGAAATGAATGCAGAAGCCATTGGTAATTATCTTACATCACATACCTATAGTCGCAGATATGGCTTATCGAAGAACAATTACTAATCCATCGAGTGGGCAATACTCTTGGAATCAGTTCGAATTTAGATAGTATCCAATTTGATGTCCACTCTATCAATATGATTATTAATTCAATAGGAAAGCTTTGTTCAATTTAACATACTTGTCAATACACGTTGAAATAGTCGTATACGGACTAAATGAACTTGCAATATTTCATCATCAGGTATTACAATCAACCAAGGCTGATAAGGTTGTTCTGAACGGTAAACAATAGTCGTCAGCGTCGTCCATAGAATGCCATTGTTTGTTGACATTTGAATATAAATTGGATCAAGAAATAGTTCTGAACGATTTGAACAAATATCCAATTGAATACGAATTAACTGGACATTTCTCAAAGAAAGTTCTGGACTGATAAGACCACGACTACCTGCCTAACATAACCAAAAGAAGTGCTAGAATGACATGTGAGAAATATGGTATCAATGTTTACCTGTGAGAAGACGCGTCGTGAATCACTGGCAGAACACTTTTCATGTCCCCATATTTCTGACCAAACTGATAGATTCTCTGACAATTCAACAGATAATAAACTATCGTCCATTTCAATCGAAGAATCAGGCGCACAGTACGGTGATGCATAACCATGATCACACCTAAATAGGTAATTAGTACTTTATATTGTGCGCTACTTCTACTTACAAACAACCATTTGACTGACATATTCCATGGCCGGAACAAAACCACGGACAATCCGCTCCAACATAAACATTGTGAATTATAAATCGTGCATCGGATTCACTAGCAGACCATCGAAAACGAACATCTTGATTGCTAATTACATACGGAACATAACCAATTAAAATGACATGTGTTTATTATTCGCATAACTTACACATAATTCTCAGGAACAGGAATAGTCACATTTCGCCGTTTTATGTATAACTCTGCAAGAAAAATCGACCCCGTCGAAGCTATTTGATCTTCACAATACCGAGTTGTTTGATTACATGGAAGAATCAAAGGCATCCAATTGAACCACCCATGACTAACATCGGAACTAATTTCTAATAGTAGCTGCCAATCAGTATCATTGAATTGCTTTCTCGGAAACATTTGCAAATCAAATTGAATCATTGAACTCGGCTGAATTGTTGCAAATTCCCAAGTTTGGGCGGCATAATCAATCTTATTCTTTTGCTCAACGTGTAGATTATTTTCAAACCAAAGTTCGTCATCCCCCCTCGTTCGAATACTTATCGAACGGAGATTCCATACTAGACATGGTTGATCTATTGATGACAAATCAAATGAACGTTCTCTCTGCATAAAATGAATTGCTCTTACCATTCTCCTCAATCCATCTAAGGTAAAGATTTTCATTTATCTTTAAGTCGTCAAATTTCTCGAAGAAATTATTCGAAGTATCTAACTTGTCCTTTGTAAACCATTGAATACCATTGTCATACGAATATTGAAATAAAATTTGGTTTAAACAGTTTGTTGCATTAGTATACAGTGCACCGAATTTAAATATAACATATCTGAACAAAGGTGTCAGTGGGACTTCTGTATGTGGAATATAAACACCTACTTAATCGTTTTGAACGGTCCAATTATTGCATATGATCGTTGATTATGACTATTCGACGAAAAACATAAGTAAGGTGTTGTCGTACTTTGCCGATTATGACAACGATTGGTGACATGAGCATTCAATGACGTCGTCCATAATGAAGCATTTAACTTATTCGTAAATGTTTCATATATACTCGATAAAAGTGATTGACCTCCTGGTAGACAATTACCTTCTAAATTTGAAATGACTCTCATTGAAAAGAGATGGGATGTGGGTTACCAGACGTAGAATTCTTATCACATTGACAAACTGCTCTTTGATTGTCCCAAAGACATTTGCCTAAACCATAACAATTGGCTGGACATTGAGGACCAATATAAATATAGTTTAATGTAAATGAATGATCGCTTTGAATCCGTATCAGAATCGAACTTCAATGAGAAATAGGATTCATGTATTTTTTACTGTTGCGTATATACCTATACATCGAACATACCGTCGATAGAGTTCCGATGGAATCTGTCGCCCGAAACGATTCATTTTCTGTTCGAAACTTCGTGTGTCAATCAATTCATGCCATGTCAAGTTGTCGAGAGAATAAGCAATTTGTAAATGTGTACGATTTCGATTTAAGTCACTCTAAATGCAATGATATTCAATAGATGTGTCCGTTCGATCCTCGAAACATACATCAATCATGATAACATAATCCTTTTGTTTGACAGTGATGGATGTTGTTATAAGTTGGTAGATGGATTTTGTCTGGGGAATCAGACGAATTTTGTTTGTTATCAATTCGGATGAATTGATGGCATAAGTTGGATACAACCATTTTGAAGAGTCGATATTCTAGGGAAATGTTGTTTTGAAGAAGGTTATAGTAACACAATTTTCTAGATAAATATACCTGAAATTTATCCATAACAGAATACTGTGTCTGTGCTTTCACGAAGGCGACATTTCGTAGTTGAATGGAAGAATTACTCCATCGGAATAATGTTTGCTTTGATTGACATGTGCTCGGTAGCGATACATAATGATCTCTGAAATGAGTAACGTTGATTGATTTGAGAGAGAAGATTCATTTTTGCTACCTTAGAAAATTTTGTTTTTCTTCCAACCATAGACCGAGCTCGAACCATTTCATTCCACCATTTGGCGAGCACTCCAGCAATAGCTTGTTCTTTCTCAGATTACTCGCGATAGTTTGGAAATGAACAGCCGATATGTCCGTTGAATCGGCAAACGGTAGTAAAACTTCGTCATCAACCTAGTATAAGACAAAATGTGAAGCTATAGTCTAATTGTATTACTCAGTTAATCTCCAGTGAAAAGTGTTTTCTCGATTCTCCTGAATGGACTTACAGCATTCATTCTATGTTTGATCAAATCATTTTCATCTAATGATAAATCGATTAGTTGCTTTGTGAATTTCTTTGAATCATCCCTAAACTCGAAAAAGAGTATTGAAGTGCTGAGTTCATCTGTATCTTCTTACAAACATATCCCTTCATAACAAACACCTTTCAACCAACAATTGTTTTCGCATTGCACGCCGATGTAAATTGAGCTCATATTGAATTTTTTCGTTGCTGTAACATTCAGATTTAAGACAACATCTTTAAACCATATTGCCTTTGGAAGCGCGATAATGATAGTATGTGATGAATTTTCTGACTCGTACGAGAAGATTTCGATAGCCTTCGAAAGATCGATTTCGCTTGAATTCACTCGGAGACGGATCTAAACATTATAAATTGAAAACAACGAAAAAGAGAAAGTAAAGCGAAACTTACATCATCAACATCGAGTACTACGTTTGGGTCTTTATGATTAATTGCATCCAATCGGAAACTAAGGATGTATCCTGGTCGAATGTACGTCAACTTTGTTTGAAAAGTTCTAATCGAGATGCAAAGAGAATCTATCGATATACACACTTGGTTTTGACATACTTGACATTGTATGGATGTTTTATTGACTTGATGACCGACACTTCTCGAATAATAATATCATCGATTGCCCAAACGTCTTGATCATCACCACCATGTGCCATTTGCCTCCATTCGATGAGACAATTTTCACTGTCGAGCTTTTCTCGAAACACAACTCGACTAATCGTTCTACAAATCGAAAAACCGAAATCGAAATTCATAGATTATTTCATGAAATACAACCTAAAGTCAGGTGCAAGAAGATCGGAAATACTAAAACGATCGACAATTGTCCAATGAACACCGTTCGAACAGGATGTTAGCAATAAAATCGACTTTCGATCACGATCAAGATCAGTTTTACTTGTACCTAAACATTGAACATTCGAACTGCCGAGACGCAGTGTGAACTGTAATAATCTATGGGAAAAATATGTTGATCCGTTATGATGCGAAGTAGGTGAAACGATTTACTTCGATGAACTGCCATTAACATTCGATATACGCAGAAATCGAAAACCAGCTTTGGAGAAAACTAATGCCTTTCCGCGAGATATAATATCACATTGATAACTGAGATGGCCACCTGAAAAAAAATTGAAAATAGATGTTTGAAACGCAAGTTCAGCTAGCATTCGTGTATAAATCTACCTTGGTAGGTAAGTAGACCTGTTTGATCTTCGTTGTTATTCATCAAAAACAAACCATTGTTAAATAATGTTTCGTTGCTTATTTCACAAAATTCACCCGAAAAGCCGCGATCGCATCTTATAAACAAAAAACGATACTTTCTCATGAGTACTTATCTTAACAACTTTGAAAGCTAGCTATTTCCTACCTGCATAAGTTCAGTTGGCACCATCCATGTCCACTACAGCCTCGAAAGCATCGTCCAATAAACACTACCGAGAATAAAACAACATATAATCATGTTGTCTACATCAAAAGTTTACCTTGATCGATCGCCCAAGAGTCACTGGTTGAATATGCTGATACACTATATGGCGAAGCACTTACTCGAAAGCGAGTATATTCTTGTTGTAGAATAGACATTGGTAACGGTAAAGTGACTCGATGCCATCCACTACAAAACGCGATACACAGCATGTTTCTCACAATATCATGACAATACTACTCACGATGATGGTAAAACAATTTTGGATGAATAAACGTGTTGAACATGATGTGAACATGCTGAATTGAGATAACATGGTTGAAATAATCCATACCAAGTTTTTCCAAAATCAGCCGAGTAATCCACATTGACACTATGAAATCAATCAATTATGGCACGATATTATTCGACGATAAGCTATTCTCACGTTTGACTAGACAATCCTGCGTTTGTTGAAGATGATGAAGAACATTTCGGGTTAACACCCAGTTGAATATAATGAGTTATATTCAATGGGAAAAGTGGGAAAGCAGTGAAATCTCGTAGACTCCAAACATCAACATTTTTTCCAGCTGACTGATGATACTGTGATAAACATATTCGACCAAATGTTGTTGTACCATGATGAAATTCATTCAATCGACCATAGAATGTTTTATGATTCGACTAGATATTCAAACAAGGCAATATGAAAGAAGATCGTTCTCGTAAGTGTTGCTAATCACCTGTATTTCTCGTAGGGCTATTCGCCGTATCGTTCGAGAGTAGCCGACCGTTGAACCATTATAAATCACCGCAAGAAAAATAACTGCGCCTGGTGTTGGTACATGTTTATTACGTTTCAAACACGGTTCTGTCGAAAAGCTTAAAATTTGCGTTATGCAAACTTTTAGAATGTCTAACCTGCAGAGAGTGTAACTCGAATACTATCGATCAAACCAAGTTCGATAGTCGGTGAACATAACTGTCGATAGTTTTCACCGTTAAATGTGATCACATCCTCATCAGTACATGTTTTATTCAAATCTAAGAAGCCTGTTGCGTTCCATCTATGATGTGCATATATCAATTAGTAATAGTGTATGTAGAAAGATTTTACTTTGTCCAATCAATTGGCGAATCTTTTGAAAGATGAAAAAGAACATCGCGATTGTAATCCATTTTACTTGACAAAGACAGGTCGATTGTGGTGGCGCCGAGTTCTGTTCGAATGTCTGCATTCGGCTCGAACACCATACTCATTCGTTCATCGCACGTCTAAATGTTTCTATAGACGTAATTAGTAGCAATTGCATTCGAAATACCATTAATTGACCACCAGTCAGCCGATACCAATTTCCTGTACGCATCGTTTGAAATGTATCGAAGAAGTAGTCGTTTTGTAATCGAGATCGAATGAGTAGGAAATCATCAATAAACCACGATCCACCACCAGAGAATTTCTCACCATTTTGCTCGATTTTTAAACATGCCGTAGATGAATTAGTAAAATTATTCAGAGATAATGGTACAGTAACATATTCTATACCAGGTAACACACTAAAAGATATTTATTGTGTTAGACGAAATTAACGCAGTCTTAGCTACCGTTGTGAGTAGAAAACATGCCAATCGGTGTAATTCAGGCAATCTGTTGTAATTAATAATTGTAAAGGCGGATCGGTAGGTCCTGGTGGTGGACATGTACCACTGCCAACACGCATATAAAGTAAAGATACGTTACTGATATCAATTGGACGAGAGATCTTCAGTACATAGGATAAGAAGAAGTCGGAAACTTTATGAAAGAAAACTTACGAGTCGTCGTTTGCCTCGTGGATTGTTAAATATCGCAACACGGCCATCCTCTGCAGCATCACATTCACGACTCAATCGCATACCTTCATGAGTATACCTATATCGACAGATATCCACGATTATCTGATCAAAATATTTTACGAACGAATATTTTACCAGCTTTGCTGAACTCTCCGTCCAAAAATTAACCAACTGAAATAAATAAATCTCGTACTAAATTACTCAATTTATGAATAAGATTACTATACTTGAAATTATCGAGCAAAGCTACATCAGTAGTATTGATGGTCCTCATATACGATTGAATGTCATATTTATCATCGTTATCGATAATTTTATCTATAAATAAATGAAATCAAGGTTTAAAGCTAACATTTGCTGACTATGCACCGAACCTGTGCTGCTGTTAGTACAGAGATGAGCTATTTTAATTTTCGTTGAAGTGAAATAATTGAGCAGACTGTAGAAATCATAAGAATACGATCGATTCCATGCGAAGAAACAAAGTTACTTTAATTGAATACACGGAATTGTCGTTGAATTTTTCTCCAATTTCAATACAAATTCAACCCGCTGGAAGCCAGATGGCACAGATTTATTTGTTGGATGACAAATCGAGTCATTGCTCCAGTTGAAAACAGCACCGACCTCGAATGTTGAGTAAGACAACACAACGGTATCATTCGACAAAAGAACAACTGAAATAAGAACATCTGTTTATACAATTATCGTTCAAATGTGTCTATTCATTAACCTGTATAAGGTACATTGAATTCAAAAGTAGTTGGCAAGTTTTGAATGAATAATGTTCTTGATGGAGACAATAATGAGCATGAAATATTCTCGAAAACTACATTTGCTTGGACAAAAGCACAGCAGAGTAATAGGATGAAAAGCATCATTGTTGTGTACAATGAGTGTATGTGAATAGTACCATATGTATATTCTTCTGACAACGAGATGGACAACAGCCGTTCGTTTAGATAGTGTAAACAATGTCGATATGCGAAGCATTATTTATTTTCCTTTTTTCTATCTATCACAATGTGAGAATTTTCTTCATCTGATTTCTTGAAGGAAGTTATCGAAACTGAGAGATACAAAAGAGCTTTGCTATTTCGTTAAATTTTAATAACAGTCGAAGGGATGCACAATTCAAAGATGGAGAGTTATTGAGAAATAATAAGATAAAACGAACATCCAAATGAGTCATCTCTATTTTGTTCGAAAAGGTTGTGGGCCAAATGCCGTTAATTTCAGGGTTTGTTTTATCGTATTCAAGGTTTTATAAGAAAAAAAATGAGAAAGAAATTTTATCATTCTAATCTCAGAAAGTTGAATGGTCTACAGATAACGACGTGAGCAAGCAATTCTCTTTTCTTCTGTCGAGAGTTCTCCCTTTGTGAGTGAACGAACTAAAAGTGCGATGGTTGCAAAACGCAAAAATAAAGTCGTGCAATCAGTATGATTGTTTATCCCGGTCAATGTAATGCGATGGATGATATTTTCCGAATGTGCTTCAGTAATTGATCAAACCAACAATACAAATCAGAGCTGGTTCACCGAGTAAGAATAACAAAACATTCAAAATAAGAAAAGTTCCCTTGGTACAATATATCAGACGGACGATTAGCGAAAAGGAAAAATGAATCCGTACTATTAATACGATAATATTGTGATGACAGGAAACACAATCAGTAAGATAAGTATAATATAAGTGCGAAAGTAAACACGAAGGTAAGAATAGTACTGTGTAAATAGTAGATAGCAGTATATAACCCGATCCAAAGTCTCACTGGCATATTCGTAACGAAAAAAGACAGTCGATATTTATCCTTAGCGTCTGTTATGAATACATCAGCAGTTGGTCAAGTCGAAACAACGAGTGTAGCAGTAAGAAAAATCAGATGAATTGGCGATTGATCTTGATTTTTTTTGTCCTTAGGCAACTCCAACAGTTGTTTCAAACCGATTTCTGAATAAAACTGTGATTGTCACTGGTGCTGGTTCAGGTATAGGTCAAAGTGTTGTGATCCGTCTCGTAGCTGAAGGTGCATCTGTTTTTGGTATCGATGTTAACGAAGCTGGTTTACAACAAACTGCACAATTGACCTCACAACCAGATCGGGTGTCTATTGCTGTTGTATCCGTTACCGATGAACAACAACTTACAGAGAAAGTGAACGACTATGTTGCACAACAAGGTCGTCTTGATGCTCTCATTAATGTTGCCGGTATTATTCGTACGTCTTTATCTACAGACACAACACTAGAACAATTTCGATCAGTAATTGATACGAATTTAGTTGGCACATATTTATTGTGCCGTGTATGCCTTCCACATCTTTTGAAAAGCAAAGGTAACATTGTGAATACTGCTTCAACAGCTGGTCTTCATGGACATCCGTACATGGCCGCATATGCTGCCAGCAAAGGTGGTGTTATCGCATTAACAAAATCTCTTGCACGAGAATACATTTGTCAAGGAGTACGAGTCAATGCAATAGCGCCAGGTGGCACCATGACTCCATTGATTGCAAGCGTTCAATTTCCACCGGAGGTTGATCCGATTCTGTTCGCTAGCTTAAGTTTACCAGATAGGCGGATGGGTCAACCAGCAGAGATAGCTGCTGTTGTAGCTATGCTTGCATCTGAAGATGGTTCATTTATTAATGGTGCAGTTGTTCAAATTGATGGAGGTTGTCATGCCTGATTTCTGATGTCATCAAAAGAAAAATATTAGCATCATCTTGACTATGATTGATTTCAATAAAATATGTTTGCCATTTTGTACATCTTAACTTGTATTTTCTTCTCTGAGAATAACAAAGAGATGTATATAAAAAAAGGAGACAAAAAACTCAAGACGACAACAATAAGGAGTACTTTATCTCAACAATTAAACACTGGTAATTGGCTTGAACCGTTCAGCACGTTTAGCTTTTTGTTCCTAGAAATAAACATAGACTTATAGAGGAAACATCCGACAGATATCCACATACGTTCAAAGTATTTGCCTTTGCGACATCTGATACATCCCCAAAACGTTCCATACGTTTCTTAATAGTGTCTGTTAAAGCTGGAGTTGAACTTTTGTTCGCTTTCGCCTGAAAAAGACATGCAAATCCTATGAATACTTGAACAACATCTGTCTATCTTACTGATGATGGTGTAACGATGCCGAAGCGATCGATACGTTTTTGTTTCGTTTCATCATCGATTGCAGGCGTTGAACTATCCGTATGAAAACGTTCAACTCGTTTACGCTTTTTTTCTTCTTGTTCTCCCTAAATTTCCATTTCGTATACATTTGATTCTCAGACATTAAAATTCAAACTCACTTCCGAAACTACTGCTGTGCCACCACCAAATCTTTCTAAACGTCGTTTTTTGGCTGTTTCGTCAATGGCTTCCTGAAAGCAAACGTACCCCTCGTTCACTTTCAACTTGGAAAATATTCTTATGACTCACATGTGCGGTACCGAAACGTAATGCACGAGAAATTTTCTTAGCTTCAGGAGCGACCTTTCCGAAACGTTCAAGTCGTTGTTGAAATCGCTAGAAAAGAATCCAAATCAATGCTATTCGAAATACTAAAACTTGGATTTACATCTGATGCTGCGAGTTCCTTAGGTTCATTTTCAGCACTGATAACACCAGAGTTAACTTCGAATTCACTACGATGAAATACAAAGGTTCAAATGTATTTGAATCAACGGTTTATCTACATACGTTAATGTTTCCGCAAGTTCCTTCGTATTTTCTGCATGATCGACCGTTAAACCTGCACCAACAGTTGCGTTTGAAGCCATCTTATGAAATATATCAATGAGAGTACTAAATGAATTGAAATAATTTCAGAAGAAAGAAAGGCATGAATGGTACTGTCATTATGCACCAATGGGAAATTTTGAGGAGAAAAAATGATTTGTCTATTCTTAACCAATTGTCAATCGAGAGACTGGCTTCGTCGTCGAACTGTAGAAATTAGTTTTTGTACATTTTCAAAATGAAAAAACGACACAAATCTAAAGCGGCTCAATTGGCAGCGGAACGAGATGTTGAGCTATACGTCCGATTGTTAGTTCTATTCATAGTAATCGAAATACTTCATCTGATACTCGCACTATTTCTAGAGAATTCGACGATCAAGTCATTGTCGAAGAACATCTCCTACGAAACGCAATTGAAAGATCGATTAACACACTATTTGGCGAAGTAAAGTCATTCATTAGATTTCCTTATGTACAAAACATGTCTCTACTTTAGATTGGTAGTCAATCAATTCATGTCGAGATTGTATCATATAAATATGGAACGGCACTCATTCGTACTAAAGCCAAGTAGGATGTGATTTCCATTAGAATATGAAAACCGTTTTGTTTTTGAATTTAGAATGGTGAATCAAGTTCGTTGCGCATTAGCGTTCTATGGAATGCATGAAAAACGTGAATGTGCTTTTCGTATTGATACGATATCAAAAGAAAATAATGAAGAGGAGGAGGAGGAGGAAGAGGATGAAGACGAAGAAAGATCACTTACAATGCAAATGGATTAACATGTATTCTTTGTTTTTCCTTTCTTTTCTTTTCAGATACATTTCATGTGGAAACATTTTAAATTCAATCCTGATTCAATCAATTTATCATGTCGTACAGACGTTCAATTCAATGAGGTAAATGTTTTTCGAATAATCAAATCTTTCTACTTCGTTTGTGTTAGTTTGATAGATTACTACAATTCGAATGGAATCGTGCTTTAGCTCAAGGTTTATTCACGTTCCAAATTGATAATCAAATCAAACAACGTGTTCTTGACGGTGATCTTCATTATATAGTTGAAGTAAATTTTTACATTATTTACAAGATCAACTCTATGTGATTATATTGCCTAGTTAAATCCAAGTCGATTCGAAAAACGTCGAATGCCATATGCATTTGAACATGTTAATACACCATTTGACTCGAATAAATTCAATTTCAATAAAATTAGCGAGCAGGAAGTAAATGAAGACATAGAAGGCCTGATTTTGTTGACATATCTCATTAAATTTTAGATTCTTTTCGCTTTAGACGATGAACAACAAACGGATAAACATTTAGTAATTATCAATAACTCGCCAATTCGTTATTATCATGTACTGCTCGTACCAGATCGTCAACGTGAACAAACACAGGTAATCAACCATCAGTTGTGTATAGAAAAAGAAAAAACTTTTCATTACTCTCTTTCTTGTTCGGTTCGAATGCATAGATATTAACAATAGATAGTCTGCTATTTGCATTTCGTTTCGTTTTATCAAGCGCTCATCCATTTATCTACGTTGGTTTCAATTCCCTCTGTGGTTTTGCGTCAATTAATCATGTAAACATTGCTCGCATCATTATAATCTGACGAAATATTTTCTTTAGCTTCATCTCCATGGATTATATATGCCTGATCGTATATTTCTTCAAACAGTGGTACGCACAATTCAGTCTTTTGCCAAATATCATCACGCTTGTGTATAGAAATGTTCTCCGTTCCATCCGGAAACAAATTGTTATCTTCATACTTTATTCGACGCGGAAGCAGTTGCATTCGAAATCAAACATATTGAGGAACTCGATCGAATTGTCCGGTAAAAATATAGTTTTGTCAAAATACCAATTATCACAGAGATCTAGGTGTATTCACAAAGTAACAAGCTACTTGGCTGCGTCGAGCGTTGCACATAATTTATCAATTGTGAAAGGTGATTCGTTTTCTGATTTCTCTCAACCGGCCCTGCGCATTTTTGTATGGTTCCGTCAACCAAATATCGGTTTGTTGCTTCCAAAATCGAAACGATTCGATTTGTCTAGCAGATGTTTTTGTATAGGAGCCAAACCAGTTGATCGATGTAATCTCGCTTGTCTTGAGATGTCAGGTTACGTATTCCTTCGGTGTAAGTCAATTTCACAATGAAACTCATCGATCTGAAGATCTTTACTCTAGATGAGGAAGTGTTTCATGACATAAGTGAAACGGAATTACGCGAAAAGATTAATACGTTGGCATTACCGTTGAAAGAGCAGCAGAAGATTAAAGATGATATAAAAACTCTGTTAGATCAAGAGATATGAAAAAATCCGGTGGATATTTAGTTTCATTCTATCATATATATTTTCCTTTGAATAAAATTGAAATGCTTAGAGAAATTTTGCTTATCTTCAGATAATGTTTTCATCGTTGATACTTCGTCGTTTGACGCCCCTGTCACAACCAAAGTTCTATTTATTTTCAACGTCAACCATACTTGGAAAGCCCAAGAATGCCGGTGGTGGTGGTCAAACTAAAGCAGCCAAACGGGTTCTATCCGATGCCGACCTCGTATCGTCGTCCGGCGATTGGTCCGCATTAAAAAGTCAATATGACAAATTGTTAGTTGAACTACGTGAACTTTATTCGAAGCAGATTCAATTACGAACGTCATCATTGGCTTTCGAAGAATTGTCTGTAACTCTTCCACCGAATAAGAAAAGTCATCAATTGAAAGAATTAACACAGATCGTTCAAAAGTCACCACAAATGTTCATGATTGACATGACACGCCATGCTCAGTATATTCCGAACGTTCTCGAAGCGATTCAAAAATCCGGTCTCAATGTAAATCCTCAACAAGATGGAACAACACTCTATCTACCTACACCGAAAGTCACTCGAGAACATCGGGAAGAATTAGCCAAGAATGCGAAGAAATTAGCCGATCAAATCATTGTTAAAATGCGCGAAGCATATTCAAAAGCACATCGAAATGTAAAGAAACAAGAGAAGGCTTTGAGTCAAGATCTAGTCGCTGATTTAGATAAGAATTTGAAACTTCGACTCGATGGATACATTGCCCAAGTAGAGAAAATTCGTGCGGAAAAACAAAAGGAACTATTAAACTCAACATTTTGAGACGTTTTTTAGTTTTGAAAATAAAGTATTACGTCGTTCACTATGCAACGTATACACGTGTGTGTCTTTTAGTCGTAATATTCTATTGATATAGGATTTCTAGGTGAATGTTAATACCTCATCTTATTGATCGACTTATCTTTTGAAGTAACTGGATTACAATGAGTACCAAGAGCTTTGGTATATTTTATGAAAATTTTGATTTTGTTATTGAAAGTAATTTCGTTACATATCTAAGATAAAAGACAGACGGCTTTCATGTAGATAGCTTACATATTACGTACTTGAAGAATATTTATTCTATCAACAAAAATCCGTTATCATTGTCTACAAAGAAAAGAGTGAAATATTCGACCTGTTTAGCAAGCTAAGAAACGTTTTTGTATTTACACCTGTTTCACTGAGCATTAATAAGATAGTCAATCCTTCTTACTAACTAAATCTTTATCTCAAACATCAACGACGAGACTGAAGATAACAAATAGAAGGATAACATTCATTAATCCATCGTGTTCTAAGCCAATTGTATATTGTCTCTCAAGAGATTATTGATTTTAGTTTAACTGCATGTCAGCTCGCTGTTCTATCATTACAGTTTACAACTGAAAGGTATACAAGTCGACTATGACGTCAATTATATCCGATATTGAACTCAAATCTCAACTTGATCGAACAATAATTGATAATCACGTACGGAATGGATCAGAAGCGATGAAACAATTTCGTTTTCAGACGTATAAAAACCTCTTGGTCCTATGTTTGGCGTTTCTTCTTCAATTCACCGCCTTTGGAGCTATGGGTAATCTGCAAAGTTCGTTGAATACCGAAGCAAACGTGGGTGTGAACTCTCTTTCGATTATCTACGCATGTCTTATATTCTCGTCGATCTTTTTACCGCATCCCCTCATAGCAATATTCGGTTTGAAATGGACGTTAGTTCTCTGTCAAGTTCCGTATGTATTGTGACTCGATTTCTTTGTTCAAATTTGTTTTCAGTTATCTGTTATATGTCGCAGCGAATTATTATCCAAAAGCATATTTGATGTATCCAGCTGCTGCGTTAGTTGGATTGGGTGCTGCGCCGCTGTGGACATCAAAATGTAGTTACTTAACAGAAACAGGTACAACCTATGCGGAGATGAAACGTGTTCATAAAGATGTGATTATAAATCGATTCTTTGGTATCTTTTTTATGTTCTTCCAATCAAGTGAGTTGAATGAATGTGTTTGTGTTAAAGGAGATTTCCTTCAAACGCAATATTTTTGTTGATATAGGTCAAATTTGGGGAAATTTGATTTCGTTTCTTGTTCTGAAACCAATCGAGAAAGATTCCAACGAAACATTATCAAATGAAAAACAGAGATATAACAAATGTGGGGCCGATTTTAGTGAAAAAGAATACAGAGGTGCAGAAGTTATCAATCAAATAGATCGAACAACGGTATGAAGTCGTGTTTTGCATACTTCTCCACATTTATTCTTCTATTTAGATTAATATTCTCTGTATCATTTATATTTGTATATGTATTTGTTCAATATTGATTGTAGCAATCTTTCTCAACCAACGTCGGAAAACCTCACGAGGTAGAACAAAGTAACTCAAAAAATTAATATCCAAAAATCTCATTTTTTATATAGATAAAATCTCTGCTATGCTTCGCGATTCAATTCGGTTACTCATTTCAAGCATTCGACAGATGAAAAATATCAATCAACTCTTGCTTATACCATTAACCATTTGGTCCGGCTTAGAACAATCATTTCTCAGTGCCCAATTTACTAAAGTATTTCTCAGCATTTCACGTCGAAATTTCTCGGCATATCATCCATCTTCTAGGGTTTTGTTTCTTGTACATTGAATGCAAAATACGTCGGTCTTATTTTAATTGCTTATGGTGTTTGTGATTCGATCGGCAGTCTCAGTTTCGGTCAATTGGTGAAATATTTTGGCCGTTGGCCATGTTTTACTATCGCTGCGATTATAAATTATTCTCTAATCATTACCATGTTTGTTTGGAAGCCAACTGAGAACGAAATTGCTGTTTTATTTGTTCTTGCAGGCCTATGGGGTTTAGCAGATGCCGTATGGCAAACGCAAATCAATGCATTCTACGGTGTTTTATTTGTTGACAATAGTGAAGCTGCTTTTTCGAATTATCGTCTATGGGAATCGATGGGTTTTGTTCTTTTCTATATTATCACACCTTATATTCGTATACGCATTGCTCTGATTATTCTTCTAGTATTTTTAACTTTTGGAATGATTGGCTATGGCCTAACTGAATATCAGTCGATGAAGAAATCGAAAAAAGTTCGAGCAATATCGTCATAAATGAGTTCTCTTCGGAAACTTTACTTATTCTTTGTATAAAACAAATAATCGAGTCTAACGGCGATCGTCTTTACCAACTAAATCATTAATGTGCTTTATGTTTTGTTGTCTAATAAACAAAAGAAATGTATTATTTACACGAATGAAATCGAATTTACTTCATCATAGTCGCGAACTGACGATTGAGTTTATTGATTAATGGAGGACCAGAATAAGTTAAGCCTGTATAGACTGAAATCACAAAACGGTACGTTAAATACTTGAACAGAAATTCTATTCATATTTTCTTCCTGTTCATATCGATTATTGAAAGAAATCGATGAGATCACCAACTTCATCTGAATAATTCTATTCAATACATAGATTTGATTTAATTAACACCGGAATGTTAACTCATTGCCTATTCATACTCGTTGAACAAAGAGAAAGGCGAGCTTACTTTGAACGAGACTAGCACCCGCTTTGATTCGTTCGAAAACGTCATCTGCTGTTTCGATTCCTCCAACACCAATAATGGGAATTTGACCTACAAGAGATGCATTCATTACGGACTTCAATGAATTGTCATGTAGAATAAACCCTGAGTATGACGTCGAAACGAACGAAGAGTTTCAAGTGCTTTGTCTTTCAATGGTCTTCCACTTAAACCACCGGTTTCATTTCGATGTTGACTTTGTAATGTTTCCATTCTTGCCACTGTTGTGTTTGATACGATCAATCCATCGATATAAGTATTCGGCTGACGAACGATTGATGATATCGATTTAATCTCATCTTCATCCAGATCTGGTGCGACTTTCAGTAAAATCAATGGTTTCTGTTTTAATTGGTTATCACACGCGACTTTATCACAACTTCGACGAACGGAAGTTAAAAGATTTTTCAATTCATTTTCATTCTGTAACTGTCGTAGACCAGGCGTATTTGGACTGGAGATGTTGATCACCAGATAATCAGCTAGACAACCGAATTGTTCAATTCCCAATGTGTAATCTTGTTCAACAGCTGTATTTGTAGTTTTATTTCGTCCAATATTAACGCCAATTAATACATCTAGATTAAACAGAAAACATATGTCATCTTACATTCGACATTATCAAACGCAGAGAAGAGAAAGAAAAGGTGAGTAATCCATAGCAAATTAGATGTTAGAGACTTTGTCAAGCAAGAATTTGGTCAATATTATATTCTTTACCTTTCAAGGCTTTATTACCTCTATGCTTGTACTCGATTAATTCGTTCGTGTTAGTATGTTCGTCATCAGACAACAGACAAGCAATAGCAATGTCCGACTTAATCTCCGTTCAAATTGTTCTGTACGATATATGTGCACAAGTATTAACTGAGTCTCATCATTCATTCACCATGCATGTATATCACTTCGATTCTCGTTGCTTTTTTTTCTTCAGTGTTTAAATTACTACATATCTGATCCTTAGTTCAGCATTACAGTCACATATACACTTGATCGGATTCCTTTTTTTCTTTTTCTCTATTCTTCTTGTCTCCATCACTTTTTTTTGCATATTTAACAAATATACATACAGTCAATGGTCACTCTCCTTTTCTCTTTCTCTCCCCTTCTCCTTCGATTAAACTGTTCCTCTTCTTTTTCCTTCTCTTCTAATAGAACTCTGATCAACGTACACGTCGGCTGTCTAATTCGTACTTCATTCGCGTGCGCTTACTCTGGATTCACACAGTCGTAGGTACTCATTAGACAAAAGAGCAACAACATGTTTCATGACGTTATATTTTAGGTTGATTAAATCAAATTGAATTGCAATATGTCATCTACAAGTGCATACTCATTACAATTACCTTATTTAGGTTCTATACCTCTAGGCAAATCCCCACCGAGCTTAGCATCATTTCAAAAACCTTTACGAGAACTATATATACCCTACTATCGTCAACGACGTGAACGATATCATGATGAACGACGGATTATCATCTCAGATCGTGATATGTTAATATTCGAACCGGATGCCGCGTCTAAAGGCAAACGTTCACTAATTTATGCAACGTTAGAATCGATTGTTGATATTCAAGCACTTGAATTATATGTTATGTTTAATTATGCTGAAAATCATCATCATAAACGGATACGAGCAGCGTTTCTACCCATTGGTAAGTTCTAATCTACACCAGCTGCTCTTCGATGGATCCCTCTCTCCTTCCAGTCATTAGTTACAACAGCTTGTAATAAGGTTTTTTGTGTAATTTGTCAAAGTTCAAAACAAAGAACCCATCTGACACAAAGTTCTGTTTTCTTTCGTTAGTTGAAAAATTCTCTGTTGTCTTTTGAATGTCATCATTAGACTTGATACAATTCGATTGTCAATAGAACGAATGATTGACGAATACGACTAGTCCTATTCATCGCATTCATTATTTGTTCACGGAAGAATACATGTATTTATTTATCGATCTATCAATTTGATCATTCGTTTTTATTACACAATTGTAATTGAAAACGATTAGAAAATACACAATCTATTAGTCTAGAGAACTTCAGTCTCCGATTTCTAAATCTTTTGTAAACTCTATTCAGAATATTTTTATTCGATAGGTTGCGAACAACAGGAACGGTTCCGTTCACTTTATTCGACGATTGATAAATCTCAATATCATCTTCTATCAACTCCAGCGTCTTCCTCTATTTCGTCATCGTGTCATCCACCACTTGTATTATTTGCCATAAGAAAAACAGGTGTTGGTGGTACATGTTCGCTAATTGATTGTCATGTGTTTGCCGTCCGTCGTGAATCGGTAGCTTTCGATTTGTGCGATATGATGCGGAAATTAGTGATAAAACGGACAATGAGTCCGGTTTTACCATCGTCAACCGTTGCGCCGTCAACGAATGGAACAACTTTGTTGACAGTTCATGATAATGGCAAAGAAACAACGATTGAACGACGAACCAAATATCTCGATCGCGATCGACCGGTTTCCGCCATGGAGCATCGACAAGCAGAAATCCAAACAGGAACAGATAAAAAGGTATGTTATTTACTCGGTTAGGATAAAAATGTGACAAACATGAAATGATGCTAAAAATCAAGGATAATCTAAGTGACATTGGATGATGTATTCCTACAGAGAATATTAGAAATGAAAATATAAATTGTAATTCTACGAACTATTTTCTATAGAATAATCATTCATCATCAAATATGCACTTGAATGATATTTTCCATACAACAGCCAATGGTCTTACGAACCCATTAACATCATCCATGTTTATTTTAACCAATAATCATCAATCGAATGCTTCACACGATCCAACTCAAGTATTAAATAATGATAAAGATCATCACCGGCTATCTTCGTCAAGTTCAACACCAATTCGGACTCTTACAACTAAGCCACAAGTACAACAGCAACGTCATTTTATAAAAGCGTCTTCTTCAACATCATCACTCGTTGTTGATGAGTCAGACGAAGTTGTCAATGATTTAATGAATATCGTTGTAGCAGAAAAACTCAAAACGGTCGACACCAATACTTCTCAAATTCCTGTCAAGCGCCATGCCTCCTTCGATCAACCATCGTTGACAAACGGCCACAATGATCATACGATGAATAAAAAACGCTATCAATTCCATCATAATAACAATAAGAAACGATCACTACTAATCAATTCCAATCCATTACCAACGATAGTATCAGCAAACAATACGCCTGTTATTTCACGAACAACGACCAATATTGAACAACAGTCACAACCAACATCAGTTGTACTCGCAAGTCATCTACTAAGACCACAGATTGTTCTGAACCGTTATGGTGATATTGGCAATTACGTTCCGAAACTACTTCGTGAAAATGCTTCTACAACACAAGCAGCTATGCGTTCATCGGACAGTAATGAAAATATTTTCTTCCGAGCGACTAATGGACATTTGTTGAATGGATTTCTAAATCTGGACTTTTCATCAACGACAGCAGCAACGATGAACGGAAATCGTAATGGCAATAATAACTTTGCACAGTATCGTTCAACGCCCTGTCTAACCGAAGATCATCACGAGCAAAATGTTCTCTCACTTGTGAAACAGTTACGAAAAAATCATACGTATGATTAAAGCAAACTTCTCCAGAAATAAATCTGTAAATATTCGTTTGTTTAGCAAATCTCTCATCAATGAATCAGAGTGCTCTGTAGCCAATCAGATCTTTCACATAGAACACATGGACGATGATCATCGTGTTCCAACGTGTCAAATCCCTCGTGTGGTCTATCAGGGTCAGTCAATTAATAAACCCGTTCCAGCGGCCATGGGCGGTATAAAAGTACTTCCACTTAGCCCAGTCACATCTTATCCAACGCAACGTCTATTAAAATCTTCTTGTTCTTCGTCATCAGTTAAACCCAGACGTGTTGCTTCATTTACTATTGCTGATACCGAGTTACCGATTGATTATAGACAATATCTGCGTCACACGGATCAAGCTGTCTATCTCTATGGTGACGAGAAACAGCGTCAACAGCAACAACAACAACAACAACAACAACGTTTAATAACGTTGGAACACTCGTTAGGATATTTTCCGTAATATTTTCTTTCGTTGTTGTACACATATATGCATACAGATAAAATCGAGTTAAACTACTTACGGTCGTTATTTGCTTTTGTACGTTGACGATAGTCGATGAGACGCGCGCGAACTGCTTCATAGCCATCATTATTAAACCCGTAACTGTTGAGAAGAAAGGACGAAGGTTTATTTTAAAGATTTTGAATATTTCGAACTCACCGATTGATTACCGCACGATCTTCTGTGAGACGAAAGACACGAGGTTTTTCATTACCGGCTTGTGGTTTCGGTGTAACTGTTCCTGAATAGGAGAAAATTCTTAGTCATGAAGAAACTAAACCCTTTCCTACCAATTTCAATAAATCCAAAGCCAAACTTTGTTAATCCATCAATCGCTTCACCATTCTTATCAAAACCAGCAGCTAGACCAATAGGATTTTTAAATCGTCTATTCCATACAGTGGAATGCTAAAATCAAATGAACTTGTTCATCATTGATTACAGGAGAGAATAACATCTCGCTTTGATATGAATCCTTCTGTTTTAAGTTTGCTAACCAGAATCGGATCATCGATGGTTTTCATTCGAGGAACAAGCCCAAATTTAGCCATTTGTATCGAAAATCGATGTACGGTTTCCGGATCGATCCATCGTAAGGTTGGCATGACAACTTCTTCATAAAATCGTTCGCTACCCATAAGCAGATTTGCACCAACAAAGACAAAACTTCCTCCAACACACGCTTTAAATGCACTACGTAATCGCGGCTGGGGTAAAAAGAGCAAAGAGAGAATCAACTAGAGTTCATAGCAAAATGATTTGACTAACTGTTATAATAATTCGTGGTACCATCTTGAATAAAAAGGATCTTTTCGGAGTATATTAATGAGAAGAAGAGGTGAGTTTATAGTACAAAAAAAAGGAATATTTTATTAATAAAAATTATTTTTACAAAATAAGTCCAAAAATAGACAGGCTTAACTCTAGAGAAGTGAAGTAGATCTTTCAGGTCCATTTTCGTCTTCACCAAAGTAGAGAACACCTTGCAAATTTAGTAAGCATTCGGCTGCTTTGTGTAATTCTTCGAATGTATTGGGATCTATGCGAATAAAAACATCTTGGATCAACAAAACACGCAAATTGTCAGCAAAATCACCTACCTATCAGAGCCAATTCAGCAGCATCGCCATCAATTAACTGACTGTCGGGAATTTGTAAATCTTCAAGTAAATTGTTCGATTCTGAAACAATGCAAACAAAACTTATTTGCTAAATTGATATATTTCTTCAACATACCGTCTATAGACGATGATGACTCATTCGATACTTTATCTAAAGCAATTCAATTTAGTACCGGATCTATCATCTGAGCAAGTGAAATATACCTATTTCTGTTTCGTTGTCATCGTCGATAATATGCACTTGTCTGATCAATTTATCTAGAAATTGACTTGAGAAATGTTGATTTCTTATTTAAGATTTACTTTGCTCTTCAAGTGCTTGTTTATCAATTGTCCAGTTTTTTTTCTTATCCTCTTGATTTTGTTGATGGCGACTGGTTTTAAAATGCTTCATCATGTTACTATAAGATTTAAATTTCATCTGACATATATTACAAATGTATGGTCGAGCATCGGTATGCAGGCGCACATGTCGACGCATATTCCGTATCGACCAACACCGACAAGCACATAAATCACACGTATAACTTGAACGAAAATGAAACAATTAACAAAGAACGATTTGTTTTTAGTATTTTACCTAGTAGTATTCTTTTCTTTCGATTGCTTTCGACGAATAATGATTTGATCGGCTGATATATGTTCAGTTTGTACAGCGGAAGAAGACGGTGGAGGCGGTGATGGCATATGAATGATGGGTATGGAAGTCCTACTGAGTGGCTTACGTCGTTGAATAGAACTAGTGATTTTTCCATTTGTGATTGTTGTACAACGAGTTGAGGAGATCTTCATCGCTCGTTTTAAATGTGACAAACGTTTTCCGTGTTGGTATAAAGCACTGCTAGAACGAAATTGTCTTTCGCATACATTACACCGAAATTGATTGGTATTCTAGAGTTTATCGGAAGAATTTACATGTCACCTGTTTCGTAGAAGTCACTTACAGATACAGGATTCGTCACCGATGGATCATCATCATTGGTTGTTGTGTTTCCATTCTGGAAAGAGTTCAAATGTAAAAAACATGTACGAATATAATTTCGATACTTACTATGCTCATTGTATTGAACCGTTCAATCTCGGTTTCTGAAGTGAAAGAGATTTTCTTTAGAATCAGAATGAGTATATGTTTTCCTGTGGGTTTTTTTTCTTTTTTATTAATCGAAAAAATAGCTAATCAGTACTAAAGAGCAAAAGAGAAACAGTTCATTTGCCTACACATAGAAAAAAAAACCACTGAACGGGAGAAACATCATTTCAAAAAGAACTGAAAAACAAAATAAACTAATCAGCAACTATTCCCATCGTGCGAGAATATCAGCCTCTTTGAAGATGAAGTATTCTTTGTTTTCTATTTCGACTTTAGTGCCACCATATTCTGGTAAAAGAACTTTATCACCGACTTGAACACTCACTGGAACTTGAGTACCATCCTGAAAGAAAAAGAAACCTTTCGTTCAAGTACGACGATAGTTCAATTCACCTACTTTTTGTCTAACACCCTTACCAACGGCAACAACAGTAGCGTTGAGAATTTTGCCAATGGATTTTTCAGGTATATGAATACCACCTTTGGTTGTTGTTTCCTTAGCGAATCGTTCGACAAGTACACGATCGAATAAGGGAATAATACGTTTCAATGCTGCTGCCTATTGATAGAAAATTTCGAAATCATCTTCTAGTTTATCAGTCTTATCGTACTTACCATTTACGATAGTGTACGAAGCGATTTTTTTAACGTACGAGAATAATCGAGAATGTATGTGGATGATGAAACTGATCTTTCCTTAGTATTTTCTGATGTGTTTTGATTGGTCAATGGATTTTGTCCATTCGTATGAAGGAGGTTTTGCAACGAAAGGAGGAGAACGAACAAAGATTGCATCAGCTTTTTATCCATTTAGAACTCTTACCTCGTTTCGTTTTACTATTACTCTTACTTGATCGACTTGCTTTTCTATCTTTAGTATATCATTGCCAATGTTTCGCTTTGCTAAAACAATTTCACGAACAACATCACCACTTATCCAACATGTGGTCCGTCGTTCGCTAGCTAAAGACATTAAGTTCGGCTCTGATGCACGAGTATTGATGCTCCAAGGTGTCGATATTCTCGCAGACGCTGTTGCCGTTACAATGGGCCCCAAGGTTAGTCCAACATGTTGCGCGCTAAACTAATAAATGAAGACTTTCTAGGGACGAAATGTCATTCTTGAACAAAGTTGGGGTGCACCTAAAATCACTAAAGATGGTGTCACTGTTGCTAAAGGTGTTGAACTTAAAGATAAATTTCAAAATATTGGTGCTAAACTCGTCCAAGATGTGGCAAACAATACCAACGAAGAAGCCGGTATGTAAGAATGTGCACCCGCACAAAAAGATCAATAATCATTCTTGTCTTTGGTTTAGGTGATGGTACAACAGCTGCAACCGTTCTTGCCCGAGCCATCGCTAAAGAAGGTTTCGACAAAATCTCTCGTGGTGCTAATCCAATTGAAGTTCGTCGTGGTATTATGCTTGCTGTAACAACTGTTGTCAATGAATTGAAACGTATGTCGAAAACAGTCACTACACCCGAAGAAATTGCTCAAGTAGCAACGATCTCGGCAAACGGTGATGTATCCATCGGTGATATCATTTCAAACGCAATGAAAAAAGTTGGCAAAAATGGTGTTATTACCGTTAAAGTAAGACATTTTATTGTTCGAAAAGGAATGTAACATTTGATTATTCTTTTTGAACTTAGGATGGTAAAACTTTAATGGACGAACTCGAAGTCATTGAAGGCATGAAATTCGATCGTGGTTATATCTCACCGTACTTTATCAACACAACAAAAGGTGCTCGGTGTGAATTTCAAGATGCTTTTCTTTTGATCAGCGAAAAAAAATTATCATCTGTTCAAGAACTTATTCCAGCTTTGGAATTAGCGAATAGTCAACGCAAACCATTACTTATCATTGCTGAAGATATCGATGGCGAAGCATTAACAACACTTGTCCTCAACAGGTAAAACCATAGTACATATAGAAAAACAGCTTTTGACACTGCGATTCATTGTACTAGACTTAAAGTTGGTCTTCAAATCTGTGCCATCAAGGCTCCCGGTTTTGGTGATAATCGTAAAAACACTTTACGAGATATTGCTGTTGCTTGTGGTGGTACTGTTTTTGGTGATGAAGCTAACTTGAATAAACTCGAAGAAATAACAGTGAAAGACTTTGGTCGTGTTGGTGAAGTTGTCGTCACTAAAGATGACACATTGTTAATGCGTGGCAAGGGTGATTCATCTGCCATCGAACAACGCATCAATGCAATTAATGATGAAATCACTGAAACCAATTCTGAATATGAAAAAGAAAAATTACAAGAACGTTTGGCAAAATTATCCAAAGGCGTTGCTGTACTCAAAGTTGGTGGTGGTAGCGAAGTTGAAGTCAATGAAAAGAAGGACCGTATCACTGATGCACTGAATGCTACACGTGCTGCAGTCGAAGAAGGTATTGTACCCGGTGGTGGTGTTGCTCTTTTACGATGTCTTAAAGTATTGGAAAGCAATATTACTGCTGCAAACGATGATCAAAAAATCGGTACGTTGTGATAATAGTTATTTCTTTATAACTTGCCGTTTTTTCTTGTCTGCTGAATAGGTATTGAAATTGTACGAAAAGCCCTTCGTATGCCATGCTCAACCATTGCTAAGAATGCCGGAAAAGATGGTAGTGTAATCGTCGAGAAAGTGCTCATGTCTCCATTTGAAATTGGTTATGATGCTCAACGAGATGAATTCGTTGATATGATCAAAGCTGGTATCATTGATCCAACCAAAGTATGAACTAATGAACACGAAAGATCTCAATTCTCTCATTCTCTTTCCCTAAATTTGTAGGTTGTTCGAACAGCATTACAAGATGCCAGTGGTGTTGCTTCATTATTAACAACAGCCGAAGCTGTTGTTGTCGAAGCACCTAAGCCCGAAAAGGACGCTGCACCAGCCATGGGAGGCAGTATGTATTCATAGAAGGAAAATTATTTTTGTTGATAATGAATATTTTCCATTGTTCTAGTGGGCGGCATGGGTGGAATGGGTGGAATGGGCGGAATGGGTGGTATGGGTTTTTGAAAGAATAGCGAAATATTAAAATGACCTTCTAGAACAGTTTTTTGTTAACTTTGTGTTTTCTTTGTTCTTGCGTTTTCTATTTTTCTTGTCGGCCGTTGTATACCTTATAGGAAATACATAAAAAAGCGATCAATGCTGATGACAGTGATCAAGATGAGAGACTAAATGAACTCATTTAGTGAAATTAACATCTATACAAAGAAATGAAGAAGATGAACCATCGAGAGAATCTCAAGAATTACAAAAAGAAATTGAGATTTGCTAATTGTTGGATACTGTTCTGTTCAATATTCTTTATCAGCAAGTTCATTACTTTTCTGTTTCATTGCACAGATGAAAACAGCTATACGACCTGATAAGATTTCTCTCAATCAATTGATAAGAAAATAAGTCAGCATGAAAACACTGCAACTCAGATCAATGTACGCATGTACATCTGATAGTAACATTGTAAAACTTTTATGTCATCCATCGACGACAACTCGGAACATATTCGTTAATTTATAAATTGACATTTCAAACCACGATGACCTTTTTCTTGAACAAAAAATTTGTTTATTTTCATCTCATTCAGTTGCCATCTTCATCATATGAGAGATTCAACATGCCTCTTGATGATTATTAGCAAAATCAATTTGCAATTAGTGTATCATAAGTTATCAGTATTGTATACATGACATACATGAGATCGATAACATCCGGAGTGTGAAAAAGATAGGAGACAGTTGCTCCACCTCAATATCTATTCGAAACATATGTGAAATTCAATGACAGCTCTTCACTCTCGTTAGTTCTTCTCAATTAATTTCAGGCAGAAAAAAAGCGATTATTTGATGTCTGAATTTCAACTTGATTATGTTTTGTCGGCATGTTAATATAAGTATCAAACTAAGAGTATTAGATATTTTTCTCCTTGATAGAATTAGAACACAACGTCGGCAATCGTTGATATTTCTTTGTATCTATCTTCATCTTTTGATTAGAAGACGAAATATCTTGTTTGTATACAATTCATTGTTGTCTTTATAGACATTTGCTATTGAAGAGTTTTACAGCCTCTTTCTCGCATCTGAGAAAAGAAGAAAAAAGAGTCAATGCATGCGCACAGACATACAAAATCTTATCTCATTTGTTCTCTTGGCTTCTTCTCCTAGAAGGAAATTCAATTAGAATCAGGAAAATAGGTATAAGACGTTTGTAGTTGTCCGACGCAAGCAAAAAAAACAATAATAAGAAAAGAAGAAGAAAAAAGATGATCATGAACACATACACACACACATATAGAAAACAGATCATCTTACACACATAAAAAACATCTTTAACAAATGGCATCGGTCGCACGCGACTTTCCTTTACATGTTCAATTATCTTTTCTTCTTCGCTCTTTTTTGTATTGTCATATGGCGTTTTTCCAGTTGACTACTAATATACTAATATAAGTATCGAGTGACTTTTTTAATCGATGAATAGAAAAAACAGAGTGACGAATAGGAAAAAGTGTTGTTATTTTGTTCAATGAATAGAAACACCTTGAAAGGAAAAAAAAATAGGAAATACCTGGTGAGAATCAATTTCTTAAACTAAACGCCCTCCTACCAATCAATGACGGACATCCGGATTCTATCTGGCATTTCTTTTCTTTTCTTTTCTTTTTTTTGTAATAACCCATCCATCCGTTATTGAAATAGGAAATAAGTGACCATATTCATCACTTCATTTAAAGAGAAAGAGAACAAGATCCAATATAGATTGATTTCTTTTTCTATGCCGATGTATTATAGAGAGACTCCATTTTCCACTTCAAAACGATTCTGTATCTTGAGTGTTTACTGCTTCTCTTTCCTCCTCGCTTTCTCTCTTAGTCAAAACGATAGTTATATGTGTGAATAGCTCAACATTTCCGGCACAACTTTATATTTGTATTTAGCTACCTGTTCATGCGCTTATAGGCAAGCAGATTGCCGACAACGGATTAATATGATCAGCAACAACGAGTCAACTAATCGAAAAAAAGGAAAAAGAAATGACAAAAATGAGCTTGTCTCTTACGCACGAATGGCATAATTGAGTTTTTGATTTGTTCGATTGGACAATAACATAACACGAAATCATTTCTTCGATGAATGTTTCAAATGTGCAAATCAATTCTATCTCGAGAAAGTTACGACATGAATACACCTGCATAGTAAACGATTAATTCTCTTGTATTTTTCTATTGAGTATTCAATCGAAGTATTGATACAAGAGATTTTCTCAATTAGAATGATTGCGTGTTGATTTTTATTGGATAAGATTTCAATGATCTATTTAATCTGTTCTACAAATAAATTGACGGACAGAACTTCTCTTTCTCTCGCTCTCTCTCGCTCTTCGCTTGCCAATGATGTATCTTATCAAATGATATTTATTGAGATTAATTCAAAATACTTGATGACAAGCATTTTAACATCACTGCCAATTGAATGAGAAATTACTAGTTGAAGTTGAAGACGTCGAAAGTCGGCTATCTTCTCTTTTGTTGTTTTGTCGACAACATCTGAGTGGCTCTTCATCAGCATTGCAATATCAACATATATATATATATATATATATATATTTATATACACATCCAGACATCGATAAGGTCATATTATCACCTCATCACCTGCATCTATTGAAGAAACAGCCTGAGGCTTGTTACTAAACATATACACTTTATTTCTTTTTTTTTTGTTGTGGCAATATATACTAATAGAAAATGTCTGTTGGTTTGTTCTCTCTCTCCTCCTTGTAGTATTACTATTCGATAGCAGAGTAATGATGATTATGATTGCAAAAACGAGAAGATCTTTTGCATGAATACTCAAAATATTTACTTAGCGTTTGTTCGTCGACGACAAGAAAAAAGAAAAGGAAGAAAAATGCAGAATGACACAGTTTCTATCGTTTTTTTTATCGCACACTCGCGCTCGTTTCGATAGTATTTTCTTCGGTTGTTGATTGGTTCTGTTGATGTATGTGTATGTTCGCAGAAAGAATACTTTCACATGTCAATCTACACGCACATACATGAGAGAGCTGATGGGATTGGCCGTTACGATAATATTTTTTCTTTTTCTCTCTTTCTCTCATTGCCGATCGTAAATCGATCTCTCTCTCTCTCTGTCTTATGCGCGCGCGCTCTCGCCCTATTGAAATGACGACAACGAACGGAAATGAGCAGCAAACAGTCAGTATTACCCCATCGGAAATAGCCAAGCAGATCAGTCGTCTGTGAAGGTGAGAAAAAAGAGAAACACATACACAGAGAGAAAGAGTAAGCGAGAGACAGAGAGAGAGAAAACTTTTCTCATAACAATCATAGAATAACATAAGATACTTTTGGGAAAAAAAGATCTTTTTACATATATAATAATCGTCATTCGTCAGTTGTTCGCTTGCTTACGTATATATTTTTCTTTGAGTCTATTGATGTTCTTTTCCTTCTCCATCTTCTTCTACAATTATCAAAATTGTTTCTAAATCACATTCCTTTAAACCAATCCTTCTCATAAATGACAAACAAAATCGAAACAACAACACCAACGACGACAACAACAACAACATCGTCATCAATTGATGATGAATTACTCGTTGATGTTGTTAGTCTCAATGGCAATAGTAGTTTATGTGTTGATTCCTCTCATCATACATCATCATCGTCAACTCCATCTTCTTCACCGAATCATTCAATCGATTCAAGTCCGCATTCACCAACATCATCCCTATGTGGTGAAATGGAAGATGAGCATACCGATTCCACGAAGAAATCCTTATCAACAAAACAGCATATTGTCAAACCACCTTATTCTTACATTGCATTGATCACTATGGCTATCTTACAATCCCCTACACGGCGTTTAACATTAAGTGGTATCTGTGAATTTATTATGAATCGTTTTCCTTACTATAAAGAACGTTTTCCTGCATGGCAGAACTCAATACGTCATAACCTTAGTTTAAACGATTGTTTTCTGAAAATTCCACGCTCACCAGGAAATCCCGGTAAGATTCGTGCGGAAAATAAATTAACAAAATCAATTTATTTTCTCTTTAGGAAAAGGAAATTATTGGACATTGGATCCTGCAAGCGAGAATATGTTTGATAATGGTTCATTCTTACGTCGTCGGAAACGTTTCAAACGCATGAATCAGCATCATCATCATCATCATTCAGCATGCTTTCATCATGGACCGATGCTACCTTCATCGGCAGCTGCACCGCCACCATCATTTCCTCCAATTCCATATCCATTTCTTGCTGTATCATCACCATCGAAACGATGTTTTCCAGTTTTACCTCCCCCGTTACCATTACTTCCTCCTCCCCCGCCAATTCTACCAATGGTTCATCACAATCCGAAATCCAAAACTCCATTCACTATCGATAATCTGATTGGCAATACGAAATCATCATCATTATCGACCTCTTCGTCCTCCTCTTCTTCATCATCATCATCAAATATCAATTCAGTATTAACGATAACTAATCGAGAAACATTTCGTGTATAATTCTTGTTTCATTCATTCATTCATTCATTCTTTTTTTTGTATCTATGTGCCACTTTTATTCTATATTTGACGACTAGTCAGTGAGAGCATGTTTGCCCGTTTGTTTTCTTTTTTTATATATATATATATTCACGTATATACATATATAAAATAATAATAACATTGCGACCAATGAAAAAAAATCTTCATCTCAGCAAGAAGAATGATCGGTCATATGTAAACTGATAAGAAATATGTTCTTGTCTAGTTTTACAACTCTTTTTTTTGTCATGAAAGCAATAAATTAATGTATAACACGAATCATTATTCTCAAGTAAATCAAATAGTCGATAGTTCTTATGTTTACTTCTTGTAAACAGAAACATGTATATACAATCGAGCCAAACTAAAACGAATCTCTCAAGCATTGTTTTCTGTTTAAATATATATATATATGTCGTGTCCATCTGTATCATCATCATAAATAAAAAAGAAATAGAGCTTCTTGTCACCCAATGAGTGTGTTGAAAGATTTTCATCTGTTTCTGATGATGATAATACCCTTGTATATACACATGAGTATCTGTTCGTTGTTAATCATATATATTAGACTGCTGCTTTCTCTTTTAGATGTATGTTTTGATGAATCGCTTTCTCGTTTGTACCAACACAAAAGTCAAAATAAACAAAAGGATAAATATCAATTGTTGTTATTCCAACGAGATGTGTGTGTATCTACGCTCTCTTCTGCACAATTATCCACAATAAGGAGGAAACAACATGTCGTCAGTCNATATATATTTATATACACATCCAGACATCGATAAGGTCATATTATCACCTCATCACCTGCATCTATTGAAGAAACAGCCTGAGGCTTGTTACTAAACATATACACTTTATTTCTTTTTTTTGTGTTGTGGCAATATATACTAATAGAAAATGTCTGTTGATTTTTTTCTCTCTCTCCTCCTCGTAGTATTACTATTCGATAGCAGAGTAATGATGATTATGATTGCAAAAACGAGAAGATCTTTTGCATGAATACTCAAAATATTTACTTAGCGTTTGTTCGTCGACGACAAGAAAAAGCAAAGGAAGAAAAAATGCAGAATGACACAGTTTCTATCGTTTTTTTTTATCGCACACTCGCGCTCGTTTCGATAGTATTTTCTTCGATTGTTGATTGGTTCTGTTGATGTATGTGTATGTTCGCAGAAAGAATACTTTCACATGTCAATCTATACGCACATACATGAGAGAGCTGATGGGATTGGCCGTTACGATAATATTTTTTCTTTTTCTCTCTTTCTCTCATTGCCGATCGTAAATCGATCTCTTTCTCTCTCTCTTTCTCTCTGTCTTATGCGCGCGCGCTCTCGCCCTATTGAAATGACGACAACGAACGGAAATGAGCAGCAAACAGTCAGCATTACCCCATCGGAAATAGCCAAGCAGATCAGTCGTCTGTGAAGGTGAGAAAAAAGAGAAACACATACACAGAGAGAAAGAGTAAGCGAGAGACAGAGAGGGAGAAAACTTTTCTCATAACAATCATAGAATAACATAAGATACTTTTGGGAAAAAAGATCTTTTTACATATATAATAATCGTCATTCGTCAGTTGTTCGCTTGCTTACATATATATTTTTCTTTGAGTCTATTGATGTTCTTTTCCTTCTCCGTCTTCTTCTACAATTATCAAAACTGTTTCTAAATCACATTCCTTAAAACCAATCCTTCTCATAAATGACAAATAAAATCGAAACAACAACATCAACGACGACAATAACAACATCGTCGTCAATTGATGATGAATTACTTGTTGATGTTGTTAGTCTTAATGGCAATAGTAGTTTATGTATTGATTCCTCTCATCATACATCATCATCGTCAACTCCATCTTCTTCACCGAATCATTCAATCGATTCAAGTCCGCATTCACCAACATCATCCTTATGTGGTGAAATGGAAGATGAACATACAAATTCCACGAAGAAATCCTCATCAACGAAACAGCATATTGTCAAACCACCTTATTCCTACATTGCATTGATCACAATGGCTATCTTACAATCTCCTACACGTCGTTTAACATTAAGTGGTATCTGTGAATTTATTATGAATCGTTTCCCTTATTATAAAGAACGTTTTCCTGCATGGCAGAACTCAATACGTCATAATCTTAGCTTAAACGATTGTTTTCTGAAAATTCCACGTTCACCAGGAAATCCTGGTAAGATTCGTACGGAAAATGAATTAACAAAATCAATTTATTTTTTTCTCTTTAGGAAAAGGAAATTATTGGACATTGGATCCTGCAAGCGAGAACATGTTTGATAATGGTTCATTCTTACGTCGTCGGAAACGTTTCAAACGCATGAATCAGCATCATCATCATCATCATCATTCAGCATGCTTTCATCATGGACCAATGCTACCTTCACCAGCAGCTGCACCGTCACCATCATTTCCTCCGATTCCATATCCATTTCTTGCGGTATCATCACCATCGAAACGATGTTTTCCAGTTTTACCTCCCCCGTTACCATTACTTCCTCCTCCACCTCCAATTGTACCAATGATTCATCACAATCCGAAATCCAAAACTCCATTCACTATCGATAATCTGATTGGTAATACGAAATCATCATCATTATCGATCTCATCGTCCTCTTCTTCTTCTTCTTCTTCATCATCAAATATCAATTCAGTATTAACGATAACTAATCGAGAAACATTTCGTGTATAATTCTTGTTTCATTCATTCATTCATTCATTCATTCATTTTTTTGTATCTATGTGCCACTTTTATTCTATATTTGACGACTAGTCAGTGAGAGCATGTTTGCCCGTTTGTTTTCTTTTTTTTTATATATCTATATTCACGTATATACATATATAAAATAATAATAACATTGCAACCAATGAGAAGAAAACCTCATCTCAACAAGAAGAATGATCGGTCAGATGTAAACTGATAAGAAATATGTTCTTGTCTAGTTTTACAACTCTTTTTTTTTGTCATGAAAGCAATAAATTAATGTATAACACGAATCATTATTCTCAAGTAAATCAATAGTCGATAGTTCTTATGTTTACTTCTTGTAAACAGAAACATGGATATACAATCGAGCCAAACTAAAACGAATCTCTCAAGCGTTATTTTCTGTTTAAATATGTACGTCGTGTCCATCTGTATCATCATCATAAATAAAAAAGAAATAGAGCTTCTTGTCACCCAATGAGTGTGTTGAAAGATTTTCATCTGTTTCTGATGATGATAATACCCTTGTATACACACACATGAGTATCTGTTCGTTGTTAATCATATATATTAGACTGCTGCTTTCTCTTTTAGATGTATGTTTTGATGAATCGCTTTCTCGTTTGTACCAACACAAAAGTCAAAATAAACAAAAGGATAAATATCAATTGTTGTTATTCCAACGAGATGTGTGTGTATCTATGCTCTCTTCTGCACAATTATCCACAATAAGGAGGAAACAACATGTCGTCAGTCGGATATCCGTCTGTTGTTGATGTAAGAGAGTATGAAAAGATTGAGAGAAAAGAAATAAAAGTGACTGTTGTTGGGATAGTAAGCAATAACAATTAGCTTCATCCCTCGATAGAGATAGACAAGATAGGAATGAAGACGATGTGCGAACACGCACAGCTGTGTAAGCGCGCGTATATGTATCTCTTCGTTTTGCTTGAGTACGATGTACATACAAACAGAAAAGGGCGAAAGTTGTCTTCCAGCAAATGTTAGTGAAATCGGATTCATGCAATACATCAACGAGATATTTTTGTCTATAATAGAAGATGAAATATGTTAAATCAAAGTGAGAGATAGATGAAAATCAGCTCGGAATAGAACAAGATACGTAATAAAATTACATTTTCTTTGATGTTTTTTTTTATGTATGTATATATTTTAATCGAAAATTAGCGTCAGTAGAGAACTCAAGTGTTTGCTACATTATATTCTTCATACGTTAAGTAACGAGTGAAAACGATGCTACTTTATAACTTCAATAAAACTAAACAGCGCAAAGCAAATTATCCACAAGAATTTTCAACTTAGACTACCGTTTTTCTTCATAGCAATTCAAGATTTCCGTAGAATAGCAGTTCTTCGAAATCGATTTATCGGTACAAAGAACGCTTGGACATATTTTCTCATTGTTAAACATAAGCACATGAAATAATCTATGTAATAAACGAAGTTGTAACATAGTTGCATTTCTATTCTCTCTTTTTTTTGTCTACAATAAGATAAGCGGAACTAGAAGTGTACTTCATTTTTTTTGTAAAGTAGTCATCAAATAAGTATTGCACTTCTTTCTTTTTATGACAAACTTAACTGAATTATTAAGAGAAAAGACATTCCTATTGTAAAATAACTGTCTAGGTGTGCGAAATATCCACGGGAATGTCTTGATCTTTGTTGGGTTTTTATTGGAAATCAGAAAGAAACGCGCGTATGGTGTGTTAATGTGTGAAGAAATAGAAATGAGAACCGTTTGTTTTTCGGATTTGATGAAAAAACAAGGTATCTAGTTGAAAATTGATTTACGAATCAGCAGCTTGACTTAAAGCTAAAAGAACCATTTTCAACTCCGGCTTGCTCAGTTTTTTATCGCGATTAATATCGCATCCATTTAATAAAGATCGTTTGAACTGTTGTAAATCTTCATTATCATAATCCTAGAAGAGAAATATCAAAAGAAAAACTGAGATTTTCGATGAGGAGTGCACTACTTTTCGAACGAGATCCATGAGATCTTTGACAAATCCGTCTAATTCTTCTTCTTCAATGATATTGTTTCCATCCTGAAGAGAGAAAAAAAACATACTGAAAACGTTGATTTTCGTTCACACAAGTCGTACTTTATCGTAAAGTTGAAACACTTTATCAAGGTCTTGTGAAGTTATTGACGAACAACCCTGTTGATGAAATTAAAAAATGACTAATTATGTAAAAGAAAGATAAATATTCTCACCTTAAAAATCGGTCTGAGCAAGAAATTTTCTCTGACAGGTAAGAGCCTAAAATTAAATTTACAAATGCTTCTTATTTCTTTCATTTGCTCTTTACCTCGTCATTTCACTAAATTGTAATTTTCCATCACCATTTGCGTCAAATATATGTAACTAAAACAATGACTAGCAATCTCACGAAGGAATTCCTCGAGTTGAAACATACAATTGTATCGGTATATTCGATTAGTTTTTCTTCGGTTACTTTATTTCCTTGCCGTCTATTTAAAAGTGTTTTTATGAATTGCTTTAACTCATCAGCTTCAATGTAACCTGAACAATCCGTGTCAAACTGTTTCCAAACTCTCATAAAATCCACACTTGATTCAAGCGGATTATCTTTACGAAAGAGGAGAAGAAAGTTTTCTTCCGTCGGTAGAATTTCAGCTAACTGAAAAAAGAAACAGCAGATTTTTAAATAATTTGTAATGAAAAGAAAAGAAGCAGGAGAAGAAAACAAAAAACTTACTTCTCCAATTTCAATCCGACCATCCGCATTCTCATCATAAGCTTCTAAGAAACATTCTTTTAACTCTCGCAAGACGCTATCGGATATTAACTAGAAGAAGAAACAAAAATGTTCAAAACAGACATCAAATAAGAAGAACATATTCATTTACATCTAGGCCTGTATCACTCGTATTGACAGATGAAGCTAGTTCACGTAGTAAATCATCTAATTCATGTCCTTCGATAAAACCATTACCTAAAACACGAAAGTTGTTGAGTAAGAAGAAGAACACTTAAAAGCACGTACCATCGGTATCATAATGACTCCAGATCTCCATAAATTGATGAGCATTCAATTGTTGGAATTCTTTACTTTGTTCATCGCGAAATTGTTTCAAAAAGTTTTCCTTTTTACGATGACGTTCTTGCTCATTAGTATTTGTCGCCATGAAGAGTGTCGATCTGCAAGAGATGACGCGTGATAATAAGTAAGAAAAAAAAAGTGGTAGCAATTCAGCGCAAACTTGACACGGAGTTTGTCAAAGGGACAAACTATTCTCACACAATGTTGCTAGCGAAGTTATTTATCGCATTTTTCTCCTCGTTGTCACTCATCTTAGTACAAAAACTCATTTCATGATCTCTGCTATTTGTTCTTTGTGTATCCGCGTATTTGATTTAACATCCGACTTTATCTCTGAGGTGTATGTCGATGTTATGAATAGAAATTGTCCATGATTTTTCAATAGGAGGAAAAAATCTCGATCTTTATTCATCAGCAAGTATTTCTTGTTCTGTCTATCATCAGTTCTCACACATTTGAACACGCAATACTGTATGAAATAATTGCACGAGAAAAAGAAACACAGAAAAAAGACGATAAGGAAGGTCTGAGCAAGACCAGTCATTACTGGAAACGGAAGAAAAAAAAGGCACACTACACATACACGGTCGAAGAGAATGACATATTCTCATACAGGTAGATACTGGAAGGCGTGCGCGTGAAAGATAATAAAAAAAGGAAACAATCTATATGGCGTTACAGAAAATCTTCGTTTATGCGCTTTTTTCTGCTCAAAGAACGCAGCGACAGAATAGGAATGGCAAACAACGGTGTCGACGTTTGATATATTATCTTATCATCTTTATTCGAACAAAATATAATTGAGCGTCAGAATAAATAGACGAAAGTCTCTCGTTTGCATGCTCGAAGCAGAGAAAAAGCCAAATCTATTGATCTGTTTTTTTTTCTTGCTCTACGTTTGCCCGCTGTTTTCTTTATAAACATATCGTTTTAAGGACTTTTCTTTTTTTCTCTCTGAACTCTCGAAGGATGAATAAATATTGTTTTCCGCCCATCGTGTCTGGCTATTTCAGTTAAATTTACCATAGCAAACGAATCGATTCAACAACTCGTCTTCTTTTCATATTGACTTTCCGAGCTCTTTAGCGTCTGATTGAATAATTTTATTAAATTTCTCGAAATATCAATATTAAGATGTTTCCTTGAACGAGCTATTTCGCAGTTCTTTTGATCGAATAACTAATCAGATTTACTCCGCAGTTCACAGATCGTATAACTTCTCATTTTTTATATCATATACACGAAGAACAATGTAAAAAAAAGATGTCAAATCGAGCAAGCATGATGCGGAAGGAATAAATTCTCTCCTTGAAATCTTGTTTTTCTTCTCTCGTTCATATTTGCTTTTTTAACGATTGATCGCGAATAAAAACACGAAGAACTTCACCATACAAAACAACATACTCATTTTTCATTCAACAATAGATCAATGTCAAGTTTCAATGAATACTAATTTCTTCGTTGATTTCCTGCGATAATCATGTTCGAACATGTCAGATCGTTGTACCTAAGGTTCAAGTACATGATCAACAATTCATACTGCTGTTCATGGATTTGCAGAAAACATTAATCGGAACAACAGAGACACGCCATTCGAGACAATGAAATGGTTGATTATTCATCATAGAATATCAAATGTAGCGATTGTTATTTTAAGACCAAAGTCAATAGCAGCACACACACGCGTACACAGAGACCAAATGTTGAACAATAAGGATCTATAATATTTGCTTTATCAAGTTCTCTTGAATAGAGTCTTGGACGGCTGTTTTCATAACTTATCTGTGTTATTATTCATATATTAGTTTTTTATTGCCTATTATTGCAACTAATCGAACGAATATTGACGGATGCAATCGAGTTTTTATATTGATATGCAGGGAAAGTATCTGGTTAGAGAAAACGTTTATAATTTAGTTCAATAATCATCAGATCTTCAACTTTTATCACGAATTTGCATTTGTCATCATAAATGGCTTTTCTTAAACGTTGAAGAATGCTTATGGTTCATTTTTTTCTTTTCATTATTTTCACTCAGACAAATTTTCTTCTCTCTTAATGTCTTATACCTGAGTGTATGGTTCAGTAGCTTACTGAAAAAGTCTTTCATGTGAAAATGCTTAGCTAGAACATGCTATTATTTTAGAGGCGGGTATTATCTCGTGATATTGGATTATATTGATTAAAATGTATATTATGTGATACCTTCGTTAATAATTTATCAATTCATGTGAGGTTTGACAACTTCGAAGATTACATCGAACGGAATCGAATCGGTTGGCCTATATTTTCCAAAGGAACAAACAAGGTCGATTGAACGAGCATTGTGAATATTGTTATGGATTGTTTCAATAGAAAACATTGTATTAATTCATGTCTGTTTTCCTATGAGAAAAGGTTCTTTCCTAATGAAAAAAGCTTACAAGCATCAATTATAATCAAGACGTATACATGATCTTAATGAGAATGGGATGTTTCGGAAGTTGTGAGAATATGAAAAGATGATCAGTGATGTGTACAAAAAAAAATGCAAATATCGGATGCTACTTGCAACATTCTCGAACTAACTTTCGCCGCTAAAACAAAGACGAGACAGAAGTAAGCCATTTTCTTTACTTGATTATTATCTAGTTAAGTACTTTGCATATACAATAGTTATATATAATCTCCTATGGACTTATCTTCTACGCTTCAGTTCTTTTGTAACGATGTCAATTCTTGAATATCTGTTGGTCGTAGTTTACTGAGACATCTATCGACTAACAAATCTAATTATTTCATAAAGATATCGGAGACTGTGATCCATGAAAAACTCGACGATTTTTTTATTGATTTGAAAAATATACTTTCATCTGAAACTCAATCATTGCACTGACTTTTTCATAACTGTTAGTGGGAAACAAAGACGAACGTCTTTTGTTCGTGATTCTCTCTTGTTCTTTCTGTATTGTATTATATATCTCCGTCCTTTTTTCGTTCACTGCTCATCGAATAATGGCAACAACATCTTCGCCTGCACCGATGCTCTTCTCTGTTTTGACTTCATCTCATGATGATTTCGTTACTCAATTACGAAATCATTTAACGCAAATCGAAAACAATGTGCATGAAACTTTGAATAAAGTTCAGCAGCGTATGCCGTATAAACCGATTGAAGCCAATAATTCTGATGGAACTGATACGAAAGGTCGACTTCAGTTCTACGATGTGTGAGTACATTGAACTGAGTGAATATCGAATGTTTATTGGCTTTCTTGCTGTAGATTGAAAGACTTAGCAATAAACAATAATCTCGTATGTAGAAGAGTTTATTTATTATGATGGCTTGTTCATTGTTTTCTTTAGCAATTCGATGAATCCTTCTTTCGAAAACAATTTTTAGACAAACAAGATTCATCACCGTAAGTTCGTATAGATTTAACTGAATGATTCATTCTCAAAAGTTGTGTATTCCAGAAAAGTTGATGTGATTCGAGCGAAGCCATCGATTACTACGGATACGACTGATCATCCTCAATTATCGCCCGTTAACAATGCACGTCGATCACAATTTGCACCTGTTCTTAGCAGTACACCCGTGCATCAAACAAGTCCCATTACACCAATACCTGTCGATCTTACTAGTATGTTTCATGAACATCCCGAAGTGACATATATCTTTTCGTTTTCATTAAGTGGCTACATCATCGGTTGCTCCGGTTTTGACAATGAATTCAAATGATCTTCCGGCTGTTTTACCATCGGCCATTGCTCCTCAACGAGCAAATGTAACACGACCAGCCGGTCGTCCACCACGTATTCCACGTGGTGAATCAGCTTCACGCCAAAAGAAAAAAGCATCACCAATCAAAGAACAAAACGAAGAAACCGTTCTTACCAGAGAAATTCAAGTAACAACAAAACGTCGTATTAAAACAAAACAAGAAGTTATCGAAGATAACATTGAAGTTATCATCGAACAACAAACAGAAATCATTCCAGATATGATGAAACAAGTCCAAGCCACTCCCCTACGTGGAAGAAAGAAGAAAACGGTTCAGGATGACGCTAATCTTATTCCGCAACTGGAACCACCTGCATTGTCACCAACAGCAACAACAACAGCTCCAGCTGTGGAAGAAAATGAAACTATTCCCAAGAAAACAAGAACCGGAAGGAACAAAAAGAAAGATGACGAGGATAGTAAACCTAAAAGAACCGCGTCTGCGCGTAACCGAAAGAAACAACAGCAACAAGAAGGAGAGCAGCAGCCAGAAGATGTTCCAGTAGCACCGAAGAAAACAACTAGAAACAAGAAACTCGTTGAACCCACGACTACTATAGAAGAGGTATTGAATAGAGTTGATCACCAAGATGTATTCTTCTTGTTTTACTTTAGAATCCACCACCGCCACCTCCATCAGTAGTCACTGTTCGTGCAACTCCTTCGCGTGGAAAGAAGAAATCGCCAGTTGAAACTGGTGTTATTTCACCACCGAAGACAGTTACTCCACCAACGCCAAAGAAGACAACCAAGTCAAAAAAACGAAAAGATATTGAGATCACCAATGAAAATCCAACCGACACTATTCATGTGAGATAGCTTTGTTTCGTGAAACCAATTCATATCTGTTCGTTTCTAGCCACCGTCACCAAAACGTCGTGGTGGTCGAAATACCAAATCCAAAAATGCCTCACCGGTCGAACCAATTGCTACTCCACCTTTAATTGAACAAGCACCTCAACTGCCACCATCAACCCGCAGCAGTCGACGTGGTAAAAAAGACATTGAAATACCAATCGAAAAACAAGAAAACATTGTTTTGACTAAAAAACCTCGAACTGGTCGTGGAAAGAAAACGAATGAACCGAACAATACTGATATGCCTGTCACTGTTGTAGACGTCGTGATGACATCAGTTACTGTATCGGTAGGTACCACACATCTCTTTGGATATTGGTCTGCAGCCCATTGTTTTTAGGCACCAGTTCCTTCAACAACTGATCTGGTAGGTGCTAAACCACCTCGGCCGCCAGTTGCACGCAAGAAGAAAAGTCTTGCTATGCCACCCGTATCTCAAATGTCTCCATCAACACCACCGCCAACGCAACGTATTCCATCAACTTCACCTATTAATGATAAGCCACTTCTACCCATACCTGTTCCAACAAATGGTGGTCGACGACGTCAACAGCAACGTCGAATTGTTCATTCACCTCATCAAGCTGAAGAATCCACTCTCGAAACAATATCATCGATCACACGAAATCAAAAACGTACACAATCGTCAACAATGTCAACGCCCAAACGCGCTCGTCGTGACAATCTTCTTGTTATCACTGTACCTAGTACACCAGGTAAAAAACGTAACAAATGTACGTGTGAAAAGCGTCGACATCGAATATGCGATATTTGTGCAACTGCTATCGATACTTAAACAAATGATTCTTTTAAATATTTTTTGTACAGATTCGATGCGCTAGTATGTGTCTTTGTCTATTGTATATGTGTTCTTATTTAGTTTGTCTATTTTTCCTTGTGTTATACCTTCGTTCAATGATGAAAAATAAAATCGAACTAATTTGTTAATAGATAGTCTTTTTACACTGAATGATTGGCAAGACCGAATGAGCAACAGTCAAGATTCGCATATCTTATGCTTGTTTATTGCTATTATGTGTCATTGGATTTGGCAGAAAAGAGTGTCACACATGTAACAAGTGTTTGAGAAACACAAAGAGAAGAAAACAAAATGAAAGTAGCTTTCATCTAGTTATATACACTAATAATTGGTCAATGGTGGTGGGGGAGCTGGCATCTTTTTGACTGACGTTCGAATTGTTGGCGAAGGAGCAAGAGGCACTAAATTGAATGGTCGTGGCATCGTTGTATCTTTCAGTGGTATATCTTCGGCTGGTGCTGATGCGATGGGATTTTGATTCATCTCATCGTCCTGAATATCTAATCCAGGACTGAGTGGATCACAGATTCTATTCATCCACGGCATTGGTTCTAACTTTAATAATGTGATCCAACAACCACCGCGTTGATACTGAAACAAAAATCGTGTTTTTCCTGTTTGTTTCTCGAAACTTCCAGCGTCTAACCTTAATTGAGCAACGTTCAGGTACAATTTCTCCAGGTAATCTGGCAATATACATTGAATACACTTTCGTTTGAACATCTATTGTAAATGTAAATGATCTAAATATAATAAAAGTCTATTCTATCTGATTCTTTAGTTTTCTCAGTACTTACTGATCTTGAAAGCGAAGTTCTTTTTCATATCCATTTGATGGAATGAGTTTCAAGATATTAGGAAATGATCGTTTTACTTTCAATTCAGGAATATTCAAAAACACTAATACTTTCCGCGCTCCTTCCTCTTGTACTACAACTAGAAAATTCAAATATTTTCTTAGTTAAAAATTTTCATTTTTCTCGTCAATTGAATACATACAACTTGGTACAATAGATTTGCTTGCATCACCAGTCGCATTCATAACGATATGTTTCATACGATGAGTAACAACAACAACATAATATCGAAAGAATATTCGGTCGAGTGATAGCTGAAGAGTAGACGTGAAACGAATGAAGTATTACTTTTTTATTGATCATTCAATTTTATCTTTGTTTGACAGTCAGACAGACAAAAATAGAACGAAGAAAAGTGTTTCATTGGTATGTACATACACCAATTAGATACCAATATGTACAATTCTTCTTCTTCGTAGAATTCGTATCTCAAGTGCGATTGTCAACTAGATTTTATTCGATCGTTTAGGATTGTTTTCATAATTGATAATCGATGATTGTAAAGGCATTGCTCCTTCAATTTCAATATAAATGGGAACAGTGATTTGAGTTATTAAACATGCGAATATCGCACGAAATAGCCATGATAAACCAATACATGTCATTATCCAAAAGCTGTTTTCAGTTAGGAACCATCGATAGTAGATTTTCGTTTTATTTTCATATGTCAGGCAAGTACGTCGTTGTCCTACCAGAAGATCGTGTTGTTTCGGATCATTGAAGTGAAAATGTATGTGTTGTTGTACACGAGCGAGTTTATTCAATTGATTCGAATCGATTTCGTGTTCGTTGTTGGGACTGAATAATTTGTTTTCAAGGCGTTGAAATTCTTGTTTGATGTCGTCGTGAACAATTCGAGCATCGCGACCGATAATGGATAGGTTAAACACAAACAAGATTTGACATAGATGGTTTTCACTGATGAGAAAATCAGGAATATTTATGTAATATTGACGAGTAAGAAATGGCGTTTCAATCAGCCGACTTTCTTGATAAAAACTCGATTGAAGTCGTAACCACAGTGATCTATCATAAAGCTACAAAAACAGAATCGAATTAAAAGGAACGTTCGCCATTCAAAAGAATTTCTACTACTTGATGATCAATATACTTTCTCCGTACAATATTATAATAATTCGTTGCTGTAACTGTTAGATAAGTCAGCAGCTTCGGCTGTTTTTGCATCAAACCTAATTCTCGCTTGATTATATTAACCTGTAGGCGTTTCTTCAGAAGAAGTTGTTCGGTACAGCCTTTCGATTCAAATAAAATGAATACGTAACAGATGAGAATGACAACCAACATTGTCAAGCCATAGATCAATTTTACAGTCGTACTCAATTGATGTTTTCCGATTTGTAATACAGTAACCGTCGATAGGAAAACGATCCAAAGAAATATGTTGGATAGTAACGAGAGCAAACGTGCGTTTTGGTTAAATGACGATTGTTGTGGCTTTTGGAAAGGCTCCTCAAGAAAAGATGTCAATGGTATAGAATCTGTCGACGACAATGGAACGGCATTAGAATTATGAATAAGAATTGTAAAAGGTAACATAAGAAGAAAAACAACCTAAATAGAAATGCGCGTGAAAAAAAACTGGGAAAAGAACGGTTTTTATACTAGCGCATTTTGATTGAGAAAAAAAACCATAGCAGATACTATCCAATATGTCGTATCTGTCAACTAAATTATATGATAAGAGATTACGAATAATCCATATGGGAGAAAATCTCGAAAATGATATGATTGCCAAAACACAACTCTGATGTCGATAACAAATGTGTCGACTAATTAAGACTTCATTCCGAATAGTTCGGACTAATATTAGAGATGACATTGAATTTGAAGAATGTACCTTATGTATACGTATGTTTTATTCATAAGTCATGTTTCAATACACTTGTTACCTTCGAATTATATCGATACATTCCTTTTTTTTTCTCTCTTCTAAGCAATCATTCTCACGTACTTAATGTGAATTAGTATAAAATGTTTTATGTTGAAAGTATTCGTTATCACGCAATCGGATTGATTGAAAGGAATAAGTACTAACATTCATTTCCGGTTTTCATTACGCCTTGATACATTTACTTTACATTTCAATGACTATCAAATAGTAATATATATATACATCGTACGTATGATGACGACGTGATGTTGTCTTTTCTCTGTACATTTCTGTTTGCTTGAATGTATAGTACAACAAAGCTTTTGTTGCTTTTAAGCTCGTGTAGATGTTATTCACCGATGAATGAGTGTATATTCACGTATTGGTATGAAGGGGAAAAAATGAGAATAAACAAGAACGAAGACGGGTCATCTTGAACATTGAAAGAATAAGAGAACGAAAGAACAAAAAAAATCAGTCTCCTTCTTCTCGACTTAATCCGATAACTAACACTTCGGTCACACAATGAGAGGCAATTAGAATGACTCTCTATGCTTTCGACTAGCGCAAGTTGAGACTAATCCTTGGGGCGGACCACATCCTTGTTTTCTCTTGTTCCTATTCAATTATCTAATTGAACGCGTGTTTCAGTCATTTGATCCATTTGTACTATCGACTGATCTAAATCGATTGATTTTTCTCTTTGTCACATCTGTACCTGTAAACCTTGAACATTCGACTCGTTCACATGAGTAAATAAGAAATCACATCGATTTCGCATAGTTCCTTGCCACATAGAAATGTAAGTATCATATCTACATTATTTTCAACTCTTTTGCTAATATAGTACTCAGTTATAAAGGTTTGCGAGATAAGGCGAGAGACAATATTCTTCGTTGTTCTTCATATTTATTTAAAATATTTGACATCAGTCGAGATGTATTACCATCTCCCATTATAAGTTCACGATTTTATATGCGAGAAAAGTGAAGAACTGTCTGTACTTCTTTTCATACACATATATTTATTGACATTGATGTATTGATGTGTGAAATGGCGACGTTTTATTTTTGTCGATATTGCACTGATGGAGTCTTGTCATTTTTATATATAAGGTCTATTTAATAAAAGCTGCTGTATGTTATCAAAAGAAGTGACGACGTATTCCTTTGAAAAAAAGTGAAATAATACAATGTTTTTATTTTCTGTTTCTTCTTTTTTTCTTCGTTATCGCTTACAACTGATCGATATACCTTCCTTTCTTTTCTTCATTTGAATATATATATATTTGACAGCAGCCACCAAAAATAATAACTTTGTTTTGTTTAGGACATGTCGGTTTATTGTTGAATTGTTTGAAAATAAACATTAACGAAATGTCTCGTGTTGCAAACAATCTGCCATCAATGCGCTATACGAATGGAGTCGGTCAACCGACGAATTCAACATTAGACCGTTCTTCGAGTACTTCGAGCAATGGAAAAAACATCGGTGTTATCGAAAGACGTGTTTTCAATGTTCGAAGTGCAGCACCAGTTCCAGCGCAAAAAGAAACGGTTCATGCCTGTCCATTATGTAATAGTGAATATAAAGATCCACGTGTATTGCCCTGTACACATACATATTGTTTTAATTGTATACGAGATAAATTAATCAATAATAGTCGACTCACATGTCCCAAATGTCATTATCAAGTAAGTTTTTCATGAACGATAATACTCAACTTTTCCTCTGGTAAAAAGTCTATGGAGGTGTCCTTCATATCCTAACATACGAAAGATAAGAGTATCTCTAGCTAGTACTCTTAACATTGTGACTAGCACAAGATAATACATTGAGATTACTTGTTTCTTTTGATTTAGGCTCATCCATTTGATGAAATACAGCTACAGGAATTACTTCCTAATCTGATCTTAAGTCAAGAATGGCGTATAGGTGCTCGACTAACACCCTCAATTCCTCCGTTAAAAAAGTCAATGACATATCAACCAACTGTTCCATCGTCAGTCTCATCATCTACGTTGAGTCTACCTCAACAATCTGCAGCCCAAGAATCCGAAAAACGTCGCTCAGTTGTAATCGAATACGCTCCGCGTGATATTCCATTGACCAATGACACAAATCTGAACGGCATTGCCTCAATTGTCAACGCATTCAATCGAACATCGACAAACGGAGAGAATGGAAATCGAACGTCACGTTCATCGAGTATATCAAGTATCCAACCACTCGTATCGAATTTAATTAAAATCTATTCCGAAGCCACACCAGTCAAAACGCAACGAATGGAAGATACGGTTTCAACTGATAAACATAATGAATTAATAAAAATTTTCGAACAGGCAACTACTGGTCAGCAACAGGTGCGATCAGCATCACCGATGAATATTAAACAACCAACACACGCTTGTGATGAGATTACATGGGATAATCTTGTTCATGGGTGAGGCTTCCTCTTCTTCAAAGTAAATGATGACATGTAGATTTATAGAACAATACCAGTCGTTCCATCTTCGTCAGACCAGTTGCAATCGGCGGTCGAAAATCATCACCATCCACCAGAAGAACCAGAACGATCAGTATCGGTTTCATCATCGAATATAGAAAATCTTCGCGAAATAGTCGTTTCTATTCAGCAACAACATCAACAGCAACAATCATCTGAAAAACCGTCAACACAACGGTCAACGTCCTTCGTCGACACGCAGTTGAGCAGTCGTTTATCAGGAAGTTACCGTTTAAGAGACGTTGAAGATGATGACGATGATGATATCATCGAACAAATAGCAAGAAAGAGTCATCTACACCGACAACATGTCCGTCAAACAAGTAATACAGAAAGTATCCATAGTGGCCAAAGTGATACCGGGTCCAGACGGTCACCTATTCCACCAATTATTAATAATGTTCAACCAAGATTAAGTATATCGTCTATTAATGATCAAGAAGATGATAAAGTATCACAACATACAACTCCGTCGTCAAGACACTCGTCCGATCGCTTTCCTCCGCCACCATCTCAACAACAAATTGATACACAAGGATCTCCATCACCAAGTAGTCTAACAAAACCCAGAGCAACATCGTCAATATCATACCGATCATCAATTCATGAAGATCAACACGAACAGCTTGTTACACCTGAGGTAAAATCTTACTTTCATCACTTGTACACATATTCGGATTGACATGTCTTCGTCTAGATTAAAATACAACGAACAGAGCGTTTTAATCTTAAGGAGAACAACTCGCCTGTTTTTTATCGAAATAATTCTTCTCAAGCAGGTAGTTTTTCTTCAACTCCAACCTATCGTCCATCATCGATGTCAAATGAACATGATGAACATATCCCTCAACAACGTGAGAATTATTTATCGCCAACATCACCATTATTAGTTCCATCACTTGTATCATCACGTGTCGAAACATTATTATCCGATCAAAAACGTTTAGAACGAGAAATTGAAGAGCAAATTCGCCGTTTGAGCTACGATTACGATGATGTTCGTAGACAGATTGATCGTAAACGATCTGCCATTCAAACAGAAGTCAAAAACATTGCCACACGTCTTGATGACGATATTACAGAAAACTATCATCGAAAGCAAAAGATCTATGCTGATCTAGCTGTTGATACGAACACAGTCGGAACAGAATTAGAACGATTACGAACAAACACAAACAATAATACACAACTATGGGATAATCTTGAGCAAATTGAATCTAATATACGTAATATTCGTCAAGCTGTTGAACAACAAAAGGAGCCATATAGTGCTCTAACATTTGCTGAAGGACGTCGTGCGATTGGTTCGGATGCAATTGGGCAGATCACATCTAATGGATTCGAATCCCACCGAAAACATAATTTATCTACATCATCACCGCTTCCAACATTAGAACAACCTATTAACAGTCTAACACCGTACAAATATGTGAAAATCGATCACTTATCAACATTAGAACCGGAAGCAATAGCTATAACCGAGAATAAAAAGACGATCTTATTGGGTATTTGTAATAAATTATTTATTCTGAATGAATTTGGTGATATTTTAAAAACCATTCAATTAAAGCCAAGTATACGTGGCATAGCTGTCTCGAAAAAGTCTCAAACATATCATATTGCTTATATATCACATGATGAGATTGTTACGATGATCAACACTGATACCGGCGATATTTTAGATTGTGTCAAAGGTAAAAAATTCCCTTTCTGTTCATATTTTCTACTGATTTTGTTTGCATACTTCTTAGAAACAGATTCAGTGGATGATTCAGGAACGTTCTTACCGTTAGGAATCGATACGGATAGTATAAATGGTTGTGTTTATGTTTGTGATTATCGTAATTCATGTGTAATCAAATTTGATGACAAGTTAGAATTTATTACACAATGGAGAATTTACAATCATTCAGATCAATATGACGAAGGTACGTTTTTCTCGAAATCATTGATCTCAATGTCATACGCCTATATTTCTTATGTTTTAGCTCGACCGAAACTGATTTCGATCTACGGGCAACGTTTATATATGATTGTTGAACATTCGTGTAAACCTTATTACAATCAAGGTAACAAATTTTCTCCTTAATCATTCATTTTCCACAAAAAAAAGAAAACGTTGTCTATGCTAGGTATTGCCTATACATTTTCTCTTCATATTTGTGATATCAATTCTGGTAATATTATTCGCATCATCGATGCTAAATTATTATCAACCCAACGTCTTCGTTGGCCATGTTCCATTCATGCGATTAGCAACGATGAATGTTACGTACTGGATACCATGACATCAGGAAAATATTTTAATGGTCAATGGCAGAAACACTGGTCACGAGTGTTGGATATCAGACCGGACGATGCCAATGTTGTGAAAGAATTATTTCAGCTAGATAGCGAGGCAGCGACAATGGCATTAACCAAACAAACAATGATTATTTCAGCCAATGGAGAAATCCTCTTTGTTGATTTAGCATTTATTCAACAAGAATTACAAGAAAATGATCACGAAAATTCTTATCAAAATTGATCCGCAAGGCAAATGGCACTCGCGTCTCGCCATGCCGACATGTCCTATTTTGAAAAAAGAAATCCAACTTATTGTAGTGTATCAGCCATACTTTTTATGCTAATTTTCAATGTGTACTTTCTTTCGATTGCTTTGCTTGTCTTTTCTCTCTTCGCATAATGCAAATAAACAAGGGATTACTTGATTTTCTTTCTGGATTAGATTTAGGAACTTTTTCTCGAGAAAATACATACATACATATATATATATTTATTTAATTTGGCACAGAACAAAACGAGAGGAAACGTCTCTATTCGGTAGATGTCTTCTTTTGATTCAATATCAGAAAGATTAAAGAATCTATTATTAAAATAGTGACTATATAATATTCTCTCGTTTTACATTCATCTTCTTAACATTGATCATATGAATATGATTTCTAGACTTAGTAATTAGCTCTTATTCAAACCCACTCATATGTTAATACGACATTCAATGGAAAACAACAGTGTAAATGAATATCGTCGACAACAAAACAGAATGAGAGTCAATTATTTATAAGAATTTTACATGCGATGTATTCACATGCAATCAGAGATAGGAAAAGACGACACGTACAAACAAAAGATAAGATTCTCAATGTTTGTCTTCTCCTGGACGAGTTCAATGTTTAGGTTGAATTAGTTTCCGAGGCAATGGAGTAGCATTTGTTGTTTGTCACACCATTTTACTTTGACGAGCATGATATAATTTAAAATTCAATTTATATTCTCTTGTCAACTGTGAAGTATCTGTCAAACAAAACAAGATGGATCCCGTAATTTATAGGACGAGCGACTTTCTCTACTTGAGTTTGTCAATAACTGACATTGAGAATCGATTTAGTTCGACCTTGTCTTTTCGCAATATGTGAACACCTGGATTCAATATTTGGATCTTGTTGAATTAGTTCGAATAAAAACAAAACTCTATGATTAAGTAAATATCTACACGGGAATGTGTAGGGTCTTCGATAAATTTTCTTCTTTCGTTCGATTTACTATGTCACTTGTCAATGTAGAGTAAAACTGATATGATAGAATGTACATACATATGTTTGATAGACAAGAGTGAATGAACGTCGATTATTAAATAACACCTGCATATGTAAAAATGAATACAAGTGACGAGAAACGAGAAAAAGAACAGAAACCTATCGAAAGAACATCTCATTTACTATTAAACGACTAAGAAGAAGAAGAGGAGGAGGAGGAGAAAAAGGTTCCCTTCATACTTTTCTGTCTCTTTCGTTTTTCTTTTCGTTGAAGTGTGAGCGTGTATCGTACTTCGCGATTAACATTGACAAAATATTCACCTTCAACGCTTATTCATCCACTATCATTACTCATTCATTCATCGTAAGTATCAGATCTTTAAGCTTTTGAAAGTTAACTAGATAAATCTTCCTCCAATTGTGTTCAAAAACGACCTCTATATCTATTAAAATAAGTGTTACAATCTGCGTTCGTTTTGTCTGCCTAACCATTCTGAACACAAGTCCGTTCAGTCGTTCTTTTTCGTCCTCTATTTGAACATATCAGTTTGTTCATTCGTCGCGTCACTTCAGGTCATCAGCAAAAGAAAACAGAAAGAGAAAGAGAAAAAATTTACTGTCCATGTTCTTTTTTCATCCCTTTGTGTGTATCATTAAATCATCATCATCGTCGTTGTCGTCGTCGTCAATGTTTATTACTAGGTAAACGCACATCGACAGACTACATGTGACAACACAGTTCAATCTTTCCAGTCGAAATATTCATTGTGTCTTAACTTAACAGATGTCAAAGTCGAAAGCAAATAATCACAGACCATCAACAGTGACATCAGTAACTGAAGAAATCAAAGTCGTCGTTGTTGGTAAGTTACATTGCTTGATGAAAAAAGTTAATTGAATGTTTTTTTTCTTCTTATTTTCAGGAGATGGCTATACAGGCAAAGTGAGTAGACTGAATTCCGATCTTTGAAAATGTGAATGTCCATCGTTTTAGACAACGTTATGTATTGTGTATAAAGATGGAGAATATCCACAAGATCCGTACGTGCCAACAATTTTTGAGAATTATGCTGGTAGGTCATTTCGAAACAAAACAAGTTAATTAGTAAACATCTTTTGCAGCGACAGTGACCGTTAACAATAAGAAATATATTCTAAACCTATTCGATAGTGCTGGACAGGTAGAGCAACTCTTTTTATGCACTTTCGCGAGCATTTCAATTCTGTTCTAGGAAGAATATGATCAACTTCGTATTATGGCCTATCCGAATACGAATGTATTTATTCTTTGTTTTTCTGTTGTTGATCCTGACAGTTATTCGAACATATTAAGTAAATGGATCCCTGAATTGAATCGTATGTAACAAAACATTCAATTACTTTCAGGCGATACTTAAGCTGTTCAGTTTTAGGCTATGCGGCACGTATACCAATTGTACTGGTCGGAACGAAATTAGATTTGCGTAATGATCCAACAACATTAGAACAATTAGCCGAAAAAAACCAAAGACCGATTACACAATCTCAAGGAGAATATTTAGCACGAATTTGCTCGGCGAAAGCTTACTTAGAATGTTCATCGATGCTGAATTTCAATGTTCGAAATGTTTTTGAACAAGCAATTGAAATTCACAACTTCCAAGCACAACGACATCGACATCGAATCAATGGTGGACGACGAATTCTATCATCGAAATTATCTGCATGTTCATGGTTTGGTTCGTTATTGTGCTGTACCAACGGTTCTCGAACATCGTCATCGAAAAGACACACACGAACAAAAAGAGATAAACAACATCGTTATACCATGTGATCATCTCGAGGTTTTTCGTAGAATTTGTGCAATGTGCACAGTTTAACTGTGATGCAAAATCAAGACGATTTGTTTATAGTTATTCAGCATTTCGTTTGCTTTTTATTAGATTTATTTCAAATGAAATGAATTGTATTTGCTTTTTCTTTTATTTAAATATGATGCGTGTTTACACAGTCGAATGTCTCGTGTGAAATTATAAATCATTAAATAAAATAAAAAACTGGAAAGATGTATTAGATTTTTAGCGAACTAATGACATTGAAAGAGAATGGTATAGGTCATCGGATTTGTTTTGCAGTCGGTTAGATCGATAGTTATGAACAATAGTAAGACGAACACCGTCTGATAGCGCTCTCTATGATCTCATTATCTGATTTTCAAAGCGAACTAACAATGATGTTTAAAAAAGGGTAATTTTGTTATTCATTTCTTAACGGCATTTTCAAATCACAGATTCAATTATAATACATCTGAGAGATCATTTCGTTTGAATTCGGCTATACTTTTTCCAATTCCAACCCGCCTGAATCATTTCATGTTAATGTATATTATTCTAGATATTGTCAGTTTTTCCAGAACATAACAAATGGCATCATCTTCATCGCCTGGAGTAAGTGAACGAAATAAAAGAGAGAATTTTAAAACTTTATATTGTGTATATCTGAATTAGAAAGTCAATGCATCAGCTGTTGCTGTTGTTGATAACGACAGCAGTTCCAGTAGTAGTGAAGAAGAAGCAGAAGAGGAAGAAGACGTTCGTTTATCAGCTAAGACACGCACGGCTTATTCGTGTATTCAAATTATCAAAGTACACATGTGGTAGTCTAATAGACTATCTAGACTGATGTTTGTGTCTTTTTTTAATCCTTACAACCTATAGGAAAGTCATCGACAACAGATTTATGCAGTTGAAGTCAATAATCAAGTACAGTATCAGAACGGAACTCTTTTCGCCAGTGTTGGTGCTAATTCTGTAGGTATTTTTTCACTTTTGTCGATAATTACTAATACATTTGATTCTGTCATAGATTCAAATTTATAAATTCGATACGAATACGAATAAAACTCAACTCGTTCATGCTTATTTGGATCCTGATGTGAGTGAGATTGTCTTGAATCAATTTTAATGAAATCGATTTCTGATTTGGTTTTCTACAAGGCAAATGAAGAATATTTTGCATGTGCATGGACGATGATTGATGATAAAAAGGAAGAATCACCAAAGATCCTTCTTGCAGCTGGCGGAGAACGTGGCGTTATTCGTGTTCTTGACGTTCACCGAAAGACACAACACACAGCGGTTCGATACGATCCAATATTCATCATTATCTACCTGAAAAATCTCATCTTTTAGCTTTTACAAACAGGCGCTGTTAATCACATAACATTCGCCAAAGCCAAACCGAATCTTCTTTGCACGGCCAGTAAAAGTATAAAGATTAACACGATGAATCTCTTCATTGTCTTACTTACGCTATTCTCATCTTAGATTTTACAATTACATTGTGGGATGTTCTCTCGTCTATGTGTCTGGCTGTCTTCCACGGACCAAATGGTCATACAGATCAAGTTCTTTGTGTGGTAACTAATTGACACGATATCAGTTTGCCTCTACTATTAACTATTCGAAAGGATATAAATGATCAATGTACAATGATGGCGTCTGCTAGTATGGATCGATCGGTCTTTGTATGGTCATTAACGAGCGATAAAATTCGTGAACAGATCGATTTAGCTGAAAATCCAATACACGAACAAAAGCGACGATTAATCAAAGCATATCCTGTCGCTTTTGCCGATATCGAAGCGAAAGCCAAAACACTTCACTCACATTACGTTGATAATGTTCAATGGTATGGTGATGTGTTACTTTCTCGGGTAGGTTTCCCAATACTTATCAAAGAAAACCTGTCGATTTTCGTTTCCAGTCGGCAGATAATACATTTTGCCTATGGCAACCAATAATTAGTAATACGGCCAAAGCATCATCGTTCAAACTACTTCTAAAATGGATTGTCCATGAAAAAGAATATATCTGGTTTCTAAAGTTTGATATTTGCCGTGCTATCCAAGTAAGATGTTCATTCAATAAGAGATTCAGTTTTGAAACAATTTGTTCATTTCTAGTTACTTGCGATCGGAACATTAGATGGTCAGATTCAAGTATGGGATCTTCGTCACCATATGCATAATCCATCTGTCGAGTAAGTTGACAACATACCATTTGACTTGTAGATCTTCGTTTATGTGATATATAGTTTTGTTAAACTAAAGAATCAAAATTCGAAAGCAAAAATTAGTCGTGTATCATTCAATTATGACGGTTCGCTCCTAGTAGCTTGTTCTGATGATAGTCGTATATTTATTTGGAAACGAAAATGATCAATGTGTAGTATTATTTTTTGCTATTTTCTGAAAACCATGTCACTATTGTACAAATGATATTCAATAAATTAAAGAAAAAACAACAAGAGAAATGGTGTACGAAAAAAAAGATGCAATCCAACATTTGGCTGCTTCACATGGCAAAATACAATGTGAAAATCCACAGCTGTTTGTTATTCTCGAACTAAATATAGTGATTGTTGTTGTCCGCGCTGGATCAGAAACAAATATCAGAGTGAAATGTCACACATGAGAGTATTACTATTACTCCTAGTTTTTGCGCTTTCCTCCACATATGCCGCAATCTATCGTCCCGTTGTCCTCATGCATGGTATCACATCAACAGCTCGTGATTTGTATGAACTTGCTGGTTGGATCAATCAAACTTATCCTGGAATTTATGTTGTATCGATCGAAATTGGCAATGGATACGAAGATTCGTTTCTTTTACCAATGAATCGTCAAGTTGAATTGTTCTGTAATACAGTACGATCCGATTCACGTCTTCAGCGTGGATTTAATATGCTTGGCTTTTCCCAAGGCAGTATCATTGTTCGAGCGGCTGTAGAACGTTGTTCATTACCTGTTTATAATCTTATAACATTGAACGGTATCAATCAAGGTGTCTTCGGTGTCCCGAATCTTAAGGAACTTCCTCGACAGTTCCGAGAATTGATCAGTGAATTTGCTTATGAAGATGCAGTTCAGGATGTTATCAGTGTTGCAGGTTACTGGCGTGATCCATATCAATTAGATAAATACTATCGTCGTTGTCGTTTTCTACCAGATATCAATAATGAACTGCCTGTTCGAAATGAGACTTATAAGATGAACATGTTGAAATTAAATGCATTTGTTATGACCTATTCCGATGTTGATGAAATTGTTATGCCTGGACAATCGGGTTGGTTCTTAGGCTATAATCCAAAGTCATTAGAAGTAGAATCATGGAATCAATCTCGACAATATACTGATGATCTTCTTGGCCTACGCACATTGTGGGAACAAGGCAAAATCCATCAATTTACTTCACACGTACCGCATGGCAGTTCGGATCATGCGCCAAACAAAGAATTCATTTTTGAAAATATTATGCCATTTTTTAACAACACCCTATCTGACGTGTAGTTTTTTTCTAATTGTTTATTATTCTTATATAAATTAATGATCTAGTTACTAGTAGATGTCCGACTAAGTCGATAACAATAATAAATCTCACTTGATTGGTCCCCTGTACCTGTCATAAGTTTAGACAATGATTCAGCACCACTTTTTTGCTCTCGGATCGTCCGAATTTCGCAAACTTACAATATCGACCAAATTACATTTATTCACAAAGAAAATTTTGTAGACCATATTACTATTCGATGGCAGCTCCGCATTCTATTACGAGTGAAGAGGAATTTTGTAACAAAGAACTACTAGATCATATCCGACCGTTATTACAACGTGATAAAATCCGTCTTTGGGAACCGCCTTACACAGACGCTTCAAGCGGCGCTGAAAATATTCCAGAGGTAAGACCATATACAGTCTTTTTACTTTCCATTGTTGTTCACGAATATATACATATAATTCTAGGATTTAGTTGAGAGTATTTGCGCTGAATTGGGTAATACAGCGGAAGAGATACGTCCTGCTCTCTCTTTTCTTCGACGACATGCTTTAGAAAAGCTAGCTGCAAAGAAGAATGTCGACTTAATAACGCTTAAAATTCGTTCATCCGGTGCTTCAGATAATAAAGTTAGTTGATGGTGTGTTAGTATCCTATTTCATTTGTCATTTGCATAGAACAATTGTATTAGTATCAGTATATCATCTCAAAGTACAGGTACTGAATTAGAGAAATTGATTCAGGAAAAACTTAATTTTCATGATCAAAATATCAAAATGATATGTTCTGGTCGGATGATTCAATCTGATAAACGATTACAAGCACAGAATATTCGTGTAAGACGAGTGTACTGACTTCCATGGTTTCTATCTATTCTTTCGTTTTCTTTATAGACAAATGCAACAATTTTAGTCATTGCCGTGCCGAAATCAGCTATTGCAGCGACAACTGCAGATGTGCAAACTTCGAATTTGATTCAAGCTGTCAAGGAAGCAGCAAATATACTACATGAGAACGCACGTACAGCACCAAGTTCTGATCAGTACCAGTTACGTATAACTGATCAACAAGGCCGCGAATTAACTGCACTTTCGGACGATGAACGTCGTTCATTAACAATTGCGATGACTTTACATGAAAAGGGTCGTTCATTCTTGCGACAACGTGATTATCTGAGCGCATTAGCTTTATTCAGTGAAGCTGATAACGAATTTCGACAATGTTCATCACAAATGTTAAATTCAGTCGATAACTGGTAAGTTGGAATCAGAATTGATGATTGTTCTATTTCAATCTGTTGAGAGGGGTCTACTCAATTTGGATACTGTATGGTGTTACCTTTGTATGAAAAACGTCAATGATCTGGAAGGTAGAATCAGTCGTTTTTCTGATTTGAAGTTTGATTTGCCAGTCAAATTATATACGAATTTGTTTAGATGCGGCAGAAAGATTAATGAAATGCGATACATGTTTTGTCAAAGTTTACGGAAATTCATTTCAGCGTTTGAAAGCATTACAAAAGGATGGTACGGGGCACATGGTTCTTTTCGTACGATTACATTTACTACAAGTAATTTGACACATATTTCTAATTATGAAGTGTATTTATATGATTGATAGGCTATTGTTGCTTATCATGCTGGTCGTAAGGTAGATGCGAAGAACTTTCTTGGTTTGGCCGAAGAGGAAGCACGGATGATGCATGTTGAGCCAGAAAAACTAACTCAGAGTGAACGAAAGCCTTGTTTTGACATTAGTATACTTATCAGTTTTTGTATGGATCTTAGTTATGACGATGGGTTACACGGCAAGTGAAGCTCGGCGAGGTTTGAGAAGTTCTCAAGGAAACATTGAACAAGCCGTTGAATTCATTCTTGAAGTATGAACAAGGAAGGGATTTTTTTCGAATTCACTTGTTTTGTCTTATGTAGAATCGTCGTCTACGCGAAGAACGTCATCGTGAGGAACAAGAGCGAGAAGAAGAGGAGCGTCTTCAAAAGCGATATGGACGCACCCAGAATGGACAAAAGTATTACAAATTTGACTTCCTGTATTTAAATTTCGTTTTAACCAATCGGTTTCAGACTTGATATCAAACACCTACGTCAATTGGAATCCATGGGTTACCCGCAGTATGCATGTGCTGAAGCTTTAAAACAGTCGAATAATCGTTTAGAAGAGGCCGGTGAAATGTTATTAAATGATCTTGAGACTCTTATTGCTGCTAGTCGACCAGAACGAAAAAATAAAGAAGATGACGACGAGCCAACAAATGTATTACCAGAAGATGCATCTCATGTGCCACAACTTCTGTCATTAGGTGCAGAATTGGATGAAGCACGTGCATTGCTAGAAATTCATGGTAATCGATTAGATCGAGCAGCAGAAGAATTGTTGCAAAAGAATCAAGATTCAACACAAGATTCGATGGCAGATCTTCTCCAACGAGCACGTGTAGCAGCTGAGAAACGAGGTAGAAGAAGAGATTGTTACTGATTGTTCACGACTTATATGGTATTGATGTATTTTCTAGCCGCTAAAAATGCTCGATTGGAAGAGAAAAATCGTGCTGACCAAGAACGTCGTGCAAAGCTTCAAACTGTCCTACCGGATTTGTTACGTAATAATATGGAAGTTGATAATATGGAGAGTGAAAGTGAAACAGCTAGTGGTGGACCCGATGAATATCTTGATCTACTTTTGGACGAAGAAGAAGCATTCATACATGAATATCGGCAACGATTGATTAATGATGGATTTTGGTAATAAGAGTTTAGTTTTCGAAAACACAGCGAGAACAGCATAATCAGCGATTCTATTCAAGAAAGATTTATTTTTTCCATTTGCTTGTATGTTAAGATAATACACTTTGTTTCAATAAACTCGGAATATTGATATGTTACATCAAACAGTGATTGTATATATCACATATCATATACTCACCAATGACTGTTAGCGACATCTAATACTAATCAAAAGTAAACTCGTACTGAGAATATCATAGCAGATATTTCAATTCATGCATAGACATTTCTTCTCTCATTTGAATATTGATGAAAACTTACGAAAACAGACCATCACGTCCCTCTATCTATCCATGACTATGAAACCTTAAATGGCACCGAAGACAGTCTAACAATCTGTAAACCACTAACACGTTGAAATGGAAGGCGAAACAGCCATTGTATCATCGACAAATCTCGATCGAAAAAGTAATTCTTCATCTCCTCATAGCGCAAATCGTTCTCAACCATCATCTCGAATAACATCAGCAAATGCTCGTTCGAATATGAATGTTAGTGCTGCAATCCGAGGACCAAATACTGAAGAAAGACATACTTTGCCAGAAATACCTCGTAATCCGCTAACTGCCAGTGTTGCACATGTTGTTTCAAGAGAACTCGGGTAAGTTTATGCTCTATAGATAAGGTCGATATGAGTATTTCTGAACATTTAGCGAAAATTTTCTCAAAGCTCCAATACGTCCAGAAACAGTTAAGAAACTTGTGGTATCAGGCAATGTCGACGATGCATCTCACCGTCTCTATGTCCAACATTTACGAGAAATTCAAGCAAAAAGAGAATATCAGTTACAAAAGATTGGACATGATGAACAAGCACTTCTTTTAGCAGACATTCAAGCACACGAAAATCAAGATAACGATGACAGTAAGAATTGCGACAAGCACAAGAGATCTCGAAAACTGTTCACTTTCTAGAAACACATCTAGCAAGTTTATATATCGATGAAGATGAGTTAACAAGAGATCAAGTGATTCTACCACGAGATTTCCTTAGCTACAATCTACAAAAACAAGTCAAATCAGATACTAAAGCAGAAGAAAGCGAGCAAGTTCTGCATGACGTGGAGAAAAAATTGGTAAGCGATATCTTGAAGATTGTCTTTGTACGAAAGAGAGTGTTGCTTGTTTAGCCAAAACTAGCTGGCCAGCTGCAAAAGAGAACATTGAATACCTTGTGGAAAGATCAGATCAGCGTTGCGGAACGAGCTTACACTCGAGGGCATTTACAACTGATTGATAATTTGACGAATTACCATGTCAATCCACGATTCGACGAAGTACGATCGAAACAATTGATTAACAAATCAAGTTTAATTCGGTATGCGATTCTTTTCGAGATAGATAGGACTGTATTTGAAATTGCCTTCTAGACCACCTAGTCTATTACCGGTTTTCGAAGCAATCCCATCGGAAATTGTTTTCACGCGTTATCGTGTAGGTGACGTTCATGAAACGACATTAAGTTTACGAAATTTAAGCAGCGTTGCGCATAGCTGTCGAGTTATTCCGCCGAAAACGCGAAATTTTTGTGTTAGTCTTTCCCAATATCCATCCGATCATTCGCTTGTTGCTACGGGACTGAGTGTTGTTTACCATGTGAAATTCGCTCCAGATACATTGGGTGTGTTCGAAGATGAAATCATCGTCCAATGCTCTAATGGAACGGAATTTGCAGTAAAATTATTAGCAAAACGACCACCACCTGTGCTAACACGTACGAAGTCAATAGATGTATCATTATGTCTCTATACTATTTGATTGTAGTACCTTCTTTGGTTGATTGCGGTTATTGGTTAGCTGGCGGACGGAAATTATGCGAATTTAAAGTGCGAAATGATGGTGGTGAAGGACGCTTTGCCATCATACCAGCAAAATCGTGGCCGGCAGTGAATTTCAAAGTGAGAGATTATTGCAGCAAAAACTGCTTCTTCTCATAATCGACATATTTTGTATTAAATAGACCGTAGTTCGTAGTGATACAGTGCATTTATCACCATTTGAACTAGCTCCTCCAACTTTTGAACTTCGTCCTGACGATGCTTTTCCATTACAAATTTCGTTCACCCCACAAACACCGGGCGAATTCACGGAAGAGTTTATGATGATCTGTGATAATGGCGAAGTATCGCGACACAAACTTACGGGTATTTTTTTACGAGTGTAGCCGATTCTATTAGCCAAGAAATAACAAAACCTATGTTTAGGCATGGCACAAACAATTCAAGTTCGTCTCGAAGATGTCGAAGGCGGAGTCGTTGATATGAATGAACTTGAAGCACGTGATATTTCTGCTCAATATTCAGTTAACTTCATTTCCATTACTCCATATTCGTACTGTCAAAGGAAAATGATTATAAAGAATTTAACGTAAATTATGTTCAGCAATTTTATCGCTATATAATCTTATGATTCTTTTTCTCCCAATAGTAATGTTGAATTACCCTATGTGTGGACATCACTTGAACCAGTTCTCTACACTCGCGATGATTTTGCTAAACAATCTCAACCGATAGAAATTGAAAGAATTGTCAGCGAAGCATCACCATTTCACGTTGAGCCAAGTCGCGGAGCATTTCCGCCAGCATCATGCGTTGAATTTCATTTGATATTTGCACCAGCCCAAGTAAGTGTTTTTAGATAACTTTTCTGTTTCTTGGATTTTCATCGCAATCGTTCATTTTAGATCGGAAACTTTCATACAGTATTTCATCTAATCATTCCAAGTGCTCCAGTTTATCCGATTCCCACACCAAGTATCGATCATACAAGTGCCAGTAAAGTTCAAGCAAATGAGCGAATTTCATCGTCGGAATCCATTCTTCGTCATTCCGCAAAAGGTCCAACTATTCAGCCAGTTGCTCTTCAACTTGCCGATTTTACCGGTAAATATGGTTGTGTAGCGAACTAAGCGATGATGAATTGTTTATTAAATAGTATTACGATTCGAAACGCGTGGCATCTGTGAAAATTTCAAATATATATTTGATCCATTCACTGTCATCTTTATGGATAAACTTTACAAAAACATCGCTCATCGAAAGGATTTTCAAGTAAGCTAAGGAGCAACTGATTCAATAACTAAACCTACCATTTTCTTTAGTTAACCAACTCAAGTATTAGTCCATTAGTAATCAACTGGGCCAATGTTGTGGGTGATGAAATAATCAATGTTGAACCTGTTGCTGCAGAAATTCGTAAGCAGCAATTTTCACATTGTTCATTGAGCTCACATTTGACTTCTATTCAGCTCCTAATGCAACTTGTCTATTTACATTGATTCTAACTGGAACGAAAGTGGGCCAAGTAAAAGCTGAAATACCGTATGAAATCGAGGGCATCGAGGAATGCGAATACTTCCATGTCGAAGCAGAAATAATTGTTTGTTAAACTTTTTTATAATTGGTCTTGAGATTTTAGACACCGAGCTTCATTTAGGGCCCAGATATTGACATCGATCCAACACCACTTGATTTTGGCTTAATTGAATACGGAGAAACAGTCGAACAAATTATTAAAATTAAAAATTCAAGTCCAATTCTTGCCAAATGTCGTGTCCAAGAAGTGAATCCAGTGAGAACAATTAATATGCATGTGATTATGCCGAAGTAGCCCTTTAAATGTCTTCATTTTAGGATGAATCGAAACCGGTACTCTCGTTACCAGAAAACACCGAATTCACACTAAAACCAGTTGAAATTTATGATCTACCGATTCGTATCTTGGCGAATCAAGAAGGTGCCTTATTACATCATCTGGAAGTGATCGTTGAAGACGGCAAAACCATGTAAATTCTTTGACTTTTCCTCCACAAAAACCTTTGATAATTGTTATCGTTTTCAGACCAATTGAAATCACAGCACTCATTCAGCGACCAAGTGCCTATCTGTCACCTGTGGAACTTGACTTTAGTGAATCATTTCTCAATGTACCGATCGTTCGCTATATTGAACTTTATGCTGTCAATGCATTACCAACACATTTTCGATGGGGAGAAGTACGTACAATGGAGTGCATGTCCAACATACCCATACAAATCTTTGTGAATAGGTATCCTGTGCTGATAAAAGTCAATGTTTAGTCGAAATGAATCCTCCTATGGGTACAATCTATAATAGCCGATCTGCTATGATCGAAGTTGTCTTTATTCCAAAACAGCTGGGAATATTAAACAATGATTGGCATATTCCTTGTTATATTCAGAATGCTTCGCAGCCAATCTTTCTTAAATTGAATGCTGTCATGAAGAGCATGAATGTTGAATTTCGACGTGATGAAAAGTACGTTTTGATCGATGATTTGCTTATAGATTACGATCTCGTTTCTTTCTCGTCAGTGTATTTCAATTCGACGAACAGTTCACACTTGATTTCAACAATGTACCACTGGGAGAAAAATCACGTTTGGAATTGTCAGTAACAAATTTAACAGATATTCAAAGCAGTGTGAAAGCGAATATTGCGAAATTCAAGACCAAAGTAAGGATTATAAAATAAAGATGAAATAATAAGCTTTACTTTTAGATTGTACCAACGATGAATGAACAGAGTAAGAACAGATTTAGAAAAACGAGTGCAGATATATGATTATTTTACTTTAGAAATGCAAAATTTCGAACCATTGAATCCTGAAATTGGTGTTGGATTCCATTTGGACAAGGCTGACAGCGATAGTTATCTGTTACCACCACGCGGAACTGCAGTTATTCCTGTATCCGTAACGAGCTCTATGTGGGGAACTTATACTGATCTCCTACAACTACAAGTAAGTCGTCTTATGAATCGATTTTTCTCATTTTTTTATGTGCACCTACCTATTAGATTGATGGAGTTGATGGAATCCGGGAAATACCTCTACAAGTTCATATAACAGGACATCCGATCAAAACATATCTGTGTAGCAACCAAAATGACAGTAACATCTCATCTCTACCTGCAGTTCAATTCGGCTTAATGCTGCATAATTCTCTTCCTATAAAAAAGAAAGTTCATATGCAAAACATCTCTCATATACCCATATGTATCGATTGGGTTGTTTACGATATTCCAGAAGAAATACCAGAGAAACCGAAACTTATCGAATTGATATCTGTGATCGATAATAATCCATTCAATCACTTTGCAAGTGAAACAACAATCATGGAAAATAACGACGAAATTATGTCTCAAACAACGATCTCAACAAGTAAGAGGAAATTTCTCGTGTTTCAAATTATTATATGGAAGATTGTCTTCCGTTATAGAAACACATTCTAGATCAGCTTCGCGGATATCTACTCATTCAGCGATTAGCTCTATAGATACTAGACCGACACCATTGATAAAACTTTATGTTGAACCTTATCGAGGAAAACGAGCTTCTGATATCAGTCCGATCTTTACGACTTCACCAATCACACAAGTAAACGATTGCTTCTTTCTTTGTCTTCATTATTTGTAATTTACCTTCGCTTAGGTGATTAAACCAAGAGAACACTTTTACCTTGAGGTGACCATGTTACCTCGTAATTGTCCAGTTAAAGATCGTCCAATTAAATGCAATGCACGCGTCGTCGGTGTTTTAAGTGTTTCCGAAGACGTACGTATTGATGGAGCTCGAAATGACTGATCGATTCTGCCATTAATATTTTGTAGAGACAAGGTTCACCAAGCCAAGGTTTTCAACGCAAGATCTTCTATGAACATGAAGAACAAATCGAATTCAAAATCAATGGTTCGCTAGATGTGCCTTCCCTGCGCGTAGAACTTGATGATGATGATTGTATTATCGAAAAACCAGACGCATTGTCATTCGTTGTTCCTGTTGGTAGGTTTCATCAGAACGTTCTCTTACGTAAACTAATGGCCTTCTCTGATTTACTAGGTGATATCTTATCATGTCAACCCAATCTGTACAATTGTACGGTACCTTCAACTGGTAGAGCTTCTTCAAAAACTTCAGCGAAGTCATCGACGTTTTCTGAACAAAAACGTGAGGGAAAGATCTACACACATACATTCAATTTATTAAATACACGACAATATACGATCCCATTTGACTTATCTGTTTCGGATCCAACGTTTCTCTCAATTCAGCCGACCACAGTCACAACCTTGGCACCACAATCGAAAGTGGGCGTTCAATGTCAATTTCATCTCACACAGGATTTCATCGATCGTTTCTATACGTCGAATTTGAATAACAATCAAACACTATCGAAAGCTCAACAAACAATAACAGCTGAACATGGACGTCGATTCCAGTGGCGAGAGCAAATCAAAGTCAACTTTAACCAAAATGAAATGGAGCAAACAATACCAATCGATATTCGCCTGTATTTTCCAATTCTAACTGTTAATTGTGATCGAATTGATTTTGGTAAATGTTTAATTGAACAAACAAGACAGAAAGAGTTTATTATCAAGAATTTAACTTGTTCGTCAGCAGCTTGGTCGATACGAAAAGGTAAACTGATTATAAAAGACAGTATTTTGCGAATCTCTTTATCGAATGCGTATGTATTTCAGTTTATGCAAACAATCCTGATGCGTACGAAGCATTTCGAATCGAACCGAAGTCTGGTATATTGAAAACTCAATTGAACAAAAAAGAGAGAGCTGCTCAACAGGTGATATCAGTTTATTTTACTGCTCGGCATAATCAAGTATATGAATGTCAATTACTCGTCGAGGGTTTATTCGATGAACCACCCATTCCGATCTACTTGTCGGGAGAAGGCACTTACGATGGCAAATACGAAGCAATTCTTGATATTTAATGAACAGACAAACGGCTCGATTTTATACACTATATATATTTTAAATCTCTAATAAAAAAGCACATATCACCTTTGATATCCTAGATGATTTTCATTAGATTTCACGAAATATCATATGGAATGACGATGTATGCTATCATCTTTGGATTCTGAAGAACTACCATCACTTTTCATAGGAAAGAACAAACAGCCATAAACGTTTACGTAGATATGTTCATTCGTTTCAAGCGTTCCTGTGATCTATCAATAATAGTTAACTGATGGCAAGAATTTTCTATTTCTTCGTAGAAACGTTCCACAACTTTAAATCTCCAAGAATTTTCTCTCGACCGCATTAGATGATAGTTGTGGCCATAAGCTAGAAAAGTCAGCCGTTTGCTTTTAACTTGTTCGTCCACTTTGAGCATGATTCCATGTGCACATCCATCACCGATATATTCTCGAAGGATATAATCACCTTTTACTAATTCGTTTATAAGGCTTTGTACCAGCTCTGATTCGTAGTACCATTTCAAACGAATCAGGAAGAAATTGTTATAGATGCAATTTATAATGATAGGCTTCTTGCCGAATAACTGCCTTAAAAGACGTTTCAATGGTTTGATAGGCTCGGAATACAACGCTCGATATCCATAGTCCAGGTTCTTTCTCTTCATATATACAAACAGATCTTCTTTCGTATTACCAGCAAAATACGAGTCGTCGTCCATTCTCATCAGATATTCATACCCACCCTCTCGTACTGCAGGATGATAAAACACATCATATGTCCAGAATCGACACATCAGACGATAGCCCATAGACTTGTCGAGTTGTGAAGTGTTTGTTGGTCGAACTGATGTTGTGAAGTCGATGAGTAGAAACGAGATGTTGATCTGCTTGTAGTATTTGGTTGTACATGAGATAATGTGTTGTTTCATTTGTGAAGTAAAGTTGTGGTCGTGGAAGATGAGAAATGGATAGGAAGTGTTGGGTCGAATCGAATGGAAATGCATCACCGAATGAATCATATTGATAGTCAAGAAAACAGAACGATTGGTACTACGTATAAGTGTAACAATAACACCCCGTGCATCTGGATAATGGTACATCAGCGATAACGAATAGTCCATTGTATAAATACTGTAGTAAATTAAAACGCTGGCTATAATAAGTCCAATAATACCCTTGTTTGAAAGTACATTGATTGCCATCTGAGCGTGAGTTTCCTTTCTTGTTAATTCGCAAATTACATCAGCTGTGCGGGAAAGAATTATTATTAAACTTGTGTGAATTAAAATTTTCTATCTGAAGTTTAATTACTTTCTGCTGTTAACTATCTTGACGGCAAAATATTTAATTAAATAGAAAAATATCTTCTAAACATGCAGCAAACTGTACAGCTAAACTTGTAACCTTACATATTTCATGTTATATCACACGCAACTATTCGTATTGGCCATGTGATACGAGAAATTGCTTTTCAACCTATACTGCAGAAGTACCTTTGAATAGCGTAACACACAGAGAAAAAGAAACATGTAAAATGATTTTTTTCTGTTCGTTTTGAGTAAGAAAGAAAAAACGCTACTGAACTTCATCGTCGTTCGTCATTCATTCGAATTAGAATGAAGATCTATACTTTATCAAACTAGAGACAGAGAAACTTCCGAGAGACTTCATCCGGTGCGACTACACTAGAAAGGAGAGTCGCGAACTTTCTCAAACATGGCAACATACATGAATAAGAAGGCTTTGAAAGCGTTTATTTCACTGGATTTTCTTTTCTTTTCCTCGGCGTAGAAAATGGAATGATATGATAGGCTACAATGTCTTAGTTACGGATACTTTTATTTCTATTTTTATTAATAAATCTTTAAAAGATAATAATTCTGTCTAACATTGTCGAAAAAATCTGTAGGATACAAGTATGTCAGTGTATTCTAGCTATTTTTATTTAAAAAAAAAGAACCATTGATGACAGTAGAATGCTTTTATTTGCCCGAGATTATGAGGATGCCCATTCGAACAAAATTGTCTCCATCGGTCTGTACTACAAACAAGCTGGTACACTCATGTTTATCAATTCTTTTCTTCTGTTATGTTAATTTGTTTGAAACCGAGATTAGTACTTCGGAGAACCGTCAACTGATTACACGAGTTGTGTATTTCTTCGTGAAAACGTTCCACAACTCGAAAATTCCAATATCTTTTATTTACATCCATCAGATGATAATTATGGCTATAAGATATATTGAGTATATGTTCTGCCTTCACCCGACTATCAATATGAAGCATTATCGCATGAACACATCCATCACCAATGTAATGTTGAAGTATAAGATCATTTCAGGTAAGCGCTCGAATGCAACGTTGCACTTGTTCTGACTCGTAATACCATTTTAAACGAATTATAAAGAAGTTATTATATATGCATTCAGTAGAATCGTCTGTAATGTTTACGAACTGTTTCAAAATATTTAGTTTTTCAATGTCTGGTTCTCGATATAACGATCGATGGATATAATCTAGTTTCCGTGTCTCTACATAGACAAAAAGAGCACATCAAACGATATTCCATTGGCTTTTCTAATCGTGAATGGTTGAAAAGCTGCAATAGTGTCGTAAAATTAACAAGACCGAACAAAATATTTACATGTTCGTTGTGTTAATGTATGTAGGATAAAATGTACTCTTACATGTGGTAAGTAAAGTTTCGATCGTGAAAGATAAGAAATGGATACAGCGACGTCTCGTTAGTAGTTGAATGAAAGTGGATGACAGAATGGATCATATTAATGGTCAAATACGTAGATTCATCTGTGCTTCTCATTAAAGTCACAAGAACTCCTCGTGGGTTTTTTTTCGGTGAGATGATAATAGAATTCGAGTTCGACTTCTGATAGTGAACGTCTATCTAAATTTTAAGGATAACGATAAATACAATAATTGACAATACCTTCGGTGAATGGCAACATATTTCAAAATTCATACCTGCTGGATAGCACTGACAGAACAAATTCTTTTATAGTACATATCTTTACATTGAGTATATACCTATGCACAGATTTTATGACTGGTTAATGTACAAAACAGAAGAGCAATAAAACCAAGGATACAGCTCGAATGATTCATCCATTTCTGTTTTTCTAACGTCGAACTCAAAAATTTCGATCGTTTCCATTATGAAAAGCAAAAGTATCAGACTTCAGCGTATCTTTATTTCGTTACAGATTAAGAAAACAGATGTTCAATCGAAGCAGCTACAAATAGCCACCATTTTCTTTTAATATCATTCTTATTAATTATGATATATTAATCCGGTGTAATTTACCTTTGAAACTTCTCAGCACTGTCAGCTGTTGACATGATTTTATCAACTCTTCGCTAAAACCTTCCGTTGCTTTAAAGATCACTTTTGAAAGTGTTGGGGCCATTATATGATAGTTATGACCGTACGACAAACGCTCCAAACGTTCGACTTGAGCTCGAGTATCAAGTTTTAGCATTGTACCATGAGCACATCCATCACCGATATATTCTCGAAGAATTAAGTCATCTCTCAGCAGGTTATCAATCAATTTTTGCACTTCCTTTGATTCGTAGTACCATTTCAAACGAATCAGGAAGAAATTGTTATAGATGCAATTTATAATGATAGGCTTTTTGCCGAATAATTGCCTTAAAAGAAGTTTCAATGGTTCGATAGGCTCGGAATACAACGCTCGATATCCATAGTCCAGATCCTTTCTCTTCATATATACAAACAGATCTTCTTTCGTGTCGTCAGCAAAATACGAATCGTCGTCCATTCTCATCAGATATTCATACCCACCCTCTCGTACTGCAGGATGATAAAACACATCATATGTCCAGAATCGACACATCAGACGATAGCCCATAGACTTGTCGAGTTGTGAAGTGTTTGTTGGTCGAACCGATGTTGTGAAGTTGATGAGTAGAAACGAGATGCTGATCTGCTTGTAGTATTTGGTTGTACATGAGAGGATGTGTTGTTTCATTTGTGAAGTAAAGTCGTGGTCATGGAAGATGAGAAATGGATAGGAAGTGTTGGGTCGAATAGAATGGAAACGCATCACCGAATGGATCATATTAATAGTTAAAAGGATCGACCTATTAGTACTACGCACCAATGAAACAACTACACCACGCGTTTCAACGAATACTTGGTCATCTGGGAAGATGTGAAGTACAATGAAAGTTCTAACGTATATGAAGGCAAGAGTATAGATCAAGATAATAGGAACCCATTTTTTTAAAGTAGCCTTTGGACGAAACATTATCTCGCTTTTCTCTTATAAGTACAGTGGATTTGAATACCTCGTCTGACTATCACGCTATCTAATTCAGTACCCAATACAAAATTTCGAAAGGCAACGTGATCAATAATGATTGGATATATTTTTATACATCATATGTGAGTACATTGCGAATGAAGTTCCGCTTGAGAGATTTGATCCCATCACAATACCGTCTATTGTTATTGAGTCACTTCCTTTAAAAAAATGTATGAATACAACAAGGCTATATTTCGCTGATATCGACTAAGGTCGACAAGTTTTAACGCGACAGTGTGAATAGATTGATCAGACGTTTGTTGATCTGGTGTGTTCTTGCCAAACTCTTGTGTGTTGTTTCCTTGTGTTTACAAATAGGTCGTCATTTAGTGAAGCGCTTAAGAGAGTGGTAAAAGAAAGAGTAAAAGTTACATTGATTCATTAAAGAAATATGTCAGAAAAAAGAAAATGGTGATTTTCATTTATGTGTAAGCATAAGATCCTGCTTCATTTTATCGTACATTTCAAACCTATGTCGTCGACATTTGTAAAGAAAAGGTTGAAGACAGCCATAATTGTTCAGCTTTACCTTCGTAATGATAGATTACTATCGAATAGATAATGACTATTTATTAGATTTCTTATAATTACTACAGATAAATTCTGTTAAAACTGATCGAGATTAGCTAGAATCTTGTTCAACGTCTTTTTCCGAACGCAACATTATTCAGTCGTCGATAAAAATCTTCATTGATCATCGAAAACTTTTCTTCAGATCTCATTCTATCGCGTACATCTAAATATTGCCCCATACAATACGCAACTGATCGATCCCGTTGAAAAAAGATTTTATTGGCAAATAGATGAGGACTGGTAGCTAAATGCCAAAGATCTTCGTGATTAAAAACACATATTGTACGAGTAAAACCACCTCGACAAAGCGCTCGTTCTGGTCGATCCGCCCATATTTTATACCTCGTCATGAATGATATTTGACTAAGGTCATGATCTTGGGAGAAATAACTTGGCGTTTCTTTCCAACGATTAATCATTGAATAATAATGTTCATCAGGTACGATCGTTCCATTAAGAAAATTGTACAAGTCCTTCGCACGTTCATTCATGTGAATAAAGTCTATAGCTTCACGTGTTAGTAGAACATGAAATTCACCTTTGTAGAATGGGAGTTTAATCGATGGTGGTAGCGTTCGATTGGACAAACCAAGTGAACTTTTTTGGCGAAGCTGAGAGCGATAAGGTAACGAAGTAACATCATTTTGATTGTTGTATAATTTCAAGATTTGAATTAGCTCGGTATTCGTTTTTAGAGGAATGTCGGAATTAGCTAAATTAAAATAATATTTCCATGACTTTCCTTGTTGAAGTAGCTCTTTTTGACACAAATGTTCCGCTTCTAACACTGAAAATTGACCCCATGTTACATTAACACGTTGCTTCGGCAAGAAAATATTGGTAACGCATGCCACACGTTCCTGAATGGTTTGATAGAGTGCAATAGGTGCTTTCAAATCCACATGTATACAATAGTAGTTCGATTTTCGATAGATTGTTTGTAATAGAAACTCGAACTGATCGAGATTCGAATAGATCATGATGGTAAACGCTAACGGATAGGTTAATTCTTCCATCGAAGGCGTCGATCCACGTTTAAAGAAACGGCAATCCTTTGGATATGATAAATACTTCAACGCTTCATTTTCTAGTTGCTCTAATTCGCCTGGATTTAGAACTGTATTCGGATAACGAATAAGACGGCCACATAGACTTGAAGTCAGGAATTGATCTAGTTTTGTTGGAGACTTCGGCCATGATTTCGATTGAGAGATGATAAACCAAATCACTGTACATGTGCAGAGGCTGGTCAGAATCGAACGACGAGAAAGGTCTAAAAGAAAAACAACAATGAAATGAAATTTTCTACGCACATGGAAAACATCTATCGAGTAATTTTTATTCTTCTCAGTGGATTTTTTTTATCTCGAAGTATTGTCAACTGTTGACATGATTTCTCGATTTCATCGTAAAAAGTTTCTACCGATGTAAACAGCCATGACTTTTCATTTCGCTCCATTACATGAAAATTATGACCATAGGACATGTTGAACATGTGTTCGGCGCGAACATTTGGATCGACATTTAGCATTGCAGCATGAACACACCCATCATCGATGTATTCTCGAAGAATGAGGTCATCTTTCAGCAGGGTATCAATCAGCTTTTGCACTTCCTTTGATTCGTAGTACCATTTCAAACGAATCAGGAAGAAATTGTTGTAGATACATTCGTCCTCCCCCTCGAACTGCTTCAGCAAATCTGGTGAAATGGAGTGCAAAGGCTCAGTTAATTCGAAATATATTGTTCGATAACCATAGTCCAGGTTCTTTCTCTTCATATATACAAACAGATCTTCTTTCGTATTACCAGCAAAATACGAGTCGTCGTCCATTCTCATCAGATATTCATACCCACCATCTCGTACTGCAGGATGATAAAACACATCATATGTCCAGAATCGACACATCAGACGATAGCCCATAGACTTGTCGAGTTGTGAAGTGTTTGTTGGTCGAACTGATGTTGTGAAGTTGATGAGTAGAAACGAGATGTTGATCTGCTTGTAGTATTTGGTTGTACATGAGAGGATGTGTTGTTTCATTTGTGAAGTAAAGTTGTGGTCATGGAAGATGAGAAATGGATAGGAAGTGTTGGGTCGGGTCGAATGGAAACGCATTACCGAATGGATCATATTGATAGTCAAGAAAACAGAACGATTGGTACTACGCATCAGCGTAACAATGACACCACGTGTTTTAGACGATTTAAGTTTTGACATGAATGAATATTGATTGTCGAAAAGAAGCAAATTTATAATAAGAAGTACAAGAGTGAGAAATTGCAGTGATGCAGACATTGATCGAAACGAGCGAAAAATTTTCCTCATCCTCATCTATGTTTGTAAACGATGAGTAAAGTATTCAATTCAATCTTGTTTTGTCTCTAGAATGTTAAAAGGACATGAAAACGAATCGGTCGACTTACATGCAGTTGAAAAACGTGTCCGATCATTTTTGATGAGCCACATAATATCAACAAAAAAATGAAGTTTGTCGTTCACGTTCTGCTTGATTGCTTTTTGCCTATACATATTGTCATGTTCTTCACATGTTTAGGTAGAGTTGGACAAGTCAACTTGAAAAGGGCACAATCTAATTCGATTTATTATCACAAAAATGTTCCAGTTAAGTCAAGAAAATGGGTATACACCGAAAAAACTTCGTGATTCATCTTAATGCAATCCATATGGTTTGATGATTTCTTCAAATTCGACTCAGAAATCATAAGGTGTCCTACAAGTTGGGTTATTCGACTCTGTATTGAAACAAAATGTGATCAGAAGAACAAATTCAGATTCGATTGCATCTACACAGCCGGTTATCATGTCGCTGAATTTGTTGTTCTTGGCCTAGATTTCATGAAGAAAGATCTAGACGTATGCATTTTATCTGTTTCATACAGAAACAGTTGCCTGATTTCCAATTTTTTGTGTCAAACTGTATCGTTGAAATATCAAAAAACCAAAACAATGAAGTCAAATCAATTCTTATCTTTGTTTCGATATGATATCATCATTTTCCTTTCGATCATACTTAACCGAAATAAACGTCATACATACGACAAAACGAACGAACATACGGTGGTGATATCTGATTCATTTTTTTGTTCTTCTTATATTAGTCACCATCTCGATTATTTATCGATATATATGTGTTCTGAATTTATTTATATAAGAGAATATAGTATTCGAAGTGTGAACTGAAAAGCTACACATGATTTACTGAAGAAAAATCCAATGCATGATTGCCTATTCTTAGTAGATGATAAACATAAAGAAACTTAGCAAGATATTAATGAATTTCATGTAACTTTTCACGTTTTGGCCACTGTTCTCGATCATTTCCATTCGTCGCAATTGTTGTCGACGTTCTTGAAAATTTTCGACATGAAAATTACGAAACAATTTTCTCGTACCAAGTTTTTGAATTGGTCTGTATGTATCCTGGATGAGATTAGCATGCTTATCATGTAAGTACCGAAATCCATGCAATTGATGAAACGATAACTTCAGCGGTTCCAAAAGAACCGTCCAAACCACGGATTCAAAACAAGGTGGAGTCGTCAATGATCCATCATAACGATAATAACGACGAAGACGGTTTTCGCCGATCAGCGTCTTGACATCGATTGAATTATTCAAAGTAAATCGAGAGTCTTGGCCTCGAATATGTTTTAAAGCGTTGACCAAGGGTTGAAGTAATGGATTTGGTTCATCGCTGATCTAAACATAGGCAAGAGAAAAACATTCTTGGAATGAAAAAGAACAATTCATTGAATAGTATCACTTCGAAGAAAACACCGATGACGGCAAGAGCGCGTGTATTGTGCATGGCATCGAGAATATTTGAATACCAACTTGAATATGTAACTAAATGCATCTTAGGAAAAAAACGAAACAATCAAATATATATGAGAAACAAATTGAAGATGTCTGTTTTCAATATTTACCTCGATAGGATAAGATTGCCCTTCATACAGATGCTCCGAACCATTGACATTATCATTCGGATGTCCCCAATGAAAATGAATTTGCTCAGCAATATAATCTTCACCTCCTGGTACAACGTTTTTTAGGACATATCGACCGTTTAGATTCAGTTGAGCTAAACAAGTCGATAGCGACAGTCTTAACTACGTAATATCAAATAAGACATTCCACATACCTGTAAAACCGGTATTGAAAACTTCGTCTGGTACTAATTACACACACGGAATACATGATGAAGATATGACTAGAAGAGATACCTGTCGGATCACGTTCTTCTAAAGAAATTGGTTTGAGACGAGTATTGTACGAAGATCTATTGAAACGAATGTTGATAGGTGATTGAGAACGACCACCACAGTAACGATTTTTACGTGCCCACAGTTTCGGATTTTGATACGACCAGCTCTCTATATAAAACTGAAAGTCAACAGTCATTTTGCGATAGTGGTAGTATTACCTGTGGATTCAATGATATATGGTATACATAGTATTGCTGCCAATATAAATGATAGCATTTTATGGTCTTTTTCGAAATCAGAACTAGTTCAAAGAAAATAAAGAACTGATGTCCTATTTCGATTCTAATGTTAGCAGGAATAATCAGTCAAGGTTGCAAGCAAAAGATGTGTTTACGGAGAGGTATAAGGAAATATGTCATTGGTCTGGATTATAGATAACTAATGCAAATTCGAGAACGAATCGATTTGATAAATAATTATATGATTAGTCGGCTAAGTGCAATCTACCATTCTCCCATTTTAATCGATTAGAATGGTTCGAAACGAAGGAAAATATATTCTTAGAGTTGAATTTGATTCAACTTATTGGAATAATAACACCTTCCTGTCTATTCATTTACATACCATCTCAGACCGGAGTCGCATCGATAAGAAGAAATAAACTTAGATGAACTATCTCCCTCAATGTATGACATCCTGCCTGTGGAAACGAGTTTCAGTATCTAACCCGCAATTCACGGCAGGTAAATTTCTTACTTTCTTGTGTTGTCAAATGCACTGGTAGGATTGCACTCTAGAAATGTAAGTTATGTCATACTATTAAATAGAGAACAGATAATAATCAATATTTCCCTCCCTCTTATCTCTCTTTATTTATATCATGCACTCTTTGACTCTGTCTATCGGCCTTCGCTATTTCCTGGTTTTTTTCCTGACAAATGATCTAATTCTTTTGATCCTATTGAGAAAAGATAATGATATCAATATCGAACTACTTTATAACGTAGTGTCATATAAAGTCCTCGGATCTCGTTCTGCTTTTCAGAAGTTACTAAATATGTTTCTGACTTGTGCTTAAATATGAAAACGATCATAAAGTCAGGAGATTGCAGAAACATAGCTGTCATAAATTGCAATCTCATAACGTTCGATATATCTCATTTTCGACTGTTGGATGAAAATGTAGAACAAAAGTATCATTGAGTGCACTGAGATAGCACGAATGAATGCGAATCTCATATCGACTGCTACTCTCAAGATTTCCTACTACGTGCGGGGATGATCGACAAAGACGCAATTAGGACAAAACAGCATATTGACAATGAAAGTGCAAGGAGGACAAATCTTTATAGCTACTCAAACGATTTACGTATAATGAAGTAATCGTGTTATTCTGAAATGAAATGACTTATAAATATACAAACAATAACTAGGAGAAAGTGCATCTATAAGTATTCTTCTGCACGAGTTAATGAGTATTCAATAGCGAAAAACTGCTATATGAATGTATAATACGAACGATTTCTGTGCACTCTTTCCTTCTCATTAAACTGATCGATATTTCTTTCTTAGATTATTCCCTAATCACGTATAATGACAACCGAGATATTGACCTTAGCAAAAATAGTTTCGTCACTCTGGTAAACGAGTATAAGAATAATAAGACCTCAGTACAATCATCCTGGTATATTTATTAAGATCATATTTAGTTTATGACGTGAAAATATTCTCGGAGAATGCAGGACAGATTACTGATCATAAAACCAAAGTGCTTATTACTCACACTTCAACTTTTCAGATATATGTACAACAAGATTTGAAAGTATCGCTAATAATTTGGTTTCTTGTACTCGAACCTATTTCAGAAATTCAATCTATATAATTGTATATTTAAGGTGAGAAAGTGTCTCGATCGTTGCTGTTGTTATTATTGAGATTCCACAGGTGATGAATGATACAAACTATTTTCTTTGATTGAATAAATACACTGTTAGAGCACGTCCGAAGGATATTCTATGAAGAATAGTTAGGTGGGTAAGATCGATTCACAATGAATATTTTATTTCTTTTGAAATTCAAGAAAAAACAACAAATAATCTAATAATTGCACATGATTGTAACCTAAATGTTGTGTTTTTTCTCCAATCTTACTAATTTATCTCAGACAGACGAAAAAAAACTTGATTATATTTTACATTGAAATACCATATTTTATTCTGTTTTGGCTAATCTCGTGATTCAGATTGTTGACTGGAATCAGACAGAGTTCGTTTGTTACGCAGACGTTTGGTTCTAAAGATGTTCCATCGAAGCAGTTCGTATCGATTTTATGCAGAAAACTTACTTCGCGCGTCGTTTGCTCGACGTAGATGTGTTTGTCATCGTACGAGATGTTGGCTTTTCACTACTTGTTGTACTTTCGTCTTCATCTTCAATATCTTCATCGCCGTCGTCATTCAATGGCTGAGTCGATTGAGTGTTATTTTCCGAAACTAAACAAATAGAGTTTTGTGCATCAACAGATCGAATTTGAATCGTACCATTACTATTTTTCTTGTTACTAGATAATTCCTGCATGATTTCACGGTGTTTACGAATACTTTTGCGACCTGAATACAAAACACAAGTTCAGTTTTACATTGAGAGAGGTGAATGCACGTACGTTCTTTCTCTTTTTCACGTTTGAGATGATCGCGACCGAGCAGCTAGACATTCAAGTCGATTCTTGTCCAGAATTGTACTTCAGAATACGAAATACTTACTGTGTAAGATGTCGCAGATGAATACGAAAACAATCGATCAGATTCACGAAATTTCGATGATTTATCGATCGAACTAACGAAAAACAAAAGTAGTCCAATCAATCAATTACAAGATCAAGATTGGCGTCTTCTTGATTAAAATAGGGAAAAGAATTCATGTCTCATGTGTGATCGATTGAACATCTCTGAAGACATTCGTCGTGTGCTTATCTGATACGCAAGAAGGATCCATACTTTTGATTAAAAACTCACTTATTATTGCCACTTCCACTCGTTAAACAATTGCTCCATCCTCGAATACAGTTTCCTGTATCTTGCGTTTGTTTAAGATAACTCGTTTCGAATGCATAAATTTGCTCTTCGATATCTGATAAGGATTTCTACATGAAGAACATACGATAGTGACAAACGAATAGACAATTGAATTTCAACAAACTTCAATTTCTTCTTTCTTCTTCAATAATTGTGCCAATTCAGCACGTGTATCACGAAAAGTGTTATTTGTAGTTGATTTCTCTTTAGTCGTTGAGCTTGAGGGTGATGTAGTAGCTGCTGTTGTCGTTGTCGTCGCCGCCGCCGTCGTCGTAGTTGCTGTGGCTGAAGAAGACGCAGCGGATGTGGTAGAGACATTTGCGGTAGGAGAATCTTTCATCCTTTTCTTTTTCGAAACAAAACAAAAACAAAGACTAATACGGATATTTATCTAAAGGTATAGTTGAAGAAGAATCTTTATTTCGATTGAAATTTTATTTTATTGTTTCATGATAAGAGTGCGTCTGTCTGATTTTTTAAAGATACAATAGAACAAAAAACAAAATAAGATGATTATTATTAATTGTCTATAGAATCTTGCTTTGTCGTTTGGTTTAGTATTCTTCGCCTTCTCCTTCGCCTTCACCCTACAAATGCAAACAAATATATATATATCTAGACATGCTCAGAGGAGAAAATTCTTTTCGTACTTCAACTGAGTCAACACCGACTTCTTCGTAGTCTTTTTCCAATGCAGCCAAATCCTCACGTGCTTCGGAGAATTCACCTTCTTCCATACCTTCACCAACGTACCAGTGAACAAAAGCACGTTTAGCGTACATTAAGTCGAATTTATGATCGAGACGAGCCCAAGCCTCTGTAAACACGAATGTGGCGTTAGAATTATCCAATAAAAAGACTTTCACAAGTAGAAAACTTACCAGCAATAGCTGTTGTGTTCGATAACATGCAAACAGCTCGTTGAACTTTAGCTAAATCACCACCTGGAACGACTGTTGGTGGTTGGTAATTGATACCAACTTTGAAACCTGTTGGGCACCAGTCAACGAATTGGATAGTACGTTTGGTCTTGATGGTTGCAATAGCGGCGTTGACATCCTTTGGTACGACATCACCTCGGTATAATAAACAGCAAGCCATATATTTACCTATAAGTGAAAGATGTCTTTTCAAAAGGTATGTGATCAATAATTCCTTAGCATACCATGTCGAGGATCGCATTTAACCATTTGATTTGCTGGTTCGAAAACAGCATTGGTGATTTCAGCAACAGTTAATTGTTCATGATAAGCTTTTTCAGCTAAAGATAAACAAAACAGTGCGAATTAGTAAATAGCTTGACATTGACTAATGAGACACTCTACCGCTGATGATCGGTGCATAAGTAGCCAATGGGAAGTGAATACGAGGATAAGGTACCAAATTTGTTTGAAATTCAGTAAGATCGACATTCAGTGCACCATCGAAACGTAAGGAAGCTGTAATCGATGAAACAATTTGAGCAATCAAACGATTCAAGTTTGTGTATGTTGGTCGTTCAATATCCAGATTACGGCGACAAATGTCATAGATGGCCTCTGTAAAAAAAGAGTATATGAATGACACAATACATTTCATAGTTTCGTTGAGTTATACGTACCATTGTCAACCATAAATGCACAATCGGAATGTTCGAGTGTTGTGTGTGTTGTCAAGATTGAGTTGTATGGTTCAACGACAGCAGTCGAAATTTGCGGAGCTGGATAAACAGCAAATTCAAGTTTCGATTTTTTACCATAATCAACACTGAGACGTTCCATCAACAAGGACGTAAAACCTGAACCAGTACCACCTAGACAGAGAAATGATTTATAGATTTACAAGTCAGTTTGTTGCATTTGATTGTTTACCTCCGAAGCTATGAAAGATAAGGAAACCTTGAAGACCAGTACATTGATCAGCCAATTTTCGAATGCGATCGAGTACCAAGTCAACGATTTCTTTACCAATTGTATAATGGCCACGAGCATAGTTGTTAGCTATAGAAATAAAAAAATAACGGTATGAGATCATCGGGACAAAACAGATTGAGCTCACCAGCATCTTCTTTGCCAGTAATTAATTGTTCAGGATGAAATAATTGGCGATAAGTACCAGTACGAACTTCGTCTAAAAAGAAACAGTGAAACGCATAATTCCTGTCACACGCTCGTTGTTGTTTTTTTCTTCATTCATACCGATAACAGTTGGTTCTAAATCGACAAACACAGCGCGTGGGACATGTTTGCCAGCTCCTGTTTCACTGAAGAAGGTGTTGAATGAGTCATCACCTCCACCAATGGTTTTATCTGATGGCATTTGTCCATCAGGCTGAATACCATGTTCTAAACAGTATAATTCCCAGCATGCATTACCGATTTGAACACCAGCTTGACCAACATGGATTGAAATACATTCACGCATGATCTTTTCAAAGAAGAAGGAAAAAAACGAGTTTGTCTTGACGAGTTTCTATCGAAATGAAATAGAAGAGAAAAACATACTGAAGACTTTTTCGGTTTTATTTAACGACGATAGTGGTTGCTTGTTTGCTCTTGCACGTCTCTTTGTTGCGACTGACTGACAGAGTGAGCGAGTTAGGCTGAAATATTATATAGAGAAACAGAGAAGGGAACGAGTGTGTAACGACGGCGACGAAGGAAAAAAAGAAAACGAGAGAAAGCGCCAGAGAGAAAGAGAGACGGAGGGATGAAGAACAATTCGGGGCGACGGCAGCAGAATCACCCTAAGATGAATCATCATTCACTTTTTAGCCCCATAAAACGATGAGAGGGCAGCGTCGAGTTTCTATTGGAGACACTTGAATGCATAACGAAACAAACATAGCAAATGCAAAAGAGAAAAAAAAACTCCTTAGAGACCATACGAACATTACAATCAACAGAGAGAGGAATATCGCCATAATACTCGAGAGATCTTCCTCGGCTGAACTAGAAAGTCTGAAAAGAGAAAGGGTCTTGCATACAGAATCCTGTGTCTTCAGTTGGTTGTAATATTATTAAAGATAAATCCTCGTTTTAATGAAGAGAAGAAAAACTTCAAGGAAAAAACAAAAAAACTAATGGAGATATTTGTGTTACTAGAAAAGAAAACGTATAAAAATTGGTTTTGTCTCCGTTTTTTTTCTTTTTACTTTCGACAAACAGACGGTAATGCATATATTCTGGTAACAAAACGGTAGACAATCATTTCAAGGTCTTTCACTCATATAATAAAAACGAAAATTCAACATCAAGTGTATAAATCTGTAATTACATAGAACGATGGGCGCGAATAAGACGAAACTACCTAAAACTGTTGTACATCAACTAGCAGTTCGAACGCAACGTAAGAGAAAGTTAACAACATAAAAATCAGTGTCCTATTTTTCATTTTGAATTTTTTAACAGGATCAACGGCAGAAATAAAAGCTATGTGCGTAAGTTTGAAGGCAGATTTGATCACTGATTGCTGGCATTATTCATGAATAGGCATGCAATTTTTCGCCGCCATTTTCCCAATGGAAAAATTGAATCTCCAGAAGTAGTTTGCTTATTGTGATTAAAATTTACTGAGAATCATTGCCGATGTACGTTTAGGATCTGTGGCGATGTTTACAAAAGTTTTCGCTTCAGCCCATGAAATACGAGGAGCGAACAGCTGAACGACTTTATCGATTGTTTGAATCACCTAGTCGAGTAATTGATCATTTCTCTGCTGATTTCTCTTTTAATTCACAAAGAATTTTCTATTACAACACCAGAAAATAGACGGCAGTATTGATTTTTTCAATTTTATGGTTGTTTCGCATATTCTCGAACATGGTTCCGCTCACAGCAAAATTGTCTGTAAGTATCGAATTACACTACATCCTATATTGTCGTTTCGTTTCTTCAGTATATTTCGAATCTCTTGATGTAAATAACGATGGAATCATCTCACGGGAAGATCTGGAAGCATGTTTACCACACACGGTCGAATCTCAACAACTAATTCAAAAATTACTTCGACAATGGGATCTGGTAAATACTTGTAAAAGAAACGAATTCAAAATCGAACTGCACGTCTTTTTCTTCTAGAACAGAGATGGTCACGTCAGTTTGGAAGATTTCGAAGGATACATCAATTCTAATCCACATTTATTACCAATGTTCGCTGAAGAAAGAGAACGTGTACGTTTGAATAGTGTTTCTCATGAACTAGCAGTCGACTCTCAACCCTATACACATAACTACCCTGTTACTCGTGATCTGTTTGTCACATCTAAATAAGGCGAAACATTACTATTATGGATAATATTTTCGAATAAAACACAATGCCTATTTTTGAAATTGATCGTCCATTCTCGTTCAAAGTGTTTCATGGATTTAGCAAGGAATTCATCCTGATATGCACAATCAGTGTACGTTTTTTTAATAAATGATATGCGCATACTGAACAACCAAACAAGACAAATGTACGCATGTGAAAAGGAAAAGAAAACGCTTGTCGCACAATACCCACATACATATGTGCGTTAGTTAAAGAACTATTTAGAAGAAAAGAAGAAAAACCGAACAGATAGTTCACTGTTTGTGCCAATGCGCAGCAGAAAAAAGAAGAAGGAGAAAGGTAAAAAAAAAGAAAGAAGAGAAAAATAATAATGCTTTGCCGATCAAAAAATGGACAAAACAGCATTATCATTGTGCAAGAAAAGAAGTATAAGTATTTTATATACACGTACAAATAGAACATTTTCGCAAGCGAATAGAAAGAGACAGGGTTTGCTTGTAATTTTTAACGAAAGCGCAACAACAACAACAAAAAAGAGAGAGAGAGATATGAGCCACAAGAGGACTAACACACATTCCTGAAACATTTGGTAGGATTAGGGAAATTAGAAAGAAACAAATTGATAATCAAAGATATTTATTGAACAATGTTCGATGGCGGCATCGGAGGTCGCGATAATTGATTATTCAAACGAAATAATTTAATAATTGATTTTTTTAATTGTCTGACATTATAATCGATAAGTGCTTGTCTTGTGAGTGCTTCTTCGCGTAGAATACATATCAATGCTAGATGACGATTGATTTCTTTGAGATAAAGCGCACGGCCACCTGTTAATTTAATTACACTTGATGACATCGAATCGAATACGGCTGATGCTGGTTCACTCGTAGTTTCGATCATCGCTGAACGATGATTTATCACTGGGGTTGTACTCAATGGACCTGAAAAATAAATGGCAAATAAGAGTTCAATGTTTTCAACGAGAGTTCAACATACTATTAACATATGAATTACTTCTGATTTCATTTAAAGGAACATTATTCTCATTGTAAGTTTCATTTTGACTTTCAATATTCCATTCATGATGATGTTCGTTTTCATCATCATCATCATCATCGTTTAGATTTCCTCGTTCATTGATATACTCCTCGTCATCGTCATCATCGTCCTGTATTGTTCGAGCATTGTTTTTGTTGGGTTTACCATAGATTTCACTCATATTGATCAGTAGATCGATCATGTCGCAGCACAGTTCATACATCTACAAAATGCCGTGTTGTTTCGTAGTCGAGAAACCGTTTTCAGGCACTTACTTGCATGTCCGTAGGCGATGAATCAGTTGCAATACTTATTTTCGTTTGAACATCGAAGAGAAATGCTTGTTCAATATTCGATGTCGATAATAGAAGGTTGAGCAAACGTTCTAAGTGGCCAAATTGTGGGATTAGTTTCTGTATTACTTTTGAAAATGCTTCGAATATTGAATGATCATAGATTGATGTTAAATGAAAATTTATTAGAATATCTTGAGGATTTGAATTTGGCGTTATGGACGTCGATGACCAAAGATCCATTCCGCCAACATGATCAGCAGAACGGTCTCGTACCTACAGAACATATTTGAAAAAATAAACAAAACATGAAATGCGTGAGACGTTCATACCTGATTATGAATATCTCGTTGTGTTTCAATTTTTGCTTCGTCCGATAGTTGATCCACTTTATGTATAAATACTTCATAGCGTATTCGAGGATTCAGTCGTTTACCCAGTTGGATAATTGTGTTTAAACGTAAAATTGATTCTGAATAATCATCTTGAGCATCGATTATATATACAACAGCATTGCAACGTTTTAATAAACGTTCCATGTCATAACCACCACTGATTATACTTTGCATTGGATCATCGTCGTATGAAGATGCTTGGCCACCGTTTCCCTCAATTCCACTATTGTGTCCTGAGGTGAAGACTTGTAACTGACCGGGCAATTCTTGAACTTGGAAACTGATGAACGATCCGCAGGAAAATTGATTCATTGTTAAATGAGGCGTTGATTCGAGAAATTGTGTTTGTGATGGTTGCATTTTAGTGAAAATAACACGTTGAATGGATGTTTTACCTGAACGACGTAGACCCGTCAACAAAATTCGTGGTCGAATGACTGAATTCATATTTATATTTGGTGTGTGACTAGTGTCACCACCCGAATCATTGATGGTTGATGATGAATCAATCATGAATGAAAACGATCTGAAAAAGAAAAGAAATCGAACATAAATTCCTCGATTAGTTCTGGCTTGTTTTAATGTCCTTGTGCACACAAACAAAAGAAGAGCAATGTAGACTAGGTAAAAAAAAGAAACAAACAATTGAAGGTGGACGAGAAGAAAATAACATATACACAAAAAATGTTTGTGTGTAACAAGAAAGAGAAGTGTTTTAACGACGTCGGGATTTATATTTAGAACTGGATGCATTGTTCCCATTTTGTGGATGATGATTATGACTACGAAATTTCAAATGTATTCAATCGAAAGACGACGGAAATTAATCTTACGCCGACAATTTCTTTTTTTTCTTTGCACGTGATGCTGACGAACGTGACGAAGAGGATGACGATGTTGACGAACTATTTGAGTCACTTTGAGATGATGAGCTTGAAGATGACGAACGAGATGCTAGCGAAAAAAAGAATCAGAAATCTTTTTGTGTATAGTTTGAGACAAATCGATTTTTTTATCGTACCAGATCGACGTTTTGATTTTTTTTCTACGACGATCGTATCAGTCGTTGAAACTACTGCTGATTGAACTGTTACCACATTGTTACTTTGTTCCTGAAAGGTTACGATGTAATGACTATTTTAATAAAAAATAGGAAGATGAAGAACCTACTTGAGTTGTGCTTGATGGAATGTTACTCTCGTTACTTTCGTCTACACCATCATAGAGCCCGGAAATAGATGCTGTCTGTTGAAGTGAGGTTGGTGGTATGGATGGAAGTGACGACTGTTGCTCCGAAAAAGTTGTCGAGGAAGTGAAATCATCATTGGACGCCGGTTCCGGCTCATCTAAATCATCAAGTTCCATGTCTTCATATTCCCCAATACGATCTTGTAGATGCGATGCTGTGTTTGATAACTCGTCTTCTTCGACTTCGGGAAGCGGAGGAGGTGGTGGAGGTGGAGATGGACAAGCTAAATAAAAGAAAATAAACATTTGATTTCGACATATATTTGTTATTGTATATTTATTTTACATGGAGGTGGTGCTGAGGGCGGCAATGGCGTAGCTTTAGCCAACTCGATTTTGATCACTTTACGCTCAGGCGGCTCCCGTGGCTTGACAGTGGGTAAAGCCCCGAAAACGACTTCATCGTCCGGATTAGGTGGCGTAGGTAATTTTTTACGTATTGGCGGCGTTGGAATACGTTCACGAATACCCGATGGGGATTCCCTAACAATTAGATGATTATCAGACGTATATTAGTGGTATGTAACACAAGAATAAAACAAGTACTTACGGTTTCGATGAACTACTAGATGATGAACCGGATGATGAGGATGAGGATGACGACGACGATGATGAAGAGGACGAAGAAGATGATGAACGTGAACCAGATGACGAACTGGAACTTGAGGAACTAGATGTATCCTTTCTAGTTTTGGTACGCACCGATGCTTTCGATTGAGATGAACGAGTCTTCTCATCACGAGACGATCGATAACGATCACGATCGTCATACTGTCGAGAATCTCTATCGTAGTAATCATGGCTTCGACCTTTATATCTGTCATGATATCGGTTGCGAGATGATGATGGTGGTGAGTGTCGACGATGGCGACTACTACTACCACCATATCGATCATCATGATGTCGTCGACGGTAATAATCGTCTTTGTCACGGTAATCTCGATACCGACTACGAGAAGATGAGTAGTGATCACGTCGTTCCCGACTAGAACCACGACGATAGCGATCACGATCACGACTGGATGTTTGTCTTGGTCGACGTTCTCGAGTAGAAGAATCTTTGTTCTTTGCTGGTGATTGATCATTGCGTTCAGTGGATTTATCTCGTTCCTTATCCTTTGCTTTTGACGTATCACTTGATTTCTCGGCATTGGATGGACTTTCGATAGAATTATTTACTATTGAACTAGTTGCTTTATCTTTCCGTGACCTATACGAAAAAGTTAAGAGAACAAAAGGTAGATATTATTTCTTTGCGAAGAAAACTCACGATTTCGATTGTGTTTCGATTTGTTGCAATGAGTCGGCACTCACTTCATCATCATCATCCCATTTCGATTTACTTGAAGTTTGTGCTGCATCTGTTACTATTGATTGTGGAATGTTATTTGATTGAATAGTTTTGCGCTGCGTCTCGATCTGTCGTTCATTACATTCTTTATCATTCTCTGTACGATCCGTATTGAATGATGTGGAGCCACTGTTCATATCATTCCGGGTATCTTGTTTTACTGGCGATGATCGATGTCGAGGCGACGGTGACGACGATGATGATGAAGACGATGACGAGGAAGTTTGCGGACTAGACCGACGACGACCACCACCACCACTACAAGACTCATCACGAGCATGTTTGGAGTGCGATGGTGATGAATTGTTTTGGACTAAATAGACAGCAGATTTATAACGTGCAAAGTAGAGCACTGATCGATTTCAATGAGACTCGAAGTGAAAATCCGCTCATATTTGTTTCATTCTTTTGCTGAGAAACTAAAACTTACCATTTTTATCGTGATTTGATATTTCATTGCCGTCGTATTTGTTATTTATAGAACGATGACGCTTTGGCTCATTGCGAGGTTCCCGTTGTTTAGGTTCAACACGAACTATGCTACTTTGTACTATTGTTGTTTGAGTCTGCATAAGAGTATTTTCGTCGTCATCATCACGTCGTCGTTCATGTCGACGTGACCGTTTATTCGGTTCTTGTGTCGATTGTTCATAATTGTCATTTGTAGTCGTCGTAGTTGCTTCGTTATCCATTGTATCACCATTTGTAATGATAGAACGCATTCGTTTCGCTTGTTCTGAAGTTTGCGACGATGAATCTGCAGGTTCATTCGGATTTGTTTCGTCAGTCGATTGTTGTTTGCGAGATTCATTCATATCAACAAAACGTTTCCGTTCTTCTGCAGCTGAACGCCAATGAGGTGGTGTGCGTGATCTCGAACGACTTTTTCCTGTGTATCTCTAAAACGAAGCAGCAAGGGACATTCATTGAAAACAAGTAAGAAGATTTCTTACCATTGCTCCACGTCCTTTCACTGAACGACCATTTGAATCGATTTTCTTCGAAGCACGATAAGTGTTTGTTCTGAAATGGAATTATGTTGATTTTCGTATATAATAACAAATATTTCATACCGAGAACTTCGCTCGTCATCGTTTAACGACGATCGATTGGTTTTTGATTCTAACACATTTTGAACTTCATCATTATCAACATTCACATTAGTATCTCGTACGGATATATCACTCGTGTTCTTTTCGAAATTATTTTCGTCTTCGCCACTTTTCTTCGATGAACGCTTGGCTTCTTTCTTTCGTCGATGTTTTTCTTTCTTCTTAGCTTTTTTACTATGTTTCGATTTCTTCTTCTTCTCGTCCGTATCTGACGATGAACTGCTTCCATCATCATCGGTCTCTTCCACATTTTCATTGTCACCTTCATCAGCAGCAGAAATTTTTCGTTTTTTCGATTTAGTACTTTCTAAAATTCAACAAATATTTCATTCGTCCTTCTACAGATTGTTCTACTCACTTGTATTCAGTTCAAGTTGACCACAATGTGATATGATAACATCTTGCAATGGTCGACATGTCGCCGGATCAACTGGGAGATTTTCAATAGTATGAACAACATTTTGACCAGATACAACATGGCCAAAAACAACATGTTTACTAAAGAAAAGAATTCGAAGTTTACATGTTCGAAAAACTTGTCCTTGATTATCAAAGTTTATAGTTACCCATCAAGATGTGACGCTACAGCTGTCGTTCTACAAATGAAAATCATAATTTCAGTCAGAATTATTCATAATATTGTAGTCAACGTACATGAAGAACTGTGAACAATTGGTATTTGGTCCTCGATTAGCCATCGAGAGAAGATAAGGTTGGTCATGTTGAATTTTGCAATTTTCATCTAAATCGATCCATGATTTTTTTTTTTGATTATTCGACGAAGCGAAGTTTACCTTCAAATGAACTGCCGTAAATTGATTCACCGCCGGTGCCGTTGCCTGGAATTGAAAGACCAGTTAGACAGAAAAATTTGTTTATTTCAAACACACATAAATCATCTTATAAATTTATCAACACTCGACTAAAAGAGATAAAATAGAATGCAAGTGATGCCCTCAGAGAGATTTTTTGCCTGCCATCACTCGTCAGGATGAACCGAAAGATGTTATGTCTTCGCAATCAATCTTGCTGATCAACGAAAATAAATATATAACCAAAATTTAAAATCAAAACCAAAATCCTTTGTTTCGATCAAAATCCACTTACCTTCGATAAAGTCGCCAGCTTGAATCATGAAATCTTTCACAATACGATGGAATACACATCCTTTGTAGGATAGTTTCTTGTGAGACACTTCACTACGACCTTTCTCTCCTAGAAAAAGGTACTTTGCATCGAATACAAGAAGAACTTCTTCTCTACCTGTGCATAAACATCGAAAGTTTTCGCATGTTCGTGGACAAATATCATTGTACAGCTCAAATACGATTCGACCAGCTGAAAACAGAAAGCATAGGAATTGAATAAAGGATATTAACGTATAGAAAAGAGATCAGACCGTTAGTATCAGCAATTTTGATGTCGAAAAAGCAGCGTGTTCTCGACGTCATATCTGGAAAAAGAAACTCGTGTGTATTTCCGACGTAATTTCTACACAACCAATCGAATCTCTGTAAGAATAGCACAAGACAAAAGAAGAAAAACAAACAACAACGAGCGAGCTCTTCGCTATTCTGCTCATTCATTAGTTCACGTTAGAACCAATCACAGCAGAGCAAAATATATCAATCGAAAAATTTTCTGAATTCGTATTTTTTTCTGAATTAAAAACTAAAATTACTTCAGATTAAAATATTCCGTCGGTTTTGGGTGCTGTCGACTGTAGCGCTACATTTGAAACAATAGAGCGCGATTCTATGTATCTTTATACCGATGTACTTATTGAATCGTCTGTACAATATAGTCATTTATTTATATTTCAAAGAAGAAAATAAACGATGGGCGCCACAGCGAGCTCGAATACGAAACGTTACACCGATAAACTCAATTCAAACATCTATAGTACACCACCGAAACTAAACAATGGCGCAATTCACAATCGACTTGTTCAGTTTCAATACGATCCGCGATCACCTACTGGTAACTATGACTTGAATTTTTCCAACTGAAAAGCCTTTTATCTTTTCTTTTAGATGGAATATCTCGAACACCGATTCAAATTGATAATCAATTACCGGTTCAACCACTGAAACTATACAACCATGTTATACCTCATATTGTAGGTCCTCAACTGCCTTTATCCGATGTCATGGATGAAGATAATCAAGAAAATGACGTACGCCATCGTCAACAAAAGCTGAGTATTGTCGAGCATGATACCAAACGTGTAAGTGGTATTGAGCCGACATTAGATCCAAGTAAAGTACTAACTACTTTAATGGCTAATCACGATGGACAGTTACCACCGTATCAATTATAATTTTTCTTATTCTCTGTGAATGTTACAGTCATTGTTACATGTGTGTATTTATATGTAATCGATCTTTTTTCTGATCATTTCATTTATCATGAATTTTCCTTTTCTTACATATTATTATGTTATCTTTCTTTTTCTCACTATCTCTCTCTCTTCTTCTATTAAAAATGCAATAATGATTATAGAATGAGATTAATTCAAGTTTCTCTTGATGATAAGACAAAAAATTTTATTGCTTTGAACACACAATTACTATGAAAACAGTTGCGAAGTTAAATAAGAAATGCAAATCATTTCAAGCGAGATTAAAATGTACAGAATACAAAGAAAACACTCGTCTACTGTTGAATTGAAGCTTCACCGTAATTGTCACTAAGGGAATCTCTGATTTTTTCGTACGATAGCAATGTTAATACTGCCGCTGGTACTGTCCGTAATAGAGCTGGTACGATTCCACGATAAAATCCTCGAATTCCTTCTTCTTTAGCAATGGTTTGCACTGCATCACGTACGTTTTTATATTCACGAAAATTAGTCGCTGCAGTAAGCGATTGCTTTTGTAAGCGTCGAGCATGGCCGGCATCTTGCAACCGACTACGGACTATTTCATGAGGGTAGGCAACAACTGAAGCAATGACTTTCGAAACGCTTGAGGCAAACATCAATTGTCCAGTGGATAAATGATGCTCTGAAGATGAGTTTACTGCACACCTCTTTTTCAAATATTCGTACATGGGAAATTGCACACCAACATGGATCTATAGAGAGAAAAAAAACAGAATCACATGAAGAGATTATGTTTCAAGTAGAGTCAATCTTTATCATATTTTCGGTAACATAAACCATCTAGACTGAAATTGATCTAAGATCAGTTAGTTTTCTAGTAGACAAAAGAAAACATATGAATTACCAAGCCCCACATGGATGGAATAACACCACGGTATAGCGCGTAGATGCCTTCTGTCTGATAGATTTTCTTTGCTGCGTGAAATGTATTCCTATAGTCTTCGTGATGTGATTGTGTCATCATTCGCGTTCGAATTGTCCATATCGGCGCAGTTAATGTATTCGATATTGCACCGGCTGTCACTGAAGCTAATAGATTAACTAATGTATCATTTTCCGAATGCACAGATGCTAATCCAGAGGCATATTGTTTCTTTGACCATTGATACGTTCCAAAATATACAGCCCAATTCGGTATATAACCCTAAATATTCTCAAGAAATTCCCTGTCGAACGGAAGATGTACATTTTCTTACCAACATCGTCGTTCCCAATCCTTTGAAAAAAGCTCTGAAACCTTCTCGTTGAGCGAGTCGATACATAGTCACTAATAAGGGCGTATCCGGTACACCCTTCGGTAGACGCTTCACTTGAATACGAGTTTTGACAACATCCAGCGGACTGACAAGTACGCTAACGAATGCACCAGATACTGCTCCAGCTAGAGTATTTATTTGCGAATCTTTCAATACTAGACGTGCTTTCTTCGGTTGTTTTGCCATAAGGAGAATTCTGAAAAAGTGAATTCGTTGAATGTCTTAGTGTTTTTTTTATTCATGTTTAGTGACTAGAAGTCAACATTTAATGAAATAGAAAAAGAAAGAATATAAGAAAATCTAACAATAAGCATGAGAATATTCGATCGATTGGTTTGAGTGTATGTTTGCGAAAAGAAAATGAATGTATAACGAACAAGCAGATACAAAGGTCAATGCCATTTAGTGATCCGAAAGAATTTCGCGTCGAATGGATTTCACATATTGTGATGGACACCAGTACAACCATATAATCGAACTTTCTCTACAAAGATGATATTCTTTTTCTATAGAAACTAATCCAACGAAAACTTACGTTGTACCAGTTTGAAAGCCAACAATTGAATAACCTTCATGACCTTCAATTGGCTCATCGACAATATTTCTTATGTGAGTCATTGGAATCTTTTTCGTTGTTTCCGCTAACAGTCAATCAATCAATAAATGAATGAATGAAGAAAATCCTTTCCTCTTCATACCTGTGTTAATCCATAATTCGTCATGTTCAAGTTTAAAGGTTAATCGTGCTTTCTTTGCTGAATGATTTAACATTGACATGTACAACCCATCGATCGATTGAGGTAATGGATCATGTCGATTTCGAATACCTATTTGAACATTATCCGGCTTACCTATACGAGACAGTGAAAAGATCAAACAGGCTTTCGATGAATTTTACCTGCTTTCAAAACTTTCTCATGTTTCGTCTGTTTACATAAAGGTTCTTTCTTGTTCGTCGATGATGATGATGATGAATGATCATCCAGGGAATCTTTGCTTCCACTCGAATTGACATTCACCTGTGTCGTCGACAAAATTTCCGCTCGAGTCGCACCAACTAACAACAACGTTTGACCATCGGTTATGTTCAAATCTTTTAATGTTGTTGTGGCATCATCGTGTTTGACACTAGTAATCGATTTATTGACTAGTTTTTGCACTCGAGGATCAACATCAGTCATCTTATCGATTTTGTCTTTCAAATCTTTCAGCGTATCGAATAAATCACAATTGACTGGAAACGTTTGAGTTTTATAACGAATATTCAACGTGATTGGCACTTTCGATGTTGTTCGTTTCAACGCCTGTTGATCACCGATTTCATTGGTAATATTAGTTGTGATATCATCCATTTCAGTAAAATTTATAAATAATTAACAAAGAATACTAAAATGAACATGAAGAAAAGAAGAAACGTTTGTCTAACTCTGTCTCTCTCTCAATAAAACGTGAAAGTGTGGATGTTTTATCTTGATGGGCAAATAGCGCTATCAGCTATCATCACTCCTGATTGTCTTTAGGATATGAATTAACCTCTGGAAAAGAGATATTGTCTTGTCTCTATTTATTTCAGTAGACCAATAAATTTTACATTTGAATGATGAGAGTTCATTGATACAGATATCATGGCTGATAAATAAGCCAATCAAATTCTTTGTTGGTCTCCTTGTAACCGATCGAACGCGCAACGTTGAAAGTCATGTGGGTGTATATTAAACTATAAGCCTTGATCCTCTTGATAGACAGGAGAGTTTTTTCTTTCGTTTTGATTTCAATATACTTTAGAGGATGAAATGCTCGCTCAGATCTTACATGATCTTTACGTTCCACGAGAATTACTTGATGGACTACCTGAAGATCAAAAACAATTGCTTTTCTGTAAAATGCGCGAAGAACAAGTTCGACGATATCATGAACGAGAAGAAGAAGAAGAAGCAGCAGCAACATTGAAAACAACAGGTTTTGGATGATAGATGGTTGTCGAATGAAAGTGGGTTATTTGTTTTTTAGTGCAAACGAAAATTAAAAAGAAGAATGACAAACATGTGACGTTTCGAATGGCTGCTGATGGAAATGAATGGGTGAGGGTGATGGGAGAAGAATCAGAAATACCAACGAGAATTTCTAATGATCGGTTCAATACCAAGTAAATTTCATAAATGATTATCGAAATTTCATAATAAAATGCGGTTTCTATTCAAGAATTACTGCAAATAGTGAACTTTCCAGTCAGCTTAGGTTGGTAACAACGAATACTCCTTCTTAGAAATATACTATGCTTTGATATACTAACGATAACTAATATCTGTAGTGCTAACTATACATCGTCACCAAAATCGGGAAGTTTTTATACTGCATGTCATGATGATGAGTAAGTCATGTGCATTGAAAAATTTGAAAACTGATAGAAGAAACATTTGTTAATTTAACATGTTGTATCATTTACGGTAGACAAAAGACGCTTGTAAAAAGTCTACAGTATAAAAGATTCTGTGACATGTAAGTGTAATATCTTGACTACGAAATCTCTGCGATTATAATTTTAATAGAATGAGAGTCTTTACATTCTTTGTTGCTTTGCTTTAGACGAAAACAGATCGAAAAGATTTCAAATAATATTCAAGAAGCGCGTCGTGTTTTTGAGCGTTTAGAATCCGATACGCAACGACTTGTATCGGTAGGTTTGCTTCTTTCATACACTTCTTTCTCTATTCCGAGTTATTTGAATTCATAGAAAAAAGAGAATGAACTTTTGCAACGATCAAAGTCTTCCCCTTTACCTCAAATCCCTCAAACTGATGTGGTTGATGAAATGTTCTATCTTGAAGTTGAAGAACGTGCGAAAAAGGCTGAACAAGAACGACGCGAAATCGCACGACGTGCTCGTGATAATTATCATCGAAATTCAGCTCAAATAAATGTATGTTTCGATACAGATAATCACGCAACAGTCCTTCTTCAACCACCACCACCACCATTAAACACTTCAGACAAGATCAACCGAGAATCAGAAAATGGCAAACAGATTCAAATCGAAATGACCTCGAAAGAATCTCGTGAACAAGATGAACAATTATCTATGAAAGATACTGAACATCAACGATCGTCAGTGACAAACTCAGACATTATTTTCACATCAGTCTCTTTTCATGCTTATTCTAGTAAACCTATACTTCCATTAACACGTGAAGATATCCGTCAATGGTTCTGTACGATCGAAATACCATACAGTACATTCCGTTCTCCTAGCGGCGAAATATATCCATGGTTTCACGGTAAACATTTCTTTGCTGGTCTCGATATTGTATAACGAAAGAATTGATCATTGTAGGAATCATTACTCGTGCATATGCAGAACAAATTCTATCGACAAAACCAATCGGTAGTTATCTAATACGTGTCAATGAGAAAATCTATGGCTATGCCTTGTCATATCGTGCGTCAGATCATTGTCGTCATTTACTCATTGAGGTGATTCTCTCATCCAAATATGAGGATCATCAAAAGCAAATGCGTGTCTATCGATTTCTTGGTGGTGCTAAACAAGAAATATTTCTTCATTTGAATGAGCTCATTGAAAAATATAGTGTATGTGTTCGAACAAAACTTAAATTGTAAATAGCAAATGGTGGATTTACTTTTAGAATACTCCGATTCGATCCAATTCTTCCGATGTTCTTCGTTATCCATGCGGTCAAATCGATTCTGAGAAGCTCGATTATGCTGATCTATTTCTTGAAAATCGAAAGGATAAACAATACGAATCGCTGTACATATCCTTAGAAACAACCACATCTCCTCCCCAATCCAGCACAAACTTGTAGCCATGCGAAGAAACCATTCTATTTTTTCAAGTGATCTTTCCTCTTTGCTCACAGCATTTGTTTGTACAGATAGGACTACATTCCACCGAGTTTCTTCCTTTGTCTTCGATAGTTATTTGTGAAAAATTTCGTGCAATGTAGAACATTCTTCTTACTCTTCCCAGTGTTGATAACTATGAGTGAACTTTTAACTAAACGAAACCTTCCATGTCTTGTTCTTCCTTGTTGAAAGTTGTTTCAATTTTAGACAATAAAAACCATGAAATTTTTACCAAATATCTGACCATGAATATATTTATTAACAAAAAAAAGAAAATATCAGCTATTAGTAAACTATCTGTACAATACGCAAATCACATCTGATCGATTTCTACGACAAACAAGGTTTTTCTTCGAAAAACTTAATATAAACATTCGTGTGGGCATGAAGCAATTCATACAGAAGGAAAATATTTGTTAGTAGTATTTCCATTCGTACTCTTTTGTATAGATATACGTTCAAAAGGTAAACGTCGTTGAATGGTTGAACTGTGGGTTGATGTTCGAGGTGTTTTACGAGGTTCCGAATTGGTGACACGTTGTTGATTCTTTTTCAACGTGGAAATTGTAGCCAGTTTGGGCGATGAAGGTGGTAACGTGGCATCCTTGGAGAAGATTTTACAAGTTAGACCAGAGTTCTCTTTGCAATTCACGTGTGTTGATTGTGAACAATGTGAACAACGATATGACAATGAACCAAAATTGATTCGTTTGAGACACTACAAAAAAAAAAGATTTGTCGTTTTGGAATTGAAATTTCGGTTATTTTACCACAAAACATGTTTCTGGTTTGAAAATCTTTTTTGAAACAAAACGATGCGCAATCGTCGACATCTTTGCAGGAGTCATTGGTAATGTTTGTTCCATAGAAGACGATGACGCTGTTTTCGTACTGTTAACGATCGATGATGATGATGATAATGTATCACTACTATCTAATTGACTTGTTTGTTGCCTGCATGAATTGTTAATCATTTTGATGTCCGTTGAAACAGTAAATGGTTGTGTAGTGTTCTCCAGTGTTGTGAAACATTGAAATGTGGTTTGAGCAATGATACGTTGTGATGAAGGCTTACTCTGAACACGAAAATATCGCATAGAAGGTGAAGGGGAAAAGGAAGAAGGTCTTTGTTACCATTTCTCGTGATCCTTCGTAACAAAGGCGTTTTGATGGCGAAATATTTGTGTCATCATCTTGATTCAATAGGCGTTTTCTTGTCGACGATTGAGGGAGAACAACACGTGGATGTATTATTAGACTTTCATTTGTATCATCATCAATTGTACAATTACGACTATCCAATTCATCTTCATCTTCGTCTTCCGATGAAATGACATCTCTATACAAAACGAATGAAATCGATGAATACGACAACGAATGAAATCGATGAATACGACAACGAATGAAATCGATGAATACGACAACGAATGAATTCGTTCGAAAACACAAACCTTAATCGATCTTCACATTTCTTCTTTATATAGTGTAATTGATCGATGGGTGATGTATGATGACCATGATAGTTGATTATACCATAGATTTCTTGAATTGTCTTATGCTAAAATGGAGTTCAATATAAATTTTATCGTTTTAGCTCCAAGTATTTCCGTAAATATATCTCAAATGGCATTGTTCAGAAAAGTGCGAAAGAAATTTGGAAGATTTACTCTCTGAAGACTTTCTAAAGCTCATGCCGACATGTTGCAGTGGCAAGTCGTGCTTACTAATCTAGCAGCTCGATTTGTTGAAATGAGACGACGTTGTCGCTGATCATGAATTTGTTGACTAAATGTAACAACAACAATATTTGCACAGAACTTTGTATTCAATCATTACCTTTGAGATTTCGTTTTCAATGTTGCGCTTTTCAACTGACTCTCCAATCGTTTGACGACTTGTCTTTGTTCCAAATACTGCTTCAATAAAGCAAATAGGTCTAAATCAAGAACAATTTTCATGTTCAGGACCATAGACGAACAAGTCGAAAAGTCACAGACCATCTTCGGTTGTATTATTAATAAGTAATCGTTGATTGTAGGCTAATACACCAAGCGCATGCGTAGTTTGTTGAAGTTTTCTCTTGAAACTATCACACATCTTAAAGAAAATGTTGAACTCAAGAGAATATTTTCTACTTGATTACAAAACTATCTAATTAATTCAACCGACAATCGAGCCATTCTGTTGAGAAAAACGACGTCGTTCAAAGTGCGACGTGAACAAAGAGACAAGAAGGAAATGTAATTATCTAATCCTTTTGTTGGTTAGTGAAAAGAAACCAATTGACACTATTGAATAATAGATGTCGTTATTCATTACTAGAATTGTGATTGATAATTCTAATAGTAAACCCTCACCCAGGAATAGATTGATAAATGAACTATTCTATACCTAAGGCAATGATTGCAGTCGACAGAATGTCAATGAACTACACATTAAGCGAATTAGACGCGAGCGATGGAGAGTCTTCTTCAGCTCTTCGTCGTTTCGGAGCAATTCAATTAGCTCATATATGGAATATCCATGTACCCGACGAGGAGGAATAGACGTTCTTAGCTAAAATGAACTATTGTCGAGTTCTTTGGAAATACGACGTCAAATCTTTCAACTAGACTTCACCGAAAGTGATTTTCATCACGAGAAAACAAATATCATCTCGGTCGATTGTATTCGACGACAAGGAAATGAAATTTTGTGCTTTTCATAATCAGTTCAAAATACATTGCTTGCTTTATGTGAGTATAGTCATACGCGAAAAACAAGAGTGTACTCGCTCGAGACTTGTTTGTAGAGCTCGATGACTGGAGAATCAACGCATGAGAACTATTCCCAAATAAATTTTTTGTTTTGATCCTGAACAAGAAAAATTCAATCCGATGTATCTCACATCGCGTGTTACAACTAGAGATAATCGCTTAGAAAAAAGTTTGTCTTTGATTATTTCTTGTGAAATGATCTATGTGTATCATCGAAACGGATTAAGATTGCATCTAACTCAGGTCGGAAACATTCATCTGTCGTTCAGTCGGCTTGATGGCAATCAGATTTTTCTTTGCATGATGAATATATCGAAAACATGATTGAGATAAATGGCGTCATGCAAGCTTTGGGCAAATAACCGATTTCTAGTCAGAGAAATCTATTATTATTGATGAATAAATGACTAAATGCATGCTTGTATACTCTATTACGATGATGATGAAGAAGAAGGAAAATAAGAGAAGAGAGAAAACGATGAGAAAAGAAAGAAAGAAGGAAAAAATCTTCATTTACAAGTTCGAGCAATGGAATGGAAACAACATACATGTATATATGATGAGAGTAGAGAGAAAGAAATAGTTTCCGAGAAAAATAGCTTGACTTTTAACTTGTCGTGAGCGAACAATGAGGACACGATTAAAACTTGTTGATAAAATTAGTACCTGTTCATTGGTGAAAGTCTTATTGGTACTTCTATTAGAAATTCAAATGGGTGTCAGTGTCCGCATACGAAGTGCCACCAACCAAACAAACAATCATTCATGTTACACTTGCATTGAACCGTTGGTTGGTTATAGTAAGTAGTTTTCCGCATGATTCTCTCATAAGCATCTCAACCGAGAGGTATTTCATATACATCTGCTGTCTTCTCCTTCTTATTTCAGCTGATCATCCCGACTCCTGCAAATATTTGAATGTCAGTTCATCATTAGCGTCTTCGTTTATTAAAAGTTGCAATATGGACAATACCGATGGCGAATATGAATGTCGAAAAGTTGTTATTAGTTATCGTTCGGTCGAAACTTACCTTCGTCGTGATTGTGCACCGAAAGGTTTATGCTCATGGAAAGATAGAACAGGTTCAATGATTAACACTCCTGTCTCAGACTGTGTATATACCGATGAACGGTCGCAAAAACTTGAATGTGTTTATTGTTGTGATACGCCATTATGCAATGGCGCGAGATTCGATCCGATGACGATGCGATTTCTTATTTATCTCTTAGGGATGGGATATCTGATTTAGTTTTATGAGAAGATTTTGGTTTTATTTTTAATAGGCTATAAAGAGAAGAAGAAAACATACATGAAAACTCAATCTTTACAATCGAGGAAATGAAAGAATGATTATGATTATTAAATCTTTTCCGGTTGTTGTTATGCAGGAATTCCTAAGATCTACGAAATCTTTTATGATCAATGTATGTTCTGTTGCTCGACGTTCGAAGCAGAAAATTATGATAATGACGATGGATTATTGTCAGAAGAAACAGATGAAGTGCAGTTTTGTTTTGACGTGAAACCTTTTACTCGATCTTCGAATGTTATTTGAAAGAATTCTGGAAAATGACTTCAGAAATGCTTTCTCATGAATATTTAATATTTCTCGACGTTTCACATATTCTATACAACCAAATTCTATTATTGTATTGTTTTTCTTCATGTGCTATTGTAAAGAATAATATCTAGAGCATATTTCACGTACTCGTGGAACCAATCTCCAATATAATCCTATGCAAATCATTCTACTGACTTCATCTACAACAGTTTCTAATTAACTACACATGTTAATGATTAACAGCTGTATTCCCAGTTTAACTATGGCAAATTCCCTTTCGTTTTAAATGCAATTTCCCTGATTATTCACAACTCGACACTGAGTTGTCATTGTAAGACAGCCATGAGTCTAATTGATCAAATTTTCACATGTTCTTCATTGAACGACAACTATATGAGTAATTAGTCGCAATAGTTTTTGTTTCTTCTTAACCCGCACATGGGCACTTAGATCACAGTCTCATGACCAGGTAGTAAGTCGAGAATTCTCGTCCCTCATATTGTAGCTTCATGCTTAAGCGATTATGCCTTCTTATTTCTTTATATCATGTAAGCACTTCCGAGTGTTACAATACTCTGCGTAATTAAAAAAAAAAGTCGCAATAGTACAGTATCCCTGGTTTCTTTTAGTATGTAAATGTTGGCAGGCAGTGACGTGCTGAGAAGGGAAAAATAAATATGGATATAAACTGAAATGCAACACTTTTGTTCAAGTGTCATAAACAATGTCACTTGAGAAAGAATGCAGATTCTCCTACACGATTTCCTTTCGACGATAATATTTGTGATTACTTGAAACGTAGTATAAAAAACGCGATGTTTATGTTCTACTGCGTGCCCGAGTATGATAATTTTGAATCAATTTACTTTGAACGAGGTTTTGACGAAAATTTGTGAATTGAATCTAAATAATTTACTTGTGCGAACCTTGTTCGTCTTGTAAATCATTGTACGAGGGAATCAATCTGCTGGAAATGAATAAAACAGTGTTACTATTGCAGATCAAATCATCATAAAATGAAGGTGAAGACGATAAGTTTATAATGTTTTCAGGTTGAATGCATCAAGTTAATGAGCCTTGATTAATCAACACGGTCAAAGTCTATGAACGAAAGTACAAGGATTTCCAAAGAGAATTCAATCCAGTATACACTGAACTAGTTTCTACATACTGATTGTATACAAGATTCGATCACATGGTGTTCGTATACACGGCATAGTGACAAAATTTTTGCTTTTGTAGATTTCAAATGTTTATATAGAATGCGATCAATACAGGGTATTTCATTAGTATACAAAAGAAAAGGAAGCATTGCACTGTTCAAAATAATTACAAAGATACGGAGAGAGAGAGAGAGAGAGAGAGAAAACAAGCCTTAGTATGCTTGGAGCGGAAAAAAACAGGAAACAGACACCACAACATATCACAAAAAAATCAAACAGAAGAAAGGTTACAATAAATCATTTGTACATCAATCGTTTTTTATTATATGACTCTTCCTCTTCTTCGTCAGCATCAATAGGTAATATCGTTTGATCATCATTTTCAGTTTGACTTGAACGAAAATCTTTCAAACGCTCATATGTGGGAGTAGCACGACTATACCGATGTTCACCATGAACGGCAATTTCATCCTCATCATCGCCACTATCAATATCCCATAGACGTTGAGCTAACGAGCGATGATCGACGGGATATCGACGGTAGATGTACGGATAGCGATTCGATGTTGGCGTGTTTGAATAGCATCCGTAAGAATTTGAATAGGACGGTGATGCTACTCGGTAAGGATCAACGACGTAGTACTGTTGCTGTTGCTGTTGCTGTTGTGCTGCTGAGGAATAGAATGAAGGCGTGGCTGGTGGTAAAGGCAACCGAGAAGGAGGTCTATGTGGATATGGATATTGAGCGTATCGATGATCAGTACCGGAACGAACGCGATGAGCTTTCGGTACTGATAGTGGCGGTGATTTGACAAGTATACGCATTTTAACAGGCGTTGTTTGGTAGTTTTGTGAACTACATAAAATTGGTATGATTGATTCATCGGGATGTGAAGGCATGTAGGACGAGTAGTACATCGAAGAAGTAGATGGTGGATGTATATTCGCATGATACCGAGTAAAATAATCATGTCCCATCGCGGGATTGAGTAACATAGACGATGCACTACTGGAAGTTGACTAGAAGACACAAATATGTCAAGATTTCTCTTAATCAACAACTATACCTGACGATGTAATGAAATTGAAGGCACTTTTAGACGGTGTTCCGATTGATAAACGGGAGCATTTATCATCATGTCATTCTGATTGAGATCATTTTGGTTGTTCGATGTATATATGGCATCTGAATGGTGTTTTTCAGCTGGGACATCGATGATTTCAGTTGGACTTGTCTTTTCAGCATTTCGAACTTTGAATGGTCCTCGAGGTGTTCGTGTAATAGGTAGGAATGTTCCACTAGTACCCAATTCATACGACGTTTCGCTCTCGTTTGACAATGTCTGTAGTTTATTTGTATCCATTCGATCATTGCTCTTATCTTGAAGAAGTGATTCGTCATCTTTCGTCACTTCGATCGATGCTAATTTATTACTGAACAGAGTTGTTTGAGTAATACTAATATCGTTTAAATTCACTTTCGAATAGAAGTAAATTTGAGGGATTAACATGAAGAATAGACATATCGTCGCAATTGTAAACATACCAACGATTAATATTGGAAATGCAAGCGACGGATGGGTAGAATGGTACATAAATGTCCACAACAACCATGTAATATCAATTAGAACAAAAGCGAACATATTGAAACAGGTCAATGATGTTTTGCTCTTATATTTTCTTGACGACTGTTCTTTATGAATATCATTTCGATGACAATGTCGGCAAAGGAACAGACATATCGCGATCATGGTACATAACAATAGCTCCACTATTGCATAGGTATATGTCGCGTAAAATCGATAATCGACAATGCATTGAAGTGAACATGACTTGATTTTCGATCTTGACAGTAAATATTTTCTCAATGAAAACTTCACTGTCGGATATTCTTCCATTGTTTGATGCGGACAAGCACGTGGAGAGGTGAAATACCACCAAAGTATACCGATGGGTATTTGTACTAACACCAGTAGAAAATAGATCATGAGAGCTGTCATTTGTTTGGTCCTAGTCGATAGGATTCTTGCAGCTAACCATTGCATTATATAACGGCATAATAGCGCTGAATAGAGTAGAGCATATGCTAATTGAGAAAGAAATTCTCTCAAACTGCAGAGGATTTCATTACCGCGTAATAGGAAAAAGATGACAATAAGATAGATGAAACAAACACTGAGACAAATAAATATGTTTGTTAGGACGAGATGATGGTTCAAATGTCGAATCGAAATACATAAAAATATGAATAAAATAATAATGGTTATTAAGATACCTAAGACCGAGAGAATAAATAGAGGAAAGATCCAGGGATTATGAAATGATATAAATGAGAATGTTTGATTATTAATCAATTGAACGTGATAATCATAATTTTCGAAGTAAAGATCCTGTGATTGTATTATCGAAGAATTGAATAGCGATGTATCCATACTAATTTCATTCATAGTCATCTAAATAAACGAAGATATGATACAGGTACATTAGGATGAACTGCTTCGTTTCTTTCCTCCGACCGGTCCATCGATAACAAATGAAAAAAGTGACTGCGAACAATAGAACAAAACGTCTCTTCCTTCACGCCTGGGGGGTATATAGTCTATATATGTATATATACATATATACGCGGCTCGACAATAGCACTACTACTATTACTATCACTATTACTATCACTATTACTACTATATTATTATTATTATTATTTTGATTCTCGTCTTCGGATAGGACTAATGGATCCGACAACATTTGATATAGATATTTTGATATCGTGTTTTCTGTTATTGTATGTGAATCTCTTGATTCTTGATATTTTCTCTCTTTCTCAAGTCAACAAGGTGCGAAAGATCGTTAATCGAAAGTTAAATTGAAATCAGAGATTGTATTTTCTTAATAATATGTACTTAAATCATGAAAAAATCGAAAGGTTGAGGCGGCGTTTGCCACGCTTCATTATGTTCGTCCTATTCGTATGCATTTATATTGTCTAATTTTCTCGCATGAAATCAACTCTTTCCTTCTCGTTATTTCGCACACAATTCAAGGTAGACTTCATTAAATCGGCTACAGTTNATGAAGACGATGTGCGAACGCGCACAGCTGTGTAAGCGCGCGCGTGTATGTATCTCTTCGTTTTGCTTGAGTACGATGTACATACAAACAGAAAAGGGCGAAAGTTGTCTTCCAGCAAATGTTAGTGAAATCGGATTCATGCAATACATCAACGAGATATTTCTGTCTATAATAGAAGATGAAATAAGTTAAATCAAAGAGAGAGAGATAAATGAAAATTAAATCAGAATAGAATGAGAGATATGTAATAAAATTACATTTTCTTTGATGTTTTTTTTTTATGTATGTATATATTTTAATCGAAAATTAACGTTAGTAGAGAACTCAAGTGTTTGTTGCATTATATTCTTCATATGTTAAGTAACGAACGAAAACGATGCTACTTTATAACTTCAATAAAACTAAATACCGCAAAGCAAATCATCCACATGAATTTCCAACTTAGACTACCGTTTTTCTTCATAGAAATTCAAGATTTCTGTGAAATAGTAGTTCTTCGAAATTGATTTATCGAGGTAAAGAACGCTTGGACATATTTTCTCATTGTTAAACATAAGCACATGAAATAATCTATGTAATAAACGAAGTTGTAACATAGTTGCATTTCTATTCTCTTTTTTTTTTGTCTACAATAAGATAAGCGGAACTAGAAGTGTACTTCATTTTTTTTTGTAAAGTAGTCATCAAATAAGTATTGCACTTCTTTCTTTTTATGACAAACTTAACTGAATTATTAAGAGAAAAGACATTCCTATTGTAAAATAACTGTCTAGGTGTGCGAAATATCCACGGGAATGTCTTGATCTTTGTTGGGTTTTTATTGGAAATCAGAAAGAAACGCGCGTATGGTGTGTTAATGTGTGTAGAAATAGAAATGAGAACCGTTTGCTGTTCAGATTTGATGAAAAAACAAAGTATCTTGTTGAAAATCGATTTACGAATCAGCAGCTTGACTTAAAGCTAAAAGAACCATTTTTAACTCCGGTTTGCTCAGCTTTTTATCGCGATTAATATCGCATCCATTTAATAAAGATCGTTTGAACTGTTGCAAATCTTCATTATCATAATCCTAGAAGAGAAATATGAAAAGATAACCTGAGATTTTCGATGAGGATTGTACTATACTTTTCGAACGAGATCCATGAGATCTTTGACAAATCCGTCTAATTCTTCTTCTTCAATGATATTGTTTCCATCCTGAAGAGAAAAAAGCACATTGAAAACGTTGATTTTCATTCGCACAAGTCGTACTTTATCGTAAAGTTGAAACACTTTATCAAGATCTTGTGAAGTTATAGACGAACAACCCTGTTGATGAAATTAAAAATGACTAATTACTTAAAAGAAAGATAAATATTCTCACCTTAAAAATCGGCCTGAGCAAGAAATTTTCTCTGACAGGTAAAAGCCTAAAATTAAATTTACAAATGCTTCTTATTTCTTTCATTTGCTCTTTACCTCGTCATTTCACTAAATTGTAATTTTCCATCACCATTTGCGTCAAATATATGTAACTAAAACAATGAATAGCAATCTCACGAAGGAATTCCTCGGTTGGAACATACAATTGTATCGGTATATTCGATTAGTTTTTCTTCGGTTACTTTATTTCCTTGCCGTCTATTTAAAAGTGTTTTTATGAATTGCTTTAACTCATCAGCTTCAATGTAACCTGAACAATCCGTATCAAACTGTTTCCAAACTTTCATAAAATCCACACTTGATTCAAGCGGATTATCTTTACGAAAGAGGAGAAGAAAGTTTTCTTCCGTCGGTAGAATTTCAGCTAACTGAAAAAGAAACAGCAGATTTTTAAATAATTTGTAATGGAAAGAAAAGAAGCAGGTGAAGAAAACAAAAAACTTACTTCTCCAATTTCAATCCGACCATCTGCATTTTCATCATAAGCTTCTAAGAAACATTCTTTTAATTCTCGCAAGACACTATCAGATATTAACTAGAAGAAGAAGAAGAAACAAAAATGTTCAAAACAGACATCAAATGAGAAGAACATATTTATTTACATCTAGGCCTGTATCACTCATATTGACAGATGAAGCTAGTTCACGTAATAAATCATCCAGTTCATGTCCTTCGATAAAGCCATTACCTAAAATACGAACATTGATGTATAAGAAGACAAACGTTCAAAAGCACATACCATCGGTGTCATAATGACTCCAAATTTCCATAAATTGATGAGCATTCAATTGTTGGAATTCTTTACTTTGTTCATCGCGAAATTGTTTCAAAAAGTTTCCCTTTTTACGATGACGTTCTTGCTCATTAGTATTTGTCGCCATGAAGAGTGTGTCGATCTGCAAGAGATGACGCGTGATAATAAGTAAGAAAAAAAGAGGTAGAAATTCAGCGCAAACTTGACGCAGAGTTTATAAAAGGTACACACTATTCTCACACAATGTCGCTAGCGAAGTTATCTATTGAATTTTTCTTCTTGTTGTTACTCATCTTGGTTGAAAATCTCATTTCATGATCTCTGCTATTTGTTATTTATGTATCCTCGTATTTGATTTAATATCCGGCTTTATCTCTGATGTGTATGCCGATGTTATTAATAGAAATTGGTCATGATTTTTCAATAGGAGGAAAAATCTCGATCTTCATTCATCAGCAAGTATTTCTTGTTCTGTCTATCATCAGTTCTCACACATTTGAATACGCAATACTGTATGAAATGATTGCACGAGAGAAAGAAGCACAGAAAAAAAGACGATAAGGAAGGTCTGAGCAAAACCAGTCATTACTGAAAACGGAAGAAAAAATGGCACACTACACATACACAGTCGAAGAGAATGACATATTCTCATACAGGTAGATACTGGAAGGCGTGCGCATGAAAGATAATAAAAAAAGGAAACAATCTACATGGCGTTACAGAAAATCTTCGTTTATGCGCATTTTCTGCTCAAAGAACGCAACGACAGAATAGGAATGGCAAACAACGGTGTCGACGTTTGATATATTATCTTATCATCTTTATTCGAACAAAATATAATTGAGCGTCAGAATAAATAGACGAAAGTCTCTCGTTTGCATGCACGAAGCAGAGAAAAAGCCAAATCTATTGATCTGTTTTTTTTTCTCTTGTTCTATGTTTTCCCGTTATTCTCTTTATAAACATATCGTTTTAAGGACTTTTCTTTTTTTCTCTCTGAACTCTCGAAGGATAAATAAATATTGTTTTCCGCCCATCGTGTCTGGCTATTTCAGTTAAATTTACCATAACAGACGAATCGATTCAACAACTCGTTTTCTTTTCATATTGACTTTCCGAGCTCCTCAGGCGCCTGATTGAATAATTTTATTAAATTTCTCGAGATATCAATATTAAGATGTTTTCTTGAACGAGCTATTTCGCAGTTCTTTTGATCGAATAACTAATCAGATTTACTCCGCAGTTCACAGATCGTATAACTTCTCATTTTTTTATATCATATACACGAAGAACAATGTAAAAAGATGTCAAATCGAGCAAGCATGATGCGGAAGGAATGAATTCTCTCCTTGAAATCTTGTTTTTCTCCTCTCGTTCATATTTGCTTTTCAACGATTGATCCCGAGTAAAAACACGAGGAACTTCACCATACAAAACAACATATTAATTTTCATTCAACAATAGATCAATGTCAAGTTTCAATGAACGCTAATTTCTTCGTTGATTTCCTCCGATAATCATGTTCGAACATGTCAGATCGGTCTACCTAACGTTCAAGTACATGATTAACAATTCATACTGCTGTTCATGGATTTTCAGAAAACATTAATCGAAACAACAGAGACACGCCATTCGAGACAATGAAATGGTTGATTATTCTTCATAGAATATCAAATGCAGCGATTGTTATTTTAAGACCAAAGTCAATAGCAACACACACGCGCACACAGAGACCAAATGTTGAACAATAAGGATCTATAATATTTGCTTTATCAAGTTCTTTTGAATAGAATCTTGGACGGCTGTTTTCATAACTTATCTGTGTTATTATTCATATATTAGTTTTTTATTGCCTATTATTGCAACTAATCGAACGAATATTGACGGATGCAATCGAATTTCTATATTGATATGCAGGGAAAGTATCTGGATAGAGAAAACTTTTATAATTTAGTTCAATAATTATCAGATCTTCAACCTCTATCACGAATTGCATTTGTCACCATAAATGGCTCTTCTTCAACGCTGAAGAATGCTTATGAATCTTTTTTTTTCTTCTCATTATTTTCACTCAGACAAATTTTCTTCTCTCCTAATGTCTTATACCGGAGTATACGGTTCAGTAGCTTACTGAAAAACCCTTTCATGTGAAAATGCTTAGTTAGAACATGCTATTATTTTAGAGGCGGGTATTATCTCGTGATATTG